TCACCACATTTTCCAATTTTTTCCCCCCTGTCGCGTGAAAATTTCGTTTTTCTAAGTTTCTGAAGCCGTTTCCGCACGGATTGCCAATCCGAGAGTACTTCAATTAGAGAATATGATATGGGGCCAACTTTTAATTAGGACGCCAACTCCGGATCGGCACTAAAAAAATCCCAATTTGCACAAGTCCTATAACGTATATATAACATATATGTCCCCTTTATATCAACCCCCCCCCCCCCCTATTGGCACCCCTGCCCCCCCCCCCCCATACCCGCACCACCACCCATATGACCCATCACTTGCCCTTGCACACCTAGTCCCCCCCGACTTGCCTAGGTGCGCAACACCCCCCGCCACCACACCCCTCAGAGTCAAGAATTTGAACTGTAGAACACACCCAAAAGCCAAAAAACTCGAAAATTTCTAAGTCCCTAGGGTTCCAGGCAACCCAATAATAAAACCCAACCCAGGGGGTCTTGTAACCCTAACCCTAAGTGCCATAGCTCCTTCAATAGTCATTGAATCTCCCTGGTTCCACTTCCGTAACTATATTATCTTTCAAATCCGCACAACTTTCCTCAGGTGTCCAAGGTGGTGCGGATGACATAGTGCATGCAAACGGACATGCACTGCATGCTTTTTGCATGATTTGCTGGTTGACAAACACCCTGTCATATCCATGTATTGCAATGCAAAAAGGCATTTGCCATCCTCCACCATCAGAAGGAGCAGTGGGAGAAAAGAAAGTATTTGGGCCTCAAAAGGATTTGAACATGTAGCAAATTGAGAGCAAACCAAATTGAGTCATTCGCAGCCAACTGGAGAACACCCCCATATTGCCTGGAAACAAAAAGTGCCAGGAGTTGATGAATACTAGAGTAGATGAAGGTTCCTAGATGTTTTTGGGGATGTTTTCTGAGACATATTTCACTTTAGGCGAAATCCATCCACTCAGAGTTCCAGAAAATGCATTTTGGCAATATTTTCATAGTAAAAAATCGGAAAAACAGATTTTCCCGGGGCATTGAGTGGAAAACATGCCCCAAAATTTGAAGCACATTACAGTAAGATGCCCCTGAACATTGCTAGCAACTTTATTTGACACTTTTTGGATGGCCAAAAATAACCCATAACCGGGAACAGTCCTGTAACCCTAACCCTAACCCTAACCCTAACCCTAACCCTAACCCTAACCCTAACCCTAACCCTAATCCTAACCCTAACCCTAACCCTAACCCTAACCCTAAGTCTGGAGTGATGCAGCATATCAAGGACAGTGAAGCTTTCGCCGGTTGGATGCGGATCGCTAGCAGACCTTGTGTCATTAGCATTCCATTCAATCCAGAGTCAAAGGCAAGGATTCTTGAGTTACTTCACAATGAACATTCGATCATCGTGAGGGAAAGCACGGATCACTCACGAGTGATTGCTGGGCGGCAAAATCTGTTGATGTCTGGGTTCCAGGACATCATTGGTGCTGTGTCACCCTCTGTACGCATTGTGCAGTATGGAATGAAGCAACGCATTCGGACTTTGCCAGCTTATTCCTTTGATCAGGAAGTGAGCAACCATCCCGATGCTGCACTGAACACATGGGACATTGGTCAGACGTTGAACACTCATGGGGTCATTCCTTTGGTTCGCTACAATGGACGTGGAGTTGGCGCCACCTTTCCCATGCTCACCATCCTTGGTGAGGGATTTGGGTCCACCCGCTTTGACATTGCGGGTCACGCCAATGTTTGGGTTACTTGCTACCCAAAGCTTGTTCATGCGCTCAAAGCCTACTCTTCGACTTTGTCTTCGCGAATGCCCCAAACCAAGTCCAGCCTTGGTGATCGCAGTGAGACACTGAGAGGTTTACGTCAATGGCTCAACAGTCACCCGCTCCACATTACTGGCATGCGAGTTGAAGTGCGAGTTCAGTGCGCCAGGTTGGAATCAGCGGAACAGATGGTTTTGAATCTCCATTTGGACCAGATCGAGACCATTTTCCAGCACATGGGCGCAAACTCCTTGAAGCTTGTGCCGGTGGAAGAGTACTACAGTCTCATCAATGGCATCATGGACGCTGCCACCAGAGTTCTATTCAGAGGTGATCGCAATAGACAGACTACTGTGACAGACTGTCAGCGCTTCCGAGATGTTCTCAACTCTTTTGGTTTCAATCCCGGATGGTTCAAAGGCATTGCACCCGTCATTGATCCTGCTCGTGCTTGGTGGGGTCATGGGGATGGGGAAGTGCCTGATGCTGCTCCCATTGGCAATATCCGTGAACTCTTCCATCAGCATCGTGATCAGCTTCAATGTCCCAACTGTGGAGGCTCAGCTTTTCATAGCATTGGCGGTCAGCATCGTTTCCGTCTCCGCTGCGCCAGGTACCCTGAGTGCCGTACGACTTTTGGACAGAACCAAGTCCGTGACATGCTTGCATGCTTGCGGAAGTCCTTTAGTACTGTTGAATGTCGTTGATAACTTTACACCAAAACCCTTTTCTGAATGTGCGCTTTTCCAATGTACTCTAAATCAATAAATGCAATACTACTTTCCACCATTTTTAAATGTTCCATGACAGAGACAATTTGGCTGAGTTTAATAAGTGCGCTGGGAAATCTCTAACCCCACCCCTCTCACTCTGCGTACCCTGGAAGCAGGCCCAGGTCACGTGCCCTCACCTGCATGGACAAACTGTAGAACACTGCTTTAGCTGGAAAATGTTCAACAGTTTTGGGAAATAACATACCGCAAGGGTCCTACAAACAGTCTACAATGCACAGCGAAATTCACAAAATGTTTACTGGAGAACACGGCCAAACCCCTTTGCCTGCACATACGTACACGTGTCTTTTGTTAGGAGGTCTTGGGGGTCACGACTTGAGAATTGAAAAGGGGCCCTTTTCTTCAGCCAAAAGCGAGGTTAAACAAGATTTGCTACCACATCAGCTATGCAAACCATAGGCTACAATCAACTTTCATTAAGTGCCCAACACTGGATATTCAGCCAGATGTTGAGATATCACCACATTTTCCAATTTTTTACCCCCCGTCGCGTGAAAATTTCGTTTTTCTAAGTTTCTGAAGCCGTTTCCGCACGGATTGCCAATCCGAGAGTACTTCAATTAGAGAATATGATATGGGGCCAACTTTTAATTAGGACGCCAACTCCGGATCGGCACTAAAAAAATCCCAATTTGCACAAGTCCTATAAGGTATATATAACGTATATGTCCCCTTTATATCAACCCCCCCCCCCTATTGACACCCCTGCCCCCCCCCCCCGTACCTGCACCACCACCCATATGACCCATCACTTGCCCTTGCACACCTAGTCCCCCCCGGCTTGCCTAGGTGCGCACCACCCCCGGCACCCTACCCCTTGGAACCTCGAATCTGAACTGTAGAACACTGCCCAAAGCCAAAAAACTCGAAAATTTCTAAGTCCCTAGGGTTCCAGGCAACCCAATAATAAAACCCAACCCAGGGGGTCTTGTAACCCTAACCCCTAACCCTAACCCTAACCCCTAACCCTAACCCTAACCCTAACCCTAACCCTAACCCTAACCCTAACCCTAACCCTAACCCTCTTGATCATTGCCACCCGACAGTTGCAAGGTACAGGAAGGATCAGCGCAACAGGAGGCAACGGTGGGAATGCATCCTATACGGGAGGGACTCCAGGTGCTACAGGTGGCAGAGGAGGGGGCGGAGGAGGATGTATCGTTTGTATTTATCAGGTTCCTCTGCCAAATAGTCTCATCCTGGACGCTTCAGGTGGCGCTGGCGGAACTCCCCTTAGTACAGGTTTGGCTGGGAACCCTGGGACTACGGGTAACGGGACGGAGGCCGAGAATTCTCGGCTTTCCGACACAATCGCATAAGTTACAACCACTTCATTGCGTAACATGCTCTTTCGTTGCTTTTGCATCTCGCTATCGGGAGAGATGCCAAGACACGTTGATGACAATTTTCCGCTCTCCAAATCCCATTCCTCGATCGCGTTGCTCGCCGTGAAGTGGCTGGTTTCATAGAACGTTGAAATATCCTCCCGTGCAGCGATAGGTACGGACTAGTGTTGGCGTGGGGAATCTGAGTCTCTGCGGGTGCGGATCGGCCTTCCATTTTCAGGGCTACGTAACAGTATGTCCATTTTGGCTGGTAAGAAAAGAAGCTTAGTAAGCACAACCTCGAACGGAATCCAGTGGTGCGGCGGCGTGTCGGCCCCGTCCGAGCTCACGGACGCGTCCTTCTGAACTGGTCAATGGACGCAACAACACTCGATGCACATCGCCCATCTGCTTGCGTCGCTCGCTACCCCCGGACCCACGCAGATTAGCACACCGACTCAAAGAAGCAACATGGCAAAGCCCGTCAAACTCAAAGCCATAAATACCTACGTGCGGGAGAATCCAGGTTGATCTTACAACGACACCGGGAAAGACGATGACGAGGAATGCGCAGCGGGCATTGATGAAGCGGATTGTGAAAGCCAAGGCGGTGAGTTCACCACTCAAGTTGCTCTGTAGAAGCTGCCAAGTTCGCGGTGCGCGCAGGTTTGGAACTTGCGGGGGAGGACGCGTTCAGCAAGTAAAGTTGGAAGGTGGCCTCTCCTGGCAGGATCGGTGGAGGCTTAAGTGCACCAGCGGTACCTGTCCAGGCAAGAGTGAGGACATTAGCCCGAAACAGGTGTCTCATATCTGTCCGTTCCCCACGATGGATATGGTGTCCTTCCGGAGGGTGAACCGCTTGGCAGAACGGCCGCAGGGAGGGGAGGACGCGTTCAGCAAGTAAAGTTGGAAGGTGACCTCTCCTGGTAGGATCGGTGGAGGCTTAAGTGCACCAGCGGTACCTGTCCAGACAGAGCGAGGACATTAGCCCGAAACAGGTGTCTCGTATCTGTCTCTTAGCCTGTCCCTATGGGCCTTTTCTTTCTGACAATCTTATGCGCTATCTGTCCTTCAAGACCAACATCTAACTTTCAACTTTCTTATCTTCCCTTCTTTGCAAGAGCGAGGCCACGTTCATTCAGGAACAGAAGAAGGAAAAGGAGAGCATGGAAAAGGTCAGCGGTCCCTCGATTCAAGTGCAGGAATTTTGTCCTTTTGTATACTGATACCCCTCCGCATCCATCTCTGTTCCTCTTCCACACCTCCCTGATCTCATTCATATGAATCGCGTTTACGATGTCTATCCTCCTCTAAAACCCCACATTCCATCTCGGCTGTCATCGATGGGAAACACCTATCCTACACATACCTATGTCTGTAACGATGCATCTTTCGATTGACAACATTATCCGCAAAATCCTCTATTATTTCGATTATTCGTTCTTCGGTCCATTTGTTTTTCATTGCGCCCGCTTTGGTCGGACGTGTGCTTTCCTACAGATGACCGAGAGCTTGGTGGGCACGCATAAATCCGCATGGATATCTCAAGATACCGCCTGGCAGGCCCAGGACTCCTTGGTCAAATGCCATCAAGATCTGATCAATATGGTGAATGGCCGAAAGCGGCAAGGCGGCGAAATTTCGCCGGGTCGGGCGAAGCGATGTCGGACGGCTGAGGAAGGTGGTGGCGGCCAAGAGGTGCTTTCGGAGCCAGTGATGGAGACGAATTCGGAAAGCGAGAGCGAAAGCGATGGCGATGAGGATGAGATGACGGCGGATGAAGTATGCGAGAGCAAGATGGACGAGACGGCGACGCCGGGGGAGACGGTGATTCAGGAGGCGCCGGTGATGGAGGAGGTAACGGTGAACGAGAAGGGGGCTGCGGACGATGTGGCGGCGGGGAATCGGGGGGAGGTGAACGAGGCGGCGATGGAAGGAGAGTTGGAAAAGACGCTGGCGTCCGAGGATCCTGGCCTGAGCGACCCCGCAGATGGTCTCGATGAGGAAGAGGAAGAGGAAACCGCGGAGATCGAAGACAGTGGAAAGCAGGCATGGGAACCATGTGTTGTGTTCCCGGGACAACTTCACATCCTGATCTTCTTCCGTCGCAGGTGGTGACCCTCTCCGTTGCCACGATTCGTGAGCGTTTCGCGACGATCAAAGAATATCAATCGAAGCATGACGTAAGTGCCAATGTCTGCTTCTAGGTGTCCAGAATACTTACTACTTTCACAGTTCAAATTTGGCGGCGCAAACATCTCCCGATGGGTGAGAGAGGCACAACATCACCTGTACAAGAAATGCGTCAGGGGGGAGGATATTCCTGGATACAAAATGGAAACCATCAGCGACATATTGTAAATAGTTCGCATACGGTCACTTCTGCGATGGTGAAAGAGACTTACCTCGTTTCCCGTTTAGGTTGTTGAACAACATCCTTTTGGTCAGCAGCACATACCTCCCATCCTTCATATCCACATGCGATCGGCCGAACATTCGGCGTACCTGGGAACAGATGAGGCTTGAGACGTGCAAGCGACGCATGGATGCCTCGCTCAAAGGTGCGGTTGCCGATGTGGTTGAGCCATTCTGCAAGGTAGGACCGAGATCGGGTTTCGCGGCAGGGTGTATCGGGGCGAAAGACGAGCAGTTTTGCCCATCTCATTTGATCACCGACCTTATCAGGAACTACGATCAAACCACCCTTTCGAAGCCACGTGGAAGAAGCACCTGGCGAACGCACTTCTCCGAAGTGATGACGGGGCAGGATGCCTGGGGGATTCCCCGTGGAAAGTTTTGATGGTCATTTCGTCTTTGTACGTGATGTCGGCCAATTACGCATCAACCTGAGACTGACAATCACTCCGCGCATTCCCCCAGTGTCGACGCGCTGAATAAGGAAAAGAGATTGAGAACCTTCAATGGGGCAACGTTTGATGAGGACACTAACGTCCATGCCATACTGCATACCTTGATGGAGAGGTTTTTCAACGACGACCAGATGGTGACCGTTTGGTATGATCCTTGCTTCTTCCTGCCACATTTGCAGCTTTCCTTTCTCCCCGTACTGAAGTATGACCAGGGCGAACGGGGAGAGCCGCAGCTCTCGACTCCATAGGCAGGCGTACCGCCCAGATGCATGTGGGAAGAAGCCAGACGGTCGCGTTCTCTCCGAGCGCTTTGAAGAGTTGTTCCTGAAAACGAAGTCCGGCAAATTTGCGGACTCTTCCGCGGCTGCCATGTACGATCTGTTCAAAGTGGCGCTCTTCTTGCAAGGCTCGGTGAACGAGAAGACGAAGACAGGGGTCAATGACGCATTCTGCTTCGGAATTCAACTGCTCCGTGCGTACCACAGCCTATTCCAATATGCCGAATGCATTGTCCTAATCGACTTTGAAAAATGCAGGAGAGTCCATCGAAATCTACGAGATGACTCTCGAGTATGACGGCATCTACACGATGTACCATAGCGCATCCTGCAAGTTTCCACGGAGACTAGAGGATATGGACCTGCTGCTTCGACTGGTCGGCGCTATGCTCCACATTAGAGTGCGTGCGGTAACTTTTGTCTCCTTTCCGACGGTTTCTGACAGGAACATTTTTTTCCTGAAACACATCTGATGCCACTAGGAGCGAATTGACATAAGCCTCCGAGCGGAGGCGGGTTACGATTCCGACGACTTCGAACTACACTTGTCTTCGGCCCCGAGCTCGCAGGAGACTGATGAGCCTTCCAACGACTTCCAGCGAGCCCCCGTCCCGACACCATACAAACGAGGAGCCAGCATCCCAAAGTTCGCCGTCATTCTTGAGTGAGATGGAGCGGCTTTCGATGAAAAGCACTGGGGTCGCGTGCGTGGTGCGTGTGCGTTGTATCCGTGGGTGCGTGGGTGCGTGTGTACGTGATGTGTGGGCTGTTGAAGGCTTGCCTCGTGTGATGTGCGTGTGTGTGTGGTTCCTGGGCTGTTCAGAGGCTTGCCTTCTGTGTGATGTGCGTGTGTGTGTGGTTCCTGGGCTGTTCAGAGGCTTGCCTTCTGTGTGATGTGCGTGTGTGAGTGAGGTGCTGTGCGTTGCGATGTAACGATTCAAACACCTTCCAAAAGTATGCCAGGTAGCGTGGATCTCGATCTCCGACGATCACAGCTGCAGTACCTGTATGGCGCCATACCTCACGGAAGTAAAGCTGGGCCAACTCCTCGGCAGTTATCGTGGATGCCGCAGGTATAAAGTATGCGCGCCCTGACAGATAGTCGATGAAGACAATAATACTGTCGTAAAACGCATCACTATGCACCTTCCCCCCCTCACGACCGTGTTATTGGCATCGAGACAGGATCCATACCCATCGTGTGCCAATGTCGGTCGGGAACTGGGAGCGAACGAAGTAAGCCAACGCGCTTATTGTTCGGCGACTTCAACCTTTGGCAAGACCCACAAGTCTTGGTGTACCTTCTCACGTCTGCGTCCATATTGGGCCAGTAAAACTCACGTAGGAGCTTGCCCAATGTACCTTGAACCCCCGTATGCGAGCCAGAAAGCAACGAGTCGTGGTACGCCTGCAATACAGCCCTCGTAAAGCAGCTGGCACGTAGAACTTATCGTGGTACAGTAAACGACCATGCTCATCGATCGAGAAACGTCCATCGAATGTAGACTGTCGTTCCTTTGGCTGCGACAACGCCTCTTTCTGCAAAGCGAAGTACTCATCAGCCTCCAAGGTTCGTATCCAATCCTCAAGCGTAACATTCCCTAAAGGAATATACTCAACGGACATCCCCATGGCCGCCGACAACTACAGTCAAGGCGATCCATGTTTCATGGTCTGCGTAGGTAAACTTAGGAGTAAGTGGGGTTGGTGGTACTGGTTTTGTAAACATGTTTTGGGTGGATTTGCGTGAGTTCCCGAGTGTCCGTGTTTGGAAAACAGTCGGATGATGGGTGAGGTGCGATCGAACGCGTGAGTGAGCTGTGGAGTGCGATGAATGGATCTTTACCACTGTCGTCGTCGAGAACCCGTACGAAAACGATAGATATTTGACGACGACAAAGACGGAAGAAGACGGGAGAAGACGGGAAGAAAAGATGGATCCATCATCGGAGGATCTTCGGAGGGGCAGGAAATTTAAAGTTTCTCGGTGTTCCGCAGTGTTCCGCCCACAGGTGTTCCATTCCTGGGTGTATCCATTCCTGTGTATCCAGGTCAGGTGTATCCATTCCTGTCCGATACGCGGAACCTATTGCGGTTCCGATTCGGTCTATTTATAAATCGAGTAGGATGATCTATAATAGATCGATCTCCGCCCGAAACTGGCTTGCAATTTTCCTTGCTTTTCGCGAGAAGTACTAGGCAACGACCCGAGTCTTACAGCAACCAGACTTGTAGCTCATTCAACGAACAAACACTCGTCACAGCAACAACAGCCTTTCGAGAATAGCCTTGCACCATGCCAACCAGCCTTCGCATTTTCGACGCAAGCAACAACTTCCTCGCCTCCTTTCCATTCGTCGTATTACCTGCAGCGGATGTTTTGACCTTGGCAATGCAGATAGCCTTCCCCGTGCTGGAAACAACACCATTCGCCATTTCCTATCGCAACACAGACAATGCTTGGGCCCTTTATTCACCAGACACCCTGCCTCCCAGATGCAGGAAATTGACAATCCATGTTCCAGGCAATCCGTCGTCGGCGATTGCTGGCTGTGTTCTACAACCACCAGACGTCGCTCAAATGCGTTCAAGGGGTTCAACCCGCCGTAAAGCGAGTAAGCACGGATCAGATGATTCTCCTGTGGGTACCTCCGCGAAGCCTGTATCAGCCGACCAGGGTACCGAGGAACTGCTTAGGAAAGTGTCGAAGGACGAAAAGAAAGGCCTTCAAGCTGCGATGAGAGCTCACTGCACCCGTCGTGACCAATGCTGCGTATTGACTGGCGAATGTGATGACGCGATTCTCAAATGCTGTCACGTCCTGACCCCGGAGTATGGCGCAAAATGGGTATGTGTGCTTGCAGGTTGAGTAAGAGCGTGAGTCGCTCATGCAGACATATCTTCCAACACAGTTCGAGGAGGATCCTGATCGACGAGACTTCTTATGCGGCTTCCCCGTCGTCTCCAACCGTTATCTTCCGTCTTTCGACACCAAGAACGGTCTAACAATGACTTCGTCGCTGCACGACAGTTTCCATGCCTTCCGGTTCTCCATTTGGTCCAAAGATGACAAGGTTTGAACGGACATTATTTCGTTGCGCATCACCGTCTTAACAATGCGGTTTTTGCAAACAGTTTGTTGTGCATTTGTTCCGTCCCGTAACTGGATTGCATCACGGTCAAGAAGTCATGACACCCCGCATCCTCCCTCACAGTCCCACTCCAACATATTTCCGAAATCTCTTTCCGGAGCCTGAGCTTTTCCGGGCCCATTTTGCTCAGGCGGTCTTGAATAACATGCGCGGTGCCGCCGGAGAAGGAGATGTTCCACTCTCCGATACCGATACTGACGAGGAGGAGGTGTTTGATACCGACGAGGACCTTGAATTGCATCCGTGGGATAGTGAAGCAGAGCTAACTCGGAAAATCATTCGTCGCGACGAACTAAGGCGGTCCTGCGATACGTTGTACGAGGTGGAGGGTTAGGGTTACGTTTGGAGACCGTCGGATGTTCGGGTTGAAATCCCCTGGTGGCCTTTTGGCCACCTAAAATGGCTAGGGAAAGATCGCCACCTTCACGAGGTGCGGCTGTTCTCACTAAGAGCGATCATGTTTGTGTCCTTGCACTCGGCAGATATTTTGCCAGTTCTGAGCTGAATCCCAGCTCTCCGATTACATTACTCGACTCCAAGTCTGCATGGCCGGAGAAGGAACAAACGAGTCAAGCAGCTCTCCCCGGCGTAGAGACCAATAGTAATGCTTAGACATGAGGGACTTGGACAGAAAGTCGAGATCGGTAACGAGAAGGGAAAATTCGTTTGCGGCTTTGTTTGCGATCAAGAGAAAGGCGGTGTCAGCGGAATCGACAGCTATGCAAGCAAACCCGAGCCTTTCCAGCCAATGCCGTACCAATTTGCAAATGATGGTGTTATCATCTGCTACTATGGAATACTTCAAAGCACGACTCGCGGCGCTCTTGCACCTTATCCCTTGTGGTGTCTCAGTCCCGCTGTTCTCCTCAGATTAACTCCTCGCCAATACTTCGCGAGACCACGGGGCATGTTGCTGCTTCGTACTAGTTTCTTTGTCATGTTGCGTGGTTGGATCAGCAATTCCTTCGGCGATCAATTCTACGACAAGGCCATGGGTTGCCTTGTCGTGCTCAGAAAGACGTGCCAAAAAAATGATGAAGCCGAGGCCTTCAATACCTGGTTGCGAGGACTTTAAGGGCCATTTGACTGAAGGAATGCTTGTGTCGCATGCGCCATTTTGGCGGCGGGTGGTGCAGAGCGGGATTACGCTTATTACCAAGGAGGAGTCGGTGGATGTTGACGTTAGTGATGAGGAGGCGGAGGTATGTTTTCATGGCGAAGTTGAGACCTTTACAAGAATGCATGCTCCAATCCATCTGCTGCACAATTCAACGGCCGTCAGTTTGTTATCTACGGTGATCCTGCGTATCCGTTGAGGCCCTGGCTACAAGTGGGTTTCAAAGGGGCCCAATTAACTCTGCGACAGCAGGAATTCAACACACGGATGAGCGCTGTCCGAACATGTGTGGAGTGGGGATTCGGAAAAATCATTCAACTGTGGGCCTTCGTCGACTTTGCAAAAAACCAGAACATCTGGCTCCAGCCAGTGGGACGGTTCTATCTTCTTGCCACTTTGTTTACAAATATTCATACATGTATACATGGGAGCCTTACCACCTCCACCTTTAACGTAGAGCCCCCAACCGTACAAATGTATTTACAGTCTACTTGAATTTATCTGCTAAAGTCATCATGAGCCGCATCGTAGCGGCATGTTCTGCCCTCCGGTCTGCCATTTCCGCCCTGCAATCTGCCATTTCCGCCTCCAGCAGATTGCGAGGCTTGCTCTCGGGGAGGTGGGCGACAACCTCCTTCAAAAGGGCAACGTCATGGGCTGGATGCAGGTGAGGTCCTTTCCTTCTCTTTGAGCGGTGTGGGGTCAGCAGGTGGAGCGGGAGGTGCAGAAGTGGCCTCCATGGCGTGGGGTGTGGCCATGATCATCTTCGAGATGGTAAGAAGGTCAACGAATAGCACAACAGCAAGCAGCCGGCTGGAAGCAACGAAAACGTTTTCATAAAGCCACACCCAATCCGTCGCCCGAATCCGTACAAACCGATAGCACAACCTCTCTAGTATGTGCGCACTGAGTCCGGATTTCTGTGGACCTTGAAATCAGGTTCGCAAACGTTCCAGCCGCCATCACATCATCAGTACAGTATGTAGTAGGTGTTTCTAAGCCCCAATTACAGTCCCACCCCTGTCCATCCGCTCGCCCCTCTCATCCAGTCTGCCTTCAAAAGACACAGCCGGAAAACACTCCTAACCCCGTCCAGAATCCCCCGTCGAAATCCCAAACATGATTCGGTCCTCCATAAGCTCAGCGCTATTCCTAACAACCCTGGGTATCTTGAACCTCTGGGACCCAACCATCTACATTTCAATGTACGATATCTACCTGGAACGAGGAAATATCCCCGGCAAATCCGAAATCCGAGCCGCACTCGGCGGCCTCCTTATCGGTCTCGGATTCGCACTGTATAGGGTGCAGACGTGGGATCGGGTTCGCGACGGGGTGGTGTATACTGTGATGTGTGTCGCGCTCGGGTCGGCGATGGGAAGGCTTTTGAATGTGGTCGTTGAGGGGGAGGTCGGCGGCTGGGTGAATGTTTTGGCGACGGTGTTTGAAGTTTACACTGCACGGGGGTTGTATCTGGAGTTTATAGGGCCCGGATGAAAACAGAAATAACCTCAAGCACCGATTCCCCAATCGTTCGTAGACTATTCCTCAAATGTTCCCACATCCCACCGGTCGTAAATGACTTCTGTCACCCTTCACATCAGATGAGCCTGACGAAACGTTTGATCAGCATTGAACTCCACCTGTAACTCTGATTGATATCAGAACAAGGGTGGCGGATGCGGGCTTTGAAAGTCAATAGTAGCAGAAGCAATGAGCAGTTTGGCACCGGTCAATGTTAAGAGAATAACAATCGATCTCATCTCATGCATCAGGACTTTGGTGATGTCTATGCTGGCGCTTTAATCCTCCATAATGCCTCGCACTCCGGCGTGTTTGGTTCAGCGTTTCGGGACTCCCCCGCTCATCGCATTCCAGATGGTCCATCTGTACTTGTCGAATGAAGCCGACTGATTTGAGAAAGATGGGAGTAATACACATCACGGAGCTTCACTGTTGACAAGCACCACCTATTTTTTCTCAACCACTGACGCAACAGCTGCCACCCCTGTTAGGATCATTTCCTGCGAGGTCAATCATTCTGATCCTCCATGAGCAACTCTCAAGCGATCTTTTCCGAAATTCATTGTTAGATGCCGTCCGATTTTATTGGGGTATTATTGCACTCGGCGGAGACCCTTCGTGTGTTCGCCTTCCGCTCAGAGTGCTATCCACGCACAATAATACACTCAACTCGTTGCTGACAAGGACTTGCTGAAACTTTTTGCAACTAATGTTTTACTTTGGTATTCCTGACTCCTCCGCCCCAACTGCCTAACTCCTACGCCAACTACCAATTGATGTTGAAGCTGAAATGCACTTGCAGCTTCTAATCCATATTCCTGATTTACTCGCAGCTTCTAATCTAAATATGGCTTCTACATGCGGAATTACGCTGCCTACATGCGGACAATACACTGAGCATAACCATAAAATAACGCCTTTGTTCACCTCACAGCCGTGAGAGCATCTGGTTCACGGCGTTGATTTCCAGCGTGGCGCTCGCAGTATTCGCCGGGGATGCCATTCCAAGATCGATCAGAACAATCCGTCGATTATCTTCCTCGGCCACGATAACATTTCGCGGGGCAACATCGCCATGTACCCATCCGGTGGCGTGGAGGGTTTGAAATGCGTGCAGGATTTGAGAGCCGAGGTGGCGGTCGGCGGAGGTGAGAGTGTGGCCTTTTATGTATTCCGTACCGAGATACAGAAACGTCCCACCCTCGATCGATCCATATGCCCGTAACAGGGGAATAAGGCTTCCTAATAAAGGACAAGGGAATTAAAAGACGTCGACAGCGGAGAAGTCAAAAGCCAGTACGCCTGAAAGCCCAAAGATTACCTTGTAAATCCGCAAGTTGAGTGTACACGTCCAATTCGGTTTCCATCTGGCTCACGACGTCCGATTCAACCTTTTCGTAATCAATATGCTTCAGGGCTACTTCCAGGCTGTGAGAGGTGCCGGGGAACAAAACGGTTTCCATCACGGTCGAGTGCTCGGTGTAATGCACTCGTAAAGGCGGAAGCCAGTCCAGTTTCGTAAAGGCAATTGTGTCGCCCGAACGTAGAATTGCGATCGCTGATTTTCTAAGATCTGGCTTGGTGGGCAGAGTGGGTCGCGAATAAGGCCTTCGTGACCCGCTCTTCCCACCAAGCCGGATCTGAGAAAACCCTAAGGCTCTTGCCCCTCTTCGGCCTCGGCCTGGTCTCGGTCCCGCACTCCAACGCAACGACCCGCCCCTAACCTGCCCAAGTGTCGCCCGGACTGGTGCTGCCGGAAATGAGGCCGGGCTCTCGCTAGGAGAAGGACAAGTGGATTCCTTCAGAGCGAGACTGATTATATAATTAAGACATTGGATCACCGTAGGCCCTGTGCCGTACGTGCCGAAAGGCCCGGCGACGGAAACAGAGGTGATGTCGTTCTCAGGTCGCTGCAGGAACCACCAGGACATTTGGTTACTGATTATGGAGTATTTCAACCGATTCGCGCAAGCGTAACCATTTGCTTGGATTATCACTTTGGCGGAGATGTTGTTCTGAACCACTTCGTCCCACGTCTTTCTTTCGACACCGGAAAGTTCGCTGTACCGATGATCAGAGAGGCTGCCGAGTGCGGAAAATGCCGCTGCACTGTCCGCAACGATATCAGTACCTTGCGGGAGTACGGAACCCGGTTTCACTTCAATAGGGATGAGCGGCGTGACTCCATCGTGGATAACTCTATCCGGTTGGCCGATCAACCCACGGAGCACCCAGTTCGTTCCGACACTTCGATCGCCATACCACTGTACATGTTTTCTAGAACCATGAATTGCTCACAGTCTAGGAGGCTCTCGATGGTGCTCTCGAGGCCCACAACTCTCCGTATATCGGAATAGGGCGGGTTGTACCGAGTGCGGTGAACGGGCGCTACGGCTGGGACAAAGCAAGCTGCAGCGGCAGCTCCGAATTCGTTCCATTTGGAGACACGGGAAGGCCGTCGCCCACTGGCAGCCTTAGTCGAGCTTCTCGTTGTGGCTCTGCTGATGCTGGATAAATAACGAATTTCTAGCATCTCCCGCCCGCTGACAGTTCCTGGAGGTAAAGGAGATGTGAGCCTGTCCAGCGGTCCTAAATGAAAACAATAGTCGCCACCGGGCTTACCTCTGTTGGTCAGATCTACCACAAACACAGGGTAATACAGGTTGACAACTTTTCGTCCGACACGATCGATGGCTTCTTCCAACGTTACGCCCTTAGAAGGCACATTATGCGGGCCGATAAGCCACTCGGGGCCTGCTTCCTCGTGCGCGTAGGAAATCGTCAAGGGCAGCTGGTTCGCCAGGCGGCCTAGGTACACAAAGGGCAGCGCTGGGCCTGCATGGGTGAGTACCCATGCCCTCAACTCCAAGGTGCTTACGTCGGCAGGGTTATTCTTGAACCAGAAGGTTAAGGCGACAACGGGTGTTCCTGGTGCATCCTGCTTAACAGTGGTGATACGGCAGTTCTTCGGAAGGTGGTCCAATAAACGTTGCAGGACCTCGACGGTCGTGTCAACCAAGACGTAAACGGTCACGCGGGCTATCCGCTCGCTGGTGGCAGGCTCCATTGCTAGCGAGCGGTGTTCGTGAACAATGCTGTCTAAAAGTTTGACAGCGTCGGCGATTTTGAGACTCTGCGGCGGGGAGGTCAGCGGGAACAAGGCTAACTAAGAGTATCGCTTCCCATTCACTTTGGAAGCCGGTAGGAATGGTCGTCCTTTGAAGACCTGTGAATATGTATATACAGCGGCGTTGTGAATGGGAAGCTATTTATAGGTAGGAAGAGGAAGCTTAAAAGCTCCTGTTTCGCACCGGCCCCCTGGCCCCACAAACTCGCCAACGCGCGCGTTGTCACTAGATCTCAGAATCGGAGAAGGATGGCCGACGGTTTCGGACCGGGATCATCACGCAACGGAAAACAACATCACTTAGGTCAGATTGCTGCCACTTTCAACTCTTCCCATCGCTCGCCCACCGGCATTTACAAGGACGGCTTGCTGCGGTGGAGGCAGCTTCCCACAGTCTTTGCGTCGAAAGAAAAACTCCCGCAATATGCGCACGAAACCGAAAAAGCTGCGGGACGTTGCCCGCGAAATCACATGCTTGAAGCGTTACACCAACGTAACCCCGAGCTGCCCTCCGAAGCCCCTGCCACCGTCGACTTATAAAAAGGAGGAGAGGGCTTGCGTCCGTCCCCACGCTCCTTTGGGTCTTCGCCATCGCCACCGCCTACTGACGCCGCCTAGCGGTGCCTATCTGAGCTGCCACCTTATCTACAATTCAGGAGTGTTTTACTCTCGGCTGGGACTCTCGGCTGTTGGGCGGGAGGTCTAAACTTGAGTCTGTTCGACTGATGTGGGTATGCTCGGATCGGATGCTATGGAATGAGGATGTTTGATGCAGGCGAACGGGTGGTCCTCAGGCGGAAACCCCCTTTTTATACGTTTTGTGGACGAAGGGACCGGCGTCCGCCAAACCTTCAAATCCTCCTTCTGGCAGCTTCCAGATGAAACACCATTGAGCCTCCTCCGTTCAGAACCCCGTTGGCTCGTGCATCCTGCCCGAAATGAAAATATCTCTGCCAGCGACTCCCAACCCGTTCTTCATCTCTCCCCGAAAAAAAGTGAGGAGCCTCTATCGGACTTTCCGCTCAGATCTTAGAACCACATTGCAGCGTATATGGTTTTCTCTGATGCGAGGGCATCGAGGTATGTATTATGGTTAATAGTGCAAATGAGATTTCCATGAGTACGAGTTACGCAGGTACCTTGCCCACATTCTTGTGCCTTTGTCCATGCGTTGCGATTCCCGTCGGGAGGCTCTCTATCAGGCTCCACCATCACATCGTATCGCAAGAGAAGGAGAAGGAAGAGAAGGGGGCAAGCTTGTGTGATAAGGCATCAGTGCGTACGTCGTTGTGAAGTCGAATGTGGAAGGTGAGCGGTGTGCCAAGGCCAATGGCCTTCTGCCGTACGGCGTTGACGGCGTTGTCGTCGCATGGCGTTTTCCCCTCTCGTCCTCAATGGTCAGCCATTTCAATCAACGGATAGACAGACGGCGGGTCAGAATCGGATACATAGGCGATACTTGTGACTGTGAGGCCGGTATGAAGTGCAAATGATGTTGTACAAGAGATGGTAAGGACCGTCGGATTCCGGAAGGCGGCGTGCGGAGCCAACTGATCCCATAAGCTATCGCTTCTTCAGGCGAAAACAAGGGCACAGCTGAAATGGAATGACCCTCCTTCCTTCTTCTGAAGCCCAAAGATATAGAAAGCGAACCCAGATTGTGGTCTCGCATGCATGGGTATCCTTTTAACTTAAGGCTTCCTTTCGCGAACGAGGTGATGTGAGCGTGATGACTGAGCGGGGTTGCTTGACGGATGAGCAAAGCGATTGATGTCCTGGATGATGGGCAATACATATGACCGAGTATGGGGATAAGGAGGTGAGAAATGATGGGCCTTGGGAAGGGAAGTGGTGGGTGTGAGTTGCCATGGCTCGCGACGAGGGAAGACAGCGAGTGTGAGAAGTCAGGGGTGCGTACCGCCGGTAAGGAAGGCGTTCCGCACCCCCACACCCTGGCACTCGGGTCAGTCAATGTTCCAGACGTGTTCCGCTTCCTGTCAACGGAATGACGGGCGGGACCCCGATTCACACTGACCGCAAGTTTTAAACCAGGGTCCCAATGCCCCGAGCTACGCACGAGACCGTATTGACCCCATGACCTACAGTGGGGCCAAAAGAGCAGTTACGAGTGACCAAAAAGCCACTGACCCCCGGCTGTCAGCTCAGCTATCGCGACGCAGTCGCCTATCCACGCCGGGAGGAAGGAGGGGGCCAACGATCCTCAGCTCTGAATGAGCTGTTCTTGGGCGCGCGTAACTGCTCTTTTGGCCACCCACTGTATGGCCTTCCCGGACTGCACCTGACGGCACCGAACCCAGGTACCTGCGTTCGATCGGCGGCGCCATTCGCCGGGCAAACTTTCCCTGAAAAGAGATGTTGGTAGGGCACCGCTGTCGTTCTGGAAAAAATGTCAACATAATTCGCCGAGGCCCAAAGTCGTGTTCCGCAGAACCGATCATGCCAGCGGATGCCCAGAGCCAATGACAGAGAATTCAGCAGCACGCAACCAATGAAGCAGTGGCTCTTTGAACTCTGGTGCCAACTCTACAGTAGGTGGAGTACGACGGGTTCTGCGCCCTGTTGGTGAAACCCAAAAGTCAACGACCAGCTGCCGTCAATTTCCGTACTTATTCAGGTGTGCAGGCAAGCCGGCGACATCTGCTGGTGGCTATGATCGGAATGATGTGTCCTTGGGGCGTTGTACCCAGACTTTTGGCCACCTAGTGCAAGGGGCCGAACGTTCGTGCGTCGTGGAGGACCGCCCCTACCGGAAACTGATCAAGTCGAAAGCACGCGGCGCTGGGTTGTCCGGGTCGTGGTGCTGAATACCTTTGTGCGGAATCATCGAATACTGTATGATTACTCGGGAAACATTCATCATCGGAATATTACCACTTTTATAAAAGGCTGGAGTCCTCCCGAGGAGTGCTTCCCTCACAAAACCCCGAAACACTCCCATTCGACACAACCCAAGAGCTCTCCTCCACATCACCAACGCACGGACCCACCATGAAACTTTCCACCATCCTCGCCACCTCCCTCACTCTCCTCCTCTCAACCCCAGCCGTCCTCTCAATCCCCACCGTTCTCCCCACTCCAACCCTGCACCTCATCGGCGACTCCACCTGCGCCGGCAGCTCGGGCGTCCTCAAAGGCTGGGGCCAATATCTCTCTGCCTATTTCTCTCCCGATAAACTCACGATTAACAACGCATGCAAAGGCGGGCGCTCATCCCGCACCTACATAACTGAAGGTCATCTTGCTGCTGTCGTGGACGCTATTAGGCCGGGCGAGGTGGTGCTTTTCGCGTTTGGGCATAATGACCAGTCTCCGCTGACGGATGCGAGCAGGTCGAGGGGTGTGATTCGGGGTTTTGGCGCGCAGTTCGAAGACACTATCAACGGCGTAACGCATAAACCGGAGCGGGTGTACACCTACGGGCATTACTTGACCAAAATCATCGCGGCGGTCAAATCCAAAGGCGGGATTCCAGTCCCGATGTCGCAGACCTTACGAAAGAAATTTAACAACGGCAAGATCTTGCGTGGGGATAACTGGAGCAGTTGGGCTTCGACCGTTGCCAAAAAACAAAACACGGCATACCTCGACCCAAGGCAGATTGCGGCGGATGCGCTTGATCGGATGGGCGAAGCAAAAGCAGCGGCGCTGTATCCGCTAGATTCGACGCATATGGGGGAGGTGGGGGCCGTTTTACATGCTGAAGCGGTTGTGAAGGCGATCAAGTGTGTCGGGTTGAAGCCCTTGGTGAACGCGTTGTCGGTGAAGGGGAGAGCGGTGCCTAGAGCTGTGAGCTGCTATGCTTCTCGCCTTTGAAGTTTAGATTGTGAATTTATCCATCGCAGGCTAGCTAGACCCCCGGCGAAGACTTGTTTCTGTTACCGCCTTGCGTGCACTCTCCTCTTTTATCTTTGTATCTAGATTTCTCGCTTCAGTGATAGATGAACTACATGGAAGCTCCAGAAGTATATCCGCTTCCATGGTTTACATTAATATAATCGTACTCTTCCCTTGCGACATAATGCGTAGCTCAAATACTGACGAGCTGTATGCACGACCACACCATCAGAGAAGTCGGTCGGGCATGTGGCATTGATCAGGAGCTTTTGGAGAGCAGACGGATGTGTTTGTGCACCATGCTGTCAATAACGCGCTCTCCTCCGTTCTTCCCTCTTCGAAGTTCACCCAACAACACCCCGCCAAATCGTGCGGGATGGGGCTCCCGCATCGGCTAAGACATTTTGGGAGATGCGATGAGAAAACCCGCGATCGGAATGCCGGTGAACGACGCGTAAGCTTTGTCTTGCCGGTGAACGACGCGTAAGCTTCGTCGTACTCGATAACGAAGCAGCGCATATGGGCGTAGTGGGGAGGGGTGTGGCCTCATCGTTGCTCTTCTGACCACCGGACCTAGAATGTGGCGTTTCGGATCATCACCGTGTGAGTGCCCTCGCCCCAAGGGTCCATGGAGGGGCGGCCGCAGGGAGATCTTTCAAACGTGGACCCACCAGGTCACCACGCCGAGTAGTAAACATCACAGTCTCCGTGAAGGCGCCCGAGTTGTGCTGAGATTTCTTTTGATATTGAGATTTCTGGGGACGTTTGAACGGGCGGGTGAGTTTTATAGAGTTTTCAAAGCATGGTGAGCGGTAGGCGATGAATGAGCACTAGGGGATGAATGAGCGCTAACGTGACCGGGAGATCGAGAGGATGAACCTCTTCTTCGGTTGGGTGATTGGCCCGACTCACGTCTTCGGGTAGGAGCTCCAGAGGTTGCACGGTATTGGAGCGGTAGCCGTGTGAGCTGCTGTCCGTGCATCTTTTTGAGCCGCTTGATATCCATTGCATCCTGCTTGCGCCGTCCTCAATACGCTAGCAATGCCCCGGTGATGACTGCAGCATACCTTCAGAGGCTGTAGCGCTTCGTTGGACACCAGACTTTCTCTTGTTTGAAGGACGTGAGTTGTTCGCCGGCGCTGTACGTGTAGGACTCGAAATGCAGTTTCGTTGCTCGCTTGTGCTCCTCCGCCATTTCTCATGACAGCACTAGGTGCTGACCCGCAGATCTTGCTGACCACAATGCGAGGTTTCTGAGAAGACAGCTTTCAAGTATGAACTTGGGCCAGAATCGGTTTCTGATGGGAGTCCAGAAACTTATGGAGAGAAGTCCCAGCGCACAAATTGGGCAAATAGGGCCGTCCCAATGTTTGACGGCATGCTGTCATTTTTTTCGCCGGTCATTTCTTTTCCACTCGGCGTTTCTCAATTGTCAACCTTGGGTTCGCACTGGCAAAGAACAGGTGCACCTTGACCGACCTGGATCAGACAACCTGACAACCTTAATCAATAAACGGTACTCGCACACCACCGAGGATGTCATACGATCGGAACAAACATCCTCCTTCCAACCCGACGTGTCATCATCCAGTTGCTCATAGTGCGGAAGTCGTGCTGATGCTTGCCCGGGGATCAGCAAGAACCTGGTTGAGCAACTATTGTAAACAAGGCGCAAATTTTAGCTTGTTAGCTCTCCGGAGCAAGCCATTGACGATGTACACGGTGACTAGCAAATCTGATGATTTTTCACAAGGTTGCTGCAGAACCTAGAGCATGAAGACATGCCGAGTCTTGTTGACATATTCAACGAAACAACGGACATGCGAGTCAGATATCTCGGCGCCTTCGCAACTTCATCATATGCGATCCTCTTTCTCCTTCTCCTCCGCACCGATCGTGAGAAGCTCCAAAGAGAACTTGGTCGCGCAAACAAGAGGATCTCCGAGGGCGCATGAGCGTGTACGAACGACATGACCGGAGATGCCACACTGTCTTCCGTTCTGCTTCTGCTTCGAAGAAGGAAGAAGGCATTGGGGATGTTAGATGTCACATCGCATCCCCGATGAACGTAGGGCTCACGGAGACTTTGCTGTGGCGTTGATTGTGGGGGTCGACGTCGCGAGAGTTGGGTGAATTTACTCAAAAAGAAAACAACCGGCAAGGGTGTTGACCCGAGATATCCGAGAAAAACAAAAAATCAACGCTCTCGGGCAGGCTTGAACTGCCAACCTCTCGATTGCTAACATGTGTAACAGTCGAACGCGCTAACCAATTGCGCCACGAAAGCTGATTGAAGTGCGGTGTTTTCCATACGCTCAGTTTCCTGCCTCACGCATGGAGCTCAAGCCTGCCCAGGAGCGATTCCCGATTTTGCTCCTCGCGTTCCCAAGGACTTCTGGGAATTGGCATTTTGTTCCCAGTTGACGGTGTGGAAAGATGTCCTTCACACGGACCGCAAAAGGGTCTGAGACTCAGGTCCGCCGGTCAACCAGCGCTCATATAACCCCGTCTGGTCCTCAGTCCGACCGAAGCGGTCTGCCGGGTAAAGTTTGCCCATGTGGAGTCCCCGCATCCCGCTTTCAGTCGAAGAAAGAGAACGCAAACAAGGGACGCTGGTTTTACTCTGTACGTGAGTGAGCGAGTGAGTGCAAGTCTTACGGGCAGCTGCGGTGCATTCCGCTTTCGCGAAGGTCTGGGTTGGGTCAATGTCTGGGGCAAAAGACATGCGCGGGCGGGTATAGCTCGTAGACATGTTCGACGCCGTCCGTCATCACCGTCTGATCTTTGCCATACATTTTTCCAGTGTGCTGCTCGAACCTGCAAATTCTTCGAATGGGACTCACCCGCGACATCCTCCTCAATTTCGTCGCGTCCTTCGGCTTCATTATCCTCTCTACCACCAAACCGTCCTTCAGCGCCTCATACTCTGGGAAGAGCGGGAGGCAGTGCGCGGACCCATGTCGCTTCGCCTCCACGACGCACCACGCCGACACCATGGACGATCGCGGCAGGAGTCACGAGCGTTGGAGCGACATCGTCTCGGAAACTCCCTTGGGAAGGGCAGGCGTCAGGTGCAGCGGCTGGGACGAAACGATACTTTCAAGCTGTCGAGGTCATTCTCACGGTCCATGATGATAATCACATCGCAGTGAAGTTCCCATACAATGAAACGATCGTCGCTGAGGTTCGAAGTATACCCGATGCGAATTGGCACACCGAAGAAAAGATATGGCTCGTCCCTATCGTTCATCACCAGACACTGGCGATGAAAATGAAACAGCTTCACAAAGTGAATGCCGTATCCGAGTTCCGCGACATCCCGGGATTTGTATTGGCAGCGTTCAACACAACGACGCGAGAAACGGTGGATGAGATGGCCGAGACGTTGGAGAGGGTGAAGGAGGCCTTACCGCCAAAGCTGTACGAAAGGCTGATGCCGTTCCAAAAGAGTGGACTGCAGCAGATCGTTAGGCGGAAGGGCAAAGTACTGCTGGGTGATGAGATGGGACTAGGTATAGTTCATGAAAGTGCTCGCACGTCGGAACCCCTTTCTGAGGTCGCCGACTCTATTCTGCACCTTAGGCAAAACCATCCAAGCGATCGCTACATGCTACTTCTATCGCTCCGAATGGCCCGTCCTCATCATCTGCCCTTCATCGCTCCGTCTGACGTGGAAAGCCGAAATTATCAAATGGCTCGACGTTCCAGAAACCGATATCCAAGTGATATTTACGGCGAAGGATTTGTTAAAGGAGACGGCGACCTTTGCGATCGTTAGTTACGATCTTGCGAGTAGGAAGACGATGGAGGATCAGTTGGTACTGGCGAGGTTCAAGGTTATCGTTGCGGATGAATCGCATTACTTGAAGTCGCGTGATGTGAGTAGCGCATGGAACGGTACTTAACGTATACGTTTCGAGCGTGATTGCTGATCGCTCCGAACTACTATCCATAGGCCAAACGAACAAAGTGCATCCTCCCATTGATAAAACGCGCAAAGCGGGCCCTCCTACTATCAGGCACACCTGCCCTCTCCCGCCCCATCGAACTCTTCACCCAAATCGGCGCCCTGGTCCAACCTTTCACCTCCGCTACCCAGTTCGGCGTCCGTTACTGCGACGGCCGCCAAAGCCGCTACGGGTGGGACTTTACCGGCGCGAGCAACAGCGCCGAATTGCATTGGTACCTTGAACGCACGGTCCTTGTCCGCCGTCTCAAGAAGGATGTGCTGAAACAGTTGCCGGAAAAGACGCGCCAATGTGTGTATGTGGAGGTTAGTGCGAAGGCGAAGGCGGCGTTAAAGAAGTTGAAGATGAAGGAGGAGAAGTTGGAGGATGCGAGGGCGGGCGGGACCGAGGAGAAGCAGGCGAAGATCATGGAGAATCAGAGGTCGAATTTCATTGAGATGGTGAGTGTGGCTGTCCGCAATTCGATATTGCCAGTGTACTTGATCCCTCCAACGGCATTCACGAACGCTCTTCCCAACGCAGTATAAGGAGACGGGTATGGCGAAACTGCCTGCGGTGCTGGAATATCTCACCGAGCTGTACAACCACACGACGAAGAAGTTTATTGTCTTTGCGCATCATTTGGGCATACTCAGCGCTTTATCAGAAGAGTTCACCAAATTGCAGGTAAAGCTTCACTCGGGAAGCTCAGACGCAAAGGGTGTCGAGCATCAACTCTGACCCTACCACACAAATCCACAGGCAAAGTTCATAAAGATCGACGGCAGCACCCCGGCTCCCACCCGCCAACCCCTCTGCGACACCTTCCAAACCGACCCCGAAACCCGCGTGGCCGTTCTCGGCATCACCGCCGCGGGCGTCGGCCTAACCCTCAACGCCGCCGACCTAGTCATCTTCGCCGAGCTTTTCTGGAACCCCGGGCAAATCCTCCAAGGGGAAGACCGCGCGCACCGTATCGGCCGAAAGGGCAACGTCGACGTCAAATACATCCTTGCGAACGATACCCTCGACGACGTGCAGTGGCCGCTCATCAGCAGGAAACTGGATGTTGTTGGGCAGAGTTTGGATGGGGTGAGCGCCACGATGGATACGATTGAGGATACGAGTACGAAAGAGGAGAGGGAGAAACGGAAACAGCCGAGGATTGATACGGTGTTTGGGGTGGAGGAGGGTGGCGACGGTGAGGAAGGGGACGTGCTGGATGAGTTGTTGGGAATATCGCAGATGTCGCAACGGGGGAATAGGAAGCGGGTGGATATCGCTCTTCCGAAGGGAGGAGGATTTATGGTCGATGATGATGATGATGACGACCCTGCCCTGCTGCCGCCAAAAGGCATCAACCGCGACACGAATGCACAACACTCCCGCGACGTAACGTCCACAGCAGAAGATATCGACGATCTCACGGATGTAGATAACTTTGAAGACGTCGACGACTTTGACACCCTCAACAGCGCGTTTCCCGATGAGCCTCTGCCACCTTTAGGCACCCCCCACCAACCCTTATCTCCACATCACGCTCACAGCCCACCACAAAACACACCATACGAAATAGACGATTTCCACGATGTCGACGACTTTGATCCCCTCGACAGCGTATTCCCGGACGACCCACTCCCGCCCTTAAGCACGCAGTACCCGTCAGATCCACCGCCCAGCACCAGTATACCACCAGAAGATGAGATAGATGAGTTTGCGGATTTCGACGACCCGCTGGATGACGTGTTTCCGGACGAGCTTGTCGATGCGGCGCTCTTTGCGGATCCTGGCGATAGTGGTGGTGGGTTCTTCGTAGAGGCTGACGTGGAGGCGAAGGATGGAGGTGGTGGGCTTCCGATGGATGAGGTTGAGAATCAACAACCTAAGGAGAGAGTGGATTTAGGCGGCGGGTTCTTTGTAGATGAAGATGAGCTGGACCGCTTGGATGAAGAGATCGGGGGCTGGGGCCGGAAACGGAGGCGGATTGGGGAGGAGTACGATGATTGATACCGAGGATAGGGGCGTATCCATTCCACTCCCATCTCCCATATCGGTAAGCTCACACAAAGGATACGCCATACCCTTCACGACCGCCAACCCCTACACAAATGATGACAAAAAGCAAACCCACCGAAGCCAAGAAAACCCCACACCTACCACCATCCACCGCGACCGACCTATCATATCTCCGCACCCACTCACACTTTGAAAGGCGTGTGCGTGCGCGTTCGCTGGAGATGTGGCGGGATGGAAGGGAGGGGTGGAATGGATGGGCAGGTGTTGGGCGCTTGTGAGAGGGGGAGGTCTATGTAGTTTTCAAGCTGATGTGTGGTGGATGGGAGAATGAGTGTTGTGGCGAGGGGATGGTGGAGCTTTGCATTGAGCTAACACTGTGCCGTTTATTTTCGTCTTTCATCTATTCAGATCCGTCCACCGTGTCGGCTTTCAGAACAACGATGTACCCCTCATAGCCGCTCACTTAAACCCTAGTCTGAGCATCTGAGCACACGATACCAATCACCAATACTTACCGCTCCTTCACCAATCCAACCGTCGGAAATCTTATACCCCCGTAGCAAAAGAGCGTGCTTAGCATCATACCCATTTGTAGGAATGTAGCACGCGAACGAAGGGTAGGGTGACTGAACGTAACGGTGAATGTACAATAGTTTTGTGGCATGTGAGAATTCTTTCGGCGTTGGAGTTTGCTTTAACTGCGTATGGGGATATGTAGAATCCGGCCGAATCCGCATACGGGTCTCGAACGATTCCATTTTCCTTTGGGAACGAGTTTGAGGTTCATGGGAGCGTTTTGGAAAGCGATGGATGTATACGGTGGTATCATGGTTATATTTTCTCAGTCGATGGTGTACAAAGGGGCTTCTAGCAGCATCCTTTCCTCTCTCGCTCAACAACCAACTCAATGCGCCACCGCGCCCTCCCCATCCAACGCCGCCGCCCCCTCCGTAACCCTCAACATCCGCCTCCTGACCAGCCGATCGCGTTTCTGCTCCAGACGGTGCAGTTGCGTGTCCTGGAACGTGTTCAAGGCGTACCCCAGGCCGACGAAGGCGCCGGCGAAGAGGACGTGTTTGTAGGGTCCTGGCGGATGGGAGGATGGGTTAGTTTTGGTTGATTGATGCTGAGTACGATTGGCGTAGAGCGAGTCGTAGGGGTTGGTGGCATGAAGCAGGAGTTGCGTCTTTGACAGTATAAACCGCTTGCTTGCCGCTGGACCAAAGCACATGATAGATGCGCATTGGCCGTGATCAAGTACGCTCTCTGCTCGCCCTCCGCTTCGCTCGCGGATCGACGCAATCACTACCGCTCGAAGTCTCTTCTGCAAATCCAGCCCTCCCAGTCCCACAACCGCCTCTTCCACATCGCCCCACCCCAAGTCAATACATACGTTCAAGCACAGGCCGATGCTGCAACGCCAGGGCAAACGCCTGCGTAAAGACACCCATTGCGGCCCATCCCGCGTATCCGAGCGTCCGTTCCCAGTCTGGCCGCGCGGCGATCTTGTTTGCGACCTCTGATTCGGGGAAGAGGGATAGCATTTTTGCTGATGTGAGGGTGTGAGGGGTGGACTGGGGTGGTGGTTGTGAAGGTGGGTGGGGTCGAGGTGGTGTGTGCTAAGGGTCTGTTTGGTAGATAACGGGAACGAAAGGGGTTCAATGACACCGTAACACTGGGCAGAATTCCCATCCCCGCTCCGAAATTTGGAGCCTGACATCCAAGTCCACAGGAAGGTCGTTCCTCTCTCCTCTTCCTCTTCCGCCCAACGAACGAACCGAACAGTCCCTATATCCCTGCTCCGGCCAAAATCCGAACGTCGGCGCCTCCACTTCTCTCCTACTCTCTCAAGTTCGGCCAACCGCGCATATCACAGCAGTTCCCTCCCCCTTGTACGTACCTTACTGAAATCTCACCAGACTCAAAGTGAGATCACAGGATAAGTAAACTTGCCGTGCTGAGGGCGACGCAAGTGATTGTGTGCCCTTGACAGTTTACGAGCGATGCGGGATTGTGTCGTGCAGCATAGACAATTGCGAAGTGACGGTCCGTGTGAGCGATTTGAATATGGCAGGCGGTCACGTGGGCGGTTTATATACATTTGCATTTCCTCCTTCATATGTATAGAGAAGCAGTAGATGGCAGCATATGCTTCGATACAAGTCGTATCAAGTGTAACATGTACTGGGCATGCAAAGGGATGCTGCCTCCAGAATGAATTCATATCAAGTGGAGAACCAGTGACTGGCGCAATGGCATCACTCGTCCTCATCTCCGGCCGATGTGGATCGGTGAGAAAACTAGCACACACTCATTGACGCATGCTCACGTCCATCATTCATGTGAGAGCGCAAGCTTTTTGATTTCTCCGAGAGATGGCTGCACCTTTGGTTGAAATCAAGCACCGCTGCTGGACATTTCGCTCAAGTGCGGTTTTCTTGGACACTTCTTCCTACGATCAGATCACACTGCTTGACATCAGCTTGGGCTTGACGGCGTGATGCGATCCCTTCAACTAACAGTGGCGTGTGCTGGAATGGTTCACTTCCTGCAATAAATGCCGCGCCCAAATCTGGTTACGTGGACAGGCTCGCCTTTGCTCGCCGGCAATCAATAATCAGCATCGCCCCTTCCGCCACCGTGAGCTTCGGCGATGAGACCAAGAATGCCGCTCTTTCGAATATAGAGCGAGACAGGATAATTAGCTTTTGTTAGGCAGATTACTTACGGACGGGAGTATCGAGATTTGCAGAATGTTTAGCACGACACTGTCCGCGGTCGCCCCTGATTTCTAACCAAATGAGAGTTGGGCGGACATGCTGGAACCATCTGGCCTCTACCTGGCCAGCAATCCAGCCTACACATGAGTGCCTTCCGCCATGCACCTCAGCCAGCAATGTTCTTTCGAGAGCCAGTTTCTGCGCCGCTGTATAGCCCTATCGCGTTAACCCAACCCCAACCCATTGGCGTGCTGGTACAGTATAAGAACGCGCTCTGAACCCCACAAAAGCACCACATGCGCTTGCACAAATGAAGCGATCGCCCACTTATCCTCGTTAAGTCCTTTATTAGTAAGACAGCGAAATTAAATATCCCGGTTGATCCGCGTCCTGCCCCACCGCCCGTTTTGTATAAGGACGCCCTGCGAACACTTCGTTGCTCGGCCCCTTTAGCGCTGTAGGAAGGATAGAGCCATCCATCCATCCATCCAAACCATCCATCTGACATCCCCCCTGTAACAAGGAAGAGTCTTCAAGATGGTACGTACATCTCTTCCACGCTACAAGTCCATCCATCCATCCATTCGGCGAATTCGAGGAGGGAGCAGTGATCACGGAATGGCGGGATGGCTACATCACAATTTCCCACGATGACTTCGACACTGACACTCACTCTGCGTTTCTTTTCTCTTTGCTATGATAGGTTAACTTCTCGATCGATGAGGTAAATTGAGGAGGGCGAATGGCGGGTTGTGGGAAGCTTGGGCGACGGGCGACAATTCGGCAGTGAAATGGGATTGTGGGAAAGGGATGACGAGGAGCGTTCTCGACCGGGAATGGAGATGGGATTGAAGGGACTCGGTCAACAGATGCTAGGATGCTAACGCATCCCATCTTTTACCCACAATCAGATCCGTGGTCTCATGGACAAGCGGGTGAACATCCGTAACATGTCCGTGATTGCCCACGTCGACCACGGAAAGTCCACGCTCACAGACTCCCTCGTCTCGAAAGCTGGTATTATCGCTTCCGCCAAGGCCGGTGACGCTCGTTACACCGACACAAGGCAGGATGAACAGGACCGTGGTATCACTATCAAGTCTACCGCCATCTCCATGTACTTCGAAATGCCCGCTGAGGACCTTTCTGACGTCAAGCAGACCACCGATGGTGAGTAACGCGTCGCTAACGGAGTGAGAAGGGAGCGTAGTGAGGCGAAGGCGAAGCGAGCCCGAACGTAGCGAGGTTTTGGTTTGGTGTGGGAGCCCGAGGGATAAGGAACGCCTTCGCGAGCGGTAACGAGCGCGACCCCAATCTGTTGGGAGCGAGGCCAACACCACGTTGCGGCAGTTGCGCGCGACGCCTCTCATCTAACCAGCCTAACCGACATCCGCTTCGCTACGCTTCGCCGAATTTTTACTCTTCATGCATCGCAATTTTCCCACGCTCAGTTTTTTCCCACGGACTTTTCTCGGTGCGGGAACTAACCCGGTTTTTTAATTTTCGGTAGGACCCGGTTTCTTGATCAACTTGATCGACTCGCCCGGACACGTTGACTTCTCTTCCGAGGTCACCGCCGCCCTCCGTGTCACTGACGGTGCTCTTGTCGTCGTCGACACCATCGAGGGTGTGTGTGTGCAAACCGAGACCGTCCTTCGTCAGGCGCTCGGTGAGCGTATCAAGCCCGTCGTTGTCATCAACAAGGTCGACCGTGCGCTTCTTGAGCTCCAGCTCACCAAGGAGGATCTTTACCAGGTGCGATTTTTGGTGATTTGAATAATGCTTCCTTATGATATCCAAACTCACACCATCCAATCTCTTTAGACCTTCTCCCGTACCATCGAGTCCGTCAACGTAGTTATCGCGACGTACATTGACAAGTCCCTCGGTGACGTCCAGGTGTACCCCGAGAAGGGTACCGTCGCTTTCGGTTCCGGTCTTCACGGTTGGGCCTTCACCCTCCGTCAGTTCGCTCAGCGTTACGCCAAGAAGTTCGGTGTTGACAAGGAGAAGATGATGACCCGTCTCTGGGGAGAGAACTACTTCAACCCCAAGACCAAGAAGTGGTCTACTAAGGGTACCGATGCTGAGGGCAAGTCGATCGAGCGTGCCTTCAACTTGTTCGTTTTGGACCCCATCTTCCGTGTGTTTGACGCCATCATGAACTTCAAGAAGGACGAGACCGCAAAGATGCTCGAGAAGCTCGAGATCGTTTTGAAGCCCGACGAGAAGGAGCTCGAGGGCAAGGCTCTCCTCAAGACCGTCATGAAGAAGTTCTTGCCCGCCGGTGACGCTCTACTTGAAATGATCGTTATCCACCTTCCCTCTCCCTTCACCGCCCAAAAGTACCGTTACGACACCCTTTACGAGGGTCCCCTGGACGACGAGTGCGCTGTCGCTATTCGTGACTGTGACCCCGCTGGTCCCCTCATGTTGTACGTTTCCAAGATGGTGCCCACGTCCGACAAGGGTCGTTTCTACGCTTTCGGTCGTGTCTTCTCCGGAACCGTCCGTGCCGGTCTCAAGGTCCGCATCCAGGGTCCCAACTTCGTTCCTGGCAAGAAGGAGGACTTGTTCGTCAAGTCCGTTCAGCGTGTCGTGCTCATGATGGGTCGTTACGTCGAGTCCATCGACGACTGCCCCGCCGGTAACATCATCGGTCTTGTCGGTATCGACCAGTTCTTGCTCAAGTCTGGAACCATCACCACCTCCGAGACCGCCCACAACTTGAAGGTCATGAAGTTCTCCGTCTCCCCCGTCGTCACGGTCGCCGTCGAGTGCAAGAACGCCGCCGATCTGCCCAAGCTCGTCGAAGGTCTCAAGCGTCTCTCCAAGTCCGACCCCTGTGTGTTGACCTACACCTCCGAGTCCGGTGAGCACATCGTCGCTGGTGCCGGTGAGTTGCACTTGGAAATTTGCCTGAAGGATCTTGAGGAGGACCACGCCGGTGTGCCCCTCAAGACTGGAGACCCCGTTGTCCAGCTTCGTGAGACCGTCCAAGCCGAGTCCAGCATCGTCGCCCTCTCCAAGTCCCCCAACAAGCACAACCGTATCTTCATGAAGGCTCAGCCCATGGTTGAGGAGCTTGCCAAGGACATCGAGAGCGGCCGTGTTTCCCCCAAGGACGATTTCAAAGCCCGTGCGCGTATCCTTGCCGAGGACTACGAGTGGGATGTCACTGATGCCCGTAAGATCTGGTGTTTCGGTCCCGACGTCTCTGGCGCCAACTTGCTTGTCGACACTACCAAGGGTGTGCAGTACTTGAACGAAATCAAGGACTCCTGCATCGCCGCTTTCCAATGGGCGACCAAGGAAGGATGTCTTGCCGAGGAGCACATGCGTGCCATTCGCTTCAACATCCTCGATGTTGTCCTCCACGCTGACGCCATTCACCGTGGTGGAGGTCAGCTGATCCCCACTTGCCGTCGTGTCTGCTACGCCGCCATGCTTACCGCCGACCCCGCCGTCATGGAGCCCGTCTTCCTCTGCGAGATCCAATGTCCCGAGGCCGCCATGGGCGGTATCTACGGTGTCCTTAACAGGCGTCGTGGTCACGTCTTTGCGGAAGAGCAGCGTCCCGGCACGCCTCTGTACAACATCAAGGCGTACCTCCCCATCATGGAATCCTTCGGCTTCACCGCCGATCTGCGTGCCGGAACCGGAGGCCAAGCTTTCCCCCAGTGTGTGTTCGACCACTGGCAAGTCATGGGCGGATCCCCGCTCGAGCCTGGAAAGACGCAAGATCTCGTCATGGGTATCAGGAAACGTAAAGGTCTCACCCCCGAGATCCCGCCGCTTGACCGTTACTACGACAAGTTGTAGATTCCCTCATCCCATACCATCATCGCATACGGACACTCCCCTTGCCCTCTCATGTACTACCCACCCCACATCGCATGTCCGCTACCCCACTCCCCATTCGGCATCAACAACGCTCCTTTGGTCGTAGTCTCTTAGTTTCCTCGTCGTAGTACAGTCATGTCTTACTCCTTTTTTAACAGAGGGTGGTCATACTTCCTCTACTTTCCGCTCTCTCTTTTTGTTCTGTTATTTGTTTTTGTGCATATACTATTGATTTGACTGGATATTTTCGAGAGTAGCTTCTTTGGCGAGAGGATATTTGCGAGAGTAGCTTCTTTGGCGAGAGGGGATGTTCTTGACGATGTGAGCGGGAAGCGCACTGGACTCGTGCTGGCCAAAAGAGGCACGTCCGTCATAGGTCGATCTGGGAGATGAGTCCCCCTTCTCGGAGCTTCACGGAGAGTCCCAACTTTAACCGCCCTCATGCGCACGTGATCCTCTAAGCCGGAGAAATAAATAGCGAGCCGGCCAAGCCATCACGTAAGTCATAATGGCCGCTTCTTTGGAGGGACGACGCCTCGCTCTGCTCTCGACAACCGCAGTCTTCGAAGTCTCGCATTTGGTCTTGGGAAGTCGCACCGTTTCCCTTAGGCCTACATATCCTCAGCACAGCGCTTCTTCTGAGCAGTGGCTCATATTCCGTTGTGGCTGGCGTCTTGTTTGCTGCAGGTACGACCGTCTTGTATAGATGTTTAGCGTTGAGGAATGGACCTTGTAACTTACACTAAACCCGCTCTCTCAAATAGACCCGTAGACGGAAACAGCAGCAGGTGCTTGTGCTCGAAGAAAAAGGAGCTGAATCGTCATTGTCGGCGTGGTCGATAAAAACAGGTCTTTCAACCTTCAACGAAAAGCTACCCCAAATCACCCACACCAACTTCACAATCATGTCTGACTCAGTAAAGTCGAAAAAGCCGGCTAGTACGTACTATCTTGCGCAAACGACCTATTGCGAAAGTATGCGCTCCGCCTATGGAAATCAGACGTCTAACCGAAATCCTCATTTCCCACACCAGACACCGCGTTCAAACAACAACGTCTGAAGGCATGGCAGCCTATTCTTACCCCAAAGACGGTCCTGCCAACGTTTTTCTTGGTCGGAGCCATCTTTGTGCCCTTGGGGATCGGCCTCTATATTGCGAGTGAGAAGGTTCGTTTTCGAACGGGGATGAGGTGGAACGGGATGGGATGGGATGGCCGTGGGAATGGGAACCGCGAAGGAAGCGAGCCGGGTTGGTTCGGTCTGGGAGACCGATAGGTCGACCAGAGCGAACGCCTTCTGGTTTGCGATGGAAGCCCAGCGATAGCGAGCGCGACCATCGCAAACGCCTTTGCAAGCGACAGCGAAGCGTGGGCGGAGCGAGTTCTCATTGCGCCAAAGGCGCAATAATCCCCTCACATCGTTCTTGAGGGTGACTGACAGCGAACGGTCGTTCTTTTACACACGCATCGTGCTTGCTGATGGGTGATGGTGGTTGATGGGTTGATGGTTGTCTCACTATCTCGTTTATTTTTGTAGGTCAAGGAATTAATGTTCGACTACACAGACTGCCAATCCGGCGGTACCCCCTCCGCACCCATCACCAACTGGTCCTGGAACGCCGCCAACAAAACCTGCACGATCGACTTCAAGGTCGACGAAGCCTTCAACCCACCGGTATTCATGTACTACCGCCTCACCAACTTCTACCAGAACCACCGCCGATACGTCAAATCCTTCGATGCTGAACAGTTGAAGGGATCGCAGACTACGCCATCGGGGAAAGGGCTGGATTTATGTGACCCGTTGAAGACCCCACCGCAGGGAACGACTGTGAGGATTAATGGACAGGATGTGGCTGTTAGCCCGAATGCTCAGTACTATCCATGTGGATTGATTGCCAATTCCATGTTTTCTGGTGTGTCCCATTACTCGATGCACCATGTGACGCATCTCGCAGCGAATGCTCATTCACAATCAAATTATTTCTCTCAGACGAAATATCAAACCTGACGTCCATCTCTGCGGCGCAACCCTCTGGCGGCACCTACGTCGACTACACCTTCACCGAAAACGGCATCAGCTGGCCCTCGGACAAAGACCGCTTCAAACAATCCACCTGGCTCGACAAACCCGACGACGAGCTCCTCCGCACACTGATCCCACCCCCCTTCTGGGCTGAAGCCTGGCCCGAAAAATACGCCCACGGCTACACCCGCGACACGATCCCCAACATCAACACCTGGGAACGTTTCCAAGTCTGGATGCGCACCGCCGCGCTCCCGACCTTCCGTAAACTCTGGGGCCGCAACGAAAACACCGCGCTGATGCCGGGAGTGTGGCGCATCACCATCAGGGATACATTCGGGGTGCAGAAGTTTGGCGGCCGTAAAGCGATCGTGCTGTCGACTGTGTCGCTGTTGGGCGGGAAGAACCCGTTCTTGGGGTCGGCGTATATCGCTGTGGGAGTCATTTCGTGGATCTTGGGACTGGTGTTTTTGTTTAGGCATATGATCAAGCCGAGGAAGTTGGGCGATCATACGTATTTGTCGTGGAATCAGCCGCAGCAGAATGCAGGCGCGGCGCCGCAAAGGATGCCTGAGGTGGTGAGTTGAGGACGGAGAGATTCGTTATCTGCCTTGCGCGGATGCGTTTGCTGATCTTCTTTCCCTTACTCGTTCATTCTCACAGGGCGGCGAGCGTTCATCACTCATGCACCGTTAAGTCACGACACCCCATCAATCCTACATCGTTCGCGCTCGCATCATCGCAGGAGTCGCAAGTCGTCCCCAGCATCCCATCAACCACCTGCACCCATCCCTTGCATTGCACCGAATGTCCATATCCCAAGAGACTCTTTTGTTTCTCACCGAGCGAGCAGATTGGGACGGGATACCGGAGCATCGCCGACCCTCATCACTTTTCGCCCCTTCGCGTGTTCTTTCGGCTTTTTGGAGATGTCTTTGTGTTTGGATTTGCTATAAATGAGAATTTATCCTGCCCTTTCTACGCAGTTCATTGCGGCTTCTGTTTTTCGTTATTTGTTTCTGCGTGCGTCTTTTCGGGAGAGATTGGACTTAACCATCTGGGATGCATTAATCGTACAGAATTCAAGGAAGAATCGACTCGATCGATCGCACGGTGGGGTAGCTCCCACTTTCTGAAAATGTGCGCTGGGATTGCACACAGAAACATGCTCAATTTGCCAAAAAATCGGCAAGCCTTCCGACACAGTTTCCGGCGTCTGCACACCATGGGATACCCAGACAACGCAAAACTTCCGGAACTAAGCATCCCGCCGAACCTCCTGCATACCACTCGGATCTCCAAATTCCCCCGTCCATGAATCGCCAGAAGCCATCCAATTGCGTTGAAATGGTTTGGAATTTCAAGTCTCCCTGGGATCCCACAAAAGGCCCTATTTCTTCGCGGAGAAGACGTTGCTTTTGCACACATCCGATCGACATAGGGCTGACTTCAATGATGAACGCTATGGGATAATAGTGGTGATGTTTGCTATCGCACACGTCGCTTGCAAGTCGTCTCAAGGAAGCCTTCCAACACCTATGATGTCTTCAACGCCTCTTCTGACCCGACGGCAGGGTATTTCCCTTCTCCCTCCGTCATTCTTTGCGAGGCTATGCGCCCCGCTTGGCCGCGAAGTCTCATCCGCCCACATGCGTTTCCCGAATCGGCATACCCGTCATCCATGACTGCTGAACCCTGTTCTTAATAACAGGTAGTGGTGCACTGCCGAGATGGAAGAATGAGTTTCCAAATCCCTGTGTGCGAATCCCCTCACGCAGATATTCGAGGTGCACGACACAGACTCCCGCCGCGCATCCTTACGCCGACTCTCTCATATCGTCAGTCGTTTATAATATTGACTGAAATCCCGATCCTTGAGGCGATGCGGCGGTTCCCATGATGACAGTCTGACTTCCAGCACTTGGAAACTTGCCAGCGTTGCGCGTGCGCGCCGTACCGTCCGCTGCAACTCCTCACATGACCAAATGCCCCCCGAGACCGATATCACCGCTACATATCCTCCATAGCATCGTCAAACTGCCCCTCTACCACCGCATCCGGATACGGCCCCGTAAACACCGCAGCGAAATGATCCAGCGCTTTCTGTTGCTCGGCGGTGAGGTTCTCCATTTGTTCGGGTGTCGTGTACCATTCGTTCTCATCGTCTTCGTTCGAGGAGATGTCGGCGTCTTCGGAGATGGGGTCGGGGTGGAGGGATGCACAGTTGGAGATGAATTGGTAGAGGACGTCCACTGATGACAGAATCGGGATAGAGTGGTGTGAGTATCAGGTCCCGACAAGACTCTGCACCTCTGCGCGTGCAGTACTCACATGCATCCCCATCCTCGACTACAATCCTCATCTCCCTCACTGTCATCTCTCCCACATCAACCCTATCCTCACCCATCCGCACCGAATCCACCGCAACACTCGCATCAAGTTCTGCGTAGATATGTGGGAGTTTGATGACGTCGTCGCCGTGCCGCGAGACAGCGTGGATGCCGATGGAGGGGTAGTCGATGGAGATTATGAGGGCGTCGTCTGGGTCGTGGAGTATTAGTTGGCTGGCCGGGTGGGGGAACGGTGGTGTTAGATTCTCATACCTAGTACGCGATCAAGTAGCACCCATCGTCGCACGCACCTTGCATCCCACCCCAATACTCACCTTTCAGCAACATAAACATCCCCCGTCCAGCAATCATTCCCAACCTCCTCCAACACCGGCGTAAACACTATCGTCACATCCCGCTGCATATGTCGAACTTGCGAGAAGTCCGGATAGGTAAGGGAGAAGTCGATTGGCATATTTTTATGTACGTTGGGCCGGTTAAGCGGATGGCTGCTACGTGGATGAGAGTGAGTGAGGCTGGACCTGCTGTATGCTTGTTGTGCAGCTTTCCTGTACGTTCAGTGTCGGACTTGTTGATGCCCGGAGTGGGGAGTACCGTCGTTGCAGTGGTTGCAGTCTGGGTTGCAGTGGGAATTCGCTCTGTCGCTCTGTCCTAGTGCTGCGCCACATCCGTCCCCTTCTCCCTCGCGGCTCGAGACAGTCCGGCAAGCAAGTCCCCATCCCGCAATTCCATCGTCCATTAGGAGCATAAAGGGAACCTCTCACTCACTCGCTGCAGCACCAGTACTGTGGGGAACGATCAGCAACTGGCGAGCTTCAACTTACCGACTCTGGACTCCCAACCTCACAGTCTCAACCCACCCAACCACGCCTAATCCCAACTTCCAACAACCACCCACAAAATGCACCACTCAACAACGACGACCTTCCGCTGCATAGCACGCACAGCCTCCCAACAACAATGTCAACGGAATGTAGTGGCACGGTGTAGCATCCCATCACAAACGAGAGCATTCGGAGCGTCCGTTCGTGTTGCGAGTCCAGGTGTGTGAACCGTCCTTTGCTATGGGTGTCTGTGATGCTTCAATACTCACCTTCCTTTTCTTGCCTTTGCCTAACAGCCGCAACCGCAACCTCCTCTCCACCCTCCTCCACCTCTGACTCCACCCCTACCAACTCCACCTCCGAAACCGCGCCCTACGTCGGCCCCCTCGAACCCTCCTCCTGCCCCCCCGGCACCGTCATGAAAGGACTCAACATATTCGCAGGCAAAGCGGACCCCGTGGCGTTACCGGACAACGAGTACCCCGCGTGGGTGTGGAGGCTGCTGGACCCGCCGAAGAAGGAGTGGACGGAGGAGGAGAAATTGAGTATGGATTATTTGAGGGTGGTGACGAAGATGAAGATTAAGGCGAATTCTTTGGCGAAGAGGAGTAAATAAGGGGATTTTGAGTGCGAACGAAGTGAGGTGCGGAGTCTGGGCGGTGGGTCATGGAGAGGTTGGGCGGTGGGAGAGGAGGGTTGGGATTTCGAGCGCTGGGGGTGTTTCACGAGTGAACAGCGGATCAGCAACCTTGTACCTGTCGCATGCGTGAGCTCCTCCGCCGAGCTATCTGTATTTATGCTACGCAATTCGATAGAGTACACACAACCGGGATATATACATTTAAGCATTACGCCTTCCCAAAAAAATGTCTCGGACTACGTGGAGTACATAAAAGTAAGCACTAAGTATAAACATCCGCCGCAATAACCGCCAAAATCTTCCTCGCCAACGCCTGCCCAATACTCTTCCTCCCACTGACAGGAACCGCTGCCCTCACCAACTCCTCCCTATCCCTCTCCGTCTTTCCCTTCAACGCCTTGACCAGACTGCGCATGGTCGGATACGTCTTTGCAAGCGCGGCGGCTTTTTCACCCGAGACGCCCTTGATGGTCATGAGTTGGCGGATCCAGATGGATTGGAGGCGGTAGGAGGTGGATTTTGTGTTGAGGGATTGGTAGGTGGCGAAGGTCAGGTGGAGGCGGGGAGTGTGAGGGTGGGTTGTGAAATAGGATTGGAGGGCGTCTTTTGTTGTTATAGATGGGGGGACGGCGTAGAGGTCTTTGTCCTGTGTGTGTATGTGTGCGTGTGAGGGAGTGCTGTAAGTATACCGTATGCGTATACCCCCTCCAAATGGAGACATACCAAAAGGGCCTTCTCCAACCTCCTCGTCAACCTCACAAAGTATTGCACAGTCTCATCCAACCCCCCGGTCTGTTTCAGAAAGAACCCATTGATGACCTGCACCTGTGTCATGGCCGTACGGATTGCCGTCATCCCAAACTCCAGCGCCCGAACCATACTCGGTGACCGCTCAATCAGATAAATCGGGGATGGTAACCCGCAGGTCTTTAACCGCAGCTTTTGGTCTTTGAACCGTGAGTCTTTGATGCTTGCGACGAGGTCGTCCGTTGTTTTGCGCTCGATGACGTACGGTAGCACTATCTCTGGTGTGTCTTTGAGTGAACGATGGGAAGAACGCCGCGTATGAGGGATGATCCGTAGTTGACGGGGATGAAAACGATACCCTGCTTGCTCCGCCCGCGACGAGGATGTTGGGCGGTGTGTTTGAGATGCCATCCTCAAGCATTCTCGCCGCCTCCGCATTCCTCGCTATGGCTCGGACCCTCCAGCATCCCTCGCTCGCGCTTGATAACACATGCGCTCGGCTCACGCGTCTACTCACCCCCATCAACGTCATCCTCCCTCCTCAGATTCCTCCCCCCTCGGGCCACCCAGATGAAATCGCCCACATTCAGACTCCTCGTCAGTACGTTCACGCCATGCATGGTTAGCTGCTCCTGAATATGCTGCCGTTGGTTCTTGAATTTGACTTCACGGGAGTCTACTACGAGGTGGAGGGTGAATGAGCCTGGAGGAAGGTGGATTGGCGGGGGGTGTTGGGTTGTTGACATTGTGAGAGGGTGGCGGGTGGTGTGACGGCGGGGGGGTGAGTGTAGACGTCGTTGGGGCGGAAGTGTGAAATTGCGAGTGTGGAAAAAGGAGCAGGTCCGGACTCCGTGTAAAAGCAAAGGCAACCAGGATGTGAGCACGCCGCGCGAAGCCCCTAACTGTACAGCATGCCAAACGTGCGCAACTCTTATACGTCATATAATACTAAAATCAAACCCAAACAAGCAAATCCTTCGTGGTCCAGTGGTTAGGATCTCACGCTCTCACCGTGATGGCCGGGGTTCGATTCCCCGCGGGGGAAATTGTTTTGCGCATATTGCGTAGGTCCATTTTTGCAATGGGAGGTCCCATTTTTTGAGGGCATTTGCTAAATGTTGGGTAGGTCTTTGCTTTGACTGTTGCTGCTCGCCCGGAAGCTCGCCCGGAAGCTCGCCCCGACCATCCTTCAGATTATTCCCCTTCCTGTTCAACAACCTTCCTTCTCAAAAGCGCGCGGTCAAGCGCTACATATCGCGCTCTTAACGATGAATCAGGATGCCGAAATGGCTATATACTGTAGATCCCGGTTGGAGCTCGGTTGAAGCCTTGGGCCATCATCTTTCTCAAGCTCGCTCCACCCATCTCAGGGCTGGGCGATGGGCAAAAGATTTTCGGGCCCTGAGTGAAAAAGCTTCGAAGACGTGCTGTCGAAATCTTGTCAATTGTTCGCACGTCCCCGAGCCAACCATATCGGCGTGTGGAGTGAAGTGTTTAACCTTAGTAGGAACGCACCAATATGCTGTTTCGGAGTATAAACTGTCAAATTACTATTCTGTTGCCCATGGTAGCGTCTAGTGCCCACCAACCTTGCATGGCGCCGCCTGGACAGCGTTTATTGCCGCGGCCCTCAGCATCATGAGGAATATGCAAACCGTTTTTCTTTACAAATATGTTCGCTGGCAGACGAAGGGCATCTGCAAAGCGTCAAGGGCAACTCCAATACAATTCAACAAATAGCAACTAGCATACATTTCTCTTTTCTCGGGATATTCTTCACAGGCAACTATGGATGACTCCCATCACCACGGCCATGAGCTATGCACGCACAACGAATGGTCATCAACGCCCATTGAACCCTTTGGATACGGCGCAAGTCCTTCTCTGCTTCCTTCCATCTTCGCGTTGTGAGGTAACCCACATCGCGCTCGGTCTTGGTTTGGGATTCAAGTGCGTTCGTCGGTTGGATGTGCTGTATACCATACAGGTCCAAGAGGTCTCAGAACTCAGTGTGGTTTTCCAGCTCTACCACGGGTACGGACACAGGTCTCAGGCATTGCTGCGATTGTTCATTTTGTGATAAACATCGATTTGGGTTTTTGGGTGCCTTGGCGGAAGTTGGCGCCCGAGGTTTGAGTTCACCGATTCGCGTCGCGGCGTCAGTGTGATTGACAGGAAAGTGACAGTGCAAACTTAACGCTTGTGGATTTACCAACGCCCGACGCCCACAATTCCGCCCCGGATGTGACATAGATCCTGACTTGACATGGCGCTGCTGTTGGCGTCTTTTGGAGAAGCTCACAACGATGGACGCCTGGGGATTAGGGAAGAGCATCGAGAAACGCATAAGACCAGCACAGGGCCAAAAGACGACCGTTCGAGCCCAGTAGTCACTCCGTCTACCACTCCACCCCAAAAACAAATGCGCACCTCCCTCCTCTTCGCCCTAGCCGCGGGCACCCCGCTCGTCTACGCCGACACATGGGTCCGCTTCGAAACCTTCCTTTCCACCGCTGACTGCAGCCCCACCTTCCCGCCCGGATACATCGAATTCACCAACATCACCACATTCACCACCACGGAGCCGCTCCTCGGCGAGCCGCTCGCGCAGCTAGTCGACTGCGACAGCGGGTACACGCCCGAAGCCAACGGGAATTCATTCAAATGCAGCGACAACACCCTCAAAGAAGGGTGTTTGAGACATAACACGACGACCGAGTCGCGCCTGGTGACCACTTTCGCGGGCCTCGCCCCCAACGCCACGCCGGCTGTGAACACGTTCCCGGATACGGTGCTGAACCGCCCGGACGTCGGGAAGCTGTGGTATCTCATCGACACGCAGTATTTCGGGTTCATCGAGGACGAGCAGTCGGACTGCGCCACCCACCCTATCATGGGCGACGGGCGGATCTCGACTCGCGCGGTGCTGGCTGACGGGTCCTGCAGGCCTATGAACGCTACGTCGTCGTCTAGTATCAAGTGCAATGACGACGGGACCTGGGTTGAGAAACGGGGATGTGGGCAGGGGTGTGAGACGTGTGATGAGGTGGTGGTGCATCACCCGGGTGTGTGTGAGAGGAGGGCGGTGACTGGGGAGAGGCGGAGGAGGGTTTCCAACATTATTGGATTCTGTACGAGGCCGCAGAAGGGGTGGTTTGTGGGCAGACTGGGCGCTGCTGCTGGTGTGGGTGGGACTGTCGGAAGTGCCGGTGCAGGTTCTTCGGGTTCTTCCAATGATGCAATGGTGAAAACGACGGCGGGTATGGCGCTTGGTTTGGCCATTAGTGCTGCGTGGGCGGCGGCGGTACTCTTCTAGATTCTTTTTCTTTCCCTGATACCCTATCCTGCTGCCTGGACTGGCTGTATTTGAGCTGATAGATACCACAAATCTCTTGGATGTAAACCCCTCGTTCAGTTCGTGCAGTGTAGTTGCCGTTGCCCATTTGCCCGTCGTCTCGTCTGGGTTTCTGTCCACCAAGGGACCCACCACCGGTAGTCGGGCCAAAGCGGCGGAGTTTGGGACATGGAATGCGTGATATCGCTTCGTCCCAGCCGCCTCCTTTTGGTGAATGTTGAAGACTCTCTGGGCTCTCTGGGCTTTCCTGGCTGACGAGGATTGCCTCGACTGGTCATTTCGACATCCGAGTCGCAAAGCTCTCCCAGGCGGAGGACAAGGGTTCTAAGATGCGATGCACCATTACGAGTGGTTGTTCTCTGCTGTTCCCCAAGCTGCTCGCTCTGGACAAGCGTGGATGGGCCGTGTCTTCAAATTCACGCCCCCATAATCTGTAGCGGAAGTTGGGCGGCCCTGAAGGACACGCTCTCAATTAACGATGACCACGACTCTTTCTCACGGACGCACTACGTACATACAGTATATGCATTTCTCTTAAAAGACTACGTAACTCAGTTCGCCTCTGGGTGGCCTCAGTATAACCACCGTCGTCGTCGTCGTAGCACTCGGGGTCTGTCTCTCTCTACCGTCGTCTCACAATGCCTTGGCGTTCCTGGCGTAAGTAACCCCTATTATATGTATCAGTATTGCCCTGAGCATCGCTGTGGCTAAGCGCTTCACTTGTCTCAATCCATCAAAGCAGCTTATCGTACAGCCCCGAGTATAGGCTTTTTTTTACATTGCGGGAAAGTTTGGCTCGGAGGCATCTGCTCCCTTTGGAGCGGTGGTCGAATGATTTGATGATTAGCGCATGCAAGGACGCTGGGGAGGAAAACTTGAAGAATGCTTGCCGGACGACGTCTCCTAGGACAAATAAATTACCAATACGAAGGAAATGGCCGATTTCCAAGAGATTGGTGTGCATGTGGTCGCAAAGCAGCCATCATACCGAAGGTACTCGTGGCGCGCGATGCACAAAGGAGAGAGATCGACCAAACCTTTGGAGCGTGCGCTCAAGTCCACAATGCTCGTCGCGATGCTGGACGCCCCAACCGGAGAGTCTTCGGCGCACGCACCGTAGTTGACTGGAACAAGGGGACCACGACCAAAATTCCGTCCGGCTGGCGCTTGCTACAGGAACCCGATGTTGTTGGACTGGCCCCGTTGGAGATGCCCCTTCGTAAGAGGCGCATCCGACCGCCAGCCAGCCACCACTTCCATTGAACATGCTTTTCGCGCAAGCACTATTCGTTCGACTGCATCGAAGACGGTCGCCTCCCGACAACTGTGCGGTAACAAACGCCTTCGTACGTTGAGGTTTGCCACGAGGACGGGAACGGTCAAAGTCGGGTCATGGAGATTTACCGGCGAGGATACGGCCGTCGACGAAGCTTTTTTCTTTGATTCAGGCCAAATGCAAAGTCATGTCGGATCCAGAGAGGATTCATGAATCACCAGTGAACCGGTTGCTGGACCGGATGGACCGCATCAGTGATTGATGGGTGATTGGAAACCCCTCACATGATGTGCGATTCGTGTGTTGACGCATTCTTTCGGAAGAGAAAAAAATACCCCGGACACTTGATCTCCATCGTATGCGTAGTCGTGACAGCCGTCGGTGACCGCACACAAACGCCTGATATCCGAGGCACTATATATCCATGTACAGTCGGTGGAACTCGGTGCTGGGAGTCGGGGAAGGCGAGGAAGGCCCAGTTCCGTTGAGTTCTGACGACGGATTGAACCGATCGGGAGGAATGCTGCATGCCAGTTACTGCGCGCGGATTCACATCGATACTACGATTGAGGACTCAGGGAAGTTAGTGATTGGTGGTTGTTCAAAGAGCGCGCGGAGTATGGCGCGGCGATGTTTTGGCAACTCCGACGACGATTTAGCTGATTTCGACGGTGACGGCGATTCGGCGGCCGACCATATCTGAACCAGTAAGGCCGAGATCTCTGCTCAGCAAGTGGATGGGACATGAGTGTACGCCGGCGATGTATATGTACCGTGAAGGCCGCATACGATCGGCGAGGGGCAGGGTTGGTGACGGGGGAAAGCACCTGGATTACGCCGACGGTCGCCACCTCGTCTGGATTACCATACCCGTCGCTTCATCCTACCATTCATCCGACATGCTTACGTCGTCGGTCGGTTCCCAGGAATTCGATGATTTCAATTAGGAGCGCTGTCACCGAAGTACCCCGATATGTCGGAACTCGTCTTCATTAAACTGGATAACCAGTCGCAGCGCGAGATCGATGAATCGATAAGCAAAGGTTCCTCCTCCATTGCCAAAATCTACTCCAAAAGCGCATTTGCGGCAAGTTCGCAGACGCATCAAAAAAACACGCCGGTCTGGTCAAGGCGAACGTTGTCGACTACGAGACCATCACATCAAAAGCAAGTGTGCTCTGCTTCTGCCTAGATCGCTGCCCTGCGGTGAGTGGGAAAGGGAGTCCACCACCGCCGAGATACCTCGATGCGAGTGTTAAGTTCCTACTCACAACAACACTCCCATCAACACACTCCATACTCCCCGCATTTCGCGACAGACGGGTACTCCGCGCTGAAATCTCCCCATGCGACTACCTCATCATGGGAGCGGGCACCTAGGTGGACCCTCTGGACCAGCTGTATGTGATGCAGAATGGTTGGCCTGGTTTTCAGGGCTTTTGCACCACATCCAGCTAGCCGCATGGAGACACCGCCCACCGCAGGCCATGACGCTGTCATGACTGTCTGACGTCGTCAGACTGGAAGGATTTGCTGGAGGGGTTATGTGTGAACTTGTCTGCTATGCACCGGAGCGAGTCAGAGATGATGAAGCGTTCAAGCACTTTGTCTATGTTGCCCAAGGAACTGGATATGTCAAAGTGGCACCGGAGTTCAAGGAGCTAATCCTTTTGTACTTTTTGTACTTGAGGGCTTTGGGTTTCACCGTCATTGGGTCTGGGCATCCTTTGGCTTTGATCTGTGCAAGACAGCATATCATGGCAGAGCTCTTAGCTGATGTCCTCGATTGTAAGTTTGGGTTTCTGTGCAAAGTTGATGCAAGAGTTGGACATGTGCTAATTTACCCTCACTAGATTGCGGCGTGCCATTTGTTCGGGTTGTTGGTTTTGGCATGAAAGCATCTGCCCGGGAAACGTGGGACACACTTGACAGCTTGTTGAAAATGCCTGAGAACCAGCGGTGGGCCCGGCACTCTAGCTGGGACATTGGACCCTCGGTGCCCTGATGGACTTGGCCTCCACGCTGTTTGTATTCCGGCAGCGAGACTTTCGCCATTTGACATCCGATGAGATGAGAGGCAGCTTTGCAATGCGAATCTGGGAGTGCCAGTCCTGCAGAGAAAACTGGTCGAATGGTCGGAGTGGACAGGGAGCGCTCATCCGTGGACAGCCCTTGGTGGCGGTGACGAGGATGAGGAGGATTATGAAAGCGATGAGGATAAGGGGGAGGATGGCAACAACGGGGATTCCGACGACGGTGGCAACTGCGAGGATGATGGGGAAAACCGGGAGAGCATGGATGATGGCGAAGGGGATGGGGAAGGAGATGGTGAAGGAGAGGGTGTGGGGGTTGTGCGCGAAGGGGATGGCGAAGGAGAGGGTGTGGGGGTTGTGGCAGAAGCGGGACGCTGCGCCCGATGACAGGAACAGGAGCAGCGCCAAGAATCTCCAATACCGCGAGGATATGAACGCACGGCTTCGCCGCTACATGTTCAAGGTCGGGGAGAAAGAAGCCAAGGACATGGAAACGGAAAAGGAAAAGAAGAGGAGCAATGCTTCGACAAGTGCCGCGGACTCAATTTGAGATGCCGCCGCCGGGTGTGCCATTGCAAAATCATCCGCATGGTACACCAGAGGCGGAGATGCTTCTTATCCGCCGCTCAGGCTCAGAGCTATGCGACCACACAAACATCGGTGAACTGCTACTTCTCGTGGGACGAGTCTCCTTACACCTCTGGGCCGCCATGTCATCTACATAAGGCTGCGGCTCCTGCGTTGAGCCTGGATGGCAGGCGTCTCAGCAACTCAGCGTTCGTGCTATGATCGGGTCGATTTCACCGGCCGCACATCACGCCGTCACGAACAAAGAGTGAGTCAGAAAAAAACGGTCTCTGACATATTCTGCGTCGGCGTCCCCGTCCTCGTCTTCTTCTGCCACACGCACCCAATTTCAAGCTGTCAAAGAAAAGCTCCGCCTTCCGCTTGTTACGACTTTCATTTCTTCTAAATGACCAAATTTGCCGAACTTCTCGGGAACATAGCAGCGTGTCGAGTTCCGCAATGTTGCTCAGTAAAGTCAATCTTCGCCTCGCCCGCGTCAGCAAATACGGCTATCTGGCACACAAGGCTGCGTTCGCGCTGGCTCCTTGCCAGATCCCGGTCTTCAATACCATTGAGGGTATGTCCGCCAGTGGGTGTTGTGATGAATCCAAGGAAGGGAACGAAGACGACGACAACGCAAACACACCATGCTGCGGTGCTAGTGAAGGAGCCCCATACTGGCGGTGAACAAGAGTGCATCAGCAGCATCGTTTGTGAGGGTCTTCTATACGCGCATTTGGCTCTCGCTGGTTGACATAAGCGACGCGTAGGGGAGGTTGATGGCAGAGGGCCGAGCACATACGCGCTTCGCGACGGAATGCGAAGAAGTCACCGACCCCCGGTGAGATGCCAATCCCCAAGTTGGAACTGACGCCTTGTCCTCACCTGCCAGCCTAATCATTGGGGTTTAGCAGATGCATTTTGATGAAAAAATGTGGTCTTATTCACGCGTCTGCGTGCTCATGCAGTCCTGACTTCCGAGGGCTCCCCATCCCCGACCAAGGTGAGGAGAGAAGTCGGCAAACAAGTTACCTGCGATTCTCCAGCGAAACGTCACAACCCTGTCCTGTTCTTGGTATCTAGGACTCAGTGTCCTTCGTCGATAAGTGGCTCTTGGGGTTAGGATTGGAGTGTTCCTCAAAGACAGGTTGTCTTGAGTTTACTGGTACGTGCTTCTGCCCTCGACTGCGTTGTTTGGTTGGGCTCATTACTTCTCATTCTGTCTCGCAGGTGCAAAGCGCCCATCAAGGACGATCATCGCAGTATTGTCATTGTCGTTAAGTGGCTAGCGCCTCAAGATCGAACCTCGTGGTATATCTCCTCGTGCTCGGTTGTTGTGCTCAATGTTGTTCTTTGTTTTTGTAGACGGGAACCCTTACTGTACAGCCTTCCCGCGGCGACGCCTGTGAGTACTCGGCTCTGATTTGGCCGGGGGCAACCAATGGTCCAGTTTCAAGAACACATTGCGATGGTTATTATCTGTCCTAGCCTTTTGATGTTGACATAATGTATACATACATCTACATATGATTCCGAGATACTTTCGGTATCTCTACTTTCTCTCAATCTGAGCCGCAATGCGTATGGCAGAATATGCAAACACTCGGTATACCCAGGGTGCGGAGCGATATAGTTGTGCGGTAAGTGCAGCCAGATATGCATGGTGTACCGCATCTTTTGCAAAAGACACAGCGGCCAACATCATCCGTAACATGATGGCGTTTCCGATCGCAGCATTTCGGCACCACCACATCTCCTTCATTCCGTGTTGGGTTTGTTCGCTGGGTCCGCCGAAACGTTGACCCCGCTCCAAAGTCCGAACCCTTTTGCCAGCGTCATGAGTGTTGCGCAAACGCGCCATGAAAACGTAGCCGCTCGCCGATTACGAGTTCCCATCTCAAACGGTGGACGTCGCAGCTTCATGTGAGGATCTCGCACGCCTTTGAGGGTGAACACCTAGACATGTCTTAGTGTCATCCTTCTTCTGCACCTTTCCCTGCTTCGGCTGGTTGATGAGCTATGTGGTGCGGCTGGCGGCGGGTTGAGCGGCCGTAGGTTGAGCGGACTGAAGGCTGGGTGAAGCAGGAGCAGGCGTGGCAACGGATGTTGCGGTGTATAGGAGTGGTCCCGGTCGAGTCCTCCCTCTACAGTTACAATATGGCCCTCGGCAGACGCTGCCCCTTTCCCGGACCTTAGCCGTAACCCTAACTCCCAACAGTAACCCAATCATAACCCTAACTCAGTAGCTAGTTTATATCCCCAGTCATGTACTGTATATGATTTGTTGTTGAGTTTTTCTACTTGGAGTAGGCGCGCGAAGTCTGCGCCGGCTTTACTTTTTCTTCTTCTTCTTTACCCAATATACTTCTATATCCCCTGCCTACCGCAACGCCTTGCCTTGTTTCTCTCGTCGCCTTTGGTGTTTTGTGGGAGGCGTAGGGGTGTTGGGAATTCGCGCCGGCAGCATCTCTACGGTCTTGGAAGCTTCGCGGAAGTCCCTCGGAATGCAACGGCGACGTCGGTTTAAGTGAGATGCTGCTGCTGCTGCTGAATGGGGCATGGGGGGGGGGGGGCATGAATCCTGCTCACTTCGCGTTCGAAGTACCCGCTTTCTAACCCTACGCAGCCCCGGTCGCTCTTTCGTGTGGTTGGCGTTCTCGTTTGCAACGACGATTCAGGGCCTTCGAGCGACAACGTGTTTACAGCATCTGCCTGCTTTTGAATGCTTGCCGGTCATCTCTCGGACTGGGATAGCGTATCAATGAGGTCAGTGTGGTGTCTATTAATATAGCAGTCCATTCCACTACGGCAACCAGCGCTGAGCATGAAAGATCGGGCGCCGGGATGAAAGAGCGACATTTTGGGCATTTGAGTGATCTGAGCTCGGTTTGCGGGATCCAACATCGTGATGGCCAACATAATCAGAGGGAAGCTCAAATAGACGGAGAAGGTCTCAGAAGTTTGCCTTCCTAGAAGAATGATACCCTGTGGTGAAATCAACCGGGGCCGTGTAGCAAGATGATCGGCTGCGTCTACCGCCACATATTGGATTCCATGGATCTGGCGTATCTTCCGATACGTTGAAGTCTGCAGGCTCCAGATAGGGTGGCTCTTGCGTGTCGTTGGAATCAATTCACCCTGCCGTCCCGTTAGCAAAACAACAAAATTGGACACACTCCGGGCACAGCGTGGGTGGCGCTGCATTTCCCGAAAGCCTTGCGCAAGTCGGATTGCTCAGTACACGCGCCAGCGAGATTCCGCCGGTTATTGTGAGCAGAATCAGTTGGTGTATGGTCCTTGCGCTCATGAACTCCCTGAGGTATTGTCCATCCACATGTACGCTTTTGTTTTGTCTCGTCCAATCCGTCATTGGGCGGACATTTGAATGCGCGCTGTCGAATTGCTGTCAATGCTCCCGGTAATCTAACACTTGTTTTCCCCCGCAGCCCCTTTGCAAGCGAACGCGTGCCGCAGTCTGCATATATACGACCACGACCGCATTGAGTGGATGGATAATAGCATCATTAATGGGGGAAGTATCCGAGTTATAGCTGCTCTCACATGCTTCGTCGTCAAAATCAAGATGGCAGGAACATTCCATCCAAGGCCATATACCGGGCAGCGAAAAAAGCCCTGATTTTCATTTCACCTTGCGCATATAAAACCGCTGAGCATCGCAGCAGGACCTTCAAACTTTTCCAACCAAGTTCGTCGCTTACCGTCTTCAACGATAGACATCTCCAGAACCACTTTCCTCTGCCTCTCATAAAGCAACACGTTGATCAACGGACGACCCCTCATACATCTCCGAGCGCCCAGCCTTTCTCAGCAAATATACTCTCCGCCGTGACCTCAAAAACGACAAGCATGGCGAACTTTCCCACGATTCTACAATGCTTCCGGGCCTGGGCTCTCCTTGCATCGATCGCTTGGGTGTTGGTCTTGCTGACCTTTGCCCCGTCAGTTTATGCCGCGCCTGTTCTTCCTCCCGGGACGCTCGTCAATATCTCAGGTATAGTCCGCCGTTGAGACGATGTGTGATCGCTCAAAACGTTTTGTGCTCGAATCTTGAGACTGCAAGCTAATCTGCTGACCTTTCGATGAATCTCTCATTATCTCCACCAGCAGGTGTCGAAGTCACTCCGAGCAGTACTGCAATCTCGCGCCCTCCAGCTGCAACTGAAACCGCAGTCATACCCGTCGCCGCAACTAAGGGCAATGACTCCATTGCATCCAACCAGCTACTCGTCGACACTGTCGTCGCTCCGGCTCCGCTCGTCGCGGCTCCAAAGCCAGAGCCCACTGTCATGGCTGTCGATCTCACCAATGGAAACGACTCCATTGCGTCGTTTTCGGGACCTGTTGTCAAAGTGTGATGGACATGTGGCCCTAAATCAACGTGCTGTAGACAGATGGTACTTCATCCTAGTTGGACCTCTATATATCCTTCCTTCTATCGTCCTTGCGTCGTCGTATCTGGTCGTCTCCCTTTGTACATATGTAACATTCATTTGAATGCAAAAAGAACGGAAACCAACCGCATCGCACATATCACTTGACGCATATTCGAGGGAGAGTTTTGCTGAGTCACGTGGCAGCCTGCCAGATTTATATTCATCTATCTCCATGATGTCAGAAAAGCTGCGTTTGTTCGGCAACTCTCTCCACAGATCCCCAAGACACGACAAGACATCCCATCGATGTTCCTGCAAATCCCTCGCTCGCTGATTCTTTCGTCGATAATGCTGCCTTGGTGATCGCATACCGCCCGCTGAGAAGGTTCAGCCATGGTCGACAAGCGAAACCGCCTGTCATCTCCGAAAGAGCGTACAGTAGTACATTGACAGAAATGCTTCCTCCCTCAATCCGAAGGACCGTGCCTATCGACGCACCACCAAAACAACATGGCTAGGGAATCTTTCTTGGCGCAACTATACTCATCGGCTGACAGATCAGAGCCCAGTGACGGTGCGCCCTGTCCCACTCCATCGGTGGACGTCAATATGGAGCCAACAACGAGGATCGATGCCGCTGCGATCGAAAGGAACAAGGAGAACCGCACTGGTCGCGACCCCAACTCACCGTCTGCCCACGGACCCTCCTCCTCCTCTTCTTCGCTTCGGGGGAGCCGCTTTGCAAGTACAAGCTCTGCAACATCTTCACCCACCGTCTCTACCCACCGTCTCCACCCACCACAACGACCAAGCGCAAATACACCAAGCCGTCCCGCGACGCTGGGTCGAAATGAACAGCCGCCGAGGACTCGCCCGCCCTCCAGAACCGGAAAAGGAATACCCGTCAGGTGGACAGGGAGAACCGTACCCTCCGCGGCTAACTCGCCGCAACGAGGGAAGAAATCCGAGTCCTCAAAGCCGCCGCTGCCGCTGCGATCGACAAGAACAAGGAGAACCTCACTTGTCGCGACCCCAAATCATCGTCTGCCGCCGCCTCCTCCTCCTCCTCCTCCTTCAGGAGGGTTGGTTGGGCGCTGTGTATCCCCCTCCTTCCACTCCCGCACACACCCTCCACGAGGACGCCGAGAGCAATATTCAAGCCAACGGTCCTCCACCCGAAGTACACTGCCCGTATCGAGGACTCCTACGGTGGTCTCTATGGTTGTCTCCTCGAAGTTACCTTCTACCTGCCTCTCCAGCCTGCATCGGCTCATAATGGTGCTGCAAGCATGCGAACGTCCAATTCAACTTTCAACGTCAGGGCGGAATCAACTCCACGGCCTCACGGCATACTGTATGTGCAGTGTCGACCATTTTTCGTTTACCACCATTTGCGGCGCGGCCCAGTAACGTTTCAGGTCCCATTGCGTTTGGGCTCTAAAGGTATCATGGAAGAACGCCATCTCTCGGTATGACACGCCTAGTTCCCGCGACCATCGGCTCGTCGCAAACAGTGTAGCATAGAGGCAGCATACATGCAGCTTAAGATGAGTTGAGACTTGTGCTTTCGTTCGGATGGGCTGGTGTAGCTCCAACGCTCCCCCGCTCCTGTGGAATTTGCTTCCTTTCCTACAACATACAGTAGGATGCCGTTGGGGAGGTTACGACGGGCGCGTCGAAATTGACGGCGTTTGGGCTACTAGTCGCGGCTGGCCGGCCCCCAGTCAACCACGGTGACGTTCGCAGCAGGCCGGTGACTTCTGCTGGCCACAAAGATTTATTGACCGCGTAACCTCCCCGATGGCATCCTACTGTATCATGTAATAGAAAAGGAATCGCATGTATGTACAGTACATCGTAGGTGGTGCATGCTATGATGCGGCTACAGGGCGGTAGAGCAGCTATGATGTGGAATGGTTGTGGGGCTGGTGATTGTGGTTGTGGTTGTGGTTGTGGTTGTGGCAGTGCTCGATGCTGAGGTGCTTATGACAAGATGTGCCCGTCCATCTCCACCAGTATCCCATGCGGTTATGAGGTTTTCGGGTTCAGTTGTTCGGCCTATGTTGTGATGTGTGCGACGCGGCCGTCTTGATTGGCGGCTTGGGAGTCCGTCAACAAGGCGGCATCCGAGTACTTGGACCCGGCGTCGGAGGAGGACGAGAACGCCGACGACGACGACGACGACGAGGCGGACGGACCGCCGGAGGACTTGCCGCCTCGACAAGTCATTCCGTACGACGCGGCCGTCGCGATTGGCGGCTTGGGCGTCAGCCGACAAGCCCGCAGCCGAGAATTTGAAGCTTGCGTTCGACTTGGCCATTGTGGTGGGTGTGTGGTGGGTGGAGATGGGTGGTGACGATGGTGGGGAGGATGTTGGTTCGTGGTCCAGACGAAGGATGAGAGACAAAGGTTGGCGAGGGGTGGGCGGAAGGACACCTCGAAACACGATTTCCACTCATGTAGAGCACTCACTGCACTATCAATGCGAACATGCCGGCAACCGGCGTACATTCTCGCTTGTACGCTGGTTCTTTATGATGTTCTTCCTTTCCTTGTTCGCGCTGGTCAGGTTGCGAGGGTGTTGGTTGGAGGCGGATGACTTGCTATTGGGATCCGTGGTCGGATTCTCGTTTGCAACTCGCCAGTTCATCGGCAATCCCACATGACTTGGCACGAGCTTCGTTCCCAATGCGCCACCTGCCGCTCTCCCGCTTCGAGGAGTTGAATGAACGTATCCTGCAGATAATGATCCAAACTGAGCCAGAGAAGGCATCATGGCTTCTTGCTTTCAGGCGTGCACAGCTCGGCCGTAGACGGCAACATGTAAAGCCCCTCTTTGTGAGGATGAGGTGCTGATACTCCAGCTGCTCGGAGCCGCGCAAGAGATGAGGTACTACACGTCCAAATATTGCGCGCCTGCTCCGCCGCACGTAGAACTTGGCGCTTGCTCAAGTCCCTCTTCGCGACGCGACCGTCTCTGTTGGCGGCTTGGGAGGAGGAGAAGGAGGCTGAGGGTCCGGCGGCGGCTTGGAGGGCTCGGAGTTCTACCGTCATTGCCGTGAGTTGTTCCTCTAGATCGCGGTTCCGTCTTTCGAGATCCTCTCTTTCTTGGCAGCGACGCGGCCGTCTCTGTTGGCGGCTTGGGACTCGGTGGACAGGGCGGCATCGGAATACTTTGACCCTGCCTCGGACTTTAGCGCCGGCCTTTCTTGCCCATGATTGTTTGAGTGGTGTGGATGTGAATCATGATTGGGGGATGTGGATATTGGTAGTTGCGTCGCTGACTCCTTCTATCCTTCAATATTGACGCAAGTCGGCTGAGGTGCTTATGACAGGATGTGGGCGTACGGGGAGCTCCCTCGCCAGTCGTGGAAGTGGCAGTGGTTGTGGTGGGGTTGGTGGTGGTGGTGGTGGTGGTGGTGGCGTTTGCGGTTGGGATGCCTGCTTGGTGTTGCTCCCAAGCTAGCTTTGACGCCGTTCGTTCCTTCTGCAGCTTCCGTCGCAAAAACGGCAGCGCGGTTCTGACTTTCGTTTTCTTGAACATTCGTTCTCTCTTCGCTTTTCTTTGAGCGGTAGTTGTCATTGTATTGGTTCTACTGCGCGGTATTGAAAGATGGTGGATACCGTCAGAGCACGGGGCTATGTGGAACGGGGTGGTGGTGGTGCTAGCTGCGGTGCGTGCTACGTGCCGCTCCAAAGCTTGCTTGGATCTGGCTCGTTGTTTTTCGAGCTCGCGTTGTAAGGACTTCACCGCGGCCCGGCCGGCGATCGTCCTCCGCATCTTTTTGCATAGGCGTGCTCGCCTCGCTTGTTTCTGTGCTCCTGTTGTCATTGTCGCTTCTGCTGCGCGGGATTTGAAAGATGGTGGATACCGCAGAGTTCAGCTAACGGGCTATGAGGAACACAGATCTCAGTAGGCAGCCGGGTCTGACTATTACCTTGTATATGGGTTGATGTATATATGTGAGGAACAAGTTCGAGTGGGTGTCGACAGTGGTAATTAGTAAATGCACTGCCACCGTGCGCGACCCTTAATCGTTGAACCCCTACGCGTCTCTTTCAAACGGGCGGGCGGGGTCACTTCAGCGCACGGGCCTGAGAATCTACGAGTAGTCTCCTCAAGACCTCCCGCAGCAAACGTGTGGTCTTTCATGAACATCAGGACCGCGTGGAAATCTCACTATGTCCGTTGTACAGTAAACCACGTGATGACATGCTGTCAATGCAAGGGATTGATGGTGAGCTATGTTGAACGACGAAATGGAGATGTGCAGGCATGTACGGCATGACACTCACCATCAAGAGGGATGTCTTGGAATCCTTCCGAGACCCGCGGTATGAAATATCTCTGTCTCGTATCGATGATGCACAGCGAGGCTCAGCGAACCCGTCAAAGCATCCATGCTCTTGCATGTGGCTTGAGGAGACCATGTCCAGATCCAGTTGTTTCTTCCACTAAAACCGGGTTTAGCATGGGCCCCGTCCTGCGAAGTGCTGCCGCTCGCTTCATCTGGCGGTTTGTTTGCGTCTCGCAAGGGCAGCTCCGGTTTAGGTGCGAGAATTGATTCCTGGCGTCGCTCAACCATTGATGCGCAGGCGCATTGTTCATTCAAGTAAGGCCAGGGGTTTGTTGATGTGGCAGACTCACTGATCCCTCTACCTGTATATGTAGTGCTTGCTACAGTCCTTGCTGGATGTATATCCAGCAAGGTAACACTCAATCGCGGTCGATGCGCGAGGCACACGCGGTCTGAAATATCAAGGCCTTCATGTAGCGGATGTCGCACCCAGCAGCAAAGGCATCAGCAAGTTCCTCCTTTAGAGAGGAATTGGTTGATGCTTCAGCTGATAGTGTCCGCTACATTGATCTCCGATCTCCGCACAGAACAACATCATCCAATACCAGTCAACTGTTATCCATCAACGACAGAAGGGCTCTCCATGATCTTCACTCCTCGATGATCCACAGGCGAGACCTCTCTTTCTGGCGATTTGACGCAGGCAAAGAGAGCTTGTTGCGCTCATCCCCAGAAGTGAATGCAATAGGAGATGCTAATGGGTGCTGCTGACCGGCGGGGCGATCGACATCAACTTCTCCACAGAGCGCGCTCCCCTGGTTGTCTTCTCGAGCATTAGGCTGCCTTCCTTTCTCGCTTGACGAGCGTTCCCTAGAGTGCTTTGACACATAAAACGCGAGCTTCTACTAGATCCCGTTGCAGATTTTCTTCCTGCGCCTGTTGGTGGGATCTTAAACTCCCTTGCGGTAGCCTGTGAAAGATTAACTCCTCTGAGAACATTGGAACTCCCCCGTTTGGCTATTGAGTATCGTCCGTGGTAGGATCCGTGCAAGTGACGTTGTTCAAGATCTTATTTGCGCAGGTTCGCTGGAGTGGATGTTATCGTAGGCCCACGAACATTCCGCAAGATGAAAGCCGCGAAACAAGTGCTGCAAAGTTCTCCCATCTGGTGGTCAAGTCCACCTAGAGGGTCTAAGGCCTCCGAAGTATTACGGTGACAAACTCCGGCGAGACGTGGACATCCATCCAATGGGTGCCAAAAGCCTCCCAGATAGACGGTGACAACTGAACGTCATCCCTGCAAGAAGACGTTCCTGGCGGTCGAGTGTCTTTGCCCTGGTTGATGCATCACCTTCAGGGTGGCGGCGCATGTTAAGAACAGTCTCCTTTCGTTTGTGTACGTGATGAAGTTGAGGGAAGGTAGTCTTTGGCATGGAGAGACACGGTGAAGTAGTGCGTGGGGCGTTGAGAGAATAGGTGTTGTCGAAGGCCAATAGAGAGCGAAGAAGGAGCGGTTGCTATGGTGAAGTTTTGAGAGGGAATGGCGGTTATATTCGCGAGTCTCCCTGTTGACCTACGTTCAGTGCTGACTGAGTCCGCCCTTCTCTCGCATACGTCACCTTCAAGAGCGAGAGAGATGAAACAGAAAGACCACGTCCCTTTTCAAATCTTGCACATGGGCAGGCCGCGATGTTGGTGATCGCGGGTATCGGTCGATGGGTGCGAAGAAGGATTCATGTGGATAAGGCGGAAAAGACGAAGGCGGCGGCTGGGTGACGAAGGGCATGGACGGGATGATGTGTGCGTCCGCTTCTTCGGTTGAGTCCTCCTGTTGAAGGTTCATGGGTGCCGCTGGCTCTGAATCGCCCGGCCAAAAGCTGCGCCGGCTCATTACTAGGACCGGGTGTGTCCGCCCCCTCTCCATGTCCTGGGTGAGCGACGCAAAATCCGCGCCGCCACACTGCTCAGATTGATCTTCCGACCGGACACAAGTGCAGCTTTCTCCTCCCTCACGGAGCATGTCAAGCATTGGCGCAGAGCAAGTGCGTCTCCCATCTACCCTCATTTGAGCAAGATCTCCAACGCCCGCGGCGACGCAAATACGGGCCATCGTTTGATTGCACGGCTTTGATCTTCCGGCGCAGCGTGAACTCTTCAGTGATATCGTTTCCGAGAAAGTTCAGCAGGCGCCGAGACGTCCACCCCTAGAAGGGTCTCCTGACATTGAATCGCATTGGCGGAGGGTGCTGATCCACGTGGACGCTGTCGAGGGGAGGGGAAAAAAGTGAGTGGTTTTGCAAGAGAGATTCGAAACGTGCACCACGTAGCACACATGAAACTCGCCTACTCGCCCGTCCACCTACATGCAGCTTCGACACAAGATATATCATGGGGGGCTGATTCGCTTCTTCGACCCTACCCGCTAAATAGTCACGCGCCCCGACGTCGCCCAAACGCAAGGAACTCCTGCATACGCTGTGCCGTCTCTCTTGGCCGCTGATTCGTCTGCTCATATGGTTTGCGAGACAAAGCAGACTGATCCCGGTTTCAGGCGACAATCCCGGTTTTGAGATCGACCTCCAGGCACGAATTCTTGGACAGGTTAACCTCTCGCGAATCTACATGGTTGAGAATGTAGACCCGATTCCGTCCGGAAGGCCGTGCCCCGTTTGCGTGACAAAAGCCCACGAAGGACGTCTACCGCGTCGTCCATCATTCGCTGTTGTTGGTGGCTTCCCTGATGGCTCGGTCCTCATGGAAACGCAGGGCATTACCAGATTGGCGATACCCTGCCGAAGCAAGTTTCGTCCTCCTTGTATGGTGCCCAATGTTCGTTATGACTACCGATCCCTTCCGGTCTCAACTTGAAATTGGCAGCGGCCCTCCAGGTCCTAGGGACCGACGATGCAAATGCGTCTACAGCGGCGAAGGATTATGACGAACATTCTTTGTTGCCAGGGTGGGATTGTGGTGGATATCGGCGATAACCCAGGTTTCACCTTTAGCAATGGGCGCATCAGAAGAAGTGCCCACTGTAATAGTGGCCCGGTTTATAGCGACCGATGGTCGATAGGCGGTGATGGTAAAACCCTCGGTGTTGAACCGTCCGTAGAGCCAGGTTCCACGACACCGCCTTGCTTCTATCTCAGGTGGATTAGGTTGTGTCGGACGACCAGTGCTGAGAGCAGGAACACGATCTCGTTGGTGATGGTAATCGGCCGTCCGAGATCAAATGGAGAATATGGCGTGGGGAGCATACGCTTCCTGTTTTGCAGATGGGGTCCTTCCGAACCATAAATTACTATCGGTGGTGCTGCCCTCCCGGTCGGCTCCGTTATTACGACCGTATCGTCGCTCTTAGCATAAGGACTGCATATGCAGAATGAAGTGCCGTGGCGATTGCGTGAGTGCAAAATTCGCTGGTTGTGGGGCCCTGTTTCTGAGCCCGCAACATGCGGAGAGGTGTTCCAGAAGGGATGAGAGTTTTGCTTTTTGACAGCTTCCTCTAGTCATAGGAGAACGCGCTGTCGGATTCTCAATCCCACAGTAGGAGCGCACGTGACTTTCAATTCCGTTTAATTTTACAAGGATTGCAGAGGACTTGCGCCGTGCGGCGAGCAGGATGGAGTGTCATTGGGGGGAGCGAGGGAAGGATGGAACGGTATTTGCTATCTGATGTGTGGCATTTGCTCTTCTTGGGAAAGAAATAATGAACGATATCAAGAACGACGTACACCGTCATCGAGGATTAGATTCACAACAGTTTCCCCATGCAGGGAGCAGTTCGGGGAGTTAGCTAGTGCGGAGTCCGATGTTCGCAAAACCCAGATCCACTCAGTATCCCCAACTTCCCCGGTCCAAGTCCGATTTCTACCCCACGGGACAGCAAAGATCCAGTAGCCGCATCTAGCTGCAGAACTCAAACACCCCAGTTCCGGGGACCGGGGGTTGCTGCTGTTGTCGTAGTCCGCGCTCCCTCTGCCACTTGTTTGCTGCCTCACGTTCCCGCTTCCAAGATTTCCTCGACTCTTCCTTTGCTGCTGCCGGCCTTCCTGTTGCTATAGTCGTCGTTGCTGCAAAGCTAGCCTCTCGAACACCGTGCTTGAAGGGCAATCGGCGTGGGAGTGTGCATGTTATGTTGCACAAAAAGCCAAAAAAAGTGGCATACAAACCGTTCTTGGGAGGTGGAAACGGCATCCAGCTCATTGTATCCAAAGAGTCCCATCTGGACGACTTGAAACAATTTGGTCTGCAGAATGGAAAGTTCAGAAGGTATACGCCAGCGCCGCATGTATGCCGTCCCCAAGAACTTACATTCCCGACAGTATTCCCATCCAACAGCGGGATTGACTCGGGGCGACTGTCCTGGTTCAAGCATTGTTTGTTATGAGCTGCGGATTTCCATGGAGCCAATGACGCCATTCGAACATCCTGAATGCCGTAGATCGTGTCAGTCGGGCGAATTGCAAAGATGTGTGAGGCTACCCAGCGGAATTTACCAAATCCCTGGCTTTGAGCGTTTCCAGGGCAGCAGGATCCTGCACATCAAAGAGTGGGCAGTTAATTTGAAGACGCCTTGCTCCTAAAACCTTCCGGAAGTTGCTGCGTCTGCGGGAAGGAAACTTCGCTGCCATGCTCCATGCTGGGTTCGTTGTGTGTGTCTGTTTTGACAATTTGGCGAGTACCCTTTGCAGCAGCCTCGCCGCTCTCATATCGTCCTTAATCAACAGGTGCGAGCTTGACGGATGGCATTGACGGAGGTGCTCGTATCGGGGATGCTGGGGTGTTGCAATTGGAAAGGGCGTCCGCGACTTTCACATCCTTCGCCGCTTCCTTCTCCCTCTTCGCCTTGCAGAGCGCCTGTCGCTCTTCCGAATGAGAGTGTACGGCACTGGCCATAAACCTTGCTCTACATGCTGTCCGCTCAGTCCCCCAGCTTTCGCTTGTCGCAGCGAGTTGAACGCCTCCCATTTGCAGGTCCTTTCAGAGTGGGACGTAGGAACTCTCACTTCGACTTCAAGGACGACTTTGGGGTTGTTTTCGGGGTCTAGGAAAGACGTCTCCCAGCCCTTCCTGTGATTGGCGTCGGGCAGGAAGTCGAGTGTCAAAGTGCTGCTGGCAAAAAAGACCCGCAGCTCACATTTTGAAATAAAACACGTGACTTTGCGTGGTCCCCTTGATGAGTCAACATTGACGGGCGCGTTTTTCTGCGCAGCCGTCATTTCCGCTTCACCCCTAGCATCAATCCTTCTACGCGTTGAGGGTCTTCCCACCCACGATCTAGACATTCCAACCCAAGATGCTCAACACGTTCAAAACGCATACCTACTCATTAGTGGCAGGAATTATTATGCCACAACATGATTTCATTGGGACTATGCTCGATACTGCTCTGAAGCAATCTTGGCGTGAAACACATTCAATGGTCCATATGAGATCTCATGTCCGAACGAGGCTCGACACACGTTTTGCATCCAGGGAAGGACTTTCGAGGGGCGGTTTACGTCGGCCACATGCCAGAATGATTCATTTGCATCCAGGGAAGGACTTTCGAGGGGCGGTTTACGTGGCCCACATCCCAGAATGATTCATATTTACTTGCACCAATAAGTGAGCACACCGTTTTGCATCCAGGGAAGGACTTTCGAGGGACGGTTTACGTGGCCCACATCCCAGAATGATTCATATTTACTTGCACCAATAAGTGAGCTTGCGCGTCACGAAATCCCCTGGGAAAAAAAACCAAGTCAGACTTGGGTGATTCACCATGTCATGCCGCGCTTCGAGCAAAACACCGTTGTCCAATTTCGTAAGAAAAAGAAGCAGCCCCTAGGTGATTCGCATGGCCCCTCTCCGCGGACGAGGCCTAGACACAGCGAAGGCACAGCCTACCGTAGCGCGATAAGAGGTAAGGGACATGGTGATGAAAGAAAGACAAAGAGATTCGTCGGAATCCGCGGATTACCAATTCCGAGTGCACGATGCAGACCTGGGCCAGGAAACGCGCGTCCAAATCTCGCCAGGCGCTGCGCAAGGTGCAGTCGCGAGTCCAAAATCGTCTATAAAAGAGGCCTCGCTCGCCGTTCCCTTCTCACCTTTTTCCTCATCCAACTCGCTCTCTCCCAAGCATCCAATCAACACGGCATTGGGTCCGTGCCCTACCTAGTAGGGGTCCCCTGGGGGTCGATTTGTTACGCCCGAGCACTTGCGGTGGGTGCAGCTCTCTGCCACCTAGTCACCTCCGGGTGGCAGGGTCAATGGTTCTGCCTTCGGGGACCGTAGGAGAGTAAGGACTTGGTTGAATCGACCGAAACCGTGTCAGGTTCGTGGTAACACAATCTTTCACGACGTAAGTTGTATGGTTTGAGCGAGTTGCTTCTGAATTGCGTGCGGTTCTGGCTATCTTCCCTTCAGATAAGTACCTCCGATTTCGAGCTAAAAATCAACGTCGCACGTCCTGCTCTGATCATCGGCTCATATTTTCCTTTTCTTCGTCTCTTAGTCTCTTAGTCCCCACGTCGCTCGCTATCGCCGGAATCCGAATCTAGAGGTATAACGCTCTTCGATGTGTGATCCGCTCATCTTGTTCTTTTCTCTTTTGTAGGCGGGAACCCTCTGGACAGCCTTCTCGCGGCGGTTCCTGTGAGTACTCGGCTTTCGCTGGGGAAACCAATGGTCCAGCAAGACGTCTATGTTGTAGTGCTCTTACATTGTATTGATATATCTAAACCTACATATACATTCGCAATAAAATATCTTTTCTCCGTCCAATTCTGAGTTCTTGAAATTCTTGGGATTCTTCATACTTCCAATTGTGAAAAGATACAAGCTGGCTGCTATCCGCTCAAACGTGATGGAATATCATGATAGGTCATAGGCGTCCCGTTCGTTCATGTTCATTTTCCCGGAACCACATTGACGATGCGGTCTCCACAACGTCCTTTACCCACTGGCTCAACGGCGGTTCTGACTCTCCCGGACTTTGTAGTTGGAGCGAATGCGGTTAGAAAGGGATCCAAGGCCAGCGATTAGAAGCAAGCGCCAAGTCCTTCGTGCTACGTGCGGCGGAGAAGGAGCGCAATATTTGGACGTGTAGTACCTCATCTCTCGCGCGGCTTCGAACGGCTGGAGATCAGCACCTCTGTATGGCCGAGCTGTTCCTGTGGATGAAAAGGTTTGACATGTCACTCAGAGCGGAGACCAGCAACTGGAGCCTCAGCAACAATGTTCTTCCTATAGGAGGTACATACCTTGATTCACCCCTCATCGTTCCGCTGCAGGCTTCCAGGCGCCGCAGGTGAGTAGTCGTTTTCGACGCCTTCTTAAATGTGCTTGAGGAGGAGTTAAAAGTTGCTGGTTTCTTCGGCTCGTGGTGCTCGGGCAGAAATCTTTAGTGCAGGTATGTAGGTTTTGAGGTGTTTTGCCCAACTTTCGCGATTGGGCTTGACTAACGATGACCTTTTGATCTGCAATAGATGGGTCGTGGTCGATTTGGAGAGGAATCATCCCGTTCTGCGGACCTTCCTCAAGCTCCTCCCCAAGGCGGAGCACTCGATGTAGTATCCATAGTCTGGGTCCTATCGTGGTCTATGCACTTCAGCTGCCTACAGCATTCGCTCGCAGTGTGGCGAACGTAATGCAGCTCGTCTTCAGCGGAGCTCAGCCTAGTTTGGAGAACGGTTTACATTATACACTTCAAATTACAATCAACAACTCTGGGCTGTTCGGGAATCCTTTCGCACTTTTGATCAGTTGAAATGCATCTACTTCGGACCCTTTGTCTGTCGCTTCTACGGAAGGATATGTAATGGACAGATGGGTTTGCCAGGTTGACAACTAAGCAAGCTTGCAGGGATGTTCTGATGGGGGAAACCCACGTATCCAAACTATCACTGTTCTGTGAAAGACCAAAAGCCCAGGTTCAGAAATGCCCTTGTCGATTTTACATGACCGTGGAATGATGTTTTTGAACCAAGACCAGATTTTGGCGGCGGTGGACGTTTACGAAGTCTAGGAAGAAATCCCCATCATAACATCATGAGATCCACCGCCACCATACTATAAACACGGCATACATACCTTTCCAGCCCCCAAACTCCTCCCCGGCGTCCCAAATCCGCGGATTCCTCGGATTCAGCGTCTCTGTCCTCACACTACCGATTTGTCTGTGTTAACTTCTAGTGCCGGCTCTCGCCATTCATCCGGGACATTGACTGCCACGATGAGTGCACGCGCATGGCGTCGAAGTAGTCGGTGAGGGTGTCGAGGACGGGGTGATGGTCGCGGGGCTGAATGGGTCGTGGGGGTTTGGTGGGTGGTGGTGATTCAGGGTTTGGGAGGGGCTCGGAGAAAGTAGTACTCTGAGGAGAGCGGTGATGATGCTTGTACTGACCAATGCTCCCTCGGTGGGGATATCGCGTGCAAGTCCGGTTGCGCAGGCTGGTAACGTATCCGAAGAACGTGCAGCGACGCCCTGGGTCGATGGTCATTTGTCAACGTCTCAGGAGTGGGGGCACAGGGGTCGCTCTGCGCGTGCGATAGGATTGCGTGTTGGTGATTGAGGTGGGTGGGTGGTCCCGGGGAGGAAGATGTGCGCGCTGTGACTGGGCTTATTTACGTTGTCAGTCTGTGATGCCGCAATATGTGGTCGGTCGTGAGGAGAGGATTTCGATAGCTTCAATCGATGCCGGTCCCCTACCATTGTTGTGCTCGGACTCCGAGATGCATTAAGCCCCAACACCTGCCTCCCTTTCCCCGCCCTCTCCCCACCTACATTCACGAACCTCATCCCACCCTCCTCCCCATCACTCTCTTCACTCTCCGAATCAACATTTGCTCGGCTTCCCTCCCCCGTCTGCCCATCTTCGGTGCAATCTCACCCTCCCCCGGAACAAGGATGGCACTGCGAGCGTTTTCAAGCACATCTGATATCGGGCATGAGTTGTGGTTTCGTGTGGCTGTCCATGTGTGGAGAGGTGCGGCTGCGTACGACTGGTATGCGTGGAGCTGGCACTGACATGAGCTATCAAAAGAGTTCGAACTGACAGTCTTGCTATGGGATGAACGCGGCGTGCATAACGTTGAGTGGGAAAAGAAGGAAGTGTAGGGAAAAGGCAGGGGCGAGCGCTAGTTATTTTCGTTCGGTGCTGGGCGCAACTTATGGATGTTCGAGAGACTGAGAAACGCACTCTTACCCCCTTTTCTAGTTCCTTTATGGCTAAGGAAGATCCCTCTTGCCAATCCCTGTTTCGACGTTACGAGGACTCGCCCCGAGACTGCTGGGTGTCTGCTGGGTGTCCGTGTCCATCTTTCGGCGGTGAAAGAAAAACCTGTTTCGGCTCGCAACGCATCATATATAACTCGGGAGGCCACGGATGTTGTGTCTCCAGTGTCTCCTTGTCCAGTAGTCGAATTTCGCGCTGTGAGTTGATGTAACCGGAGACCAGGATGTTTCCGCCAAACACACCGCGGCTGCACACTGGACCTCACTGACGACACATAGGCCCTCTACCCGGAGGCAGTTCAGTAAGCCATCATCTTCAGTAAAGGCCGCTACGGCCACGTTCGTCGGTCCGGTGATTGTGATTGCATCCCTGTACTGGCTCGGGCCTACCCGCCAGGTGGACATGCTGTTCGCGTCGCGTCGAGCATTATAGCGCCCCCTGAGATGCGCACGTCCTTTCCGTCGTGCACAACCAGCCCGGCGTTGTTCGGCAATGTCTTCTTGGTCCCAATGATAACAGCGTTCTTGTCAGGTGGAAAGAACAGCGCGGGCACGCCCTTCAGCTTGTTGTCGGAACCCGCGAACACGATGCTGTTCGTCGGATAATCGATGGTCCCTGTCCTGCCGTTGTGCCGTGCTCAGGGGTGCGCCGCCCGTTGTCCAATCGGCATTGTCAACGGTGTCCTTGATCGCCAGCTTTTTGGTCCCCAGAGCATCGCGAGCGGCGCTCCTGCGAGCGCCCTGTACCCGCCCGCATCCGTCCCGACAAGAAACGCATTGGGAGCAGGCTGTGAGGCCGCAACCGTACCCAATGCGTCCGACCAGGGCTGAACGTCCGTTTCAAGGGCAAGGCCTAGCTCTCGTCGAAGGTCGGCGCCGCTCGCCACCCGATGCGAGCCGTTTCCGTCGACGATGATGAACGAACTAGAACCGGTGCCACTTTCCGTGATGGGGATGGTGATCCCGAAATTGATGGGCTTAAAGAACGTGATGAAACCGTCCGGAGATATGCGCATGCAGTCCGACATCCCCACCTTTGAGTTCGACGGTTCGTAGGCGATACAGAAGTTCTTGTGTGCATTGGCGCCCATGCGCCACCGGTAGGCTGGTGTGAGCCCTGTCGGACCCCAGCTGTCGGACACCGGCTGACAAGAGCTGCGGTGGATGATATTTGCTAAAGTGAGCGCGATGATGTGTGTGTTTGTTGTGAAGAAAAAACAGGGCTGGACTCATCCTCGTGGCTGGTTCTTAGTCAAGCAGGACCGGTCTTCTCTAGCGACGGCATCAGCGTCATCAGCGTTATCAAACACCGTATCCTGGCCTAAACAAAGGCGTCCATGAAATCCTTGCTCTCCTCACCCTGGTCACTTCATGTATAGATAGTTTGCGGTCCAGATGCTCTGCAATAACTCAGTCCCCGATTCAGCACCCATTCATCCGTGACAGAAGCCGTGATAGAATCCGTGATAGACTCCGCGATGGAGAGGCGCCCACTACACTGATCGGTTAGTATGGCGCGCGGAAGTATGTATTTGACAACGACGAAATTTCGATCTCCATCACGCGCACTTGTGAACATTGACATTGGGAGCAACACTTTTCATTCAATAAATATATAAATACAAAAAGAACGCGAACAAGGAGAACAAAACAACCGGTATAGGAGAGAGATGTTAGCCGGTGGGCATACGCGTAAAGTAAACATCTCAACAATTCAGCGTGGTACTCACGTTCAACGGCGCACGCTCGGAGCCCAAGGGCACGGCCCCGTCACCGCCTCTGCCAACGTCGGCGGCCCAAAGACAGGCAACCCCACCCCCTGATTATGGGAAATGAGAGGAAACAGATGCAGTTAGTAGAAATCCTTGTGATTCGAAGAGGATGACGATGTGAACAGTGATTCAACTTACCGGAAAGCCAACACCCGCAAAAAACGCCGCCCGGGCATCGAGCACCGCGGCGGCTGGTGCAGCCGCATCTGCGTACTGCAGTGGGTGGGGCTGCTGGTGAGGGGGGGTGGTGGTGTCGGTGGTGGTGGTGTTGGTGGTGGTGGGGTGCGCGGGGGTGGGTGGAGCGGGGGCGGAGGCGGAGGAGGAGGAGGAGGAAGCGGAGGCGGAGGAGGCGAACGAGGGGGCGGAGGGGGCGGAGGAGGCGGAGGAGGGTCCGACGGCGGCCCTGAGGAGGACGAGCTCCTCCGTCGCGGCCGCGAGTTGGGCGCGGAGGGCCCGGATCTCTCGCTCCGCGGCCATCACCGCAGCGCGGTGGTCTCTCTTTAGCTTGGAGACCGCCACCGAGTCTTCGGCTGCCGAGCAGAAGGAGCCGGCAGTCCTTTGTTCGCCGTTTTGGCATGGTTGATGGGAGACGGTGGTGATGTGGATGTGTATGTGGGTGTGGATGGTGGGAGGTGTTGCGACAAAGGATGGGTGGTGGGGGGCGGCAGGACACCTTGAATTTATAGACGATTTCCACTCATGTCGAGCACTCACCGCAGTATAGAGCACTCACTGCATTATGGACGCGGACGTGCCAACTGCAGACGCGCCAACTATACAAACGCGTCGAAAACAAGAGTGTCTCCCTCCCCCCTAATCTTCAAAGCTTCTGTAATTACGGGAGACGCGTTTGTCCTAAATTCCTTAATTGCGTTCCTCCCTTCTTTCTTTCTTCCCCCCCCGTTCTTTCTTCTTTCTATACCCCCCCGCGTTCCTTAATTGCTGCATGTCCACGATGATGGCATGTGAAAAGAAGGATGCGTCATACCATAAGCTTCATTAGTACTACTACTCTATGGGAGACGCGCAATCATCCACCACGCGTTCGCGCTTCATCCCTTCCTTCCTTCTTTCAACAACCCCTCGCTCTTGTCATCATGCTTTCCCACGTAAGTACGTATCATATCCCCCGCGGGCGAGGGAGAGAGAGAGATGTCTATCTACGCTTCTCCTTCTTTCGCCGTCGACTTCGAATCGCATTCTTCCACCCCTTCGAGCTTCACGCGGAGCAAAGCCAGGGAAAGATTCATAATGCTTTCCCACGCGCGAGAGAGATGGAGCGTGAGAGGTGGAGCGTGTGAGAGAGAGCGAGAGAGTGGTCCCTTTCTCTTATCCATCTATGCTTCTCCTTCTTCGCCGTCGACTTCGAAACGCAGACACACAGACACACAGACACACGCACAACACCCAACATATTGCTTCACTCTGGGAAACCCACCAATACGGGCCGCCGTCTGCACCAAGGCAAAGCGTTGGTTCGATTCTGGAGACGAAGGATACAGCCAGCACATCTAAGGCGCAATACCCTCCTCGCAGTTGATGATTAATGCTGTGGTTGAAGTTCGATGATTGATGATGATGGGTAATGCTGAACAATTGATGGTCGGTGGGCGATGGTCAGTGGCGGACATGGCCTCTGCAGCAATGACTTTGTGACTAACGGGAGACGTTGGACGAGGAGTTCGTAGCTTTTGTTCAATGGCGGGTGGGCTCAGAAAGTGCACGACACTCGCCGCGGGAGGTGAGCTCATACCGTGCTGTTTTGAATTGTAGCTCCACTGCCAGCTGGCACGTATGCTGAGGTCGTCCGTTAAGCACGCGCAGCCATTCGTTTCTCGGATGCATTCGAGAGGCGGAAGTGATGGTAGACGACCTTGGCTTGATGCGCCAAAGACCGGCGGCGTCACCAACATCACGCCAGTCGCACCCCACTCATGTAAAACTTCACCGCTATTAATCCTTTCAATTATTTTACCAAGGACCGTCCCAGCCGTGCATCTTAAGCGCTTCAAATATCAGGAACCGCCGCAGAGATACACCAAACTGTCGTACCGGGCGCCGTTTTCGTTGGAACTGCGATCGTCGCATTTCATGGACGACGCGGAAAACCCCGGGCATCTCGACCAGACTGTACGGTCTCTCGCCAGCCGCATACACCCACTCTTATGAATCACTATCAATCGACATCCCTGCGTATGCCAAATCTTTGAATTCATGGAACTTCCCTCTCGTTGTGCGGTTGCGAGGAGGGATGCAGGGTTGAACGACGAAGGTCCTCTCATGTTTCCTTCCTTCGACTCTCTCCTGTGGATGTCACATCAATGCTGAATCGTACTTTGAGAATCGTCAATCGCCGCGGCATCCCCATGCAGTCCGCAGTCCGCAGTCCGCAGTCGGCAGAAGCATCCTAGCGGAGGGTCCAGGTCATTGGATAGGACCGATCGGGCGTGCCTTGTCCGCGTGCTCTTGTTGGTGTTGTTGCGATAGGGCGGCCTCTAAGGTCCGTAGAGGTGGTGGTGGGAGTAGTCGTGTGGACAGCCGCGTCTTAATCAACCTACTTTAGAAATGTGAAGTGTTCCACAATGCATTCTAATCATTGGCCTCCTGTCCGCGTCCACCTCTGCATTGGTATATATATATACAGTATACGTATGTATACACCTGTTGAACCTCGAAGGAAGCAAGTTGTAACTGAGTTGTAGCAGTGCTGAAATCTAAAGTCACGTGTATGAACGCGAAATGCTACGAAAATTGTGCTCCTCATGATGAACGAACAACCTCTCCTGTTATATTTTCGTTTTTGCAGGGAGTATTTGCAAACTGAGGTCATTACCGAGACTACTACTGAGTATAAGGAGGTCTGAGGGGAAGCATGGCCAAGTCTCTTTCTCAAACCCTCTGTGAAGTCGAAGAACCGTACATACCTCGCCAAAACTTCTCGGCACCTCGAGCAGCTTTGGTTTGAAACTTAGTAGGTGAGAGAAGGCTGCGAACCAGGTGAATGTCTGTTCTCTGTACTTACCCTCCAGTTCCGAAGACGAAGTCTCCGCTCGTTCAATACACCATGGCCCCTCCCCAGTTGACGCGGAAACCCTGAACACCTTTCGAAACGCCCGGTGGTATGCTCCTACGGACTTCCCGAAAGGACCAACTGCCTCGCTGGGGCTCTCGACTACGCGAGCGTGCTTTGCAATCCTTTGGTAATGGTCGTGATGGTCAACCAGCGACCGACACGTGCACGACGTTGGTGAGGTCATGCATATATCTGAGCCTGTCTGACAGGGAATCAACTCAGGTATCTCTTCCTGCATGTGCATGCGCATACACGTATAGCAATTTGCTTAACCTTCTTCAATGAGCAGATTTAGGAGGACCAGCGGATTCTACACATCGGGGCTTCCAGCCTTGACTGCCTCGACAAGCTCACCTCATCACATGCTGGATGCCCCGCCTCCGCCCGTTTCAGTCCGGCTGAAAACTGAAGGAAGCGAGGATAACAGATTGGAAACGGCAAAGGCGTCGCCGCCGTACCCACGTACATATATCTGGGTGGTCAGGCACCAAATCTCGTTCGAAGAGAATATGCGGTACCGTAGAGCGAACAGGCCTGCAAGGAACGAAGACGTGGGGTGATGCAGCAACGTCATTACTTCGTTTTCTGCTTCGACTTTTCTGTTCGGATTTTCCAAAAATCTTAGTGGAGTCCACTGTACCTGCGTACAACAAGGAGAACGAAAATACCGGCCCGCCCGAAACTACACGCAGCTTCTGGATCAGCTCCCAGCGGAGGGTAAGGGCCAACATTCGCTCGTGGAAAAAACCAGTCGTTTGTGGCCGTATTGCAAACGAGCACCTGCGCGATTACAGCCAAGCTCGCGATGCAAATCCGCAGCTGACTTAAGGAGAGTATCTTGTGAAGCACGTAGACCCCAGCGTCGATCTGGTGGATTGGACCAAGAGCTATGGTGGCAACAAAAAGACCCGGCTGGAGACGCTTCGGGACGCCATTGCAGACTTACTAGTGTGGTTATGGAAGCCGGAGGCGGAGGAAGTTGAGTGCGGATAGTGATGTGATACAACAAACTAGGGTGATACGGCTCCATTTTTATCTTGGCAGCATGCGAGTAATATTCAAATTATTCGAAGTATTCAATGATATTGACTTTGAAAGCCTTCTATTCGCCAGCAGAAGATTCCCGTTGGAAGTACAACTTAAAGTAGCAGCGAATCTTCTAGATCCTGAAACTCCAGGTCAGATGTCGGAAGAAGTCATTGAGTAGCACATATAGATTCGCATTGGAGGGAGCTGATCTGGGACCTTCGAAGGCGCTTCGGTTTCTTTAGTAGAGGGACTCCGAACTGGGCTGCAGCTGGAAAGTTAATTGACGGAGCTTTGGGACTTTGCGAAACGCATGTATCATGGAGATCTCGATGCAATCAGACGAGGCGTTGGCATTCCTATAGTCACTGCGTTTGGGGTTTAGGTTTCAGTTTGTGTCTATTTTTCCTCGAAACGCACTATTACTCTGCCGCTTTCTCTTGCAGAGGTACAAAGTCAGCGGAGGTCGCGACATCGCCCTCCTCGTCCATTATAGATCTGAATCCCCCTCGGAGGTAGTCTCTGAGGCGCTTTCCACCCTCCATGATGTAGACGATCGAAACAAGAACGGACGACGCTACAAACAGGCCAAAACCACTACCAACGAACGCAAGAAGCATTGACAGAGTAGTGTAGTCAACCGTATAATGTTTCCCATCCACAACGACGTCCCCATCCGGATCGTAGAGCCAGTCGCGCGCGCATATCTCCTCATAGCGCAAATAGTTGAACGGCATCGGAGTCTCCGCAAGGGTCGTGGGGTCACGGTAGACTTTGCCGGAGCGGTTGTACGTGAGGTCCACCCAGGTCGTGCTCGTCTGTGTTCTGTTGGCACAAACGCCTTCGAACTGATCGACAGAATGACATATCCCTGTTCCGGACGACCGAGGAGATGCTAACCAAGTTGTCGTTCAGGAACAAACGCTCTAACTTGGTGCAGTTCCACAACTCGTGGTGGAACTTGGGAATGAAGTCGGCGCTGCTGTAGCGCAGGCCGAGCACCTGGAGGGAGCTCTTGTTGGCCTTGATGGCCTTGGCGAATTCGTCAACGCCCACCTTCATCAGGCGGTTCTGGCTCAACTCAAGCTCTAGCTCCCTCAAGAGTGTGCAGCCGACCTCCTTGGTTTGGCGATCCCCGAGGTCCTTCAACCCGACCAAGAGAACGATGGCCTCCTCATGCCCCAAGCCACAATTTGCGAGTTTGAGCACCTCCAAATTGGTGCACATGAGGACCATCGACTTGAGGAGGTCAACGCAGCCCTTGCCCAACGCTTTACCCGAAAGATCCAACGATGTAAGCTTTTCCCAGCGAATAGCGTCTAGGAAATAGGACAAGGTCTCTCAGCCGGCCTCTATGTTCTGACCGTTGAGGATGCTTGAAAGGGCAAGCTTTGTGGGCGCAGCTTTCGCTTTCTTGAGGAAACTGGCGATAACTTTGGCAGCTGGAGGGGCCATGCCAACGCCATCGATGATGAAGTCGTCGATGGTGAGTACTTGGAGATAAGGCCCAAAGAAAGCGACACTTTCGACCGTTTCGAAGCGGTGCATCGCGATGGGCGTCCTTTTGGTCGGCGTGCAGGTCAACTTGGAGCCGTTGACGCTCATGCAAGTTGGAATGATGTACTTGTTGAAGATCTCCAAAGCGAGAGAGCGAAAGGTGGCAATTGCGTTCGATATGTAGCGTATGGTACGTTATCATGAATCACCATCAGGGGGTCTTGTCTGTGTGTTGTATGCGAGCATCAAACTCGGCTTTCCAGACCCATCCGTTTGCACTCCGTTTGTGTGCGAGAGCGCGCAGGGTTCAGCGCAGGGTTCCTGTGCTTTTTCGAACGGGACGCTTTTCGTTTTTATTTCCGGGCAAACTTCGTATACTTTTCCCCAGTTTACTCTGAACCCCATTCCTTATCCTGAGCAACGTCGCCTCTGCATGCATATGTAGTACATCGGGGTGCGGTAGTATCGGCGGCCTTCAGTTTTCCTGGGAAGGACCTACTCAGCGCGCAGGGAAGTGTTTCGGAATGGAGTCGTGCCCATGTACCATCGGTCACGCAATGGCGATCCTCATCTCAAAGTTGCACCCGCTCTTGCCTTCGTCTCAAACGCCAATCAGCCAGGGCGGACGACCGAAACAAGGCCACGCCAGGAGGTCGTCGTGGAATTTCGCGGGCGTCACAATGGATCACGACATCATGAGTCTATATCGGCAGTGCTCAAGACGCAATTCATCTCGCTATGTGCGACGGCTATGTTGCGTAACGGTACAGCTCGCCAGACGCTTGCCCTTTCCAGGTGAGACACTGCAAAAGTCAATGACGTTCTGTACCGGTCCTAAGCTTAGTTTCTCCCCAGCAATCGTCGTCGTTCCAATGTCAGCCGCCTGAACCGTCTCAAATTTCGTGCACCGGATACCACCGATCAGTTGCAGCTTACGACCGACGCCAGCAGAGCAGGATAACGGATAAGCGCAACGACGGAGCTTATCGTAACCTTGGACTTACACTACTTCGCTCTCTCTCCCTAGTGGGCTCGGTAACTTTCGTTCAGAAGCGGCAGCCGATAATTGCCCTAACCGTTACAATCACCACGCCTATCAGCAGCATCACCGACGTGATCGCATGCCCCGGACCGTTAACGGGGGCCCGCGGACAGGAGACGTGCCGGTGAGAGTCCACAACACCACCAGCGGCGGCCTGCGCAGTGCGCAGTGCGGATAATCGGAGACTGCGGAGATGCGACGCGAGAGGATCTGCGACGGAGAGGTTTCTTGTTCCGCGAATGTTCACCTCTGTTCCCAATTTCCGACCCCTGGCCTCCTGCCAGGCTCCTTCTTCCTGGCCTCCTGTAAGGGTCCTTCTTCTGGTGTGCTGTGAGCGTTAATATTCAACAACCCTCGACAAATCCTGTTCGGCTGAGATTGTCGACGGCATCGGACAACTAGGTAATGAAGAATTGTCGGCCACTCTCGGGAAGCTTTCCGGCATGCTCAAATTCAGCTGGGCGACCTTCTGCCAGCAACTCGCGCTGGGAGTCTGGGACCGGCGCACGCCCACGTTTCGCTGACTGTACTCTGAGAAAGAATATTCGGACATTCATCGGTCATGCGACTCTCGTCAAGGATCAGCAAGAGGCACTTTGAAAAGAAGCGACAAAACGAGCTGACTAAGAAAGTCAGGGATACGTCAAGGATGCGTCAACGTTGCGAAGAACGAGAAGCCCTTCATCGTTTTGACCTGGACGGAAGCGGGAGAGACGCAGCATCCGATGGAGCAGGATCATGTGAACTGACAATCATGACCCTACTACACGTAGAACCAAGAGGGAGTAGAGAGACGGAAAGGTTCGAAAGAGGTGCATCTGTCATTCGAGAACAGCGGGATGCGCGCGGCGGCTTTTTTTGTAGCCGGCATCGGCATTAGAATCATAGTGTGTGCTCAGTATTTGCTATTACATTCGAACCCTAATCAAGAGTACGGAAACCTGGCGGAAACGGCTGAATTTGAACCGAACGCCTCCTCGTGTGGCGCAGCGATCGTAACCTCAATTTCAATTGGAAATTGAGGTCAGATTGAGGTTGTCGTCCCACCATTGACCAGCCCGAAATCATTGGCCTAGTCCGACCCTCAGAATCGAGAGTATCGCCATGAAGAGGACGGAAGAGGTGGAGAGGTGAAGAAGAGAGCAGTGGACTCTGGGCACTTGTGCTTAGCATCTCCGCTGCTTTACTGTCCTTCGCACGCAGATAGTAATGTACGAAACTGATAAGTTCCCTGCTTCCACTTCCCGTGAGCACATCAGAGAGACAGAGGTTGAATCTCGCTTCCCTTACGTAGGTGCCAACATTCGGCCTCCTCTACACACCTACTGCTCGCATGTCTACGGAATGTCACATGAGTTCAAGCCGCGCTATGGGACCGTCCGCAAGTGGTTTCGGATGTGATCCACCGCTCGCATGCTAGCCCGTTCGAGGAAACACAACACCGATGGAATTTCATATCGAGTCATGGCGAGCAACAGCGTCTGGACATCCTGCGGCATTGGGTACGGAGCGCGGGAAGGATTTCTGCGTGCCATTCAGGTTTGCGCATTTCTGGAGACGATCCACAGGAGGGAATAATTTGCTCTCCGTTGAAGCACACCTTCGGCAGGACATCTGATGCATATCGGCTATGCCACAACAATGGACAACTTCGCTTCGTTTTTCAACTGCAGCCTGCCACATCCTCTCCTGCGGTTGACGACAGGTGTGGATGAACTGAAGTGTAGTACGACAGCTTGCTGCATCGCAGTCTGTCACCCGTCTGTCTGGAAGTCTGCACCACTGGCCGGAACCAGGGTTATTCCAATTCTTCCTACTCTCCGAAAAATGGACGAACGCCGGATTGGAAAGGAAAAGGCGCGGGACATCGCTGCAACGGCTTTCCCGATGGACAGCGTCAACAGTACACTGCTCGGTCGAAGGGAGCTTCAAGACATCGTGCGACAACCTTGGTAGCTTGAGACCGCATGACACTCAAACTGGGGAAAGCGACACCTGCAGGCGGTGTATCTGAGCTTCGAGGGTCCCAGCGGACTTATCCCGGACCAACGACATGGATGAGCACGCTTATCCCCATTCAGCTCCGTGCTTCTTCAAACGTCGAAGCCGATCAAAAACCTCACGCTAAACCGAGCTGATATATCATCGCCGCGGCTCGTCGTACGGCTTGAAGGTCCGGGGGACTACTCCGACGCAGAGGCTAAGGTAAACAAACGTAAGGTAAACGTAAGGCAGCGTGCCTGTTGCTACTGTATTGGTTGAGTAGGGGCAAAAGAATGAACCCTCGGATAGGGAGAACGAGACGTGCGAGAGTGCGCGAAGCCGTCGTGAAATGGAAATGAGATTGTTTTCGGTCATGGTTACATGCATCGACAAGGTGTTTTCACGGAATGTATGCTGGGGAGAAGACCGTATCACCCGGGTACTGCCTAATAGGAGCGTCACCAGCCGACGGCCGGGATATGCTTCGCTCCCCAAACTCAAGTCGTGCTCTGAGAATGTGATGCACCAGAGCAAAGGACGATACATCGGCATTAGAAGCGTCACCGGCCAACGGCCGGGATATGCTTCGCTTTCCAAACGCAACTCGTGCTGTGGGAATGTGATGCACCAGAGAAAGGGACGATACATCCGCATTAGAAGCGTCACCAGCCAACGGCCGGGATATGCTACCCCCCCTTATCAACTCGTGCTGTGGGGACTGTGATGAATGAACTGTACACCTCTATTCTCCTTGGGATCTTCTTCGAGCGTCACCAGCCAAAGGCCGGAATCTGCTACTCCCATCTGTGAAAACCTTACCCGACTTGCAGAATCGCGTGGCATGGGAAAAGGTGATGATAAACCAGAGAAGCGAACAGGATGTCCGTATCATCCATGGCACCGCATCCTCCCTCCCCATTGCCAGCTCATCGTTGCGAACCTTGGGTGGATCGCCGAACCGCGTGCGCGAAGGCGGACAACGGAGAAACGGACAGTGCATCCGTATCATCTCCGCCACCGTCTTGGAGCGTCGTGACGAAGGCGGAGGACAAAGAAACGGACAGTACATCCGTATCATCCCTGCCCCCCGCCTTCCAGCGCCGTGAGGAAGGCAAAGAACGAAGAAACGGACAATGCATCCGTATCATCCACGTTCCCGCCTTAGGAGACTTTTCTGGCCTCCGATGAAGATTGCCAACTTGCAAGTGAGGACGCCCGAGGAAGACTGCGGCTCTTTCTATATGTGGGGGCGCGGCGGAAGAAAACATTCTGGCGATGCTTTCTTGCACTTGTCCTACGCTCACTGCTCGTCAGATTTGGCGGTTCCAAAATGCATTCAGAGAGCAGTCGCAGCAAGCAGAGCATCGCCAATGGAACATCCAGATCCAACCCCCATCACCTCACAAACACATCCTAACTTCCTCCCCACCACATCCACATCTACTCCCTCATCACATTACATTACATTACCTTACATCACGTCACAACATGGGCAAGCGATGGCAAAAACCTCATAACCGCCCAGGATGGGACCGCATATCTACAAAAAAAATCAAAATATGTTGTGGAAATAGTGCTCTTCGTCCCGAACTGAGTTGATTGATTGATCGTTCCTTGCATCGGAACCGACCCCCTTTATATGTACACAGTGGTCGTTTCCTCTAGAAGGAAGGGATGAGGTCTCTTTGCCCGCCGAACCCAAGAAGCCATCCCAAGCCCGAGAGGAAATAGGCCCTACCAAAGACGCCAATTTGTCCGGTGTTCGGCGGGACGAAAACCAGGATGTGGTGATCTAAATAAGTTTGAGCCAGGATGGGGGTGGCAAGTAGATCACGAACAGGGAAGGGCACCCGCCGAGCCATAGACGCTCGCGGACTTGATTTTCCTGAGAGTAATCCGCAACCGTATAAGCGGCGAAGGGCACGTTCGAGATGAGACGTACCGGTCCCTGCATGCCCGCTTTGATAGACCTCAGCGTCCGGACAGCATGCACAAGGCCACACTACCAGACATGGTAATCTAATCTACCCCATGATCTAAACTAATGCACCAAGGAAGCAGCGAGGACAGCACCCTCTTTCTTATCCGTATTACGGTATTACCTGCCTTGCTATTTTGGGCCGACTTTGCACGAGCCCCATCCAGCGAGAATTTGTGCTGACAGGTTGACGGCTCGCCGTTCACTACCGGCATCTCGGAACCGCGGCACACTGTCAGAACGGCTGTCAAAATTAGCTCTCATTGATTCTAATCTACCCCTTCAATCAACATTCATTCGCACATCGGCCATTCACGTTTGTCGTTGTTTCGGCAGTAAACCAATTGTTGATATGTGTGGATTATATGGATATGATGGCAATACGCATTCAGAGACGGGTCGTGAGGTTGTGCTGACGACCGATGGGAAATGGGGGCAAGCGCGTGTGGGTATTATTGGCAGGCGAGTGTGGGGTTAACGGCAAGCGTGTGGGTTTGATGGGCAGGCGAGTGTGGGATTACAGAGAGTGCAGGATGTCAGTAATACTGCGAGGGCTTGTTAGAATAGGGGGTGAATAACCATCCACTGTCGTTCATCCCAACTAACAGCCTCCCTGCGCTTTACGTGCTCCTAGTATATGACGCCGAAGGTGATATGCAGGTCAAAACCAAAACGACACTACCGGCGAAGCGTGAGCCAGCTCGAATGGACGGAGACTACGCCAGCAAGAGAACAGGAGGCTGAGGTTCCTCACATGCTGGGCCACATCAACATGCCGTCTGGCTTTGCGGGTAAGTCGCTTCTTGTTCGGCTGCGGCACTCACTCTGAATTGGGCTTTGGCTTCTCCCGCTGACCTCGACAAAAACGAGAGCAAACGAAGAAACAGCTACAGCGCGCTGCCGCCATCGCCGCTCAAGCTGGCGAAAAAGCAGATGAAAAAAAGAGGCGACACAGGAAACCCAGCAAAGGGTACGACGCTCTGCAAGTCAAATACAACACAGTCCTCGGCCGACAGGCTCTCTTTGAGCAAGAGTTTTAGCAGCACACTCTGAACAATCAGCGATCCACCCAGGTTCCGCCTTCCTCAACCCAACAGCATCCTGTGGCGCTCGCTGCCCAACAACTGGGCACGGAATTTCCTGCTCTCGTTGGTTTAGGTGGCCTCAACCTAGCAGGTGTCCAAGGTCCCGCAGGCCAACTGAATCTCAACCACGTGCAATCCGCCACCAAAGCAGCCAACCACCACCTCGGTCCCGACTACGTCATGCCGCCTCAACAGCAGCAGCAATATTTGCAGCTTGCGCTTGCGTCCGCCATCGCCGAGCAAGTCTTGGAAATGCGCACGCACTTTTATTCGGGGTTATATATCCGCACTCAGCCCTCGATCGCAGCATTCGTAAGTGTGAATCAACCCAGGTTCACCATTCTCAGAACTCCCTGCTACTTCTTCAGATCTCAGTTAAGATAATGAACTCAGTGCTAACTCTATCTTTTTCCCCTCATAATAGAAGAATCAGCTCCCCGTGCAGGGCATGATGTCGCTGTTGGAATCCCCAACGAACGTGCCTGCGGAGCCCCGTCTGTTAGGTTTTGGGGAATGATGATGGTGAGTACACGGTGAATTGCCGAGATCTTCACCACTGGCTACAATCTTCTTTCTAGATTCGGGTCGTTTCGACAATATCGCAAATAGATGTGATCGGAAAGCGGCGTGCTATCCCCTCCCCACTTCCATCCGCTCATCCCTCGGCATAGAAGAGGAGCCCAGGGGGAAGGAGACCAAGAGGACGGAGAAGAGGATGGAGGAGAGGCGCTTTTGAAGAAACTGGAACGCAGAGGTATGTCTGGAGGTACGGGAGTTGCTATTCCACCCCGCTCACCTTCTCGTTGGTTTTACTCTTCTTCGATATTAACGTTCCTCTTGGCTCTCTCATTTTGACAGGCACAGGCCGAGCGAGGATATTGCCGCTGAGGCAAGGAAGGACCTGGAGGCTGAGCGTCAGCGTAGGGCGTGGAAACGCCGCAGGGCATAACGAAAGTTGTTTACAACTGCGCAACGCATTCAACGAGAAGAGATTTCGCGGCATCATGACCACCAAGGAGAAGATGAAACTTGTGAAGATGGTGACAGGCGTGCAGGCATGGGGAGAAAGGGAAAGTTGGGATTTGACGGTGCAGGAGGCGGAGAGGGATCTGGACGAGGTGCCGATGCGATCTTGGCAGCGTACGAGGCCGCGGCACAACCAAAAACGCCGGTTCCAACCGCAAGTCCACATCGTGTCGTCGCGCCATCGTTCTTCAAGGTCATTCACGGTCTGGACAGCGTCGATGACCAACGGTTCGAACAACTGGATAAGAAAGACACCTACGCCGAGCTGGCCAAGCTCGCTGAACGCCGGTTCAGCGAGAACACCTTGAAAGAAACGACCGAGATCGTGAGCGCAAAGCTCGAGGAAGCCAATAAAACCCGCCGTCGACATCGTCGCTGCTGAGCAGCCGTTCCTGCCACCGCTACCCCTACTCATCCCATGGCACGATAAGCTGGGATTGGCAGTGGAAGCGTACTGGGCACCGACACAGGAACCGTCGCTGCAAACGCCAAGTCCGCTTCTGCATCCGACGCCATCTGCAGAAATGTCTCGAAGACGTCCTGCAGGGAAAATACGTTCGTGCACTCGGACACACACACGGGCTTTCAGCGTCGGGGTGGGACGTTATCATGTTGTGACCGGACTGAAATGGACTCTCATTGACTTTGGGACCTGGATTGACCTTTCTTGACTTCTTCCCTTTACTTCGTATTATAGGACGTACAATAAATTTCTGGCTTCGAATCGGACGAGGATTGGGTGTTCTTTGTACCTAGCTTTGTTTGTAATATATGGCATTGGTATGGGGCGGAATGAGGAATCGAATGTTCGCTTCTTTGTCTATAGCCTAATACATGGTCTTTCCAAGATTCCAAAGAAACGTGCCGTTTTCCGTATCCGAATGATGTGCGGATGGCGGAATATGAGACCAGAGTGCTTAACGATTTCGGACCACACGATGACTTGTATATGCGTCTTTTCTTTTGGACTCCTCTCATTCACCTTCCACTTGGACATTTGCACCATAGAAAGGCTACGCATGAATTAACTCTTAAATGTACAAGAAAAATGGCGACCCAAAACGCAGTCGCAGCGTCCACCCATGCCGAGAATCTGGGCACTACAAAGCTTCACATTTGGCTCCCATTCGATGTTCGAGAGGTAGGTCTCCAACAGATGGCATGAGACGACGAAAAACTTGCCGGGCCACAAAAAACAAATCTAAGCTAGCACTATCGTCCTCACTCCCATCCTTCTCAAGGGCAATCAGTAGTTCCTCGCCGGAGTCCCGCCACTGGGCTTTTGTGGTTGCGAAGCACTGACATTTCCAACCGCCCCCCCCTGCATGCTCATTTCTGGTGTAGCGACTTGTGGTTGCGGAGCACTGACATTTCCGACCGGCCCCCCGTGCATGCTCATTCCTGGTGTAGCGACTTGCGAACTATCTCTGCTTATGTTGGGATCCGCGTAAGCGGTCGTTACGGTGGTTGCGGCCGAGGTAGTTGAGGGTGCAGTGGTGCTGAGACCTGCAGAGGCAGTCTCAGGGGCAGTGAACGTTCGGGTGCCGGGAGTGCTGACACCAGGGTTCTGCCCAGGGGAAGCAACACTCGCAGTTGCCGTAGCGGCGGCGGCGCGTTTCTTGGGATAGAAGTACATTAATACCACATATGGTGCATTGGCCCGACGCCTGGAGAGGTAGTAGAGCAAACTTACCTTGGCCCGCCCCCGCCAGCGCTTCTTCCCTGTCGGGCGTGGGGGCCTACTAGGGCGAGGACCATCGTCCCCGCAGACCGCCATGCGGTCCCAGCCACTGCGGTTGTGGGGTTTGTTCTTTCGCAGTTTGTTGGTTCGCTTTCGCTTGACCATGTTTGGATGTGATGGCGCTGCGATGTTTGGAACTTGCAAGTCGACGCGTCCAGCAGTCCCCATTTGAAGTGGTCGTCAATCGTCCGAGTCGTCCGTCCGTCCGGACATCGGCAACGCAGCAGCAACGCCCCTAATAAGCTCACTTCGTACATAGGTCCGACATCCATCCGAACACTCTGGACAGCAGTGATGAGCGCTGCCCAAATACAGTATCTTTCGCCAGAACTGTATTCTTCGTCCGGGCACCGTACTCCAGAACCCAATGTCTTGCAGTCCTGGAGGTGGAGGACGTGGAGGGATGTGGCGCTAAAGGCTCTGCACCGGAGAGCGATCAAAGCATGTTGAACGAAGAGAAGTCAGCATCAAGCAAACTAAACACCTGACAATCAGACAGTCATGGATACCATTTGACCCCGAGCCCGAGGTGTGCCTCAACTTCAGCAAGGCGGAACGTGAGGATATGGTGTGGAGACGGTCCCGCACTTGAGTTGTGGAGCCTTGCTGGACTGCGGAGTCTGCGCATCCCCGATATGAAATTCGCTAGTTCACTCATAGAGTGCCTGGCTTGTTGGAGCGTCCACCACCACACCTTCCCATACAAGCTACGAAACGACAGTTGCTAATGCAGGATGTCAGGGAGCGGATTCGGAGAATGCCAGCATTGTCGGGAAGATGTCTTGCAGGCAGGAATGGTGCTTAGGATGATCTCAGCTCCGCTCATCAGCCCTGGGCTCTTCATTTCCCAGCTCGTAGGGCTTGAGCCTTTCACTAACGCCTCACTTTTAGTGAGCTGTGACTAGACGGCACTGGGGTGTCGGTTCGGGGAGCGGTTCGGCGCCAGCACTGACAACGTTGTCATTGTCGCCACTCTCGCTCTCGCCCGCATGCACGAGCTTCTTGAGTTCCGCTGACCATTTTACGGTATTCAAGCGCTCCGGTCGCAAGATGCGCCTTTGAAAAACTACGTAGCATCTACGAGGAGGACGGTAAACGTTTCATCTTGACGGACCACGACATTTGCATATCGGACATATCTGGCGGGAGGTTGACCAAGGCGCTGATCCGAGCAATGGACGGAAATTCTGGAGACAGGATCAGCACGGAACTCGAACTGACACGAACTCGAACTGACACGAACCAATTGAGACGGGTGTGAAGCATCCCGAACGTCGCGCCCTCTCCGGATATCCTCGAGGACTCGACGACGTCGGGATCGCTGCAGTGGTTTGACAAGACTAATGGATGCGTGGTAAGCCCAACAATATTGATGTCGAGCCCTGTCACACCCCACTGACTCTCATCAGTTTTTCTGCTAGCACTTTCAGATGGGAAAATCCCCACGCTGATGAAGCCGTTGCAAGACCCGACGCCAAGGTCGTGCGGACGCCGCAATCAGCTGAACCTGCGCAAGCAAAAGCGGTCATCATGTCAATGAGGGATGTAGCTTTCACCACCTTCATTCCAGCGGCTCAGATTACGCATGCTCGGCGCGCACTCCTCTGTTTTCAAAACTGCCAATGGGCGCGGCAATCGCGGTAGTAAAGCCATTATTCGTCTTTATGGAACAGCTGAGAAAAGTTGGGTGCATTGATAGCGGAACTAACCATGCTGCGTGCGTTAATCTTCATGGTACGTTCGCCCTCGGGCATTCCTGCATCATCACTCACACATCATCCATCCGTCACAGGAAAGATGTACACGTGGGGAATAGGCAGCCAGGACAGAAAATCTTAGCTGCCATAATCGCGGCTTCCCCCTGGTCCCTCGGGGCATTGGTACGGCTCGGACATGACGGCATGCGCGCATAGACTCGCGTGTTTGCGGTTTCCACAAACTCGTCCAAGCGAGCCAGAACCATCACAAAGGCCGAGCACTGGGGTTCGTAGGTAGTGAGCCATGCGTGCGCAACTTGACGGAGACGAAATGTTCATGGTCAGCTGGCATTGGGCGTGAGCGGATTGGACATCGTGGGCATCGGACTTTGAACGGGACTCATGTTGCAGGAAAGGCGCCAGGTTTCTCTCATGGCACACGCTATGAATGCACAGCTCCATTTTGAAAGGTGCAAACCCCATATATTTGTGCCGTAGAATCAGGCTCTTGAGATTTGGAGGTTCGGTGAATAAAAAAACTCAACATCGTTCATGATGAAGTAGATGCGTGCGTCTGCTTGCGTGTAGGATGCCCGAACCAACTCGAAAGGCCAGCGTGCGTTGCTGCACTGTGCTTTTCGATCGGCTCAACAGCCACCTCAAGTTTCAGAATTCTGCTTTTCCCTTTCGGCTGTTCGAGAAGGTGGTGATGGTCGTAGCGGGTCCAAAATGCACCGTTGCTGGTCAACGCTCAGTCTTTCAACTGAGTTTGTTCATATTCTGCCTCTACTTCAGAGTGCGGGGTGTGAATATGGTTTACCTTCACTCTCGGTTTAGTGCAGAATTACATCATGTAGAGCTCGTTTAACGGGCGATTCGAAGACGGTTCATTTGGCGGCTTTCGCGGGGTGAAGTTCAGGTCTAAATAATCGGCTTCAAATGGAGACTTCACAAAAAGCGATGAAGGCATTCAGATATGATCTATCTCGTTGGCGGCTTTCACGCACTTTACTTGAAAATTATAGACATCTTTCGGACATCAGACTGCAATCCAACGGGCTTTGCAAGCGCGATCAAGCTCTTCCCTTCCTCACGCCTGCCTTCATGAAATCGGCAGCCGGTGTGGCGACGCAGGCCAAATACAGGGTGCAGGTCCTCGCTGTCGACCATGTGGATGCGTGGAAGGGTCCTGCTGGGGATGGAGGCTTCGCGGGGTGGGTCAACGCCTGGAATCGAGTGAAGCTGGCTTAGAGCGTAAGGCATTGGGGGGGATAGATATGGGCAGACGGTGCGGCGTATGTTGGACCCGGGCCTATGGGCTGTTTCGCATCTTTGCGGGTCAAGTTAGTTCGCGGTAGTTTAGATAGAGTGAGGATTTCAGTCCGGCATAGAGCATATCAACCATTCGCTGAAGCACAATTTCCACCTCCATCCGCTCCGTCCATCCGCAACATTTGATTTAGCGTGGCAATGCTTTCCGACTTTCGGCGCACCATGCGTGACTGGTTAATCGCCAATTCTTGAACTGATTTTTGGACTTTGATATTGACATTGTTATGTTATCATATTGCTCTAAAATATATACGTACAAAGAAGGAAGGGGGCGAACAATCTCTAAACTATGCACAAAAAAAGAAAGCAAAACAAAGTAGAAGGGAATGGAAGGGAAAGGGGAAAGAAGGACCGAAACCGCGGCGCGATACCTGATCAACTTTCGCTTCATCATCCGAGGAGATGGAGGGCGTGACGGGGTTGATAAGCGCGCAAGACGTGGCGCTTGCTCAGGTCCCTCTTGACGACCCGGCCGTCCCTCTTGACGACCGGCCGCGGCTTGGAGGGCGCGGAGTTCCCTCGTGACGGTAGCTAGCTCCTCTTCCAGCTCGCGGTTCCTGCGCTCGAGGTCCCTTTTGGCGGCCTTCGGGCCTTCTCCACCGGGACACGGGCCCGCAGGCACACCGGTCATTGCCTCGGCGGCGGTCATTGGCCCCTCAACAGGCAGCTGGTTAGGGCCCGGAACCTGATTATGGGAGATGAGAGGAAACAGATGCAGTTAGAAAAAATCCATGTGATTCGAAGAGGATCTGAACGGTTGATCTGAACTTACCGGCAAGCCAACACCCGCGAAAAATGCCACCCGGGCATCCAGCACCGCCGCGGCTGGTGCGGCGGCGGCGGCGTACTGTATTTGCCACCGCTGCTGTTGCGGGGGGGTTGTGTCGGTGGTGAGGGGGAGTTGGGGGATGGCGGTGGTGGGGTGTGGGGTGGACGGAGGAGGGGGAGCAAAGACTGCGGTCACGGGCGCCCATGCCACCCTTTTGGTGGACCGCTCGGCGGCCTTCCTGGCCCTCTCACGCTGGAGCTGCCGCTTGGACAGGTCCCTCTTCGCGGCCCGGTCGTTGCGATTGGCGACCTGGGCGTCTTTCGACAGCCCGGCATCCGAGTAGTTGGAGCCGGTGCTCCAGGTGGTCTTGGGTGGTGGGGGGCGGCAGGACACCTCGAATTCATAGACGCCGTCAGGGCCGCGATTTGGGCTCGCAGGGCTTCGTTCTCTCCCTCGCGAGGTGGGCCATCACCGCATAACACAGGCAACCCCACCCCCTGATTATGGGAAATGAGAGGAAACAGATGCAGTTAGTAGAAATCCTTGTGATTCGAAGAGGATGTGAACAGTGATTCAACTTACCCGAACGCCAACACCCCGCCCGTTCTTCCAAAACGGCCGCGGCTGTTGCGGTGGGCCCGGCGAACTGCTGCTGCCCGGGGTGGTGGTGTGGGGGGGGGGTGGGGGGGGGGTGGTGGTGTGGGGGGGGGGGGGGGGGGGGAGTGGTATCGGTGGTGGTGGTGGTGGTGGTGGTGGTGGTTGCGCTGGCTGCCCTGACGCGTGCCTTGTGGCGCTCCGAAGCTTCCTGCGATCTTCGGCGTTGCTTTTCCAGGTCCCGTTGGAGAAGCGTGACCGCGTGCCGGCCGAAGCTGGTTCTGCGCATCTTTTTGTACATGCGCTCGCGCTTTGCCATTCGCTGAGCGGTGGTTGTCATGTTGGTCTTCTGCTGCGCGGGATTGAAAGACGGGGGCGGAGGAGGCGGAGGAGGAGGAGGCCGAGAGACGAGCGGCGGCGGCGGCTTCCAATGCGCGGACTCGTTCCCGCAAGGCCCCCACCTGCGAGCAGAGAGCAATGACCTCCCTCTCGCTCGCGAGGTGGGCCATCACCGCATAGCGGTGCTCTCGTTTTAGTTTTTGGACTTCGGGCGAGTCCTCGGCGGCCGAATACGTTGAGCCGGCGTCCTTGTGCAGTTTTTGCGTGTTCTTGCGCTTCGGCATGGTGGTTGTGGGGACGGTGGGGTGTGTGGTGGGTGTGGGAGGAGGCGGAGGGTCTGGCGGCGGCTCTGAGCACGCGCAGCTCCTCCCGCATCGCCGCGATTTGCTCGCGGAGGGCCCGGTTGTGCCTCTCCTCTGAGGCCTGGGCGAGGACCTAGAACGTAGATCATGATGATTATCTTATTAGATTAGAACGAATCTCATTCTATGAGTTCACCTACCGCATAGCGGATCTCTCGCTTCAGCCGCTGGGTGGCGGGGGTGTCGTCGGCCGCTGAGTACAATGCTCCAGCGGCGCGAGCAGGCTTGGTATAGTTTCGCTTCACCATTGTGGGGACGGTGGGGTGTGTGGGTGGGTGTGGGAGATGGTGGATGGTGTTGCGACAAAGGTTGGGTGGGGGGGGGGGCTGAAGGACACCTCGAATCTATAGACGATTTCCCCTCATGTAGTTGAAGAGCTTGTAGTTGAAGAGCGGCTCCCCCGAAGCGAAGAGGAGGAGGAGGAGGGTCCGTCGGCCGACGATGAGTAGGGGTCGCGACGAGTGCGGTTCTCCCCATCGAATCGCTGGGATACATCTCGGAGAGCACCACTTCTGTGTGCATCTCGGAGAGCTTCACGGGCGGCTTGATATGTGAAAGGCCTGTACGTATAGTGAGAAAGTTGCTTTCGATTAGGGGCAGTGTTCGGAGAAAGGCATTATGGTCAGAGACGGAAGCGGAAGAGTACGTCAACATACCAAAGTAGACCTATACACTGGCGGATAGAGCCGACTCCCATGGCCACCTCACAGAATTCCCATGACTTTCCCACCACCTCTCTACAACCAGCGAGCCCAGAATTCCCACCACAGAGAGGAAAGACCCTTACTGACCGGCAGTGGCTCCATGAGCGCACGCCAAATATCTAACTACCCCGTCATTTATCAACTGCAGCGATCGCCGTGATGAGTAGAAATCAGGAAGCGGCGGGGGGGGCCTGCTGAGCTGCTCTTTATATATGCTGGCCGTGACTGTGCTGCGCGCCCCATATTCCCTGCTTCCCCTCCTTCCTGTTTGCAGTGTTTCCGAGGGAGGATACGGGGTGCCGAGGGGGGATACGAGAGGATACGGGGGTCTTCCTCTCCCAAAGCAATAACCGAGGCAGGAATGGCATGTGCAAGACCCGTGGAAAAAAAGAGGGCCCGGGCTCAAAGTGGCAATGAAAACGCGTCGCGTCTCGATAAGAAAGTAGTCCAGTCATAAAGGGTCCATCAATAAAGCGGTCCCCGTATTTGGGAAATCAATGTCGGTCCCTTACGTCAATTTGGCGTAGCCGCAGTCGCTGATTTCAGGGAGGGGGGGCCTAGCTTTATGGACGTTATTGTAGGGACTCAAAAAAGTCAAAAAAAGGCAAACGCTCTCGGGCAGGCTTGAACTGCCAACCTCTCGATTGCTATCTTGTGTAACAGTCGAACGCGCTAACCAATTGCGCCACGAAAGCTGGTTGAAAGGCGGTGTCTTGTTTAAAGTCATATCTTTGCGACTGCAGTTCGGCTGGGTACAGATGGCGGCTTTTAGGAAAGCATTGATCTCGAGAAGCTTGAGAAACTTGGAAAACCAGCTTCACCCAAGCGCCCACCGAGAAAAGGACTCGGCAAAACGGATGGATACATATGATATATGTGTTTCACCAGGGTGCAGAGACGTTCGGGGATGCATTCACTCCTCCCATCCATTGAGAGCGACAGTTGTGAGGAATGGAACATTCCGCGTCGGGAGTTGTTTAGGTTCAGGGAATGGTGGATAGATTGCTCAAGGTTAAGCTTGCTGGTAAAACCTTCACGGCGACACCTGGAGTTCAGGCGCTAATCGCATGGAGGGACGGTGGTTGCACCGGGGATTCTTTTGAAGGTTGAGTGCTAATTGAGGGTTGGTTGAGAAATGTTCCCTCAAAACCTTCTCGTGGAACACGGATTGTGCATCTGGGGCATTCGGGATGCGGATACGAGGTCGTCGTCGGCCCCGGGCCTCCAGGCGTTGATAGGCCTCCCACTTCGCATACATTCTGCCTTGGCACGTTGGGCAGTTGTTGAGGTCCACAGACGCCAGCCCAATCAACCTGCCGGCTTGACCTACTACAGTCGACGCCAAAATGAAATTACGGACCAGTTGTCCTTAACCGCACTCATCTAATTCAAAATCGCAAAATCCATGGTATATACACAAGCATATAGATACAAAAAAAAACACATCTTCTCGCAGATCGGAGGTCGGAGGTGTATGGGGAGTGTGTTATATATACAAAAGCAGAAGCGGCACGCGAAGCCTCCCGATGACGGACTGCCGGCTCGGAAGCACAACTCCGAGCCCACTTCGGAATCCGCTTTCTCAAGCCTCTACGACACACGGAGCTCGGAGGCCCGGTGTGAATGACGTGATTGCATGTGTTGGGTTCGCGTTACCCGGAGGCGGAGGAAGGGCCAGGAATGCTGATGATGTTGTTGTTGTTGTGGGAGGGAAGGGTGTTGATGCGGGGGCGGGTGAGGTTGCGAGGATCTTCGCGTACATGCTTCGTCGGATCTTGAGTTCAAGTAGTTGGCGGCGGTGTGTTTTCGGTGACGAGGAGGGCAGTGCGCCCGATCCGGCCGACGCCGACGCCGACACAGCCCTCCGCATCCTCCACACCGCAAACCCCTTCAACCACACCACCCATTTCTCAAACACGTCCCCCGCGATACACAACTGCCACCGCAACGCCTCGCAGATCGATTTCTTCATCATCGCCAATCTCGTCGCGCTCAGCCCGCTGTAGTACGCGTAATGCGCCATGGAGTGCGGGATGTCGTTCAGGAAGGAGTCGGCTGTCGCGATCGCCGCGGTGAGTATGAGGAGGGGCGTGAGTGTTATCCGCTGCTGATGTGTCCGCGGCATCGGTAATTGCGGCAATGTCGGCGAGACCGGCGACGCACTCGCGCTCCTCGGTACCCTCACTTCCCTAAGGCCGAACTCTGGCTGAGCGTGCGATACACCCGCGAGGTACTTTAATGCGAGGAAGACGGTGGTGGGTTTGATGAGGGTGCGGGAGAGGATGGCTTGGATGGATGCGACGAGGCGCGTGGTGTTCGTGTGTGGGGCGTAGTTTGGGAAGAGGTGGAGGAGGACGTGCACGGCGAGGCGAGAGAGGGAGGCGATTTGAGTTGTTGTGTTGCATTGCGGGATTTGGGGTGGGGACGGGTGCTGTTGGGTGGAGGATGGTGATGTTTGGGTGTCCATTGTGGTGATGTGGGTGGGTATTGGCAGGTATCCTACGGTTGTGCTGTGGTATGGGTTGTAAAGCGCGTATGTATAGGTCGAAGGTTGTGATGAAAAGGTTCGAACAGAGAGTGCTGTGAAAATCCACTCCGCGTAGATATACCACCTCCAACCCTTCTGCGCTCAGCCAGAAAACCCAAAGATATCTAATATCGAGCGTGTGCTGTGCAGCGTGGATCGTACGTATGGGGGGGGGATCTGCCTGCGCAAGAGCACATCCCAGGTTCGCCACGTCCCACACGGGCTCAGCACTTCCAGGGCACTTATATCCACCTACGCCTACGCCTGTCATTCGCCCGGTGCTTGGCGCCCATGCGTTGTTTCAATTTTGACGGGGTGTGGCGACCTGCGCTTTTTCTTCCTTCGGCCGGCGGCACGGGGGATTTGTCAAATTTCTTGATGAGGCCGCGCATCATTACGGTGCCAACTCGGAGATCTGGAAGATTTCTGATGATGGGTGGAGAGAAAGAATGCGGCCAGCCTCTTGTTTTTGGTTGGGGAAGTGGATTACCGCGGGAACCCGACAAAACATCAAACGAGAGATCAGGGCATGGTTTTTGACATGGAAGGAGGGTTGGTTGGTTTCAGTCCTCTTTACGCAGACAGAGTGACGACGGTGACATGCTTGAATTTCGATATGGAAGGGAAGGAGGTTTTGATTGGATCGCGGCATGAGGGGTTTCTTGTTTCTGGGGTTTTGGCTTGCGTTTCGGGATCCCGACGATCAACTTCGATTCTATAACCTCCTTAATCAAAAATCAGGATTAGCGCTAATCAAAAATCACAATTGCTCAATCCCCCAATGACGAGCAACGAAGACACCGGCACAGCCGCCTGTTTGAACGACGCGCCTTATGGCCACAACCTGTCAGAGCTGCAAAAACGACTGCCGGAGGAAGCCTCTGACATGCGGTTGCGGCGAGGTCTTGGCAGAGGATTTTGGTTGGCGACGGGCGTTGATTCGAGGTTTGTTCTGGAAGCTGCGAGACCTTTGTGTGGTTGTTGCATCCCGCTCCCGAGGGAAGGTCCTGTCGAATTGATGCGGGAAAGAGACAAAAAGCCACCGGGGGTCCGCCGCCGCTTGCATGCTGGCGAGTTTTTCGCCGGCTGGCTGAACGCGCTGCCCACTTCCAATCACTCCATCCGAAGTGGCATGCGTGGCTGACGACGGGAGGGTATGGGCGATCGCTACGCAGGACATGCCACAACTCACAGCATAACCCCATGCAACGCACTAGGACAGAAAGCTGTGTGTCCGTTGATTCACGATTGGCAGGGCTGATGGACATGGATGCCTGAAGGTATCTCTCTGGATGCCGGGCTCAGCTCCTCGGCGTGACGTGCATATGCGCAGCCTCACTGTCATAACTCCTTCCTGCTTGGAAGAAAGAGTGATGAGAGGGTGGTGTCCGTGTATCAATAGTGCTGTCCAACTTCCAACCTGCATTTGGTCGTCGCGGGGTTTGACATGGGAAAGATCATGGAGGAGCTTCGATGGGGGGCATCTGCATCACTAGACACAAAGCATTCTGTCTGGTGCTGAGAAAGGCGGGACCGATGAACCGTTCATTCCATTCTTCTCCCGGCTTTGACTGCTCTCCACCCATAGCGGCAACATTTTGAGGCAATGGTTGTGAGACTATATAGTGGCATCACGACGCAGGCTTATTGGTTGTGTTGCAGACGGGCACAGCTGTCCGGATAGAAGGAAAAGCTGGCAGTGCGCTCGGTGGTCGGGGGAGGGGCATGTTGAGGAGGACCTTTGAAGGAGCAATGTACGCAAATCAATTCCAACTGGGGCAGCCACGTGAGGCCACGGCTGTCCGTCAAGTCACATTGAGCCGAGGATAATGCGGTCGCTCGCTCAAACAGGTCCTCTTCTACGGAGATGTCTGTGCAGTGCAAGCATGCCCTATTCCTACTACTACTGAGTAACTACATACCAGCATACAAGCATACAGACGAGCGTGCTGAACGGGAAGCCAACATAACATAGATATACCACACGGCAACGTTGTCGGCTCCACTGGTGCACCAACACCCGCCGACTGTCAACTAAGCCGCAATCCAGCACCAGACACTTGAACCTCAGAGGTCAACGAACCCAACTAATACTGCAACTGACCGACCGCAGGTCGCTCCACACCCCATGGACGACCGCTCTCGGCCAACCGCAAAGTCGCAGCCTCCTCGGCTCGCCCAACGCAACGCCGCCGGCTTCTTCGAACCACCACCTTCCCAACAACCTGCAGCACAAGCACCACCAGCACACTCGCAGATCCCAGCGTTTCGCTCCGAGCGCCGCGAGTATGAGGACCCGAGAGCAGGAGAGAGGAGGCCGGAGGGGGAGAGACGGCCGTCGGGGAGTAGTAGTGTGAGGAGTAAGAGTCGGCCGAGGGAGAATGGTGGAAGGATGGAGCCCAATGGGTGAGTAGAGTGGGCTCGGAGTGGGTTCGGCTTAGGTTGTTCGAGTTGCAGGGAGGAGCGGAATGGTTTTGGGTACTTGTGCTGGAAGGCGGAGTGGGATAGTGTGATCGATGGCGGACGCCCACATGCTTGTCGTGTGACGATGACGATATGATACGTGGAGGATGAGGACAGGAGTATTCCACGTCCGAACGCTCTACTACGGCCGCGGACGGTACAACCCTCACATTCATTTGGAGAAAGTTGACCTGACACACATCTTTCCTCCCAATCTTAGATCAGCACCGATGCCAGCACCATACTCCGGAAGCGGAAACGCAGTCGATGGAAACGGAAAGTCTTACAGATCTAGTCCGCCGCGATCGCGGAGACCATCCGAGGATGTCGTTAACGGAGACAGGGGAGGAGGGGCCGGAGGGAGAGAACGGAGTGCATATGATGACCCGCGGAGACGGCCATCGGGTGACAACGCACTGCGAGCTGCTACAACCTACGGGTCTGATCGCGACCGTGAACGCGATCCCAGATTAGGCGGCTCTTCACGCAATAGCCCGGCACATTCCCGACGACCAAGCGGGACGGACGGATTGGGAAGTAGTGGGTATGCCTCCAAAGCAGCGAGCACTAGTGTTCTTCCGCGGACAGAGTCCGCCAACAGCGCGTTTGCAGGACGGTCTCAACCAGGCAGTATGGGGTCTTCGAGGAACGGAAGCTCGGACGCAATAGATCGAGACCGTGACGGGAGACCTCAGTACCGGGATCGGAACTATGAGAGGCGGGAGCCAACGAGCGGAGGCGCCCGATCAACTCCAGACTCGGCGCGGCCTGCGCGACGACCCACTGAAGTATCGTCCAACCCAGGCAGTGCCCCCGTATCAGCATCAGGTGCACCAGCCGCGAGCTTCGACGACATGCTCAAAGCACTGGACGATATGCAGGGCGGACGGAAAGGACCTCCGTCTGCACCCATCCCAACCAGAAGCTCTGACCGATTGGCAGCTCCGAATTCCGCTCGCTCCGCAACCACCCGCAGCTCACGAGAGTACGATGAGAAACTGGCGAGTCTGGATCAACTGATCGGCGAGTCCTCTTCGGCGATGAGTCCCACGTCATCGTCTGCATCGCGGGATGGGGATCGGTATCAGAGAGATAGGGAGCGGGACAGGCTTAGAGAGCGGGAACGCGAACGTGAACGGGAGAAGGAGCGGGAAAAGGATAGGTTGCTTAGAGAGCAATTATCTGGCGCAACATCTCGCTCCACACAACGCAGCGCACGGGATACACCTTCCGAAGACGCCTCACGAACTCGTTCCACAAAGGCATCATGGCGAAACAGAGGACAGGACGCAGCACCTACCTCCGCCTCAACCACCAGCCCCACAACCCGCACCGCTGCGTCCACGCAAGACAGCACGGCAGCCACACCGCAACCGGCTGACTCGCCTCGTACAGCGGCCGCGGAACGGGCAGATGCGCGGGAGATTGAAAGGCAGCGAAGGGAGCAGGAACGGGTTGATGCGGAACGGAAGGATGCGGACCTGAGAGAGGCTCAGATGATTCAGAAGGCGAGGACTGAGGTTACGGCTGCGGATAAGCAGTTGGAACGGGTGGTGGCGCAGCAGAGGGTGCATCGGATTGATGAGAAGGTGAGGATTCTGGGATGTGATAGTTTTCACTCGCCGTGCCACTTGGGTGTTGTTCACCTCGGTGCTGTAACTGACATTAAATGCACTATTCTCTTTTGCAGCTGGTCGTACCCGATTACGTCGAAGGTGTCAGACTCACCCTCGCCTCCGACCGCAACTCCTACCCCGAACCCGAAGACTTCACCAGCAGCGACGGATACGGCCTCTGGGAGCAAAACATCGGCGGCACCTTTTCCGACGTGCTCAGCGACATGCTCAAAGCCCGCTTCCTCGACAAACGGCCCCGGATAGAAGATACCCCCGAACCCTCCCGCAGCAAAGGCAAACAACCCGAAAACAGCTACGACGTCCAGCTCTTCTTCAAAGTCATCGAAGCCCGCGGGCTCGTCGCGAAAGAAGGACGCACGCGCGACGCCTACTGTGACATCGAACATGGACGCATCCCTGACGACGGCACGGACGAGGCGCGAAGGGCGGATAAGGGCCGTAAAGACAGGCCGGTCATGCAGACTGAGACCGTGAGAGGCTCTCTGAACCCACGGTGGGACCAGCACGTCAATCTCCAATGCGACCACCCCGCCGATAAGATCATGGTCTCAGTCTTCGACCGCGCAAAAGAACAATTTCTCGGCCGGATCAAAGTATCCTTCGGCGAACTCATCGACGCCGCAAGACGAAAGAGCCCCGTAACGCGATGGTACCCCCTCAACGGCTTAGGCAAAAAGGAAAAGGACAAGTACGTCGGCGGCGAAATCCTCATCGAAGCCGCCATCAAAGACGACCCGAACGCACCCTCCCAACGCGGCGGCTCCTCCTCCTCCTCCTCCTCCCGCCCCGCCCGCCAACAAGACCCCTTCGCCCAACTCCTCTCCCAAATCACCTACACAACCGTCGACTTCCGCGCCATGTACAAAGTCCTCCTCCGCGCCTGTCTCGTCCTCGACATGAACATGCTAGGCAACTCCATCACAGAGCTCACTGTCGAGTTATTGAGCCCGGAAAGTATGTCGATGCTTGGTATACTGGGCCGTGCGTGGGGATTGACCGAGGCGTTTATGGCGATGGCGTATTTGGAGCTGCTGTTTAGGAGGTATAAGAACGCCGAGGTGCCGCAGGGCGCCCTGGTGGGGACTCTCGAGGGATTGAAGACGAGTATGAAGGATGATCCGAAGTGGTTGAGTCATCGGGAGGTATGTTGAGAGGATACATTGGTGGATGCTGCACTTTTTATGCGTGTGTTCTGGGATCGCGCGTCTCCCGGACAGAAAGGCTAAATTTACATATCTCTTGATGACACAACAGCGCCCAGCCCTCGTAACCCTCCTCAACGAAATGGAAGCCTACTACCGCACCCAAATCCAAAAGTACCGCGACTTCTTCCCCAAAAACACCCCAAAAGACGCCCTCGAAACAACCATCATGATGCTGCGCATGATTGTCAAACACCCCGTATTCCGCGAATCGCCCCGAAATCCCCCATTAACTAATAGTTTCCAGGATTACATCAAGCCGTTACTGACGGAGGCAGCGATTGAAAGATATCAGCAATTGAGTGAATTGTGTAAACCGTTGGATGAGAATGATGTTGAGGGGGTTGTGGAGGGGGTTACGAAGTTGGGGGAGTTGATTAGTGAGGAGATTGATGCGGATGCCAAGTACTTCTTTACTGCATTCAAAAGGTGCGTGCGGCATGTCTCGTGTTCCGTGCATACTCCACTTCGGATTTTGTTAAAACTCACACAAATTTCCATTTTCGTTGATTCACAGGGAACTAGACATCGTCCGCCACACAACCGAGATCTACCTCAAATACTATGTGCTGACTCTCGAGTCGACGACTGAGACGATATCGTCGGATGCGGCGGTGACGTCGGGGAGCAAGATGGTGTTTGAGTTGTATCGGCAGGTGAAGGTTATGGATGAGCGGTATGCTAAGATTGCGCCGGGGTATGTATTTTGTGATGTTTTGGGGTGTTAGTGTTTTGGGACATGTGATGTGGGTGATGGAAACGGATGAACGTCTAACTCTCGCTCCACCCCCACCAGCCTAAAACGCATGTCAGCGAACACCGGCTTCAACGTCGAACGATGGTTCGCGCCCTTCATCACGCGCTGGCTCGAGCACCTCTCCACGAAAACGGTCGAATGGGTCAACAACGCCGTCAAAGCCGACCAGTTTGAGCCGCTCAACCCCAACGACGGCGGGTTCAGCTCGTCGGTCACCGATCTGTTTTCTGCGGTGTATCAGGAACTGGAGTTTATTAAGGGGTTGGAGTGGAGTGATCCGGTGCAGAGTGCGGGGTTTATGCAGGGGTTTGCTAAGGTATGTTGTGGAGCGGTTTTTGGGGTTGAAGTCACCCACTTTGGCTTGATGAGGATGTTGGATTCTTTGTATGATGGACAAGAGGGAGATTTACATGCGTGACGCGAGTGACTAATGGCTTTGATTTGACCCTTTGTAGACTGTCAGCAAGGCCATCGAGAACTACTGCGATGCCTTAGCGATGGGTGAAATCAAAGCTGATGCGTCCACCGGCTCGTCGTGGCAGGGTTTACTTGCTACGACGGTTGGCAAGACCGCGCAGAATGGTCCAAAGGATATCGCTAACGTGGTATGTGATCGTCTCGGTCGGCAACCTGATAGTTTTCCGCGCGGACTTGTGGTGCTGAGTCAATACTTACTCCCCGATATTTCTCAGTCCTGCGTAAAACTCTGCAACATCGAATACGCCATGACGAAACTCCACGACATGTTCCGCGTCATGAACGTCCAAGAACTGAACCGCATCCTCCGTCGCCATCGCGCACAAGTCGCTGCAGAAGCCGAAGCGCTTTCCGCATCATCACCCTCGTCAGCCAAACGTGCGGAAGAGGATGATACATGCGTCAGCGGTGCTCTGAAGGTTCATCTCTCCTACGCTGAGAATCTCCAGCCGTGCAACAAGAACGGGCTCGCCAACCCGTATATCATCCTGCGTGTACCTGATGGGACTGTCGTTCCGCCGCCTGAGACGAGTGCTACACCTGCTGCTGCTTCGAGTACGGGAGGGAGAACCACACCCTTGTCGCTGACGAGGAGTGGAGCGTCGAGTCCCATCAGCCGCGTTAGTACCGGGTCGTCGTCGGCGAATCCCCCGGTGGGACCAACGATATTGAATGGTATCGCATGTGAATTGGCGCGGTCGCGCGCTATCCCGGACACACTTGCGCCGACATGGGATGAGACGTTTGAAGTTATGCTGCCGCCGGTTACGAAGCTGGAGGTGGCTGTGTTGTCCAAGAACATCCTCACGGCTGATGATTTTGCCGGAAACGCCGTGGTCAATCTGGCAAAGGGAACGCGGTTGCGGCGGAAACTGGCTGACCATCAAGCGCACGATGTGTACGTCGATCTGGAACCGCAGGGACGGGTCTTGGTGCGTCTCACGATGGAAGGCGCCGCGGAGGATGTCGAATTCTGGTTCAGGAGGAGTAAAGAGCGACTTGGACGCATGCGTGACGATTTCGTTCGCTCCCTCACTGCCCGTATCATCCCATACGCCAAAGAAGAGATCATCCGCGTTATCAAAGCCCAAGAAGCCGTACCACTCCCATCCAAATCCTTTTTCTCATCCCTCACCACCGCCACGCAATACTCCAACCTCACCGCCGCGGGCGTTCCCATTGACGAGCCCGTCACGGTGCGGGATATTGACGACGCCCTCGAGCCGCTCATCGAGTACCTTAACAAGAATCTCGCCACGCTGGACGTATACCTCTCCGAACGCATGTCACAGGAAGTAATCCGCCGCTGCTGGGACGAGATCGTCGCCGTCGTCGAAAACACCCTCATCCCACCCCTCTACGGCCCCGTCGAGCGCGACCGCCGGATCCTCAACCTTCGCCAAACATCAGCCTCGTTGGCCCTCCTCAACACCCTCCTCGAATTCTTCCATGCAGGCGGCGACGGCGTCCCCATGGAACAGCTCGAAACGCGCCGGTTCAAGCACGCAAAGGCCCTGGTCGGCGAGCATGTATACCACGCCGACGTGGCGCGCCTGAAGAAGGAGTATGAGCATCAGCTGTTGAAGGGCAGGGACCGCGAGCTGATCATACGGTTGATTAGAGTCAAGGTGGAGAAGAATGATGGGACGTTGACGGCGCAGGAGGTTGAGGAGACGAAGCAATGGATTGAGGCACAGTTGTTGAGGAGGAAGGAGTTCGTGCGCAGGACGTAGGGGCGGTGCGAGCCCAACGGTGGATTATCGCTTACCCACAAACCCACTTCGAGGGTATTTTCGAAACACCATCAAATGATCTAATTCCCTAATGTGCGTCTCTTCGCTGCTCGCGGCTTACCATCCCCACCGACTACTTTTGGAAAACCCAATTCCCTCCGTTCTTCATACTCTGTGTCTAGCCCCTCCTTATATGCCCGTACCCCATGCATCCCTATGTTTCTACATATCTACATACCGAGCTTTATATATGTTTTGCTGGTCTCCCTCAGTTTTGGCCTTTGCGTCCGATGTGAGGATACTCATTCACGTTCTGCAAAGTGCGTCGGTCATCTGGGCATATCGGATCCGTGGAATATGCTGGACTACTGTAGTTGGCGACCGTAGTTGGACTGATATGTTGGACTGCTTGGAGATTATGGACATGTGCACATATATTCTATCCACTCGGCTTCGGTGAGCGAGATCTGCTTCTTTCCACATACTGTACGCCAACTTCCTTTTTTCCCTGGCGCTTCCGGAAAGTGGGAGCATCAAATGCGCAACGATCTGCCAAAGAGACGCGCAGAGAAGCACAAGAATGACAGCACCCGCCAAAACGTGGCTTAATGTCCCGTCAATCCCGGCTTAGTTCCGTTCACCCGTTTGGGCATCGCATGGCACGATTTTCGCATCTTATCTCACCCCCGTGCTGGTTATACCGACCTTGCTAAATGGTATTCTGCCGATCGGGGTTTTATGTGGTTGCCTTCTTCAGTTCTTGCTCATCGATTGCCCCAGACGGTACAGTATATGGACGTCACGACATGGGCATTGGAGAGACCGCCATTCGATGCATATGATGGACAGTAGGAAAGGATGACCAAGTTCAAGAGATCTACGAGTACCAACAACCGCCGGAAACATAGCCTTTTCCAATCCGCCATGTGCGCAGCATAAGTTCAAGCACGAGTCGGACGATTGGTGTTCGGAGAGAGCTCTCATCGATGGCGGGCGTGGCGTCCTTCGTGGACGGAGGCGTAGAAAGGTGATGTGCTAAACGTCGCTGCGGCGCGTAGGCAGATAGGGACGGAGAACGAAATGAGGCACAGAATGTTGCCCCGCGTAGGATCTGGACCCTCGTGGAGGTGTCGCGGTGTATCGTACCATGCCCAGTTTCGTTCACTCAAGGACCAAGTGCCATCGATAGCGACAGGGATTGTTGTATGGAAGCCGTTTCTTGTGCCGCGATGTGCTGGGCGGGTGAAAGAGTACGCGGGAGAAAGCGCCCTTTCTCGAGAAAGCTGCGGAGGGATGGGCTCTGGGTAGCCATCCGCCATGAGAGCTTCGACATCGGCCATTGGGATATGCAGGGGTACGAGGGCCGGCGTATAAAGCCGTCTGCGCGGACGATCCCGCCGCCTCTCTACTCGACAATCCCATCGTCCGAAGGTCCGTTGGCGTATTCGCATCATCGTTGGCCAAACTCACTTGATCTCCTCTTCTGCTTTGAAAGAAGTTCGCTCACCAAACGCCAGCACATCTCCCGCTCTCAGTCTGGATCCGGCTCAAGCGACAAACATGGCATCCGCAACCCTCCGCGCCGTCCAGCTCGCCCGTTCATCTTCCAGCGCATTAGGCTTCCTCCACCCTCGATGCGCCGCGCGACGCAATACCCACTCCACAGCTGCCGGTCAAGCTTCAATGACCGCCCCATTCGCATCCCAGTCGGCCGATGTCTTCACTACAAACACACACGGCGCTACAACAACAATCCTGACCAATGAGACCATCCTACCGACCACCATCTCCTCCACATCCACATTCACCGTCGACGCTGACCTCGCCGACCACGATGCGCACGAACACCACATCAGCAGCGACAGCTACCTCGCGTTCCCACCTGCGAGCGGTCTCACGGACAGCGGCGAGCGGCTGGTGGAGAGTGTTGGCGGCGCGAGCGTGTATGTTCGGTTGGGGCATTAGCCCGCTTTCTTTTTGGGATGGGTGGGGATGTGGACGGGGAGCTTGGCAGATCGTTTTGGGTGTGTGGGAGTGGATTTGCATTGGAATAACCACGAGATGTGAGGGAAAGAGGATGGTTCATCCTGCTTTATACCGTTTTTGTCAACTTCATCGTCGATGTATCTCTGTTTTTTGAAATCTGTACATGCAATAGCATTCAATATGAGCGGCATTTGATCTAAACACTCTTCTGCCTAAAGCGTATTGCTGCAAAGCCCTTTGATGGTCAAATGTATTCGAAGACTTGATTACAGGTATTCCCTTCACGCCGCGAAGTTACAGGTACGCCGTTCGCCGACCACTGCCCACGACGAAAACATATCTTCATCCCGTTCCGCTTCTCCATGTTGCGCGCTGCACTATCTCTCATAGCTGTTTCCTAACCTAGCCTGGCGTCGGGTTTGTTGCCCTTGTCCTGCCAATCCTGAACCGAACAAGGCCGAAAGTGGACATCATCTTCGGTTTCGTCAAACGGTCCGGGCAGTGGTCGCCGCCAAGATAGAAGAGCCCACGCGGTTCACATAATACTTGAACAACCATTCAGCGCCCCAGAAAAGCCCGTGAAGAAGGATCAATCCGATGGATATATAGAGGCAAGCAACAATCTTCTCCATGTTCCTCTCCGCTTCCTCCATGGTGAACTCCATAGCCATCACCTTCGTCAGGACTAAAGAAATTGAACCGGAACACGATAAGCGAGAGGCATCTCTACGATAGCGTATGAATGAGAATGCCGAGTAAGGTATTACCAGAGATAAACCAGATGATGAAGCCCGCGCACCACAACAGCGACATGGCCCGGACGATGAAGATAAAGGTCGCCGTACCCAATTCAACCGAATCGGTAATGAGGTCGATGTATTCTCTGGGCAAGAAGAGTGGAAGGAACGGAACCGACGCGCATGCCAGTAGCATGCATTGGTATCCCTTCGGAAGGAAGTCTCCTAGGAATCGGTGCGCGCCACGGAGAGCGTAGATCGGCCCAGATGCAATGCCCTGTAAAAGGAATATCATCAGGAAAGGCATGCAAGTGTCTGATGTGGGCAATGTCCTGAACGCCAACTCACGATGAGCACGATTGCAACGAGCAGTCGGTTTGCGTCAAAGTAATCTCGTTCATTGTGAGGCATCATTGTATCGTTTGCGTGTTCTTGAGCAAGGCGCCGAGAGGTTTGAGCTTGCTCTCGATCTTGGGAGAAGAAGAGAAGTGGAAGGATGGACTGCATGGATAATGCGAAAAGAGGAACGAAAGCAGAGCGTGCTTGTCCGAAAGATTTGAGACCAGTTTGTCTTTCTCTTTTGGAACTGACTGTGGAGAGGACAGTGCTCTGATTCGTGGTGTGTCGAGAAGAAAAGCGGAGGGCGATGCGACTGACAGCAACTGACAGGTCACATCACGCGAAGCAGCGCCGAGTTTCCGCTCGCCCGAATCTAGTAGTCCACTATCCCCCGCTCATCTATCCGGCCTCACTGAAAAATCTACTTATAGCCTGGGAAGGCCCGCCTTTGCAAACCGTTTCATTCACGACCAGTACATCGCAAGCTCGTCAAACGAATGTACTATCCAAATAATATTGGGGTGGGCGCGACGTGTGCGTGGGAGGGGTGGCGGTGGCTGTTAGTGGGATTGAGGAGACTGTGAACGTATTTGAGGGGTGTTATCCGGAACGGGCGAGGAGGGGGGTAGAAGCTGGAGACGGAGTCGACGATGGGGGCGGGACGCAGAGTGGGGAGACGCAGGAAGAGGAAAGAAGGGGGGTATTGAGACGCCAAACCCTCCCTAGCGGAACAGTCGTTCAGTCAGACGGAGCGGTATGTTGGCGTTTTGAGGGGTATGGCTGGTGAGGCTGCCGCATCCGCATCTCAAGGCTCGGCGTCCGCATCTGCGTCTGATTCACATGACTCCAATCACAACAACAACAATAAACCGACCCAATCCCATCACCAATCCACCTCCTCTCCACAACTTTCACATAGTGTGGGTGGGAGGGTTGGGTTGTCGGAGTTCGAGAGGCTTTCTTTTGTGCACCAGATACAAAGACATCAACCGAGGAGTTGGACGAGCAAGAACGGAGAGATCAGGAACGCGATGAGATACGGAGATTGAGGAGGGAGCAGAGGGCAAAGGAAGGGTGGGATGCTGCTCTCACGTCACCTACGAGCCCGCAAGTCGCTTCTTCCCCGCTCGCGATCAGAGAATCTCATCGGGTGGGCATACCACGGCAGCGGAAGAGGCGAGATGGAACCAAGAGGATGTTGAACGTGAGCGTGTGGAAAAGGGGAGGGAGGAAGCTGAGAGTGCCGAATGGGAGAAGCAGCGTGCTGAGCAGACTCGGCGTAAGGACGGGTTGCTGCTGTGGGCTGCTGCAAGGGCTGAGACTGACCGACACAAACACAAACCGTCAAGTAGCGCCAGCATGATTTCAACACACAAGATTGCATTCGCTTCACGCTAACATTTTCTCCATCAGAGGTATCCCCACTCTCCGCCCGCCAAGAAGAAAGCACGGGTACGGCTTGCTACGCTAGATATCACTCCCCCCTCCCGCCCTTTGCCGACCACAAAAGCCGGTATCCGGAGCCGCCCCTCCGTATCCGTTCCACCTTCTCCGGCTTCATGCCAACTCCCCCGATGTGAATCTCGTGCCGGTGGCTTTGTCTTCAACCCCGTCCCAACTTTCCTTCCATCCCAACCCCATCTTTCCCTCAATAAACCCACACCAGAACCCACAGGGTAACCACAAACCCCGCCATTCCCCACAAAACCGAAGCCGCGACAACGTCGGTATGCTCCTCCGGCAGCAACAACGGCAGAAACGGCACCGACCCCATCCGCCCAGCATGAACGCGATGTACGCCTTGTATCTCTTGCCCCGGGGTAGGTTTCGACGGACGAGGTGGAGGAGGGTTACGGGGCCTGAGGCGAGGGACTGGTGTGAGGAGACCGGGGGGAAGGCTGTTAGATTTAAATTGAATATAAGTAAAATTGGGATGGGGGACAGCAACTTACGAGGAGCACGACGGCGAGGAGCAGATGGTGGATTAGACGGGTGGCGGGCATTCTTGTATGATTTGCGGGTGCGCTGTTGGCGAGGGCGATGGGGTGGGGGGTTTTTTTTTCGCGGGCGGTGGGTGCTCCCGTTGGCTGTGGGTTTGAAGGATGATTCCGCGATGGACTTTGGGATAGGCTCGGGGAGGAGAATGGAAACCCCCGCTGAGACAGTCTTTCACCGGCCGATGTGGGGGGTATTCTCCACCGTCTCCATGTATGTGAAACCTCCCCAGGAAACGTTTCCCGTGGAGAGGGTGAGAGGAAAACAGCAGGCCGCGTGCACCTAACAGGTTCCTGCCAGAAGACAGACCTTTTCCTCCCGTCGACGCTTATACGTGTGGCGAGCGAAAAGCATCCTACATATATCCACACGCAGATTGGCCGGGTGGGACAACAGCGGCCGATTGCATGGATCGCTCTCAAGGATGCAAGGTAGCAACTCGGATGAGCGTTCATGGCAGACGCTGGCGTCTTTCGCCAAGAAGAAGTTGTTGCTCTCCGCCCAAGACTTGGCCATGACTCACGCGCTTCCTGTCGGATTGCTGTGCGATGCGAGCGAGGGAGAGCGAGGGGGGCGAGAGACGAAAGGGGGCGCAATACAATGCACTTCAACGCGGCGCATGCACGTGACCTCACTCCCGCCCCTTCCCCCCCAGCCGGATTCACCCACTGCAATGTGCATGAATGAAAGCTTCCCCAGAGCTATCTCCCCCCCCCCTAACCCTTACCCTCGTCGTTTGCTCGCTCCCTCAGTCACTGCTGGCAACAATGAACAGACTCGCCCGCTTCGCCCTCCCTTCCCTCGCTAGGGCCGTCGCTTTCAGGCCTCTGGGTAAGTGTGTCTTGACCTCGCGGCAACTAGCGACATCTCGCCCTCCGACGCCTGTTCGCGACCGTTACCGCTTACTGGGCGGGCGTGGGGAACATCTGCAGTTCCCCCCACAAAACGAGAGTTGGCCGGTTGAGGCGGATGGGTATCGACGGGGAATGAGGCTGCGTACGGACGGGAGGAATGCCTTGACTAGGTAGTTTAGACAACCGGCAGCTGAATGGGAACGGATTCGGGGATCGCTACGCCCCGTGGTTGATGAAGTGGTTCGCCTCCGTGAACCTCCGGAGTAGGATAAGCGCGGATAGGAGGATTGGGGAAACTAGCACGTAAACGCTGAAAACTCCGCTCACTAATTCACTTCACCTCCTCTGAATTCAGCCCGCGCATCCACCCCCCTCCTCACCGCCCCCTCCCGCCTCGCCACCACCGGTCCCGCCGGCCACAGCGACCTCGACCCCACCCTCGCAAACTACCCCATGCCCGCTGACCTCGACCCCTCCGCCAAAAACGACTACGAAAAGTACGTCTCCTTCTGGCGCGCCCACTTTCAGAACCTCCAGGACGACTTTGAGCTCGAGCGTGGCTTGAACCATATCTTTTCGACTGATTGGGTACCCTCCGTTGAGGTCATTGCCGATGCGCTGAGGGCGGCTCGGGAGCAAAACACTTTTGCGACCGCTGTTAGGACTCTTGAAGCACTCAAAGGAAAGACTTCCTCCGAACAGCAGTACCAGTCGTACATTAAGGACCTCACACCTCTTTTGGAGGAACTCGGGATTGTGGATAAGGAGGGGCTTGGCCACTTTGAGTTTGTCAGGGAGAAAAGGTGGTGGATGGAGTGATATCGAAGGTGAGCAACGAGAAGAGCGAGCCCACTGTCATACCGAGCGATAGCAGGGCGAGCAAAGCGAGTTCCTTGCGCCGGAGGCGTAATACACCTAATCCCGGCACTTAACGAGCCTTAAGCGAGCGTCAGATCTTTGCGAGCGAAGCGAGCTACACTCCCGCCCGCCGCCGCCCAACATCCTCGTCGCGAGCGGAACGAGCAGGGTTGTTGTTCATCATTCATCACCTAACACCCACCCACCGACCATGTTACTCACACACACATTTTTCCCATTTCATTCTTTCATCCGAATCTAGTGTAGTCGAACAACCATACACACCCCCTTACACCCGAAACTCGTTCCATAAAACCTATACGTTGTGAAAGGAGAATATACACACTCTACGAAGATCCAAAAACTTGCTACCCGTTGTTCATCGTTGCTTTTTCGTGAGGGGAGTGGGCGAATGGATGATAGGAGTCGGGGGAGTAAGCGCGGGATGGGTGATCAATACACGACGGGAGGGGAGGGGCCCGCCGTCCAAGTATTCCACTCCATCCTCGCTCATCCTGCGTGCACGCCCCATGAAAACCGCCTCCGTATCTCCCCTCAAAAAATGACGCGGCCCCGAGAATCCATCACGGGGGAGTGCGACCCGGCTATCGTTCCAGCCCAGCCCAGCTTCATCCGCATCGCACCTCATAACCCCATCAACTCCTTTTGAACTAACACGGCCGGATCTACCCCGGGAACAATCCATGCGGGATCCCCACACCTCTGAACCTAAACACACCCCTCACATCTCCCCCACCAACCCAGCCACCCAAGCTCACCCGCACCATCAATCCAGCGAAAAACCACAATCACAAAACCGAGAAAAACAGATAATTCAACATCCATGGTATATATGCGCAGCCACAAGCAAAAAAACTCGTCAGAGATACAGTATATCTATCTAGAAAAACAGAGGGCGTCAGTCACAACACAAAAAGGTGAGAGAGATGGGTAACCAGGAAAGGAAAAAAACGGGAGGTTGTACGCAAACGAAAAAGGGCTTGAGAATGTAAACAATGTGTGGCTATGTACGACTATGCGATGGGATGGGAGGGTACGCCGGGATGGTGGGTGCTATCGGGGCGGCTTTTGATTTCCGAGGAGTGGGAGACCGGTCGGGTGCCGGTGGGTATTCCCTCGCCCGGATCGAGGGAGGAGCGGCGCACTGGTGATCAGGGGACGTCCGAAATGACCGAGGGTAAGTGTTACATCCCCGCGGTGTCGAGGGATGGGTGTCGAGCCGGTCGGGAAGTCCGGAGCCAGGCCAAACCCCCACCACATCCCTTCCTCCCCCTCCCCCATCCCCCTCACCGCAGCTAATGATAATAAGCATGGGGCGGCGGCGCATAGGTATGTCTCGGACTCCTCGCCTGCAATCCCTCAAACTGGTCCTTCTGCTGCTCGCCCGCGCCACTACTCCCATCCCTCTCGGTCGAAAACTCGCTCGGGGACAGCTGCGGACTCCCCGCCTCCTCCGCGTCCCGTGTCTCCTGTCGCAGCGGATGCGGCGGATGTGTTCCCGCACCCGGAAGCGCGCCCCGCGCCCGCTCATCCTCCCCGAAATCGTAATCCAGCAGCTGCGAATTGTACCCGTCGTACCCCCCCGCGGCGGCGGGGACGTGGCTGTCGCGCCACCGGTCGCTCGCGTGGGTGTCCGTCGTGCCCCGCCGCGCCACGTCGGCGTTCGCGGTCGCGTCTGTGTTGGTGTTGGGATTATCCGCGGTGGAATCGGCGGGATCGATGCCCGCGTTGGGAGGGGCAGCAGCATCGCCGGGGGAATAGTACCCGCCGAAATAGTACTGCTGCTGCGAGAGCGGGGACATGTTGCGTTCCGCCGGTTGGCCGGTCGGGGGTGGGGGGTGGTGCAAATGGGGTGGGTACTGCCCCTGCCCCTGCCCCTGCTGCTGTTGTTGTTGTTGCTGTTGTTGCTGTTGTTGTTGGTACACCTCCTCCCCCGCATTGGTCCTCCCCAACGAGCTACTCCTCGCCAACGAGTCAAACGGCGCATTCTCATACGGCGGCTGTGCATTCTCGGGGTACTGTTGCGGCTGTTGGTTGGCGGCGGCGTTGGCGGCGCCCGTCCCATACGGCGCCACGCACGCCAAGGGAAAGGACCCCTCCTGCTTGGTCGTCATGTTGAACCCGTACCCCCACCCGTCGTCGAACTTGCATTTCACAATCACCGGGTCGCCGATATCTAGCATCAACCCCACAACCCCAAACTCCATCAGCAAAACACACGCTGGGACTAAAAAAAAAACGAAAAGAGGATGTTAAAACTTACAGAGATAGATCTCGTCGACGAGATTCGGCACGTAGTTGTAGACGACCTCCATCGTCTGCGCAATCTGGATCGGTTCCCCGACATCCTCTTTCGCGGGCGCCATGCCCATCATCGCGCCCACCGCCGCCGCGTCCATCCCTCGTGGGACGGTATCATACATCGCGGGGTACTTCTGCTCGCCGGGGTTGTTGTTATAGCCCGGCGCTTGGGCTCCGCCCGCCATCGCCGTCTGCGGGTTCCCACCGTGGTTGTATTTGAGACTCCCGTCCCGCGAGAGGGAGTTGGAATGCGCGTTGAAGAACCCTGAGGCCGCGCGGCGTTGTTTGCGCGACGTGTACAGGATGCGGAGGATGACGGCTAGGATGAGGAGCGCGGCGACACCCGCGACGATGCCCGCGATGGCGCCGGGGCCGAGGGCGGGGTCGTTGGTTGTGTTTTTCGCGGCGGTGTTGGCTGTGGAGGCTGTGTTTGTCGGTGTTACCCCTGGGGTGGTTGATGCAACGCCGGGAGGGGTGCTGGCGAGGGAGGGTACGGCAGCGGGAGCGGAGGCAGTGGCGGGGCCGAGGGAGGTGGGGACGACGATGGGTTGACCTGCGAGTTTAGCTGCGTGGGCGGCACAGCACGCATCGGTGGCTGTTGTCGGGTTGGCGCAGTACGCGGCCGCTTCAGGGTCGGAATAGAACCCGCACATGCCCCATTCCTCAGCGGTGGCTGGGACACAGTTCGTATCGCTCTTCAACCTCGACGCGAAAATCTCCGTCGACTGCCCCACCGTCCTCACCGTCGCGCCCGCGCCTCCCACAGCGGCGGGACAAACCGCGGCATTCCCAAACAACGCCTGCAAACTCGCCACCGCGGCGGCCGCTGTGCCTTTACACAACGGGACATAGGCCGTCCCTGCGCTTTTACACGCCCGGGCACCCTGCTGCGTGCTCGCGAAATCGACTAGTAGACCGCAGAGGAGGGAGATGTGGTACCGGCGGCCGGTGCCCGTGTAGCCCGGGCATGCGTATTGGGCTTTGAACTGGGAGATGTAGGTTGGGGAGGAGTCGAGTTGGGAGGTGATGTAGGATTCGAAGGTGGTGGCGGTGGTGTAGAATTGCGGGGAGGGGGGGATGGATTGGCCTGTTGGGGTGTGGTGAGGGGGATGATTAGATGGGCTTCCCTTGAACGTTGGAGGCCACACTGTTTGAGAGAGAGATGACGTACCAGCCCATGCTTTACACAACGAAGTCGGCGATATCGTTATACAACCCCCCGGCCCAATCGGACTCGGCGCAGGTGCCGCCACTCCGGGAGCCGCAGGCGCAACAACAGGCGGAACCCCCGGGTTCACAACCGGACTAGCCGCCGGCGGCAGCGGCACAACGACCGGAGGAGGGATAACCGGTCCGACAGGGACAACTGGGGTCGGGAGGGGTTGCGCGGCGATAAGGGGGAGGAGGGTCAGACCCAAAGTGAGCAGGGATGGGATCATGGTGGGCATGATGGTGTGCTGTGTTGGGAGTCGACAGCGGGGGCGGTGTGATGGGTCTGGCGAAAGAGGTGTTATCCCCCTTTTCCGTCCGTTCCTTCTCCGTCAGCAGGGATGTTAAGCTAGACCGATGCTATTCCTCCCGGACTCGAGTGGATGCGCCGTCCTTTTGCGATCACGGTAGCCGTTATCGAACGCTGACAAGGGACCCGAGCCGACGAACTCCCCTGGGGACCAGCGGTGAAGTTGCCCCGATAGTGCGCACACAGAGAGAGGAAAGAAGAAGCCTCCGAGCCTTCCGTTGTTGTGTCTAGTGCTGTATCTCTATGTCTAGTCTATGAGCCTCACCCACCCTTGCGCTTGCGACGGTCGAAGTGTGAAATTCTGCGAGTGATAATTTGCGCTGCGAGGCCGCGCGGCTCCTTCCCCTTCCCGTCCAGCTTCCCGCAGGCGACGCCGATCAACAACGTTGTAGATACTGTATCTCCCAAGTCCTTCCCCCAGGCACTCCGTTGGGACTCCGTCGTTAGTGTGGAATTACTGTATTAGTGTGGATGTGCCGGCCCCTCTTCACCGCCGCCATGTCCCACCAACATCGCCTCAACAATGAAGCCAGCCAGCCAACTTCACGCTCCAAGCCTGCCGCGATACCCACGTAACACATGTACGCGGCAAATGTAGGGCTACCACGGATCCCGAAGCCGTATTAATTACCCTGTCACGAAGGTGTGCCAAACATCCTTCCCCTTCACCACTTCCGTGGCTGATAGAGGCATTTCAAAACAATCCTCAACTTCCCAGAACTCCCGCGGCGACCGTCCATGTGAAACGCTCTTCACTACACGTATAACCGGCGGGCATGACAAAATCCATATGAAAGGACTCAAGGGGCGGTAGGGTGGTGTTACGGCTCTTGACGAAAAGGAAGTGATCACACAAAAACCCGACGAAATCCAGCGTCGAGGATGCAGCGTCGAAAACACTGACATCTTATTCGGACCTGCTCTACCCTCTCCACACCAAAAAAACCTCCTCTAGCGTATTAATGAAGGGTATACATAATATCCCGATGAAACTACGAATGGCTCCATCCGTGAACCTATGTGGCTGAGGGCCCCGGTGTTGATGCAGGTATATGCGCCCTGGCGTGGGAGGGAAAGCCGCAATCTATGACCAAGTGGACGGGTTCGGATGGTCTTTCTGGCGGCCGGTTCCAAAACTGCGGGGGCGGGGGGAATGTGTTCGAAGGAAACGCTGGGCCCGGCAGATCGATTTCGAGAGGCGCTACAGGTGAAAGGGATGGATTTCGTAGTTGGATGCATAACGGGCGGCGGCAGGTATGCTGGGTATCCCGACGCGTATCGCCACATCCCACCCGGACAGCGTCGGATTCCAGGATCTGCCCCCGTCTCGACGCAGGATACCAAGGGCTGTCATGGGTGGTCGGGGGACAATACGGGTTCTGGTCGTATTAGAGACGGCTTGTGGCCCAATGACTCCGTTCTTGTTAATGACGGTTTTGTTGTCAGTCCCGCGCTGTGAAACGAATGGACAGGATGTCATGAGTACGAACAGTTCGATAGAAGAGCTGCGAATGAAACGTCGATACATACGTGGAACTCCCCAGGGAACTCCGTTTCCCCGGCCCCTCCGCCGTCCTCAACCCCGTACTCAACCCCGTCCTCGCCACACTACTCCCTCCCGTCCGCCTCCTCTCCATCCCCTGCAACGTAAATATCGAAAACACCATGATCGCCATCGCAGCCGGCACCGACAAACTGCTCAACGTCCCAAACGAGTATCCCATCGTGTTCGTCCCGCTCGACAGCAAGTACAACGCCGCGGAGATGATGAGCACGAAGAGTTGGCCGATGGCGGCGAATTGGAACCGTTGGGAATAGAGTTTGACGTCCGCCAGGGTGAGTTTGTCGTAGGAGCGGACGAGGGCGGTGTGTTTGTAGAAGAGACGGAGGAGGAGGAGGGAGAGGACCGTGTCGAGGCAGGCTACGTACGTTAGGTAGAAGGCGTATCTAAAAGGGAACCAGAAGAATCGAGAGATTAGCGATGGGATCCGAAGCGAGGCGAAAGGTTGGATGGTGAATGGATGAATGAGCGAAGCGAAGCGATGGATAGTTGAGCAGGATGTTTGAACGACATCCTGCTCGCTCCGCTCGCTCCGCTCGCGACAAGCAGGTTGAGCTGCGTGCGCTAAGAACCGCTTCGCTATCGCTCGTGCCCGCTCACTCTCGCTCACGCAATACTCACGGATAAGAATAACTAATCAAAGGCTTCTTCCCATGAGCGCCTATAAACCACATCACAACCGAGACCGCTCCACAGATCGCGCCCAAAATCGTATGCAGCACAACCGCCACTTTCGCCCAAACCCTCGGCTTCCCCGTAACGAGTAAAATCACATCGATGCGATAACTCTGGACCAACGCCGCCGTCAAAGAAGCTGCGAAATAAAAGATCTTTGCAACGTGGCCTACATCGGGATGTCCCCAGAACTGCGACCAAGTGAAAGCGTTGACGACCTCGATCACGCCTCCACAGACAGCCAAACCCGGCATGAGGAGCGTTCCGATGTTGTAAGGCGTTCGGCGGTGGGGTAAGAAACGGTAGCAGTAGAAGGTTGTGACAAGCCCGATGAGGAGGTTTGCGAACGCGGCGGACAGGGAGAAGGCGCGGTAGTTGACGCCGTTGCAGGCGCGGACGGCGGTGTGGTAGGAACCGAGGGCGCCGGCGAAGGTGGTGTCGTTGGTTGCGGGGCCGTAGATGCAGGCGGGGTCGTCCACTAGTTGCACCATTTTGGGTACGGTACCTAGGTGATGGTGACGATATTGGCGGGTATCCGGAGTGTGCTGAACTGACTAGAGCGACTTCAGCAAGGATGAGAACGGGAGGAGAGCTCCGTCACGGACCGATATTGTGCTATTGATAGACGGGATCTGTGGGTTTTGGACAGCGCCCTGACCCTTCTCTTGAAGCTTGTAGGCGACAAGCGTGCAGCGGGCGGGGAGTGGACCCGTCTTTGGCCGATATTGCAATTTCCAGTACGTGATAACACGCAGGCGGGCGGGTCCCTTGGGTGTGCACCTAAGCCGGAGGAGCCGCGGGTTGGTCCCACGGCGGTGAACTAGAACCCCTTCCCACGCGATAGATATTATACTGTAGCTGCTCTCACCTCTCTCACAGGACCTGACACTCAGCGCTCACATTCGGGCAGTACACAACTCCGCCCATGCTTTTTCCACAGCTCCTTTTTTCAGCATTCCTTTTGGGAATGGCGAAACCACACACACCCAACTGACCTGAGACTTTGCGGGATAACTAAAACAGGTATGGGACACTAGCTGGTCTGTTGCACATTGACACAAAGGGTATGATGAAGGTGTCCTCCAAAGTTCAGAACCGGGAAGCCCATATTGACTTTGGGAATGAGTTTTAGAGAGATGCCACAGACCCCGAACCAGTTGCTCCGTGCAGCGGCAAAGGACAGGGAAACCCATGTGCTTTGCGATATATGGAATCAGACATGAAATGAGCCCTGCAACCCTTGGAAGCAAAAGAAGCAGGGGTGCTGAATCTGCGAAAGGGGAAGGCTCGCACGTCAAATGCCGGTACCACATTGTTTATGTTCCGCAACAACCAAGAGCCAAACATACAGGCAGCGGCCGACAAGCTTATTACCATTTTGCAGGAGGTGCAGATCTACACCATGGCCAATGGTGGGGCCCCAACCTATCACAGCACTGGGAAAACAGGTGGAAAGCGGTCACGCACAATGAAGTTCTTTCGATTTACTGCTGAACCAGAGGGACTTGTCCTCGCTGAGTCGGTCATCCCCTTAGCCCAGCGGGCCCGCAATGCACACGGTCAGCTCAAGGTGAAGCTTGACAAACACATCGACATCACAGGTCTTGCCTATCCTTGCCCACCTGGGTCCCACACCGACCCCGTCAGGGAATGCTACTACCCTTTGCGTCAATGTCCTAGGAGGGCTTCTTCCACTTTTGCAGGGCGCCGAAGGTTTGCTAGTAGCACGTTGTTTGGGGGTTGGCGCTTTTCAGGAGTTCTGCTTGGTAAAGGTCAGCAATCCAAATACTTACTGCCCTAAACAGACCAGCTAGCGTTGCTCCTCATACCTGGTTTAGATGTCCCACAAAGGCTCAGGTCAGTTGGGTGTGTGTGGTTTCGCCGTTCCCAAAAGCAACGTTGAAAAGAGGAGCGGTGGAAAAAGCGTCGGCGGAGTTGTCGCGGCGCAACTGCGCGAACGTACTGTATGTGAGATATACCCACGTCTCCCCCGTACCCTCAGCATGCTCTCCCTCATGGTGTCAAACTTGGCGTGACAGCTTCCGCGGCATATTCCCCCAACAACCTTCCGACAATCTCTGCAACACCCAAAGCCCGTTTGTGCAGGTATGTACTCGTCTTCTTGAGAAGATGACCGGGGCGGACGCCACGCCATCTTGCAGGGTAGGGCAATTGCAGTCGCGGTGACTGACCGCATTTCCCTTAACAGCACTTTCCCACGCCGAGCACCTTGTCGATTTCCACGGCTACTCCGAGCATCGAAATCGAACAGCTGTGGACCTTCCTTCTGCCCGAGTCGGCATAACCTGCATGAGCGGTACAGTATGTCCTGTGGCAATGTCCGATACCTGGCGGTCATGTTCTGGCGGAGCTGCGAAAGACGGTGACGAAACGCGACCTTGGGCGTCATATCTAGCTTCAGTGCGGCGCCAGCAAAGATCGACCTGGGAAGCATTCTCAGAACACCCTCGGCCCCCCCACTGTAAGAGGTTTGAGGCGATACGGAGATGAGAGTGAGCTCGAACTTTGGCCGGTATCCTATCAGTCACACCTAATCCGAGACAAAATACAATGCGAAGACGACCGTTGCAGTAAACGATTCCGCATCCAAACAAGGCGTGAGGTTGATGTGGCTGAAGGGCGTTCTTCGCTACTGATCGATCAACTGAGAAAACCTGTCGCCCCGAACAGATGTGCGATAGTCGCTCTGACCTCCCTTTCGACGCCATAGTTGTGCAGGGCTGACTTTGTTACGCCTACACCGCAATCGGATGAGGTCACATTCCACGGTCGCGTTCCAACTTGCGAAGTCACAGGTTCAGGAGCATAATAGAAGGCTTAGAAGCCAGCCGTCGGCGCAGAACCAGACGACCCCAGAGCGTAGAAGGATACCTTAAAAGCCCCCCTTTTCGCACGGAGGATGCCAGGGGGGAACGTTCTGAGCAGTTTTTCGACACAACGGAAGATCGCTTGTTGCGTCTCCTCCGGGAGCACACTGCCCACAACCCACACGGTATCACACACCGTCTGACGAGTATATGGAAACCAAAAACACCTCCTTCTTCTGATTCTGAATAAAAAGAGAATTGCCCGCAAGAAGGCCTCCCAAACGGCAACGGCGGTGCAGGCGACAAGAAGACGCGCGGGCCACAACCCCAGAGGCGGCGATGGACTGGAGAACCCCGAAAAGCAACTTTTATCCCGTCTGCAAGACACCCACATGACACGGGGAGATGGGGATGTTCACGAGGCCGACGGCGATGCTCGCAAAACCGATCGCGGACGCCCACCGGGAGAACGCTGAATTCAAAATCTGCGTACACCGCTGTCGGTGGGACCACTGGACCTGTCAGCGTAACGACTGCGAAAAATACAATCGACATAAGAACCGGCCCCCCAACCAAAAATGACTTTCTGGACGTTCCCATGTGACACTTTCACCTTTACACCGTCGGTGACGGAACAAGACGCGCGGCAACCCCCACGCAATCCACCCTATTTCTGCGCACCGCGGGCCAATGTTTCAGTCACAAAAGCACCTAAAGCCGGCCCGACAGTTTACCTCTCTAAGCAAACAGCCGATGTCCAAGAAGATCGTATTGGAACTTCCTGGCGTGAGGAAGGGTGGATCCTTCGGCTATGGCGGCGCCGGGTAGGAGGAGGGATGAACAACCTAACTGCAAAAAGACTTCGTGAAAGACATGTGGAAGCACAGCCGGCCAGTAACTTACTTTGAACGTGTAACTTACTTTGAACGTGTTTCACAGTCAACCCTCCTCCATTTCGAATATCAACTTTCCTGCGCGACACACTACTTTTTCCGATGCAAGTCTATACATTATGACAAGAGTAAGACGCCCGATATTGCACACGATCTATCGATACTTTGGACGCGTAGAACACCACATCTTCCATTCTCGCCAACATCTCTGCTGCGAAGCAGCGAAGCAGGACAAGTCCTGGGAGGAGACCACTAGCCGCGAGAAAAAAGCCGTGCGAGACATACGCATCGTCTTGGAAGCAGCAAGCGTACAGCATGCGGCCCGTCACCGCAAGCATCTGACGGTGCAAGATATAGACCTGGATATTTTGAGCGAGCCCACGGACGAGCAGTGGAAGGACGTTCACAATTCGATTCTCGTCGACACTTTCATCATGATCCGCAAGGCTCTACGCGTGGAGTATCCGTGGAGTAAAAGCCGTCTGAGACGTCAGCACCTGCTATCTTGGATGTCGGGGGGTTTCCTGGGCAACTGATGCGCGCTTCTTCGCGAACCGTCATTAAAACCAAGCGGCGCATAGCGTCATCAATCGAACGTTCGACGGTAGCGGTGGGACGATGGCCGGGACTACCTTTCGAGACACCTCGCACGAACATTTGAGTATCACGCGAACTGAAGGCCAACAGTTTGGATGCAACGAAGCTCGCTATTGCCCCCAAGGTCAAACACGATTCTACTAGGCGTTTCTCGCGGGACAGCGAGCTATGTTGCGAAGAATCCCGTCGCCCAAATCCGAAAGTCCACAAAATGACCGCCGTCGATTATTTATACGATTATCATTTTGCTTGGTGGGGCCCTGAGGGGAGGGAGAAACGACCACGCTTGCATAGGACGCAGTGTTCTATCGGTGCAACACGCTACGCACATCCTGGCCTCCATCTGATGCCGCAGAAGGGCGGGCCACACCGGAAACACAAACGTTGTCGGGGGCCTTCTGCGGTGACCTCGGCAAAACGCGTCGTTAATAGAAGCAGAACCAGTTAGGAGGTCGGGTGGAGGATAAGTTTCCACTTTTCAGGATGTCACCGTCGTCGGAGCTGAAAAAATATGGCAAGGACACTAAACGGTCGGATAAACCGTGTACATTGGAACTGGCGGTTTGGTGGGAACCGATGCCAATGAACCAGGAGAATCGGAACGTTAATCCACTACCCAACGACTGGACGAGGAGAACGAGTAACCAACCTGTGAGGTGGCCGACCTGTGTGAAGAAGATCTGCGATACGGAAAGGAATTGAAAGGTTGCATGATCGGCATGAACGGTTCAAGTCAGCGTAAAGATCCTGACATGAACGCAACGCAGAGCTGGGAAGGTTCACCGCGGCGTATGGGAATAGGAAAGGCCAGCGAACGGTTGGGATAATGCCACACCGGGGCCGCAGAGAGTGAAGAGCACGGGGGCCATCAAGGTCGGAGACAAAAACGCAGCAGCGGCCTCATCCTCCTCCAAATTAATGATCTGGCCTCTCGAGTTAGCTTTACGTTCTATCAACACAGGCTATTAGTGTCGGAACCTGGTCTGATTGGCCAATGTGGTCAGCTGCAGGCTCGTGGAGAAGCTACCAGCCATCGGAGCGCGGGGTTTCTAGCAATATTCAGGGATGCACCATGGGACGGGTGAAGCAACTTATAACATCACATTACAAAATAGAACCACAGAGCTTACAAGATATGGACCGGAGACTTTTTATTCCATAATTCGAACAACAGTAACTACAACAACAATGCGCGTCGACATCTCTGAAGATTATGTGCGAGGCGTCAGGTGCCTAACTTTTGCTGAGGGGAGCATGATCGGTCATAGGAGACGTTTGCTCCTAGTGAAAGAGGGAGGAGCATCACAAGGTCCCCATGGCAGACTCTGTTGCTGTCAGAAAAGGACAAAATGACAGAAACAACACCGGTTCCTTGTACCTTTTTGGGATGGGATGGGATTTGATGTTTGGAACAACCTCTCTCAATGTTGGCCGTGAACTAGGTACGCGCGCAAGCTCCTTCACGAGCAAGGCGAATGGTGGGACAGACTGCCCGGCGTGGCAAGCACAGGAATACTTCGACTCCATCGGCCAAGTCCGACCTTATCCGCGAAGCCATCCTTCGCCCAGCTTGCGGGATCGCGGCTGCGGACATCTCCCCAAGCGACCAGACTTTTCCGTAGTTTATTCATCTGCTTCTTTGAGCGTCGCCTTGCCAAGTCGAAGTGAACTCTTTTCGATGCAGCGGGACTCGCTCGCGCCTGATCAAAATACACCACCTGACTTTCAGTATCTGTCCTTGCCCTTCACTGTCGTCGACCCTCATAGATTGGAGTACTTCCGAAACCCCCGACCATGTGGACTCTGCTGCACAACAATGTGGCTCGGCGAGCACACCACTCGTGTTACACGGCTCGCTCCCACGGCTACATGTGGAGCGCTAACGAACCAGCCGCGTACATATGAGAAACCCGACATATAAGCCCAGGATCCATGTGATACCCGAAACCTTCTGTCAAGCTCTAGCTTCGTACTTCCCTGAGATACCTGCGTCAGTCACCGAAGGACGGCAAGACATGGCTCTTCAACCATCAGCGCACCGCATCTATCGCGCAACCATGGAAGTCATATTTGCCGATCTCCGGGAGTTTGCTCGGAACTTTGAGGTAAGCAAAGTTTACTTCTTTGCATCACAGAATCCTGAAATATATGTGACCAGTGGCTAACGCAGTGTTTCACAGCTTCCGATTTGTCCCATCGAGCCTTTGCTTCCAAAGGCGCATCGATCCCGTGCTGACTTTTCAATTTCCCCGCGCGCTATGGACTTCGTCGATGAGGAGAAACCGGTGCCCGAACTCGATATCAATGACGCCAAAGCCGCACGCTAGTAAGATGCAGTAGCGCTCACCCCAGCACAACGCCACCACATTGAATGCCTACACCCAGCAATCTGCGCAGAGTAATGCCGAGAGCTGCGCCAGCCTCCTACGCGTCTGCTAAGGACTCGACTTTGAACACACCTACGAACGTTGATGCGGATGCTTACAGCTCCGGCGCTGTCACCACATCGCGCAATTTTGATACCGCCAAGGTCTACTCACTTGTTAACATCGCTCAGATCAACGCCGCTGACAGTTACTGCTCCGCTGCGGACACCGCATACAACGGCGCCCATTCGGTCAGTATGATTTGAATCCTGTGCATTACCGCATACGACGTACTCGTGCCATGTATACTGTCAAGCAGTCACCCTGAGCGGAGCGGTCCACAGATTCGCATGAGCTTTACCCTTGAAGTGGTCGTGGGAACCTCGCGGCAAACGCCCAATCTATCAACAACGTCCTACCCAGAAACTTCTTTCGGAACCGAGCGATTTCCATCTCGGGCGCCATTTACCGGAAAGGGAAGTAATATTGACGAACCTAGAGGTCGTGGAGGTACACGCCGCTCACTGTCAGCCCGTGGAACGAACTCGATAGCATGAGGCCTAGCGAGAGATGGATGCAGAATGGTTCACATGAGAGGGGTTGATTCTTGGAAGGGACTTAGGCCAAAGTCATTTGCGAGCGACGGGAGGTGTCTTGAGATGGCGGCTGTGGCAGTGGCATCAATAGTATGTGCACGACGGTGGGATTGATACCACTATCTGTACACTACCACAGAGTGATCAGGAAGATGGACTGGGGGAGGAATCCTTCGAAGGGAGTGCGTACGGAATGTTTCCGCAAATTCATGGATAAGTGAGCGTAGATGCTGGGCAGGCTAGTCCATGCTAATGTCGATTCATTCTAGAAGGCGATCGAGGCAGAACTGAGCCTCCTGCCATTCGGAACACAGTGAAGCATTCGAAGCACGGAAGGCGACAACGGTCTCAAGCGAGCGGCTCGACAGACCTCGACCCGGAAAGGCGTTGACAGGGAATGGTGTAGTCAGATCTGGTAGATACGTCAACGTTTGCATCACGTTTCTATTTCCTCTGTACCTTCAAAAATGAACATGGCCCGGCTCGAGTCCATGTCGAGAAACAAACCCCGGACCACATTGCATTCACAGTCAGGAATGTCATTCGGCAGCACATTGACACAATTCGACAGCGCGGCGGCGGCGGGAGAAAGATCTTGCGCGACGATTCTCTAAGGCCACAATCGACGACGCAATTTTGTTTCTCTCAACTTCTCTGTGTTGCAGCAAGGACGTCTTTCGTCTACCACTCGCACGGCAAAATCAGGCAGATCCCATCTTACAGACACCCTCGACTCGAACAACAGTAACAACGCCTGTAAGTTGGTGGAGACGAAATGCACCCCCTCCAACCAAACGGAGGCGTGCTGCGATGACCGGCCTCTTCCGTTCGATGCGCAAACGGGAAACCGGCTGTCAAACGGATCAGGCGGGATGCAAGTTTTTTTTCTAGGCGGGGCCTGAATGCCAAGTTTAGGCAGCGCAGAACCGTAACAGCGTCCCCAAATGTCTCCAGAGCTCGGGCTAGACTCTGCGGTCACTCCAGTAACATCATCCCCAAGTTCAGTCTGAGCTTCTTCCAGCACCAAACTGCTGCGAAAGCTCGCCTACTGCTTTTTTTGAGGACTCAAATCTTTCGCTGTTCTGATGTAAACAACAAGGCTTTGTTGTATGCAAAGGGAGCCTCGCCAGTTTTTCCCGACTGCACTTGGAGATGGCATGCAAGCGGGGCACGACCCCAAAACCCCAAACCCGAAAAAACAATGCGCCGTGCGGGTGGGTCGGGTGCCCCTCTTATGCCTCGCCCAATGCATTCGCGGGTATAAAAGGCGAGGGATGATGGCTCTTCGAGAAACAGCAACGCATTCTTCCCCGTCTCACATTCTGATTCATCACGATGCACTTCCTCGCTACCATCGCATCCATTTTCTTCGCCGTGTCATGCGTCGTCGCCCAGGCGCCTCTCGGTGACTGGACTGGTGTGCTGTCCGTCACCGGAGCTGCCGTGTTCTTGGACGCCACGGTACAAGACCTCACCCCAACGTTCCCAAGAGCCGATGTGGTTCTTGAGTGGTCCGTCGACGATGTAAGCAACTCTTTTCTTGCGAGCAAAACCGTCATTGCACATGCCAACTGACAGCGCCATTTACCTTTCAGTGGAAGACTAGCGTAAACGTTGCTGGAACTCCTGTGCAAGCTTCCAAGACATGGAAGTGGCATGCGCCCATCACCACTCTTGACAAGCCCTTGCCTCAAACCGTCAAATTCTTCATCGTGAGTATTGCTCTCGGTTCCGTCACGCATCTTCGATAGTGTGCCTCTAACCTCGACATAATCCCTCAGCGCTACAACAACATCTACAACATCGGCAACAAGCCCGATGGCTCTTTGATCCTTCGCATTGCCCCCGCCGCCTCTTGCGGTGACATCTTCAGCACGGGAATCGTCACCATCGGCTGCACCTTCAACACCGATTTGCCTTTGACCAATGCCCGCGGACGGGTCGACCAAGGTCCTACATCTCCATCCGGTGTGTATCCTGGCCCAGAATACCGCTTGAACACATCCACTCTCGCAAACGGCCAGCACACGTTCACCGTCCAGGCCGATCTCGGGAGCAAGAAGCCCTTCGTCACCAAATCCGTGCCTTTCACCGTCGCTAACCGTGTGCGCAGTCTCGGCACCTGGAAGCCAATGCCCCCGCCGCAAGCACAGGCTATCGCTTCCATGGCCGTCGGCAAGGACGGAAAGCTGTACGTTGGATGGGACAACACCAAGATCACCCGCTACGCCTCTTTCGGTGCTGCCGCGTACGATGTTGTCTACGACTTTGGTGCGCAATACCGACCCGTCGAAGTCCGCGCCGATGAGACCGGGAATGTTTTTGCCGTGCACGGCACCACCATCTACAAGTGGCTTGCCAACGGAACACCCGATGCCGCCTTTGCCAACAAGGGTCAGCTGGATCTGACCAAGGGCCCCTACCCACTCCCGTTCTTCCAGCAACCTATTGATCTGTATGTGGAGGCCGGTTTTGTGTACGTTGCCGGACCTGATGGAAACCTTCTCCGCTTCAACGCCAAGACGGGCGCCTTCGGCGCGGCGCTCAAGTTCACCAGATCATCGCCATCCTCCTTCTCCTCCCTTCGAGGCACCCTCTACGGTCTCGGTGGCAACATCCTCTACACCATCGACGAGACCACCTTCAAGGTTGTTTCGCAAAAGACCATCGCTATGCAAAACCAGCCGCAGGGCATCAGCGTCGCTGCGACACGTCTGTACGTTTTTGATTATACTCAGACGGCGTACTACACTGCAGGCGCCGTCAGCATCTACGACATCAAGAGCGGCGCCAAGCTGACGGACTATCACGTTGGCGCTACTGGCAGCACCTCGGTCGTCACGTTGGCTGACAAGACGGTCCTTGCTGCCGACACCACTAGCATCTTTAAGCTTACGCAGAACCTGTTCTGATCTGTAGACGTTGAAAGTTCCCTCCCATATCCCTTAGACTAGCTAGTAGCGCCGAAGCCAGATGAATTGTTGAGCCCCCAGAACCCCGCGACATGCAATATACCAATAGCTGGGGGTTGGCGCGGACATCCTAATTTAATGTAGAACCCCACATAGCCTACATCGACTCTCACATTTGAGTGAATAAGATCTGCAGAGAGCAAAACATAATGGTGAATTGGGCGTAACATCAGACCGAGTGGTGACGGCTGATCAGCATATGGTGCCCGCGGATAGAGAACCGAACTGTACAAGCGAGCGTACATCGATGTTGTTTACAGGCGTAGAACACAGAGGTTGAGATGTTGCGAGATCTGAAGCACGTTAGTGAGCTGGACTCGATGGAAGGAAGGCAAACCGCGAAATCTTCTAAAAGGAACCATTCGAAGAACATTTTGGGGTGATGTGCAGAACCCAGCGGGTGGGTGTTGACCACGCACGCCGTGGAGGGGGAGATACAGATTAGCGATCTGCCCACGTACGTACCTTCCATGACATACACCAAAGCTTGGGCGGCGAAAGTGCCGATGGCAAGGTCTCCGGCGCGGGCGGCATAACCTTGGGGCGTCACCACGTAGATTCCGTTCTCCACAGCGTTCGTCTGGTGCCAGAGGAGAACCCTGTCACCCGATGCAAGCAGCACAGCCGCGTCCGCCAAGTTACCTACAGGAGACGTCAGATCAAGGTTCACAGTGGATGCCGCCCGCACGGCGGGCTTGACCACGAAACCGCGAAGCAAAGCATCCACGTACCTCTTGGTGCAGAGGGCACCAGGGGTGGCCGGATCTGCGCCGTTGATTAAGGTGCTCCCCATGAGGTCAATCACCCCGTCCCTGGTGTTTACCACCAGCGCGTTGCCCACCGCGAAGGCTTTCTCGTCGCTCACGGCGGTGCCCACTCCGAAGGGCACATTGGAAGTCGCCTGCGTCGCCTGGCATTGGCACAGCGTGTCCCCGCTATCCGTCGTGAGGCGAAGAGACCCTCCGGCGATCTCCAATGTCCCGGTCACCTTGCCAGAAAACCGGACGTTGCCTTCAAAGGACGCACCTCCAGTCGCCGTCAGGGGTCCACCTTGCACGCTCAGACCGGAATACGAAACGCAAGGTCCACCAGCGCCGGCGCGGAAGTAAACATGGTCATCCACACCCAACCCCCCTTGGCTGTGAGCGGCGCGTTCCCAAAGAGACCCCACACGCCGTCTGAATTCACCCCAACGGACAAGTTCGTCGCGCCCCCATCCGCTGACAGTGTGATTTTGCTTGAAGGTGCGAGGACCTGTAAAGCACCGCCCGTTTGGACGAGAGACACACCCCCGGACGCCAACGCCAACATCGTAGCAGTGAGGGGCCCGCCGACGGTCATTGCGCTGGTGGAGACCGCCCCTATGATTGCTAGGTCGCCGTTCAGCCGCGTCGTTCCGCACGTCAGGGCGATGTCCCCGTCCGGTGTCAGGGAGAGGTTGCTTGTCGCATGGGCGGCCAAGGTCATCCCTTGACCAGCTCCGCTGGCGTCCATCGGAACGTGGAATGTGCAGCATCGTAGGCAACCGTGAGCGAGCCGGGACTGGCGAGGAGACGCAACTGCCTGGCGACGAGCGACGCGACGGTTCCTTGGGCAGTTCCCAAGTTCAAAGAGCCGGTGGATCCCGCGTCTGAAAGCACCAGCGACCCAATGTTCATCGACGTTGAGGCGGAAACGGTATGCGCGGTGATCGCGGCTGCCACCACTTCGTCTCCCACCGCGGCGCTTCCGGCGACGTTAAGGTCATTTGCCGCGTGAAGTGCGCCGCCGTTGACATGGACAGAACCGTCTGCATCCAATACCACCTGGTCCGCGTTACCTTCGCCAGCTTGCAGGCTGAGCGTTCCTGGAACCCTCCCAGCCGTCGCGTCGCCCGTCGCGACGATGTACCTCCCATTGCCGGCGTAGCCCACCTGAAGGTAATCCGTGTCCGCACCGTACCACTGGGTGGAGCTGCCCGAGTTTCCGCTGAGCTTTTGGACGAGCGGGCCTTCGGTTTCCGTCACGCCGTCTCCCGTGATTAGCTTCGTACCCACTTGCAAGATATTCGCAGATACGTTGCCGCTGAAGGTGAAATCTCCCGTGGGGCGCAATGTCATCACCGGGACGATGGACGCCAAAGCGGATGCAGAGCCCGTGCGGATTTCAAAGGAGTCTGCCGAGGCCTTCAAAGCGACCTTCGGCAGGGTCTCGGCAGATGGCATCCCGTCCTGCCGTCGCGTCCAGCCGACGCCCGCACGGTCGCCGTTCGGAATCCCTCGATCTGGGCGCCACGCCGCGGAGGTGGCGTAGCCAATCTGCTATCGGGCCGCTGGGCCCGTCTTTGTCCGCGACGGGGTCGTGGATCGACAACTGTAGACGTCCAACTCACCCTCCGCGGACGAGATCCTGTCGCGTCCGGAACCCAAGACCAACGGAACGTGACGAATAGTCGCTCCTGTTTCTCGAAGGTTCAGCACGGTCGCCGGTGGCGCTACAAGGGTCCCGACGGACTATTTTGTAGCGTGTGACACATCTGCGGCGCAGGTCACCGTGAGCCTCCCCAGCGCTACGGGCATTTCTGGAAAGATGTACAAAGTGTTCAAAGTGACCAAGGACGAGTATCCAGTGGTGATTGATCCGTCGGCACGGAAACCATCAGCGGGCTGCCGGGATTTGTCCTGGAAACCCCCTATGCGAGTCTGCATGTCATATCGCGGGACAACGGGAAGTGGGACGTGGTGTCGTATGCGTCCCTGTCCGCCTCCGCATCGGGGGTCTTCCCCAGTGCGGCCATGACAGATGGAGACGTGTCTCTCGCCGCCAACGCCACGTTGGTGAGAAACATGGTGTACAACAACCTGACGGTGCCGGCGGGCGTGGTCTTAAATACAGCGGGGTGGCGGGTGATCGTGTGGGGACATTGACCTCAACGGGGCGATTGCGTTCAACGGTGTGAGCGCTTCGGGAGCCACGGCTGGTAACCAGAACGTCGCGGCGTTGACGACGGTCCTGGGTTCAGGATATGCAGGGGGTGCGGGACGCACGAATACCAACGGAAACGGGACGGCGGCTGTGGCAGCCACCGCTTACTATACGGCGGGCGGACAAGGTGGGGCTGGCGGCCGGGGAGGCACCACCACGACGGGAGGTGCCGGTGGGACAGCCAACGTCATCAGCGCTGTTGAAGGTGGACCCGCCATCATGGCAACGATGCCTTCGTGTTTCAATGGGCGCATTTTGCTTACCAGCATGTTGGTGTACATCACAAGGGGAACCGGAGGCGGTGGAGGCGGCTTGACCACCAACGGGGCGGCCGGCACGTCTACGTCTGGTGGCGGCGGAAGCGGGGCGGGGGTATGCATCGTTGCAGCGCAAGCTGTGACCGGGTCCGGAACCATTCAGGCGAACGGGGGCAACGGCGCGAGCGCGACGTTTGTGAGGACGTCGGGCACGGCGGTGCCCGCAATTGGCGGCGGCGGAGGTGGGGGTGGGGGTCTCGCCATCCTTCTGTATCAGTACGAATATCAATCCACAGTCGCGATGCAAGCGCTTGGAGGCGCTGGAGGAGCTGCTTACGGCGCGGGTGTGGCGGGCACAGCGGGGGCACAAGGGATGGCCTACAAAATCGCTCTCTAAGCGAGGACCAGGGTGGCGGCGAAAGGCTGTCCGGCGGACATCGTCCCGGTGTTTGTGTTCTCGGACGCCTTTGAGGACTCCAGGTCTGAAGGTCCTGTTTCCAGATCCTCCGCGCGTAAGTGGGCGGACTCAGAGGAGAGCCCTTGTTTCATGACCTGCGCGGCGTCTAGGTCCTCCGTGACATTTTGCATTCGCTGTCGGAGTAGTTGCAGCTGACGTGGCCGCGGCATGTTTATTCAGGCTGTCCCACAATGCCGCAATTCTCAAGAGTCCCTCACGCATTTCTCGTGTCTGTTCCTCCGTCGCTCTCTCAGCTTCCAACCTCGCTGTCTGCAGGTGCCCTTCCAACTCGGCGATTTTCCTTTCTTGATACGGAATCTGGGCCACCTGATTTCCTCTCAGCTCAGCAAGAGCGCCCTTGACGACCTTCAACTCCGCTTTCAGCTGGGCCAGGTCGTCCGCCATGACTTTGGCGTAGTCTTCGAGGACGGCGAAACCCAACAGGTCGTCGATGAACTTCCTCCTCGCGTCGTTGGAGCTGGTGAATGAGACGCTCTGGTTGGAGGTCAGCATCACGGTGTTCCGGAAGGTGTCGGCGTCCACGTCCAGGAGCTCTTCGATCAGCTTCTGGGTGACCTGGATGTTCCCCTTTTCGGTGTGCGCGCCGTCGGGGAACGTAAACCACAGCCTCGGCTTCTTGGTCAGAGACCTAGTTCTAGTAAAGGTGTACCCGTTGACGAAAGCGACGCTGACCTCGCAGGACGTCACCGACGGGTGGGCATGGATGACCTGATTCACGACTTTCCTCTCGTGGAGATAATCGCCCCTCGCACACGTCCCGTTCAAGCACCACAGGATGCTTTCGGACAGAGTCGTCTTCCCCGCGCCGTTGTCCCTTTGGATGACCCACATGCCGGGAGACACCTTGCTTCGGAAATCAAGATGACGGGTCCCTCTATGCCCAGGAAGTTCGTCACGGTGATGGCCTTCAAGCCGGCGACGAAAGACGGTCGCCCGCCGGCGCTGGCACCAGGCCCGAAACCCTTGATTTGATCCCGCTTTTTGGTCAAGTACGCCATGTACACGACCGGCGTCCATCCCTTTTGAAGCGAGGCGAATTGTCGAGCATAGTCCATCAGGTCGTTCCCGGTGACAGGGTTAGGAATAGGGTTACCGTTTTTGGTGTTCCCGGTCGTCCGACGAATAGCGGCAACCCCTTTCACTCGTAGAGTGCTTTGCAGTTCCCGGCGAAGGGCGTCCATGTCCCGGGGCTCCTCTTGGCCATCGTCCTTCAATTGCACCAGCTTTCCGCGAAGCCCGTCGTTCTTGACGTCCACCGCATGCCTGGCCTCCGCGACGGTGAGCTGCACGTATTGCACGGCATGCGGGTTTCGGTGAAGCGTCCAAGCGTCGGCGCTAGGGTCGTAGGCCATGAATCCTTTGTCCGAGTCGCCCGCCTCACCGAAACTCAACTGGACGGGGGAGCCGACGTACATGACGCGCCCATACCGGCCGTAACTTGCGTGGCGGTGGAAATGGCCCAGGAACACGCGTTTGAACCCTTCGAGGGTCTGGACGGTGATCTCTTCCCCTAAATGGATGCGACCGCTGGCGTTCATCAAGGCGCCGTGCAGTGAAAGGTGACCAAACATAACAGTCCCCTCCCGGTCTGATGCTGTCGGAAAGCGCGTGGCAAGGTGGTGTCCTATTTCGCGGGCTGTCTCGCCATCTGTCACAAATTCCTCGCATAGATCCCCAGGGGGCACTTGCGACACGTCTATGTCCTCCTCACTGCAAGATGCTATAGGTCTACTGCGAGATGCCAACTTTGGGTCCGCTCACGCAAACCCCTTACACGGAGGACACGTTGACCGTCGGCCATCGGAGGCGTCGCTCCGAGTCCCAACGCCGAAGCGGACCGATGAGACGGTCCACATGAGATCGCCGCTGGGATCTTTCACTTTCCAGCCGTTCTTTGACCTATCCAGAGTCTTTCCCCTCAGCTCCGAGAGAGCTTCTAAGCGCGCCGCCGTAGCCGCCGCGGCTTGCGTGGAGGCGCGGGTGAAAATTAGCAGGCGAGTGTCGTCCACGCGGTTCCTGACACTGAGGGGAGAGACTCCCTCGCAGTCACCGCCATGGGCGTAGAAAAAAGAGACATCGGGCGTCGTCCATGTTCGCTGGATGCCACTCCTTAACCGTTGCGTGTGAGCTGTATTGCACACACGGCGTCAGCGAAGCCGCGTTCGCGAGTTCCTGAAACGACATGCCTTCCAACGTCTTCATGGCCAGACCGGGGTTGGGCACGGCGTGGACGATCTCAGCGGGCGGACGCGGTCCAAGTGGCCACGCCGGCGACATGCTCAAATTCGGGCGGGACGTCTATCCCGAGGTGTTGGAACGCTGCCGCGAGGGGCTCCGGGCATTCCTTCCAGCCCGATGCGGTCTCCAAGTCGTTGTTCCCGTCGTTCCCAAACACCCAGCTTCTCCCTGACTAGTGGCCCCGGCGGACCCATCAGGCCTGGTGGAAGGCCCGGGTGGCGATGGCGCAGACTGGCCAGCGGGAGGCAGTTTTGGCCATCCATGGGACGCGGCGATCGGAATGGGACTTCCGCCGCACGATCGCCATCGCGTGGGTGCCGCAGCGTCCGCCACGTTCGTCCACCAGGCATCCAGCGACGTTTCCGTGGACACGCCCGTGGAGGCCCAGGACTGACACGGGCGAGGGAACCGTGCGTCGGACGCCAACACCCAGGGTCCTTGGGGTATGGCGTTGGAAAGGTCGGACGTCGGGTCGCGGAGGCCTTCGATGACGGCTTGCATCGACGGGAGGGCGTCGTACGCCTCTTGCAAGCGGACACCCACCGCCTTGTCGTCAAACCTCTTGACGTCTTCCAGCAGCTCCTCAAATAGCTTGCGTACCATGTCGTCCATTTTCTGAAGTCGCCAGATACTGCGGTCGGGCGAGCTTCCTAGCCCCTTTTGCGTTGCGGCAGGGACTTCCTCATGGTGGTGTCCTTCACCGTCGCTTCAGAGATGGTTTGCATGTGGTCTCTGACGTAGTCCAGCACTTTGTTCTCAATGGCCCACCGCATGAAACACAGTTGCCTCGTGTTTGATGCGCTCCCCAGCAAATGTCCATTCCGTGACGGAACCGCGTGCGAAAGGGTCAAAGCAGCGCTTTTTGAACCGCTCTTGGTTGGCTTGGTAGCTCTTGTAGATAGATATCTACGGGTTGGTCGCCCACGGTGTACACCACGGGCTTCTCCTTGGCGTACGTGACGACAAAATAGTCAATCAACCGCAAGGAGACGTGGGTTCCCCCGCTCCGCTGCCTGCGCACCACGCTCAATAGCTGCGAGAGATGAGCAGGCTTGCTGGAAAAACGCACCAATGCGTCCTTCAACAGCGCGTCGTCCATGTCGTAGGCTTTTACAGTGTACCTTGATCTGAAAAGCTTATGTTCTGATTATCGATAGTTTGAGACGAATGGGTCTTGGGCATGGAGTGACGTTGATGTCTCTCTGTTGCCACAGGTAGACGGCGATGTAACCCGAATTGCCATACAAGGCCTCCTGGGGCGCTCCATTTTATACCCTAGAGACCCTGTGAGTGGCTGTATACTTGATTACCTGGCTCTCAACGCCATTTATTTCCTTTATTACTTTACATTCATGCATACATTCATGGAAGAACCCCGGCGTTTTCCCACCATGCCCTAACCTCATCGGACACGTTGCCGCCTCGTAGTCAACTTTGCTGTCCGGCAGGGGTATTTCCGAGGCGGATCAACAGCGAGCCGTCAACCAAAACGGAATCTGCCCATTTATGCAAACATCAATTGGTCGGTATGCCTCAATTCGCGTGAACGCCGCCTAGTTTGGTTTTCAACGCCACTTCGTTGGAGGCGATAAGTAGACTTGGCGTTCCGGCGGTCGGTAAAGATGCGATAGCAAAATGCCGCAAAATGTCGAAACCGAGCAGACACTCGTCGTTAGACTCCTCACTCCAGAAATCGATCCTCATCTTCGGACTCCATTTTGTTTGAGCAGGATTGATGCCAGACACTGTAGCACGGAAACAGGTGCCCGAACCTGTTCCCAGACCCCGGAAGGACACAATTGTAGTAGCCGGATTGCCAAGTTGAATCAAATGATGGTGTTGCAAAGTCGTGCGCGGACACCCTGTATCAAAACAGACATCCTCAATGCTAATATTTGTAGCGTGTCCCTTCAGATTGTCAATTCGTACTTCCAAAGGAACCTGCAGAAGGCGAGTTGTAGATATTACTCAAGAATACAACAAAGTACAGGTGATACCTTGAACTCCGCCTGGGCACCTGGAATACATGCTACAGCCCTCTTCTTCTCTCCTCGCAGATTTTTGTCATTCACCGGCTGAAAAGCACCACCAGGATGTTCGTCCACCACTTCGATGATATCATCTTCGCTTGGAAAAAAACGGACAATGGACTGATCGTGGATCAGAACCCATTCGTCCTCATGCCCGGCAAATGCACCTTCCGACCTAAGCTTGTAAAAGGCGATCAAGTTCTCCACATAGTCCGAGCGGCCTTCCTTCAGCCGTTGGAGAGTGCCAACAATGGATTCTGGAACATAAGGGGGAAATTCTGTCATGATGTTAGCAAAGGGTTTTTGCTTGATATCAGCATAATACTTTGATTGTACCTTTCTGATGTGCATCTGCTTTGGCTTGTTTCGTGTCTTCGTCAATGCTGGCATCTGCCAGGCGATCGGTGAGCTGCCCTAGCTTGCCGCGCGGCTCTAGCTCGGGGAACGGTCCTTGCTTCGTGTGATGCATCCTTCAGAAGACTGTTTTTAAGATAAAGGCATGTATCCGATGGGAAAAGAAATACTGACCGTCGCTTAACATCAAAATCGTCATCGTCGTCTTCAGCGCTCAAATAAGATTCTTCCTTTTCAATCTCTTCCTTTGTCTGCAGGATACGATCATCCAGTGAAGCTGAAGATGGGGATAGGTCCTTCTCGTAGTTTGATAATTCTGGATGCCGTTGTATGTAATCGACAACTGACATCCGTGCTTCATTGACCGCGTCCGGTAACAAGGTGCTCGTCCCGTGGTAGTATTTGTGACGTCTTTTGAGGAATCGACAGATGGCAGCGTTTGCCTCCGAATCTTTGAGAGCATAGCCGAGCTCGTTCCAAAACAGTTGGCGCATTCCAATGCTGCCCTTTTCCGGCAACCGGTCATGCACAGCATTTGAACGATAATTCCTGCCAAAGAGCTTCAGATATAGAACGAAGAGACCTAACCACGACCGTACATACGTCAATTTTGAATTACCCATGTGTGTTGTAACAAAGTTTCTGCAGCGAAAAGAGGCGATGGCGAGGAGAAAAGTGCGACAGAAAGCTTCAGTCACACCGACTGAGAGCGTCTGGTTGCCGCACCTAATCGGGCCTACATAAGTAATGCTTGACCGACTGCGCCACAATAGTTCAGAGTGCTGAATTGGATGAAACCCGATTCGCGTCGTTCCACTTCTCATCGTTCGCTCCATTTACTACGTGCATTCCCTTTCAAAGAATAAAGCAAGTAGAGCCATTCCATTTCGAATAATTTACCCATTACATTGCAACTACTACGGTCTAGTCTTTACGAGCCTATACCTCATCTCGCGCGTCGGTGCGCGTTCGATCCACGTTTCTCTCGACCTCGATCGACTTCTTCGTCGCCAGCGATGGGCCCTAAGCTCAAGCGTAAAAGTTTCACAGACGCGGACGCAAAGTTGAAGAGGCCGAGACAGATAGTGTGCATAGCAGACTATTCGCTTAAGAGACTCCAATTCTCTGGTATGTTGCTGAAATTTCGCTGCGCAGGGCATGATACCAGTGCTAACGGAACCTGATAGGGTACTGGACGTCCACCACTGAGTGGTCAGTGATCGACTTTGCGGACTACATAATCGAAGCCCGACCACAAACTGAATGGACGCTGGAGGATATTACGCGCCTCGCGATCAAAGAACTGACCCTCCTCGAGGATGGGATTACGGGGAAGGCATCCAAGCAGAAAGTGACCAAGCTTCTGAAGAACCTGGAGAACGTAAGTATGGGGTTGGGATGGAAAGAGGAGATGTCTGTTACTAGACCCCGCGCCACCCTTCTTGGCCGCGAACGTGTAAAAACGTGGAGGTTCTTGCTACGCTTACGCCCGCTTTAACCTCTCGGGGTGAGAGGATCACCAGCTGTCATGGCAGCGGATATTTCCGCTGGGTATCCCATGGTCACTGAGCATTTCCGCTGTGCATCCGTGGTAATCCAGAACTTCATTCGAAGGAGCATGAACTTCTGGACCCGCACCCTGGCGCTACCCTTTCTTAGGCCGCGAAATGTGTAAAAGCATTGAGGATCCTGCCACGCCTTCCGGCCCGTTTGATCCTTGCCAGGGGAGGGTGCACAGCTGCACTTTGGTGGAAGAATGTCCGCAGCTGCAGATGTTATGGCCAAAGCGGTAGTTAATACGTCTTCGGATGTAGTGTTCGGTGTCGTTGGTGCCTCGAGGGGACATTGTCCGAGTTTCTTCAATTACTTCAATTACCCTGTTCAAATGGCTCATAGCTTGTTACCGGCCGTTACTGACCACATTGCGTTCATTCGTATTCGATTTCATTGTAGAAGACAAGCACCACCGTTCAAAACCTCCAAGCATATTTATCGAGTGATCAATTCGCGACGTTGCAGCGGTTGACACGGGCGCGAGCTGCAGCAACAAAGACGGCTGTTTCAGGATATAAGACCAAGTTTGCTTCAAAGGCAGCAAAAGACATTGTGGGGGATGCCTTGGACGAAGACGACAGGGATGACGTAGCAGTCGCTGCTTCTGGATATGTTCCAAACGAAAATGATCCGAAAAACGTCCAAGGTGACGGATGTGATGTCGACTGTGACGAGGAAGAAGACCCGGAACAAGATGTGGATCACGATAAGGAGGAGGATGGCCGTCTTCATTTGATCCTCAACCATCCAGAAACTTGGAAGGACGCCTTTCCTCCCCACAACCAGCGAAGCCGGAAGGGCGAGAAGAACTTTGGAACATGGATCCTTTCCACGGGTAAAGATGTGGCCGAGACGCTGCGGGAGGCAAGAAAGGCCGTCCTGACCAAAGACCAAACACTGAACCCCTTGTATTGGGGAATCCTGGACGTGACTGAAATGGACCCGATCTTGCAAGGTAAGGGGACTGAGAAAGGAGAGGACTCGTTTTCTATTTGATTCGCGTCGGTCAATGTTTGTACGCGCTTCGTGTTCGAATCATGAATTTACATCCAATCCAGGCTCCTTCAATCAGAAAGAATGGGAAGAGATTGTTGCAGACTTCCATGAAGACGTACGGCTGGAGGACGTCCAGGATGATTTGCGCGAATCCATTCAAGATCTTATGGACCAGATCGCAGACGTCTGGTTCAGTGCACAGCCATTACCTAAGGTAATGGCTGTGCACTGAACCAACGTCGTTGCGAAGACGGATCCATCCAATGTTATCGACACCATTGAGAAAATCGCATCTCCATCAGCGCGGGTGAACGAGATACGGTGAGTGTGCGGCACCGGGTCTTGATTGTAAAGCCTGGTGCGTTATAGTTGGCAAGTTTCTGACTTTGATTGGTCCAGGCGAAGCGTGCAACAGTACGCTTCGAGCATTATGAGGTTGAAGCTCCCGGCATCCGAAGCCACGGCTGACAACGCCACTACTGCTCACATGGTCAAGTCCCTGATCGATCCAACACAAAGTCGGTGGCTTCTTGAGGAGGGTGAGCTCCAAAGCCTGGGAAGCATCGTGGCCCGTAACAGGACTGGGAAAATCGGCAAGAGATCCACGGCTGGGCAAAAGTTGGACCTTCGCGTCACTTTGGCCGACACGAACGACCAGCTCGAGGGGCTGGTGTGCCTCCGATCAGGCGGGCTACCCCGGCCTGGACTCGCTAAGTTTCATTTGGACCGTGTCGATCTATTGGAATGTCTGATGGAAATCGTATTCGCTTTCGGTCTTGAAAATTCTGGGGTTTTGTCGGAGAAGATCGGGGGATTGTTTGTGATGGGCATTCAGAGCTATGGTATGTGCACACGAAGTGAATGTCGGACCTGCTGTTGCCCAATTCCGTTTCGTTGATTCCATATATATATTTTTCTTGTTACTTATCAACAACCCCAGATTGGTCATCCTATGTGTACGGGCTGAGATGGCGCACCGAAGGAGTTTTTTGTGCCGGGCTACTCAAGCGATTCAAGCTGCCGCGTTCATTGTCAAACCTGGCAATCGTGGAGAATGGGGTGTACTCTTTACTACGTGTAGAGGTGAGCAGGTGCTTGCTCGTCATGTTCACAACTACGTGCCTAATAGTCTTTCCGTATGTGATTGATCTGAACTGCAACAGGCCACCTTACAAACCCTCGTGAGAAAGGCCAATGAGATTTCTTTGCTTAAGGCTCGTTTGAACTCTCGGGAGCGACGTGCAACCCTGGGAATCACTCAGCCATACATGGCTCCTCCTCCTTTCGGTTGTATTGCACGTTCGCGAAGGAAGCTGAACACGGAGGTGAATGAGGATAGATACGTTTAAGGCTGGAAAGAGAGTAAGCGACGTCAAGTACACATACAGTACCACGACAAAAGTTTTCGGAACGCACGCGTTTCAATTGTAAACAATTAGAAAAATCGCTTACCAAAGGGCTTTAATTGACAACCACACATACTGGACGGCAGCTCATGGGAGTGATACGGTCGGATTGCCCGGAAGCAGGAGCATATTCAACCTACACAGTAGTCAAGTCTGAAAACTGTCTGGTTGTCAAGTTATTGTCCGTTGAAGTTGGAAGAGCCATCCTCCCATAATTGATTTTTGGGTCCAATTAGAGGAAAAACTAAAACCAATCTTCCGCATGGTATCCAAACCAACTTGACAAAGCGCATGGCCAGGTATAAGGAAAACAAGCGGATCAACATGAAGCTCATATTCGTCTCTATGGGCGGATTTAAGTTCAGATTGTATCCCACCGTCTGTCCTTGAAACAACAAGCCAAAGTGGTATAGTGGCAGCACATCACGTTGTGGCCGTGAGGACGGCGGTTCGATTCCGCCCTTTGGCAGTCATCAATTTCTTTTTTCTATTTTGTCCTTTCGTACACCCGATTTGCAGCGTTGCGGATGATGGGTGATGGCGTCGGGAGACTGCTTCAACATTGAATGCACGTTCGGAATGGGGGTCTGTTCCTATCTCTACACACGAGTCCTTGGTGAAGAGAGACTTTCCTCTACGATAAATATAAGTTATATGGACAAGATTACAATCTCCCTTTCCACGTAATAATATATATGGCCGTTACCCATCTGAACTCCGCACGTGTGTGGCCCCATTGTTCTGTTAGATGACCTTGTTCTCGTTGCCCTGAACTATCCGTGCAGTTTGGAATCCCTCACCACAACCAGTTCCACGCCGCCAAAGCAACCAGCACCCCCACCGTCCGTAATTTCCCCGCTTTCGGCCCGCCGATCGCATCCACCAACCGTGCGCTCACATCCGATAACCGTTCCGCAATAGCGAAAAACACAATCCCAAACACGATAAACGACAGCGCCGACGATAACGTGAGCGTCAACACCGACATCGAGCTGCCGCCGCCTCCAAAGTCGCCAAACAGCGGCACCCGCCCAAACGGCAGCACAACGACCCCGCGGGTATCCACAGCCAGCCACACATGGTACTGCACCAGAAACAGCTCCAGCGACGATTTCGCCACATGCCTGAACAGCCGCGACGTGGTGCCGCGCAGGCCCGCGGTGCTGTTGCGCAGCACGGTGAATGCGATGACGGCCAGTGGCGAGATGTACGGGTGCAGGGCGTTGTACTCGAATTTCGACGGCGATGTGAACGCGATGAATGTATACGCGAGCAGAACCAGGCCCGCCATCGCGATCGCGTACGGGCGGAACCGCTCCACGGTCTTTCCGGACGTGTTGGCGACGACCAGCGCCGTGAGCATGCCGCTGAACACGATGAGATGGTCCAGCCGGAGGCGGAAGAGACTCTCCGTCGCGTTCCATTTGACCGCAAACACCATCTCCAACGCTTTGAAGAGGGTCGCGAGCACCCATTCGGTGTGGACGACGACGCTGCTGACCGCGGCCGCAAAGACGATCTTGCCGACGATGAACCGCGTGTTGTCGTTGTGCGTGTGGCCGGCCCACATGGTCACCCACAGCACCAGAAACCAGAACGAGACCATGGGTCCAAAATAGTAAAACAGCACGTCCTTGTCCATCACATACGCCATCGCGACCGACAACACGTTTAATCTTAGTAACGTCGTGGCCGCCCTCGTGAACGTGTACACCTTCTTCTTGTAGAAAAAGAAGAAATGCCCGTACCCCGTCATGAACAGGTAACTCGCGACCAGTAACCGGATGAAGGCGTACACGGGTGTGATCTGGCTCGCGCCGGTGTAGTGGTATATCAGGATCGCCAGCTGCATCCACCCTTTCCACTCGTCCGTCTGGTAGCGGTTCATGAAGGATGTGTCTTTTTCCGTTGTCGCGGTTATGAGACCCGGGAGGAGCCAGAGGAGCGTGAGTAGCGTGAAGACGGGGGTGGAGTAGATTTTGTTGACTTTCGAAAGGAGGGAGGTGCGGTCGGTTACAAGCATGTAGAGGAGGACGGACGTGAGCAGGAGGAGGTCGGTGCTGGTGCGGGGGGAGGAGAGGTGGGCGGCGCGGAATTTTGCGAGGGATTTGCTGGCGGGTGAGTCGCAGGTGGTGAAGGCCCACCCGAGTGCTGCGATGAGGAACAATGCAGCGAGGGATATCCACTGTTGAGTCCTGATGGGCGCGTACTTTACACAGCAAGTCGTTTTGCCCGCCGGATTCGCTGCGTACAAACGGGCATTGCACATTCTGTTGAGGTACAACTGCACCTCGTTGGCCACGGTCGGCCAATCGTAGTGAAATCCATCGGCGGTGTGGTCTTCCGGGACAGACGCATATAGCGCCTCAACGTACGTCGGGACATGAAGTTCGTGCCGGGTGGCCGGGTCGCCGAGTTTTGTCATGAGGTACTTGTTATATTGGTGCACCTTCGCGGGCGTCATGGTTGACCGTCGAGCGTCGTCCAGTTTATCGGGATGCACGGGGTTGACGGGCCGCACCACCATCGTATCAGGGATCCCTTCCACCCATCCGCCCACTCCCGCAAGCATGGTCTCCACCGCTCTTGAGAAATCCTGAAACCCGGTCGTGCCTCCGTACTTCATGAACCACGGTCCAGCGCTCACAAGCATCAACGAGTTCCGTGAGTCCTTCCCTCCCCTCTCAATCTTCCCCACCCGCGCGTCCAACCCAGGCACGCGCCAATCCGTGACATTCAAAAACGGGTCCCAATGGAACGCCAGATCAATACTCCCCGGGGCCGCCTCGGTCAGATCCGAATGGCGATCGCCCTTTTGTGCGATTTCGAGTGGGGAGCGGGATTTGAGCAGTGCGCTGAGGGAATGGTAGATTTGGCGCGCGGTGGAGTCGCCAATGATGGTGATGCGGCTGGAGTGGAGGCATTGTTGGGCGGGTTTGGCGGTGTAGGATTGGAGGAAACAGGTTTCGGTGTGCCAGGTGCGGGAGGCGGAGGGGATGGTGACCCAGTTGGCGTCGGCTAGTTGGGTATCGCATGTGTCTGGGTCTGACAGAAAGAGAGAAGGATGCGTGAGGTCAAAATGGCCGTCGCAGATCCGGGGTTTGACTTGAAACCCCGATGTCCAATGTCCCATACCACTGCCAGAAAAAAACAGTGCTTACCAGACTCCGTCCGCAACGCTTCAAAAACCATCGCCAAAAGCACAATCACAACCGCAGTCCAAATCGTCAGATTCCACGCCTTGGCGGCCACACTCCCCTTCCCATCGCCACTCTTCCCAGATCCGATGTCGGCCGCCGCCGCCGCCGCCGCGACAGCTTTCCTCTTCTCCTCCGCCACCGAATCCCGCCGCGCGGAGGCAGTCACAGGCCGGGGCAGTTCCAGCAAACACGTTTCCGCGTCATCTTTGGTCTCATACTCGGCGGCATCATCCGCGTCGTCGGCGGCCGCAGCGGTATCTTGCATTTGGATGTGATCGGGCTCGGACGCTGGTGGGAGGTGGTGATATGTGTGCATGGCGTTCACGGTGCGTTCGGAGTCGAAGCTGGTTGATGTGGACGGCGACGGGCCCGAGGAGGAGGCGGTGGACGACATTGGTGGATTATATACTGTATATCCTCGGTGGGTCGAATTTGATGTTGCTGGACAGATCCCGGATAGGAAGCGATAGAACAACTTAGTTAAACTTAACCAGAGTTTGGGTATGGATCGCAGCACACACGCAACGCAAAATGTTTAGCCCGTGCCGTGCCACCTTCTCTAGTACGTCAAGGGATTAGTGCGAAAACGACGTCAAGCAGAATCCGCCGGAAGGTACGGGGCGCCACCTTTGTTACCTTTTAAGCTTCAGGAAAAAGACGGCGGGAAAAACTCATAGGCGCCGTCCGGGCTTTCCGCGTCCCGCATTTTCTGCCACCACCGCGGTAGCTTTCTAGCTTTTTTCTGTTCGATGATTTGTTTGGCAGGGGCAAATAATGACGAGCGCGGCGGGCCTGCAGACAATCCCCTGTCCCTGGAGGTTCTATGGTTGACTGGATGAGTGCCGTCAAGGGGTAAAATGTCAATTGACGCGTCCATCGAAGTAGACTTTTAGCCTTTTGGCGTTCACGATATTCAGTGACGGAGCCCCCTCATGTCTGTGGACTGAACAGCATGTATCGACCTGAACGGTATTCAGGTTCACCCGGAAGGCTAGATCAGGCAGAAGAACTGCAGAATGGTTTTGGAGACGGACAAACATGTGGGTGTGAAGGCAAGGGGGTGCATATGCGTCGGAACGGTTCCGGTGGAAGTCGACAAGCTTGTGCATGGATGCTTGGGGGAGACAAATGAACGCGTGATCGCTATTGAAGTGCATTCCCGCATTCACTTCTCGTCACCAATGCCGAGTCGCATGTCGTCGATTTCCCTGCGGAGTTCACCATTTCTCGCCTGCCCTCACTGGCTGGCTTAGCACACCCTTAACAGCAGAAAGCAATCGGCTCCTCGCATATGGCAGGGCGTCACGAAGGATACAGTAATGAACGTGACATCATGGAACATCGAGCACTGGCATGGAGAGTTGACCGGAGCTCCACAGTGTTTCTGCTGAATCTGATTTTGAAGAAGCAGGCCCTCCATTACAATGCAGAAATGACAAAGGACAGGGAGGGGTGCGTTCTACTTGGCGTTGCCGGTTCTGCTAATATGCAAATCATATGAGGACGGTACGGGTGCGTTCATTGGGGACATTTCGCACCCAGATCATGATGAATACACCCGCGCGTAGGATCCCGATGGTCCTTTTTCGGGCGACGGAGGAGTGACGATGTCGTCGTGCTCATTAGTGAGCACTGCACTGCAGCAGACGTAGTCGGTCCGCCAAGCCCGCAAGCTATCGTGCACGTCACCTGCCTTTGGACGTTCGTGCGGATGGATGGGAAGCATCGTCTTGATCAACTCAAGGAGAGGGCCAAGAGACAGGTCAGGTTCAAGAGACGTGTCAGCTGTCACTTCTTTGGAGAGCCATTCCAACCCTTTCGTACGCGCTGTTCTGCCTTTCCAGGCACCGTTCGCCATCTCGGTGTCTAAAGAATTCGCAGGAAAGTATCCGAGCATGATACAAAGGATCTCTGCATACACGCCTGCTAGCGAAAAAACTTCGGCAGGCCGAGCGTATCTTGTGCCGGCCTCGGGCGCCATGTATTTCTCGGTGCCGGCGTATGATGAACGTATGCTGCTGTCGGTGAGAGCACGGGCCACTCCGAAATCGACACAGAGAATCCTACCGTGATTGTCGAGAAAGATGTTCTCGGGCCTAATGTCGCGGTGTAAAACGGACGGCTGAAGAGCGTGCAAGCTGTGGAGGCTTGCCGCAAGGCATAGCATCAATTGTGAACCGACTCGGCGAATGGTCGCCAGCGCGCCAGCTCCCGGCGCGATCTTCGTGCCGTCCTCGGTGCAAGGATAGCCAGTCACGTAGAGTCCTAGGGGCCCACGGTTGGTAATACAAGTAAACCTAGATATGTAGGCATGTGAAGACCCCCCGAGATCGCTTGCAAAATATTACGCTCTTCGAGCGCAAGTTTTTCCCGGTGCCCGGGGCGGGTCTCGACAGCGGCACTCCCAAGCACTAGGGACAGTGATTTGCGTGCGGCGGTCTGAGGGCTTGAGACTGCGGCGTTGGTGACGAGCTCAACAACCGTTCCCCCGAGCCACGACGAGGAGGCATACGGCTCTGTACCGAGAACGGAACTCGATGCGCTTTTTCGGAGGTATGGCGGGCAGGGAAGAAGAGTAGGGCAGGGTTAGTTGACGCTACGAGTTAGCCGCCTGCTGTCGCAAGCGGCGGTCGAGACTTGAGGGGCAGCGTCACGTGAGGAATGGTTTATTTCGCGTGGACTCTGTTGATTGGAGGGCTTAGCACCATGACGCTATGAATGAATCAGAAATTCCTATTTGGAAGCTTCCGGTTTCCAGATTCCCGGGCCGATTGGAGTCATTTAGGCGGCCGGGCTGACTCGCTTCGTTGCATGTGCCTACTTACGTCATGTTCCCTGCCCAGGCGAGGGAAGACCAAACTGGGGGGCAGAAATGATTAGGGAATGGTGGGATTCTTAATGAAGATGGCGAGGTGAACTGGTGGGTTTGATTAGACTGGGATTGCGTCCAATAATGACGGACGACTGCAGCACGCCGGGCTGAGAGAATGAGGCAAGCAAGCCCTCTGGGTGTTGCCGGAAGATTCCCACGTCGAATGCGCATTCGGAATTCTTATAAAAGGAAGGGAGGTCTGCGAGCCGCCCTCTCCCAGCCATACGAAAAAAAAAAACGAAACTCGCAACAACCCAACCCACACTCCCCTCACCAACACCACACCACAGATCACAACAAAGATGGCCACCACAGGAGCAGCACCCAGCATCACCCGCGCGGTCGCCGAAGACCCCGGAGCACTGGCCGCCGCACACGAGATCGCCGCCAAGCACGCCGCCGAGCGTGAAGCCGCCGAAGCCAACAACCCCACAGGCACCGTCAACGCCGCCTCCCCCGAACTCCTTGCGCACCCCAAGAAATTCACCGTCAAGATCATCCAAGCCCTGGGCGTGAAAGCGCCCGCCCCCGAAGACCGCGGCGACCACCAACTCTACGTCGTGCTCCGGCAAGGCGCGCAAAAGTTCATCTCGCTCCACAAAGACCGTAAAGACGGCGTGGACGTCCCCTTCAACGAAACGTTCGAGATCATCGTTGGCGGGACGGAGAGTCTGAACGGGATCGCGGTGGATCATAACCAGAGCACACATGCTGTGAAGACGCATAAGGAGCCGACTGCGGCCGAGAAGGCGCAGGCGGAGAAGGGGAAGAAGCATGAGCATCAGGAGAAGGTGCACCCGGCGGACCCGACGCTGACGGTGGAGCTGTTTGATAAGGATACGTATGGAGTGGAGGATAAGTCGTTTGGAAAGGCGAAGTTTGATTTGAGCAAGGCGACGGAGCAGCCGCAGGATGTTGAGTTGCAGGTGAGCTATTGGCGTTCTTGTGGATTGTTGTTTGGAGACACCCAAATCTGACCTACATGACATTTCTCCCTGTTCACAGCTCCACCACGCGTTGCACAGACATATCCCCAAGGTCCACCTCCAAATCTCCCTCGCCGGTACCGTATAAAGAAAGAATGCGAGGACATTGATCGCAACACCACATCCGCCATTCACCACGACACACCGTCCATAACACCCCCCAATCGTCGTACAGATAATGGACTCCATAGATCGTGCAACGCTCTCACTCTGTGTACATAGACGCCAGCACCTTGTACATCACATTTTTGTCGTAGCGATAACCCCACATAAGGCGTATCAATCTTTTTCTTTTCTTTTCTTTTCATGAACGATATGTTGGTATCATCTCGAGAGTTCTTTTCGATCATCGAAAAATGTGATTTTTGGACTTTGAGTGCAAGTGGAGCAGTTTGTTCATCTGGCTTTGTCCCAGCCATGTCGAATATGCGGGAACGGGTGGCTGGGTGACGGTGGATATGATGCCGCGCGCTGCGTGGGAGGAGCCAAGCCACACTGTCATCATCCATCGCGTGGGGGCGAAATGCCAAGGAATAACAAGTGACCTCCACGTCGTTCTTCCCCTTCGAAGGCACCGCCATTAGAAAGACTGACATCCCGTAACAACAGATATAAGCTCGCTCTATCTCTGCCTCGCTCCCTTATCAACCCCATACCCTCATTCAAAACTCAAACCGATCTATTCTACTTGAAAACCAAATCACCTTATAAACCTCTTCACCAACGTAATGTCTGACGAGAAACAACCTCTAGTGCCAAAGGGCGAGCACAGCGACTTCGACCCCACAACAGCCTCCTCCTCCACCGACCTCCCACCCTCCTACGACGCCGCTTCTTCCAGCTCCACCACCACCACCAGCAAACCCCAACCCCCTCACAAAGCCCCCACCCACCCTCCAAACACGCAACTCGCAACCCGGCCCCACCATGCCCCTGAACTCGTCCCATCCAACATGTACCCCGGCATAGCCGGCGGCTCGCCCCCCGCCTATCCAAGCCCCGCCGACTACTACACCCACCACCCAGGCCCGCTCTACACCGTCCAAGCCAACGTACCCATCATGTACCAAGTCTCGGACGGCATCGTCATGGTCAACGTACGCGAGTCCCTCCGGATGTACTGCCCGAGATGTAACGCGAATGTGCAGACGAGCGTGAGAGGCCGACCGGGGTTGAAGGCGTGGCTTTCGAGTGGGTTGCTGTTTTTGTTTTGCTGGCCGATGGCGTTTGTGCCGCTGTGTAGTCCCGGCTGTCAGGACCAGGTGCATAGGTGTAAGACTTGTAGTTCGGTGCTGGCTATCGTTCCGGCTTGAGGGATGCGCCGCGAGCAGGGTGTGGTAGTTGACGATGTTATGACGAGGAAGATGTTAATATTTTGTACATGCAAGTTAGCTTCGAAAACTTTGTTTTGTTGTTGCTCGTGAGGACTGAGACTGTAATAAATGTAGTTCTGAGAAGACCTCTGTTTGTCCGCACAATGTCAAAGGCCCTTCCTCATTGAGAACTCCTGGTGCTCCTGAATCACCATCTCATGTTATGGCCAGATATTCGCTAAATTTCGACGTACAGAGCTCAATGGTCAGACGTCGATTTGTATTCCGAAGCACTTTGACACTCACATGACCGGGATATCCCAAAACGCCCTCAGCCGGCCTTCGGTGCGTGAATGTACCGTCGTTGGCTCATCAGCTTAGCGTCTCCAGCGGCATAGTCCCGGATCGCCGACTATCATGTATGGAAACGGTCGTCTCTTCAGACTACTTGAGGCGTGTCGTCGTAGTCGTCGTAAAACAGCCACTCAGCTCAGAACATTTTCTCCGATATGTCGGTCTTTGCAGAGGTGGGTCCACATCCATCTCCGTCGCTCATAAGATTTGACACGACGAATGCCCCGTCCCTCATGTCTTGAGATTCCGGCGGATGTGCAGCTCATTCAAATTTCTTTTCCGCACTCTGGTTGCCGTGCCTCGAGAATCGGCGAAGAGAATGAACCCTCACTCCGCCCACGTAGTCTGCTTTTGCGCTTCGGCATTTTGCTTGCGTTCGAATGATGGCTTTTAATGGTAAGCAGATGGACAGCGGTCCGCCCTCCGACCCCATGTATTTGTATTCCACTGCGGTTGAAATGACGGGATGTGAACCGTCACTGCGGATGTCCACGTCCACGGGCGTGACTGCACATGCAGACTATCCCGCGACAACGTCTTTCACATGAAGCCAGCGAAGACGTCTCCAAGGAAAGGAAAGCGGTGCGCCTTCACCCTATAAGGGCAGAGACTCACCGCGTTCCTTTTTTCGGAGGAATACTTCCAAGACCGTCAAATGCTGGAGAGCACTCATGGCGACTCCATGGGTTCGGATGAAACTCACTTGATGCAAAGCCCCGTGTTCAGATCAACTTCCAACTTTCCTCTGGAGACATGTATGAGGCGCAGGTGAAGGGCGGAGTCTAGCTCGCGTCACGTCAACGGAGAAATATCTCCCCACGGACTACGGTATCTTTCTGCAGCGGGTCCGCCTCCGGTATCGTCGCGAGGATCTCGGCGCGCATTGCTACGAACACTGCGCTTCTGGCATATGCCTGGCCCGTTCTACTGAGTAGAAGGCGATCCATGATCTTCTTGGACAACTCCCCACCCCATAGATGTCGTCGTAGCTGTCTAGGTAGTTCGTGCCGGTGATCTTGATAACGACGCATAACCGCAAAGTGACTCGGCCCAAAGATAACGGCCTCTGCATTGTTGCACCAGTGAGCAGAGAGGTTTGGGTGATCTAGAAATGTCGTCGACCGGAAACGGATTGCAAGTAACGTTTCAAAACGGGGACCCAACGCGTGAGGCGTTCGCGAGGCGTGAGATGTAGGTGAGGGTTCAAAACGGTGAGGCGACGCGTATAGTATGCGGCGCCAGGTGTCCCAAAGGCGAACGCCAGCCGAGTCGTGTACTGTACATCTGTGCCATGGATGCGGAGCGACATTCGTGAAGGCGGATGCCAGGATGCTTGTGTATACGTATGGCATGTTTTGTTTCAAGTTTAGCACAGAGGAGCGATCCTTAGCGTGAGAAGCTAAAGGACTTCATTGTGGATCACCGTCAATCCTCATGCGGCCCAAACCGCCCAGGCCCAACGAGCTGGCACTGGCGGATGGCAAGACGCATTTCCAATGGTAACGGCCTTGGAAATGGGTGGCATGACCCATGCCTTTCACCTCACTGTGTATGGAAGAATGCTCGTCAGCACCCCAGGGACAGAAAATAAGCACACAAACAGTTGGACATACCTGCGGACAGCCGTCCAGCGCCACTCCTTGCAGTCGGCCGGGACGAAGATGTCCACCTTCAGCGGACCGGTGAGGACACGCATGTCCTTGAAGGTCGAGTCGTCCCCAGAGTAGTCCCTGTTGTTGTTGTAGATGAAGGCTCGGAGCACCGCCATGAAAGTCATCCCCACGAATTTGAAGTAGGGGCTGTCGGCAAAAGCCTTTCAAAACATACTTGGTCAGGACTCGGAAGTGACATACAATGGAACAGGCCTTCCAAATAGGACCGCAGCTTGCGGGATACAACCTGGCGGTCCCGATATCCGAATCGTGCCGCCGTCGCAAGAATCTTTGCCATCTCTGCCATTCCGCTTCGCGTATGGGGTTTCCGGCAAACACAGAGTACTTACTACTCTGGCTTTTCCTTTGCCTTTGCCGCCCATTGTGCTTGTTTGACGAGGATGGGGAGTGGGTGTTGGCTGAGGGTATGGGTGAGTTTGTGGGTGGTTGGTGGGGTGCGGGTATGTCGGGCTTCAGGGGTCAAGTTCGAAAGCGGAGTCTTAAGTTACTGAGCCCTGGGGCTTCCGTTGCGCCCATGGGCGACCGCTCATCATTGACCATGCCATTTCGTCCACTCTCTCTCGCTGCCGCAGCGATTTACGACGTACGTACGTACACCTTTTCCACATAGCATGCTCCCGCATCGCCCTGCTCTTTCGAGCGCACGACCAAGGCCACGATCCGGCGATCTCTGATTGATCTTGATCGAATGTGGGTCATCCAGCGACTGCCGGCTATGCTGAGTCGATTCGAATGCAAAATCGCTCCCAGATGTAACGGTACCTTTCCACGCCTGACGCATGCCGAGTCCCCCTCGGTGTCCCGGTTCATCCCAACCATCTCCATCTCCGCCAAGGCTGCTGCCTTCCTGTGGCGGGGCTGCATTCGATCTCCGATTCGTCACGTTTCGCCTCAAATGCCGCTGACCTTTCGAGCGTTGATGGTTGGTCACTGCGTATGCGTGGATGTCTGATAGGGAGATCCGTGAGGCCTTCGTTCTCGTCGCCAGGGATAACAGGAAGGCCGATGGCGTGCAGAATTGTTCCATATAGTAGTCTGTGCTCGATACCCTCCCATAACACTTCTGGACTGCGAAACAGCAGTAAACCTTTCCCTACTTGAGCCAGTGGTCCAAATACCATTAGCAGTGCGTCTAGCAAAGCTGGGTGGTACTCACCATGTAGGCGGTTTCTCAAGCAGAGCTTCCACAGCTGGCATTGCCAAGGAACAATAACACTTCCCGTACGAATTCGAAACCGTCCAAGACGTCCAAGCTGGTTTGCTCAAACGGAAGCTGGGTGAAACAGGGCAAAGCATGCTGCCGGTGGTTTGCTACGTCTAGCCCAAGACACCTGTGTGTTTTTGGAGGTGGGGGGATGACTGCAGGGATGTCCGGCCGCGTAAAGAAGCTCCATTCTGAGCTCCATTCAAGCTCCATTGAAAACACTAGAGGTCCGCTTGACACTTGAGTGTCACTACCTCACATATATATACATAAAGTTCAGCTCCAGTATCGGTGGGAGGCTGTCCAACTTCGGCGCCGGAACGTCAGAGTTTTGTGAACAACAAGTGTCGCATTCCTGCGGGACGCCAGAAACAGCTCGAACAGGCTTGGAAGAGCTAACGACACAAAACATAGACCTGGAACACTAGGAGAGAAGCGGAGGCCGAATGTCTCAGCCGACGTCGACGGAGGCTGCTACCACAGGTAACCGTCAGGGTCTTCAAAGTTCCGTTCATGTCGTTCACAGCCCGCATATCTTATGGTTCGTTGCTGCTCAAGATCATAACGGCCTGACAGCGCCGAAAAAGGAGGTGGAAGCAGCGGTGGGGCGGGCGATGGAGGCTGGGACCGTGGTAGATCCGGAGGAGCGGCCGCTGCGGAGCTCGGAGACATCAGTGGCACAGGAGACAGCAACGGGGACGACGGTGGAGTCGCGGCGGAGCAGGTGAGGAGCCTAAAGCGAGAGAGGGGACGGGTTACTGTACGATTGGTTGAGCGCTGTCAGCTTGCACCGTGGGAGCTCCCACGTGAGGGGAATGTGGGGGCCTGGTCGGAGAGTTTGTACATGGAAGGCGCTAACGTCGGGATTCGTGTCCCTCCATATTGCGGTGAGCAGTCTGGTGACGATTGCGGCAAATCAGAAGCATGTCGGCATACAGCCGACAGCGATACGGCCAACGGACGATATCTTCAACGTGAATGAGGAGCGCATCAAGGAGGTATGTTGCGGTTCGGGGGATGGGATCAACTGTCAATGAACTGCAGGCGACATGCGATTTTCGGGCAAACGTATCGGGCCTTGTGCGTGGCATTTCATCGCTGAGCATCTCCAAATCATTTGACCAACAGGACATTGTGCGCATGGTGGTGCAGTACCTCCATGACGGCGGGTACCATGCGTCCAAGATGACCCTGCTGGACGAGGCCAACGTTAAGACGTATGAGCGCGAAGAGCGGCAGATCGAGATAAGACGCATGCGCAAGGCCGTGCTGGGTGAGTTTTGGGATTGCATGCCGGCATGAGGGACATGGTTGACGGAGGAGCCGAGTTTCCGTCTCTATGCCCAGTTTCTCATCTCTGCTGCTTCCTCTACATCATCGACCATCCCACAAACGAATCGACAAACCATCAGACGGAGATTGGGCGGAAGTCGATCGGTTATGTTCGAAGACTCTGCTGAAGAACCAAAAAAGCTTCCTGTATGCTGTTTACAAACAACAATACCTGGAGTACATTGAGCACCACGAGATACAGAAGGTTGGGATCTCCGCACTGGTGTCAATATCCAGACCATGAAACCGAACGGACCTTTCATCGTCACGGTTGTCGCCTTTAGGCTTTCACACATCTTAACAAGAGAATAAAACCGCTGGAGCACCTTCAAACTACGCCGAACGAGTTCAAAGACCTATGTTATCTCCTTACCGCAAAATCCGCCCTGGACGCACCATCGTTCAAAAACTGGGATGGGATCACAGGCGCGAGGTGGGCGGAAAAGAACCACTTGAGTGTCTGCATGTACGCATTTGATGGCTGATTCTGTGGGTCATCCACAAGGGAAAAGCTGGCCGAGCAGTTCCAGAACATGATCGATTTCGAATCCGCGGATCGTGAAGGTCTGTGCCACTGATAGCCCAGTCAAGGGCTCATAGTCCAGATTACTCACATCGTTCCCAACTTCCTTACAGGCTCGGTCTACGTCCCCCCACAACGCCTCCTCAACATGCTCCGCCAAGCCGTCGCCTACCAGATCGAATCCTCCCGCTATCATCCCCGCATAGCCCCGCGCGTCACCACCCTCCTCGAGGACTACCAATGCCCGATGATCCCCAACGCCGTACGAACAACCTTCGCCGGGCACAAAGGCAACGTCAAATGCGTCGACTTCATCGGCGAAGAAGGCCTCTCCCTGATCTCCGGCTCCAGCGACAACACCTGCCGGATCTGGAACACGGAAACAGGCGAGTGCCAATTCACCCTCGAGGGTCACGCCTCCCGCATCTGGGACGTCACCTCAAATAAAACAGGCACCCTGCTCGCGAGCGCGTCTGGGGACGGTACCGTCAAGCTGTGGGACCATCGCCCGGGGAAAGTCGCCTGCTCGTCGACGCTGGAGGAGAATCAGGGCGATGTGTATTCGGTTAGGATACACCCGGCGGGACGGCATGTGGTCACGGGCGGATACGATAAGACGACGCGGCTGTATGATATTGAACGCGGTGTCGTGGTCAAGTCGTTTACGGGACATCAGTTGTCGGTGTCGCAGACCATTTTCAACCCGCTGGGAAATCTCGTCATTAGTGGATCGAAAGATAACACCATAAAGTTCTGGGATATCGTCTCGGGTGAGCTATCGGGAAGTCTGCCACATGCGCGCAGGTCGCTTGAGCTGATCCAGTCTATTGTATACTTCCCGGTAGGCCTGTGCATCCGGACGATAACATCGCATTTGGGGGAAGTTACCTGTGTGGAGATGTCTTCGAACGGAACATTGCTACTGAGCAGCTCGAAGGATAACTCGAATCGGTTGTGGGATATTCGCATGGTATGGGCAGGATACTGGGAGTCCCCTCGAATCACTGGCCGGGTGTCTTCAAGTACCGTCTGACTTCTGATTACTTCTCTCCTACAGCTGAAACCAATACGGAAATTCAAAGGCCATCAAAACACATCCACCAATTTCGTCAAGGCGTCCTTTGCTGGCGACGCCCTCGTCGTGGGCGGGTCCGAGGTACGTGTCCAGCCTTACCACATCACCCCCCCATCTGTGTCTGACCACCTCTTATACGTTCCCCTCACCACCTCACTCCTTCAGGACGGCATCGTCTACATCTGGGACTCAGCAAAAGGCGACATTCTCCAAAAGCTGCGCGGGCACCGCGGCGTCGTCTACGGCGCCGTGTGGGCGTCGCGCCAGTCGCTGTTTGCGAGCTGCTCGGACGACCGCACCGTCAAGACGTGGTGGTTTGATGAGAAGCAGCCGTTGTTTGAGTGATGTGAGATTTGAACGTGGGCGTCGGGGGGTCGTGCTAGCATAGCCCCGACATTTTGGTGAGAGCGGCGTCATGTAGTTTGAAAGATCTGGAAGAATATATACCCCATTGCACAGAGTCTCGTTCCTACGTAGTTTGGAAGCTCCTGCGACGTTTTGTGTGTTCTAATTCAGCCGTCCCGCCCCAAATTTTTTTTTTTCACGGTCATTTTCATTTCACAAAATGTCTGTGTTGTCAAAACAAGGCGTAAAGTATAAAAATCCCCTTCGATATATTCCAAAAAAAGCAATGAAAACGCGTTCGTTCCATCTTGTGTTGTCCGGTAGTCCGGGTCTCCTCCCCATTTCTAGTACTTGATGGGGGGCGGAACAAATTATATTTGCATGATACAGGGGGGGGGGGATAACGAGGTCCCTGTTGGTTTCGATTCTTCCCCTAGTTCTTTTCGGGTGGCGGCGGAATGCAGAGAGTCGGGACTCCGTCTCGTTGTCGAACGACGACGTGGAAGATGTGCAGGGCGTCTTCAACCGACCAAGTTTCCAAATGCATTCCCGGCACCGCATCACAGAAACCGGTCGAGACGCTCAACGCCTCGTATTCCACAGAGTGTCCACAGTGCGAACATCTCCGGTTCCGGTACCTCACGCCCGTCCCGAAGCTGGCACGCGGCCAAAACGTTTTTTGTTCCCCTCCTTCACCCAACAGCAACCTTCCGAACCTTCCTCCAACTCCGATCCACCAGCCGATCCAGATCCCTCACGACAAACCCCCTGACAACAACCCGGCCGTAGAACGTCGCGATGGCGTCCAGTTTCGCGCGGATCTTGGTGATGCTGGCCGGTGGGGCTGTTATGACGATCGTTGGGTTGGTGTTGGGGTTATGGGTGGTGATGGGGTGTGGGTGCCGTGGGCGAGTCGAGACGGAGAGACGGGGGGTGGAGGTGCCGGAGGAGGGGGCGGATGTGGAGAGGCGGGGCGGGGTTGTGGAGGGTGTTCCGGGTATTTGGACTGCGTTGGTTTGGGATGGGGTTGAGGGGTCGAAAGCGGCGGTGAGGTGGGAGGTTGGGGGTTGCTGCTGCTGCTGCTGTTGTTGATGATGATGCGGTGGCGAATTCGTTGGTTTCGCCAAATTCGCGAGATTGATAGCCGAGTAATTCGCCGGCAGCTCAGGTACAGGCGGGACATATTCCCGTTGCTGCGCGGCCTGCAACTGCTGCTGCAGCTGTTGTTGCAGGCTGACGGTGGATAGCCGGCTAGTAAGGGACGCGATGCTGCCTCGCGGTGTGATGCTCCGCGAGCCGGGGAGGGAGAGGGATTGCGATTTGCTGTACACGCCTAGATTGCTGCTGCTGCCCTGCCGTGAGGGTGGGTTGGAGGTCGGGTTGGAGTGTGGGTCCCCGCGTAGGCCGCCAGTGGATTCCAACGGTGCGTACACTTTCGCGACGCTCATGGCGGCTCCACCGACCCCGCCGTCATACGCCACCACGGCCTGTTCGCCTCCATAAACACCATAAATGACGTCCAGAACGTTGGTCTGCATCAACATCCTGTGCAGCGTGTCCACATAACTGTTTGCGAATTGCGGCGGTTGTTGTTGTTGCTGCTGCTGCTGTTGTTGTACAGTCGAAGGTGCGGACGGGAGTGGCGGCGCGGGGACGTCTACATGATACCCCTGCGTCGGCAACGTCAGCGGGGACACGGGCAGACTTGCCATTGCGGTGGGGTAAACGGGGGTGGGCGGGATGGATGTGGCCGGTGAGGAGGACGCGGTGGACGAAAACACCAATGAAGGGCGTTTCATGCCCTGCTTGTCAATATGATCTGAATGAGATGAATTCGCGCCGATAGGCCGCGAGTGAGTGAATTTCTCGACCGATTTGGAGATTTTCGAACTCCATAGTGAGAGCCGGGTTGCTGCGGATGAGGCGGATGCGAGTGATGTTGTGGAGGAGTGGTGGTGCTGGTGAGTGGATTGCGGGAGGAAGTACGGGACAGGCGGTGAACCGTGTTTCGGTGACGGTGGTGGTGGCACGTCGTAAGGGAGGGCTGAGGTGGACTTTGAACCCACGACCGCGATGGGAAGCGGTAGACTCTCCGAGTAATCGAAGGGCCGCGGACCTGTCGGCGATGCGAGGGACGATGTGGACGCCGACATGGGCTGCAGATGCTTTGATATCGCCGACGGCAGGATCGACAAAGAAGAGCTTGGATCCTCACTCCACTGCTTCAGCTTCTTGGCATTGCTACTCCGCACGGCTTCCAAAGCCTGATCCACGCGTTCCAGATCTCTTAGAAGCGCGTTCGGGTCGGCCGACGCTACGGCGGCCAGATTCGCGTACGTGACGACGCTGGAATTCATCGTTGCCGAGATGGCGTTGGACGCCGAGGACGTGGATGTAATGGAGGATCTGCCCGATGCAAAGCCTGGGAGGTAGTTGACGATAAGCATGTTGAGCGCGATCATCACATTTTCGCAGAGGGCGATTTTGGTGTCAATAGAGGGCAGCTTTGTCGTCGGTTGCTGCCATATTGTGGGTGGAACGTAGAGCGCGGGGGAGAGGTACGCGCCGGTGGTCATGGTATTTGCGACGTTGCGGAGGAGGGTGAGGGTTCTGCGCGTGGGTGAGACCGCGTGAGTTACGGTCATCGATGTGGGTGATACGGAGGGTGATGGTGCTGGTGGCGGGACGTAGGGGGGTGGAGTGAATGCAACGGTGGCCGTAAACAGCTGATCGGGTGTGGCCACAGGCCCGGAACCATGTTGACTCCCCGATACGCTGCTAGCGTTGCTGTAGGCTGATGTGATCGAATTGCTGCGGAACGAGGGTCGCGTCGACGAAAATGAGAGCGAGCGGCGGCGGCTTGGGCCCGTGAAGGGTGCTGCTGGAAGAGCGGGTTGCGGTAATGCCGTGTGCGAAGACGAAGAGCCATGCGCCGCAGGCTGCTCGTTCGATATCGACGTGCGCGGTGGTTGAAGAGATCCCGCTCCACCGGCTGCCGTGTCTGCTGCACCTCCCGCAGACCTGTCTCGCTCCGCGTTCTTCTCAGAAAGAGCAGCGGTAGCCAATGCGGCGACCTGACTCTTCCTCGTGTCATACAGCACCGACCATTCCGGCGGCAGTTCTGAAAGGAGCTCCCCGGCTCTGAGCACATACGAGTTTCGAGATGTGATCAAATCCGTCCGCCCATGCACATACCACGCCAGCAGCGCCATGGTCTCTTGCGGGACATCGGACCCGGCGGCTGCACCTCCACCGTCTCCGGATCCGAGCACCGCCTGCACGACACCATCTTCACCCTTACCACGCTTCCCAACCGATCCACGCTTCCTAATTGACCCGCTCCTCCCCCTCAACGGTACAATCGTCCCCGTAAGATCCGTTCCCCACCCCCCTGACGCTAATATCGCATCGTCCTGCTTATCCAGCATCAGTTCAATGAGCATGATCGCATCGCAGTACGCTTGTACTGCTTCTGTCGGCCGGCCCTGGTGGTCGAGCTCTACTGCATATTTCGCGCGGTGTAAGGCCTAGGGGGGAGAAAACGGTGTATGGTTGACATGTACTGCACACATTTCCCGGCATGCTACTTGTCAACGTCAGAGGCCTTACCATGGGGTAGTAGTCCGTCTCGCCTCGATGGTGCGGTACGGAAGACCACGCATCTGCTGGAGGATACTCTTGTGCGGGTTGGTCGGGTGGCACCTCAGCACCGGGCTTGGCTAGTGAAGACCCGCGGTTGGGTAATGGGAAGGGAAGATACCCGGCGGCCGCCCGTTCCTCTGGCCGCCTGGGGCTCGGCCTCATCGGGCTGGGTGGTCGTGGGTGGGCCATCGTCGCTCGTCGTCGCCTCCTCCCAATTCGCGGAACACCTCACACCCGAAAAGTGCCACCTTTGCAGGATGGGTCCGAGGCTTTTGGGTGATGCGACCGGACGTTCAAAAGACCGATATCCCTCCCAACTTTACCCTCAGCGAGCAAAAAGACTTCCTGGTACAGTATGTACGCCGGCGGAAGCCTATGAGTGTCGTCTGCGATATGTACAGTATTCCCGCCCTTTGCCGAAGCCGAGGTCTTTCTGGCATGGGAAGACGCGGAGGTGTGACAGCGCGCGCTGGGCATCGGACGTGGGGCATCGCACCGTGAAAGGAAGGCATTCCACGGTACAGACATCCCCCAGGGGTTTTTACAAAGGAAAAAGGTAGCAGCTGTCTCAAGGCACCTCCCGTCTACTATCCCCCCCCCCCCCCCCCCCCTCCCCCGTCTAGTAGTGTGGAGTATGTTCTGAAATCGAGATCAATATTGCATGTGAAAACGTTAAGTGCGTACTTTCGCCGTTCCGGTTCGCATGAAGATTATCCCATCCAGTCCCATCCAGTCCATCAAGAGAAGTGGGGCACTCCACAATCCACACATGTTGGGGTGTCAAAAGCCGAACTTAGAAAGCCCACAACTCAAAGAAAGAAACAGGAAAACAAGACTATTCATAAAAGAGCGCCCGTCAAAGGCTTTGTATACTGGGTACAAGCGAATCAACATCCCCCCCCCACAAACCCCCCTCCTCGTTCTCCCCTTATATACACCACCACCTCATAAAGCCCCTCCCTCCGCCACATGCACGACCTCTGACCCTCCCTCAATAAACATCGCTCCTACCCTGTAAATCGACCTACTTCTTGGTATATATGCAACAGTGCGGCTGGATATGTCGTCGGCGGCGATCAGAGAACATTTCTTCAAATTCAATGCCCAGCCTTCCACACCCTCCTCTCCCCATACCCCGCACTCATCGGCCTCGGGTTCCCATTCACGACCGGGCTCGGGAACGCCAGATGCGGATGTTGTGGCACCATCTGCTGCTGCTGCTGATGTGGTGATGGACTTGCAGTCTGATACTGCGCTTGTTGTTGTTGTTCCGAGGGTGGCGAGCTGGATTGGGATGGTTGGTCGTCGTGGCCGTTGATGATGGGGTGATGGTATGGGTGATGGTACGCGTGAGGGTGGGGGTGGTAGTGCGGGGCGGGAGGGGCGCGGACGGCTTTACGGACGATGGTGACGCCTGAACGGTCTTTGGATCCGAAGGCTAGGAGGACGTTTTCTTCGCCGGCGAGGAGTCGGTTGGGTACGGTTGCCCCGGCGGGAGGGCCTCCTGCTCGGGGGTTTCCTCCGCCGCCCGCCTGACGACGCCGTTGACGTAAGGCAACGATCTCCTTTGCGAAATTGAACCGCTCCATGTCGCCGGGGACCTCGAACCCTTTACTCTCGACGACCTTCTTGAGCCACTCGAACGGCAGTTCCGCGAATGTCGCGACGAGCTCCTTGTACCCCTCGCCGTCGCGATTCCCCCACACGATCCCGAACTGGTCGGCGACGTCGCGCACGACGCCGCGGGTGAGGTACACCAATACGGCCTCGCGGATGTCCTGGCTGTGCTTGCCGTAGCTGGCGCCGAAATCGGGGTGGCTGGCGAAATGGCAGTAGTCGAGCACCGTGGTGCGCGAGATGTCCGACTTGATCAGCTCGCCGGCCAGGGACGCTAGGTCGTCCAGCTGCAACAGCGTCGCGGCGCTCAGGACGGAGCGGAGCCGGGCGGACCGCTGCTGCGGCGGCAGGTCGTGATCGGATCCGTCCGTGAGGTGCGACTGGGAGAACAGACCGTACAGATGCCCGAACGCGATGGACAGGCCTTCGGGCGTGAGATTCGGATCGTGCTGGTGTATCGTCAGCGTCGCGACGGGCGCGTACTCCCCGTTCGCCTCCATCTCCGCCAGTGCCGACGCAAAGTACGGGCTGCGGATGGCGATAATCCGGTGCAGTTTGAAGTGGACAGCATCCGTGGGTGAGGCCCCGTCGCCATTCGGGACCGTACCTGTAGACCCACCGAGCTGCAGACGGACAATCAAATCGGCGTACAGAGCCTGCATGTAGCCGGTGTGGTACAAGTGGGAACAGACGACATCGTGGTAGGTGGGCCGTTGCTGGTGCTGCTGCTGGATGTCCGTCTGTGGGGTTTGTACGTCCCGCTCGGACAGCTGCTGTTGCTGTTCGGGACCGGCGGCTGGAGCGGCCATGTTGGCGTAGTTATGGCTGTCGGGAAGGGGTGATTCGGAGATCATGCTGAGGTTTCCAAATTCAGGCTAGGATGGATGGACGACCGTGAAGTTAAGTTTGAGTGACCGTCGGTTTAAACTTGAAACATAAACTGAGCGACCTCACCATTCAGACGTAGGCAACGGGAATAGTTTCGCTTGAGCGGAAGGTGGTTTAGACAGACAGGTTTCGAGAAACACCGCTGCTCGATGGATGCTGAGGGGCGAGGAGACGACGGACTAGTAGCGGCAGCGAGGGAGGTAGCGCCGTTTACGAGCTATAGGCGACAGCGAGGGAGCGGGCCTAGAGAGGGCTGTGCGGGCGGGGACCTGTGTGGAGAAAGTGGGAGTCTGCCGATGAAGGGGCAGGAGACTGGAGTGGGGGTTTGGCACACTTGAGAAGGCTGCACAGCAAGAAAGACAGGAAAGAGACGTGGATTAAACTCGCTCGTCGGCACGTGACCAGTTGGCACCCATCGATGTCGTTCTCGCGCAAGGGCCCAAGCCAAAACGAAGGTTGTACTCGCAGATCCCAGTATATTATCCACTACCCAAAAAACTGCTTTTACGCCTCCAAGACCCGTTCAGGTCCCCGCTTCTCTTCTCTTCGCCCGGGATTTCTTCCTACTCCACATCCAATACGCCGTAATCCTCATTATTTCAACCCTCCCACAAAATCTCACATCCACCCTTCTTCCCGCGAGCTGTTTCATCTTCACCGCCCAACCCCCCTCCTCCCCTTCTCCTTCTCCATCCCCGCCTCCCCGCCACTAATCCACCCAACCCCCACCGCACTCGGCTCCAAATGATGCGACCAGCGCACCCTTGACGCCGGCGGGGGGCGCGTCGGCGTGCTCGCCTCACTCGCCCCACTTGCCCCACTGTGCGTGCTCCTCCCACTCCCCCCGTTCGCGATCGGATTCACTGGCGTGCTAGGCCGCGGTGTGCGCATCCCCGCGTGCGACACGCCCGCCTCCACGGGCACGGGCGGCAAAGGCGCCGTCGGGGGTGGTGTCGGGGCGCGGAGGTCATGGTGCATCAGTGTGGTGGTCGTGATATCCCCCGGGGCGGTGTTGAACCGTCTAAACAGGCGGGGTTTGTACATCGGTTCTGCGCTTGATCCGTTCGGGGTGGGTTTCTGCGCGGTATGTCGTATCATCGTCGTCGTCGTGAGTGTCGGCGATGATGCAGAGAGGGAAGCGTCAGACGCTGTGACGACGGCCTTCCCGAACATCCCCGACGGCTTCCTCGTCACCACCAGCCCCCTGCGCTTCACGACGCTCGGCAGTGCGTCACCGTCGCCAATCCCGGCTCCGTTCACCCCCGCCGCGGGTTCCCCTCTAGCAGGGCCCGGAACCGTGTTCGACGACAGCCGCCTTGAAATCCCCTTCACAGGCGTCGGCGCCGGGATCCGTGAGCGTGTTGAGGTGTTGGATGTCACAGAGGAGGTGGTCGACCATCTCTTCTGCTGCTGCGGTGGTGAGGGTGGGTTCGCGAGCGGTATACCCGTCCTCGCCGTCCTCGGGGTGTTCGCAGCGGGAGTGGCCGGAGGCGGGGAGATGGGCGGGGAGGGAAACAAGCCGACCCCGGTCTTCGCAGTTCCCCCCGCTTTCGATCCCGAAACCGACCCGTTCCTCGGCACAGGGATCCCGGACGACCCGGCCGTGACGCTCCTCTTCAACGCCGGTATCATACTCGTCCTCTTCACGCCCTGCCTCTCCGATGGCGCTTTCTCCACCTTCGCTGGAGGTTCAGCGTCCTCGGCATCCCGCCCCCACATGACCCCGCGTTCGTCATCCGACAACAACTCGGTGCGTTCCGTCCGCTTGCTCTGCGTCGACGTGACGGTCTCGCGCGACATTCGATGCATCGTCCGCTGCTGCTGCTGCTGAAATTGTTGATAGTGTACCCCGGGAGGCGGATGCCATGCGAGCGGGTACGATCCGTACGCGTGTCCATTTGTAACGGGGTGGTTGATCTGGTGGTGGGGTGACCACAGCCCGGCCGCCATGGCTTCCGCGAGTTTCATGATGACGTTCGTCGCCGCTTCCGTCGTTTCCGTGTTCGAGTGTGCAGCGGCGGCGGCGGCGGCGGTATGTGTGCGTTCCGCACGCTGTCCTGAATCTTCAGTCTGCGTGCCTCGGTCGAGCGTCGTTCTCCTCGTCAACGCGTCATCCCTCAGCGCCACCGGAGACGTATCCATCCCCTCAACGCTCATCTCCTCCGCAGCAGGCGCAACGCCTTTCGATCGACCACCCAGCCACGCCCTCAGCCCCTCCGTCCCCACCCCCACCAACTCCCTCATCACCCCCTCCGGGCCCCCGGGGACCTCCCACCGCCCACCCCACCCCTCCACCCCCTGACACCCATGCAACACGACCCTCCGTAACCCTTCACACTCCCTCACGACACTCTCAACCCCGCCATTCGTCACCGCACACCCGCTCACAATCACCGTCTCGATGCGTTTATTGTATTGCGCGACGGCGAATAGGGACAGATCCGTGACCAACGGGCAGAACGATACATCCAGATACGTCAACGCAGCGCTGCAGGAGCGCGCGAGGGCGAAGATGGCGTCGTCGGATATGTCAAAACACGAGTCGAGTGTTACCGCGTGCAGGTGGGGCATATGCTTCGCGATGCGGCGGACGAGGGTGTCGGTGGTGGGTGTTGCGCGGAGGTTGAGTGTTTGCAGTTGGAGGGGGTCCAAAAGCGTGATGTCGGGGATAGGGCTGGCGGAGGAGGTAGCCGAACAGCCCTCCAATTCCAGACGCCGTAGATTCGCGGCGTGGTGTAGGACGCAGGCAAGTGTCCCGTCAACCGAAACCTGCGTGTACGACAGATCCACAACCTCCAACATCTTACACCCCCCCATCAAGGCGGGAACCAACGCATCGGTCACAGGGCACCCCCGCAACCCTACTGTCCTCAAGCTGCCCAGATTATCCGCAATGCTCTGCACAAGTACATTGCTGACCCCGATCCCGCCCTCCAGAGTGAACTCTTGCACATTCGGGCAGAGTTGGAGTAATACGTCGAGGTCGCCCAGGGGTACGCTGTCGGCGAGCCAGGGGGGGATGTTTAGGTGGGTGACGAGGGCGCCGTGGGTGGTTTGGGAGAGGGTTTGGGTGAAGGCGTGGAAGTTTTTGGTGGTGGGGAAGCAGGGGCGGGTGTAGAGGTGGTGTAGGGCGGGGGGTAGCCAGGATTTGGAGATTGTTGTGCAGGCGGCGACGGTGGGGAGGTGGGAGAGGTGGGACAGGATGAGGTTGATTATGTGGGGTGGCAGGTGGCGAGTTGGTGATTGTGTTGTTGGGGAGCGGCAGGGGGGTGGTGGAGTGGGTAGGGAGTCGGGGGGCGGGGTTTGATGGTAGGATGGGGATTGGGGTAGTGAGAGGGATATGGAGGCGCCGCGGGAGTGTTCGCGGCGGAGGACGAAGGGTAATGCGGCAATCGTTGCTCGTTGTGGGATTGTGTGTGATGAAGGATCTTCGATTGGTGTCTTTCTAATCGTCAGACTTTGTTTGTCGGCAGGGGATGCCGGTGCAGGAGGCGGTGAAGACGTTCTATCGACTTCTTCCAACAGAAAACCACTCGCCGCCGTTCTGCTGTCCCTATCTCGCAACAAGTCGGTCTCCTCGTCATCTGACATGAAGGCTGGACTCAAGCTGTTGAAGATACGTTCGGCATTAGTGATTTCGTTTTCCGGTCCCCTCGCTCGCGCTGAAAACGACAAATGCAGACAGCAGAAAGAACACTCCCTTACCTTTCGTCCTCGTACACCTGGTCATCGTGCAGCCAGCTGTAGTCGACCTCCTTGCTGTCGAACGACGACATTGAAGGCCGCAAGTATTGCCCATACAAATGTCAGGGGGACGTTGACGGGTGTGGGTGTTCCGCGAGGAAATGCACCCTTATTTTTGCCTCGCAGTGAGCTGAACGAATATCGGTATGAAACTGAACACACTTGTAGAAGCGAGCTCTGGCAACCGTTTCCTTCTGCGGTGGTTGCGTGCGGTGATAGACGGTCGTAGTGTATGTAGTGTAGTGTAGGTATCAGAGGTGAGCCTACTGTATAGTTTGTGGTGGGTTGTGGTAGGGGGAGCCACCGGTGCATTTTGTCACACTTCCCTTCCCGGATGGATGGATATGGATGTCCGGATGGATGGATGGATGGATGCATTGCAGTCTCCCAAATGGGGGGCATCCTTTAATCAGCGCACAAGCACGTGCAGCCGCGTGACTTTGCTTACCTAGCGCGTGGGGGGTGCATAAACATTCGCAACACGGGTCCTACGGGTCCGCATTGCATTGCCCTCGAAGAGCAACACAGCACCCATCTAAACCCCGAAGACGTGCGTGGCCATTCCCGGGTGTTCCCACCAAAGCGTCAGGGGTGGCAAACTGGACCGATTCTCCCGTGCAACTCCAATCATCGAGCAAATCCAAGTCTCAACCACCACCAGCTATCACCCCGCCAACCACCGTTTCCATCTTGCGCTTCTTGCGCTCAACGATCCGGTAGCAATGCCACCATCGAGCAAGGAGCTCGGTCCGACCCGGAAGCCGGGCCGTGGCTGCCCGCATGTGGGCACCACGGAAAAGGCCGGAATGGCCTTTGTTTACGGATATCGATCCGCAGTGCGATACGCACTATGTATCAAAGCCGCGTGCTATGATCCTTGACGGAGGGATCGCGGTCCAACGAGCGACGATCCTAGAGAAAAGGTGCAAAAGTTGATCCTCCGTGCCTGGGGACTAAAGCGAGAGATCGGACATCAAGCCTTCAAGCTTGATATCGAGCGTTTCGATCCGACGGACATCCGATGCGACTGCCGCCCAAAGCACATAAACCTTGCTCAGGAAGCTCAGCTGCGCAAGTATTTCTATCCGGCCCACTCCTTCGAAGGTGAACTCTCATCGTCGGCACTGACGACATCTACCTTGTCTTCCTCGAATTACGGAAGCTCCGTCAGCCGGGCGCGCAGCGAAACCGCCAAGGCAAACAGACAAGCCGCAAGAGAGTACCGAATCAAGAAACAGGCGCGATCACGTCAATCATCAACGGCCACTTCGGCGTCCAGTCAAACCATGCTGGAACCGCTCGGCCACGTCCTCGGATTTCGGCATTCTCAGGCAGCCATGCGCCAATCAACGCCGCTAAAGCAAACCGCCAAGCAGCTCGGCATCTACCGTTGCTTCTACCGTCGTGTCCGCGGAGGCGGCCGCGCCATCGAGACCTTCCTCCGGCTACGGTGAACATGCCCCTCGGCAACTTTTACTGGCGCATGGTAAGTTGTCTTCCGGGTTCGCATGTGTTTCAAGAGATCTTGAGTCTCACTTTCTGTTTTCTCCATCTCATCTAGGTATCGCCGACGAAGCAGCGCAACTAAAAGCCCTCAAGGGCATCGTCCGTTCACAATCGTCGACGACCTCCGCCTTGGCGCGTGCGGGCGGTGCAGCTTTGTCACTTATCGGGATACTCTTCCAGAGTTGATGCCCGTTTCCCAGGCAGGCCGGCAGACAATCGGCTGCTAGTCCGGATGCAGGGCGTTCGATTCAAGGGCGCGGCAGTTCGGGAAACTTCAGCAAGCGGCCAGTAACAAAAACCCACGCTGGGCCTGAGCCCGTGGCTGTGATGCCGATTTCCCAACGACCGAGATTCCGCCTCGCCCGCGCCACCACCACCATCGTCGAGCCTGCCACCACCGACTTCGCTCCTGCTGAAGCGGCGCCGCCTGCCCCAGAGCACCGGTTGGGAACGGCCCACGAAGCGAGAGCCATCCGCCAATTCGGCATTTTTGGGTGCTCAGCTCGGCTCGAAACGAGGCGCTTCCGGGAAGCTCAAAGAGGATGCGAGGGGCCCTGAACCTGTCCTTCATGCGGTTTTGTGGTCGGGAAGCCTGCACAAGTTCCGCTTATGTCAACGTCCGGGTGCTAAGCGCACCATTGACACTTTGAACTACGTCCCTTGAAGGAGCGTCGAATGCGCATCATGTGGGCGCAGCCTCAGAACGGACCTCGGCAGTCGATCAGCAACGGTCTGCTCAAACCCGTTCTCAAGCTCACCAGACACACCAACAGAATCTACTTGAACCCGGGCCGAACTTCTAATCGCTCGGCAACGATTTACGAAACCTGTCCTCAAGCTTACCGGACGAACCAATAAATATGCGTGAACACCACCGTGCGCACGATCAAAACCTGCATTACTTCGGGCGGCATACTATTTTTCGTGGCTGGAGACCGCGAAAAGGAGTTCACGGCGCGAGTTACCATGACCATCACCGAGAGCGAGGAAGATGAGGACGATGACGTGGGGTGGTAGTGATAAAGGAGGATGATCTTTTCTCGTTGGCTGCCAAGTGGGCAGAATTTGGTGGAGGTGCGCTCCGCCTACCGTCCACTCGTCGAGGCTCTGCCGGAAAGCGACCGGGAGCCCGCGAGAAGCCAGCGCGAGGCGACCGGTGACTGCTTCGCGTACCTCATGGAGCGAAACGATGCAAAGGCTCTGCTTCCTTACGTCGATGTCGTCTAATCCTACATGAGGACGGCAATTGACAATGCCAGCGGAGAAGTACGCTCGTATGCTGGGAGCTGTTATGAGACCTGCACATCCGACGGCTTATCCGAGCCCACCTCATTGTGCCTCCTCGAACTCTCGATTGCAGCCAAAATACCGAGTGTTTCCAGAGCGCGTTGCCCTGTAAGTAGACGAACATCCGTCATTCTTTGGCATTACACCTGGCTGTCCTGGATGCTCATAAGTCATATTCTCAGAGTTCCAACGCAACCGCGCAATTAGGAGGGCGGACAACCTTCCCCGTCTGCATACTTGCAAGAGGGCACGCAACGGCAGCAACACGGTCACCCGCTGCCCCATCCTCCTCGCTTATCAGCCTCAGGGAAGAAGGGGGACTCGTCGGTTTTGAAAGCTTTCGCTGTCGTCCGGAAACGTCTCACCCGCTCGGAAGCCCGTGTATGAGAGACCTCGTAGCCGAGCACCCCACCAAGCCGCGCTTTGGACGCATCGTCAAACCAGACCCGGAAACAGCGAGCGGAACCTCGACGGGCCGTTCAAGCATCAGCGGGGGGGCGGTGACTTTCCACCACCACCATCTTCTATCATCCGCCCCTTCACCATCGCGAGCAGCAACGACGTCGTGAAGACCGGCCCCCGCAGCGGACGCGACCAGCGTGTGGTCGGCGGCAACATTCCGGGGGCCATTGCGAAAGAGTTGCTGGCGTAGGTGGTATACCATGCGGCGAAAGTTCACTGGGAGGCACCTCAAAGCGTCCCATGAGGAAGAATTGAAGACTCTCAAAGCGTCCCATGAGGAAGAATTAATCGGCCGCTATAGAAGAATCCCCAAGCGACGCAAGCGGAAATGAAAACGAGCTGACCCATGCACTGGCACGCCCGCGATGCCCGCATTACAAGCCCTGCAATCCGATCACGCGCAAAACAAGAGAAACCCCTCAAGACAGAGCTAGAGAATCTGCTTGATGAGGCCGACCCCCTCCTGCGTTTCGCGAAAGATGAAGTAGATCCTTACGGCTTGGTTCCACCACCAGCACGGCAATGCTGTTGGCGTCTTGAGTGACGCTGATGAGTCTGGCCGTCAAAGCCATCCAGTGCTTGTCTCGGACGCTGCCGAACGCCAGGCACTCAGCGATCATCTCGACATGACCACACCATAGGGTCCCTTGCCTGGTTGGTTTTCTGGTTGCTCTGGCGGACTGAACTTTTTCAGAGACTGGCGGACTTTCGGGGTATCAGACTCTGATGTATATACACGACATTTCTGTGGACTCCGCGAAGTGGACTTTTTCAGAGACTGGCGGACTTTTGGGGTATCAGACTCTGATGTATATATATACACGACATTTCTGTGGACTCCGCGAAGTGATCTTTTTCAGAGACTGGCGGACTTTTGGGGTATCCGACTCTGATGTATATATACGACATTTCTGTGGACTCTGCGAAGTGAACTTTTTCAGAGACTGGCGGACTTTTGGGGTATCAGACTCTGACGTATATACACGACATTTGATTTCAATACAATCTTCTTCTTATTAACTCATGTATAATACACGACATTTCGTTTCAATACAATCTTATCCTTATGAACGCCATGTTCGGTCTCAATATAAGTCCCAGAAACAGCCTCATGTTGGCCTTGGGTGCGTTGACAGCGAATGTTTGCGGCGATGTTTGGTTTCATACTGAGAAAACAATGGGCCGGTATTGGCTCCTTCGAAAAGCGGGGATGGCCTCCCTTCCTGTCTACATCGCATCTCGGGTGTACAGTAGCTGCTCGATGTCGCAAGCCATGTCTTGCCGCGAAAAAATACGACAGCGCGTCTGACGGGATACGCCAAGTTCAGACTCCCTCCCCATGGTGGGAGACAACAAGCGCAACGACAGACCAGCAAGGAACCAAAAACAAATACATCCAGGCAATTCATTCACCTCATCATTCGCTGTGAATCTTCTCAAACCATCTGCAATGTCATCGCGTGCGACCACAAGGAAGTGCGTGCTGGCGCATACAGCTTTATCACGCTCTCATGACTCGTTTATCATCGTTTCTGCCAACGATGCGAACCAACTGAGATGGGTATATGTGGATCTGCCCGATCTGCGTTCGCGAGGGGCAGTGTCCCAAGTGTTGGTGAGGTGCCAGCCCGGTTTACTGACTAAGGGTTCAGTTTTCCCTGTTTTGGGAGATGTCGCTCATTGAATATTACAGTAACTTCTCGTTTAGTTCAATTCCGGTTACTTCAACTTTCGCTTATTTCAACGGTCAGAGGGTTAGGGTTAGGGTTAGGGTTCGGGTAACATTGACTTTGACAACACTGAGAGCACGAGGCTTGAGCACACTGAAGAGTTCGATGCTCGCCAGATTCTTAGTGAGGAAGGGTTGGAGATTATGGGGTTAGCCTAGGGAGTGCCTGTTCACCGAGCTTAGCGTAGGTTTTAGTTGCGTACCTGTTTGTATACCCTTAGTATGAGGAGGATTTCAGATATTTCAACTTTCGCTTATTTCAAGGGTCAACGGTGTTGAAATAAACGAGAAGTTACTGTACCGACATATTCAGGGTTTATACCAGCAGGCTATGAAAACTCCGCTTGAGTATTCTGACTGCGGATCGCGTTTTGGAGATGAGGACATTTCCGAGTTCCGTTTTCCCTCCCTGCACATCGCTGTATGGCTTGTGCCAATGTAGATGTAGCCAAACCGCTCGTAATCGGTTTTGCGTACATACGTAGATCCCTAGTTTCCTGCAATTTTCTATACCATTGCTTGTCCCATAGCATCATAAAATACTGTACAAATACCACGTGAGCCATACTGCCACCGTGACGATTTGCTGCACTTCCCACGCGGTATCGGCACTGAGAACGTTTGTAGGGGATTTTCATAAAGAAGTACCTTGATTCGATTCGTAACTCGCCATCCCAAGTTGCTACCTGGAACATGTCCCTACCATATCTCATATGATATTTTCGCAGAGAGCTCATATTGGTTTCCGTTCCTTTCACAACATTTACATTCATCTGGAAACCCTTCCCCTTTTGCGCCCCCCTTGGCGCCCCATCCCTACCATCCCGTTCTACTCCCCACCGCCAGATCCCAGTCTCATAACGTATCACCGCTACCGCAACCGTCATCTCACGACCCGATCCCAGCAACCGCAGCTGGCGGATGTTGATGATGTTGCTCATGATCCTGTCCCACCTCCTCACTCCCCAACTGATGATGCGGGTGATGCTGATGATGATGATCAAACAACCCCTGCTGCTGCTGTTCCACCTCCACGCGCTGCTGCTCCACCTGCATCTCATACGCCTCAAACACCTTCTGCGCGTGCCCTCCATACGCCTTGCACAGCCGCTCGACCCACGCTTCCAGCTCGGGGGCCTGGTCTTCCCAGATCTCCCTGCACAGCTGTTTGTTAAGGGTGCGGCAGAATGCGTAGCGGCCGAACACGACGTAGTCGGCCTGGCCGGGCCATTTACCCTGGATGTATTCCCCGGGACGTTCTTTGAGGATTTGGATGAGTGGTAGGACGGTGAGTTTGGCGCGCGCGGTGAGTTCGGCGCGGTCGAGGGAGAGCAGCCGGTGCGCGCCGTTGAGACCGAGGCGGGCGTCGGAGGCAAAGTAGTCGAGGAGGCCCGGCACGGAGGAGGCGGAGTGCAGGGCGTAGAGTTCGGGGAAGAAGAGGTCGAACCAGACGGCCCATTGCGGGTCTGAGGCGCCGAGGCCGAGGTCGATTAGGCGCGCAAAGGCTTTGCCGGTGGTGATGTGCGGTTGGTGGGCGCCGCGGGTGGGCTTCCCGTCGCCGGTGAAGAGAGATGGTGCGTCCGGGTAGGCGGTGTCGAGCCATTCGGCGATGCGGAAGGAGTCGTAGAGGAAGGTGGTGCGTGCTGCTGGGTTGCTGGCGTCGTTTGCGACGGCGTTCCCGGAAGTGTGGGAGTTGGGGAGTCGGATGGCCGGGGCGGTGATTTTGGAGAGCCCTGATTCCTTTGCGAGGTCGGTGCGGAAGCCGAGGACGGACAATGGGACGGTCTCGAACGTAACGCCTTTATGCAGCATTCCCATCCGCGTTTTCCAAGTGTTGGGCGAAAACACGGCCAGGCTCTTGCCAGGGTCCACGGACAGTTCGTAGAACCGGATAGGATCAGGATTGTTGGCTTCAGCTGCCCGCTTGCGAGCTACACGGTCAAACAGCTGGTCCACGAAGTCTGACGTCGTTGGGCCAGCAGCTCCTGTCGTACTCGGGCTCCCCGCTACCCCTATACCGCCCAACCCACCGAAACCCACCATCCCCGATCCCGCCCGTTGTTGTCGCAGCAGCAAACTCGACACCAACGCTGCCGCATCAGGTTTCAACCCAGCCTCCGCTTTTGCCTTCAATGATGCCGTGAGCGCCGCAAGCGCGTCCCCATGGAGCCCGCCCACGAGGGCCGCAAAAGACGGGTGTGTGTGAGCATCCCCATCATCCCCAAGCCCCGTCCTGAATCTCTTCGCTGGCGGTAACAACGACGACAGCGCACCCGTGTCACTGGCTCCCTCGCCGTTGTGTGATGTTGCGGACATGTCCCCAGTCCCGTCGTCGTTAGGGTCGTCGCTGCGTTTCTTGGGCTTGGGGCCGGTCTTTTTGGCGTTCGGGCCGTTCTTGGACCCGCGCGGGCGGCCGCGTTGGCCCATCTCTGTGCTCGGTATGGTCTAGGGGTATACAGGATAGGTCGGATGCTGCGTGGGAAAGACGGTGCGTTTAGTTCTGGGTGATCAGAGTACTGAGGATTTGGGAACCGGTCCACGCGCGCAGCGGAATCTGCCGATTGGACCGAAAACACATTAAGGCAGTTACCTTTGGTCAAGCCCAACCTTATCAGCTCGTCTACGGCAGGTGTCCTTGCACTATGCGGCGGGAGGTGGGTGAGAAACTCCTCTTTTGACGATGGAAGGCGAGCGCGTTGTGCGTTGTGGTGGGGTGTGGAGCTGAGGGAGAGTAAAGGGAGACAGCGAGAGAAGCGCCAGTCACCTCTCTGGCTGCGCTGGGTGGTGGTGGTGGTGCAAGATGGGGGTTGGGAATTGGGGGATGTTGTACTAGATGTTTGGAAGTGGGAGTTGGGGAAGGTTGACTCTTGCACGGGGAACGACTGGAACCATGACTTGGGAGTCGTGCGCGAAGTTTCAGACGACCTGCGAACTCTGCGAATCTGTCGCATCGTCGCACGGCCCGGGCACAGAACATACAGCGGTCAGATATATACCTACTCTGCCATACAGAGCAGTCTCGGCGGCGTGGATGGACCTCAGCTCATCCTCCTCTCAAAGCGTTCTCTCGGTGCTCTTGAAAACGTGAGTCAAAACCATGCAGTCTGGGTCTTTTGCCCCACGTTTTGCTAGGATGCATCGCTCAGTCGCTCCCGTCCCATAGTCGAGACAGCAGGTCAGGTCGGTCTTGGGGTCCAGTTGGCACTACGGACAACGTTATGTCAAAGGAAGGAAGCCTGTTGAGATCCGACGCTATTTCAGAGCTGTCAGTGTCACTGCCGCTGGAGGTCATCCCACTCATCGCCAAATATGCCGACAACAAGAGCCGCTTTTCGATGACTCTCGCCTGCAGGATATGACATGCCTTGTTGATCGAACTCCTTTACTCCCGGACCCGCATCTCGCACGAAGACGAACTAGACTCACTTTTCGCGACGCTCAACACCTATCCCGAACGCCTGCGATGGGTGAAGGACTATGAGTTGGAGTCATTTTCTCCACCACGGAGCGAGGGCATGCCGGATCCTGACTGGGACCACGTCCGCTTCACAAAAATGACTTCTATCATCACAATGGCGCACCCAGAGCGCGTTGTGATCTCGTTCGTTATTGCGGCTTTCCTGGGTTCGGAAGAGGAGGAGGAGGAGACTTGGGATTATCTATGCTTTGGATATGAACATGGGCGACTATTCTTTGAGAAAAGCCCCTTGCATATCGATTACTATCCCGGAATCGAACCCTTGGCTGAATCAATCTGCTGGATGTATTGCCTCGAAGCAACATCTTTTGAAGTTTGTGGATTCGGGCTGCGGAGAATCCCCAACGCCTTCCCTCGCTTGCGGACACTATCGGTAGCGGGTGATAATAACATTCCCTCCGCCTTCCTATGGTACGACCTACCTGCTACCGTTACCCACCTCCGTTTGCAATACGACGGCACGGTCGACACTGAGCGCGTACTCCTAGTAACCTACCTCCCAAATACCATCTGCACCCTTGAAGTAGCATTTGGGGCATACCCAATGATGCTCCCACTCTGGACCAATCGGAATCCAGCACGTCTGCTTCGATATGCTCCGCCACAACCGAGTGGGTCGATGGGGGAGGCGGAAGACAGGTGGAGGCAGTCACGGACAGCTTACAATGGGGGAGGCAAGCTAGAGATTATGTTCTGGGAGCCGTTGGCGGGATCAGCTCTCGCTGACACCTGGTACGAGGAGAGCATCCATATGTATGAAGCACGAGCAATTGAAAGCAACAAGTTCGACCACGTCCGCCGCGTCGCCGTCCCCTGGGGAAAGGGCTTCGCATGCACACATTGGGGAGACTTCGGTTTGGGCAAGTCTCTTCGCCCTCGCCTATCGTTGCGGACGGGGATTCAAGCCCCAATACCACAGCCTGCGTTCCCCGATATGCCCTTTGGTTATAGTTGCTACTCGACGGATGCCCCGGGGGAGGACCATGGGGCGATAGGCAATGGGCTTTGAATTTGGTCCAACGGCGAAAGCAACCTGTGGACCAAGAGAGGAAGAACAGGGCAGTTGGCAAGATTGGGAGATAGCGACTTTCGCACTAAGATGAAGCTATGCTGCACGGGGTACAACAACAACGTGAAAGATGCTCGAGAGGGGAAGGGAATCTATCATGGGGGATTGCTTCTGCTACTTCGAAAAGACGCGGGTATGCTACCGACACCAGCGTCCATCAGGTAACGTCCATAGAACCGATCATGTGCAGCGGCCTCCTGTACCAGGCGTCAATGAATTGCAAAACTTCCCCGGGGACATTCGCAAACACGAACAACGGCTGGGGATCAAAGCTTGACACTTGGGATGGTCATATTTCGCCAATATACTCAACCTTGGAAGCACTGGCGGGCGGCGGCTCAATCAACGGTGTGTGATGACCATCGCGTGCGACCGCACTCCCGCAGCTGGGACGGACGACTCGCCAGCCCTTATTCAGTGTACAGCGAGCTCTGTCATTGCGGACGTCCATGCGGCACGGCGTACCTCCTTCCCATATGCATTATGAAGTTAAACCTTCGTCACATACCGTAGATCAGATAATAACGCGTTGATCGGTCTTAGATGACAACGGCTCAAAGCCTTTCGCGTTGACCGTCACATTGGTGATGCATTGGGGTTCGTGTGGGCTTGACTGGGGATTAGTCAGATGCGGTGTTCATTGTGGCGGCGGTGTTTCTGTTGGAGTTCGAAATCATGTGTATGTCAGTGACGTCTGGCCGGTAAATACAGCCGGATGATGGCTTATCTGTATTCAGCGAACGGGAGCATCGCCCATTGGTATCACATTTTCACGACAGTGGATGGCACTAGCTTGGATGTACGACTGGCGAGTCAGGGGAAGCATTGCTTCCTACCATCGCTGTACAAGACACGATGTACTGTACGCTTTCACTCGTTGTGCATATGCAATTTACCGGTAGGGGAACTTATTACCGTCGGACGGTCGGAGTATCAGAATTTTGATAGCCAACTCTTCCAAGTTCCAACGCGTCCTTTCCGTTCAAGGCTTCAACCTTTTCGCGGCTAAAGCCGACCAGGCCGGGGCGATAACAATCGGAGCCAACGGAGTCTTTTCTGCTTTTGGAGTTTTGATCTCCTCTCCATGTGTGGCGGACGCCGTTCAATGTCAAAGTTGGCTAGACACTCGCGACCGTTACGCGTCGAACACTGTTGGCCGTTGGTGATCGGACAAACTCCGCTTGCCGGGCGACCTACCGTACAACTGTAGGGTGGAGGGGCGCCTGGGGCCTACAGCCAGGTTTCGCACAACCAGTCCAGCCATGCTCATGAGAACTCAGAAGACGGTACAGCGATGAACAATGCGAGTCTATGGAAGACATTGGAAGTCCTTGGGAATGTAGTACACCTCGGCCCCGATCACACGCCACGGACGAGGGGCGCCGAAGTCCATCAAACTGTAGGGCAATGCAGTGTACATCGCACAGCACATCACTCTCTACAACATCTTATGCGAGACTAGACATGACTGCTTTTCCTGCAAGCTTGTCCATCGTCATCAAAGCTACAACAGGACCCCAACATCCGCCGCTGATTGTTAGCCCTTCCTCGACGCCCATGATCGCAATGGCAGCCGAACACCTTTGCGATCACTGACGGCGGCGAACCGCTCTCGATCGAGGCCGCCGCCCGTTTATGTACAGCATGTTATCTGCGTTTCTGTGCGGTTCTTTAGGTCCATGCCGGCGAGTTTGCTTCCTGCGTCCGTAGCATCGCTGGCAGGTCGTGGGGCCGTCATCAACCGCTCTCAGAACCCTTCGCGAAATGATTTAAGAGCGAGGCGGATTGCCTCCACCTCCCCCTCATCATCTCCCGCCCCACCGTCTCGCTCAGCACGACGCAACCATGAAACTCACCCCCACCTTCCTCCTCGCCCTCCTCGCGACCCTGCACCTCGCCGCCGCCGCGCCCGTCGACGACCTCAAGACCTTCCCGTTGGCCAAGGACACGCACATCGATCCGCGGGGCTACCACTGCTGGAACGCGGGGGGACATTGCCGGATCTGCTGTGATAATAGGGGGGACTGTGAGGGTGGGATTGATTGTTAGGGGAGGTGAGGGGATGAGCTGTGGAGGGGGGGTTGGGGTTGTTTGCTTTGGTGTGATGGCTGATATTCCGTTTTTTTTTGCCCAAGGATTTAGCTGAGCATGCGCATCCTGTCACGAAACGCATGAGATGGAAGCTGGAGTCTAGCGATAGCCTACCATAGCTTGTATCATGTCATAAAATGCCGTGCGTTCAATACATTCGAGCACCCCTCGCTTTTACCCCTTCCCTCACGTTCAAATGCGCGATATTTGCAGCGCCTTCGTCTCGGGACTTTCCAGTGCGGCACGCCTTGTGAGCATGCGGCCGGAAGGTTCCTCAAGATCAACGAGCGGGAGACTTCACATGCTTTACTTTGCCCATGGTTGAGTTTGCCTGCCCTCGCTCAGATTGACAGCTAGACCTATCCTGTCATAATCCTATCAAACTGGTTGTCTGTCTGCCCACGTCTGGCATCAACTCGCATACACTCCCGCAGCCGTCTGCATGCGCGACTGGTAGTAGCACCTGTGTCATACAGAGAGAAGAACTCAATGGGTGCGACAACACTGGATTCTCCGTCCCAGTGGCTCGACGAGATGAGCCCATCGCAGACATATCATCGGCGCACAAGTGGCGGTCTCAAAGCGCTCTCCACCCACGCTGAACCAGGTGTTTAGAGAGTTCTTCCGTACATGGCGACAGCGCCGCATATTTCGCCCCGGAGACCTGTGCTACGCCTCGACGAACCCGGCGTTCTACAGCAGAGGGCCTCAGCCGTTGTTCACCGCGCTGTCGTCTTCGCCCAACCACATAACGTTCGTGCCTCAAGCCATGATACCCACTGATAGCCCATTCGCGGTGCCCCTAAGTGTAAGCATCCAACGGCCGTTACTACCCTTCACACCCATTCCGGGGCTGTACCAAGCCAACAGGTACATGCAACCGTTCCCCATGAGACAGAACACGCTACTAGCGCGGGCGCTGAACGCAGATGCAACTAAAACATATCTAAGCGCACGGGTTGATCCAAGGCTGGGCAACAAGAATACCGGGAATCAAGACCCCCGTGCTCGGAATCGGTTCGATGAAGGTAACGGCTTGCAGGGAACCATCTGTCGTGCCCCTCCGGTACAGCCAGCACTGTCCTCCACACTACGACGGATGCAGACAACACGCCATACATCTCGTCAACAACCGATCTGAATCTGGCCTTGGAGTGGAGTGTGGCGGCCGCACTCGATGCATTTCTGCTGGAGAGTACTAATGTGGACGGGCTGAACCCAAGCTACAACCCAATCCCCCGTTACACCATTCTGTTCACCAGAGATGGGCTGGACATCACCGACCTGACCGACATCAACACCGTGCCCTCCATCCACCAGACTGCAAGTGGTCCGTGTGAGAAGGCCATCTCGTTCTCTACATCGCTGTCGGAGGTGCTTGTGCGCAACAGGATCCCGGCAGGCAACGTGGTGTGGTCTATAGAGGTGACTGCTACGAGTGAGTTCACGTTTCGCATTCGTATCATCCGAGGCAATGCGCCTGTCCCACCCGGCTTTGTGCTTCGACGCGGTCTGGATGCAGCCGGCCTCGCGAATGCAACCTGGGTATGGGACGAGTGACGCGCTGTGTTCTTCGTGCGCAGGCCCGCGGTGCGCCACATTAAAAACAAAAAACGTCAAGATGTGTTGGGTTGTGCGATACTGTGATGAGAACCTCCTCAATGTATTCAGTGTAGTCTAGAGCAGGGGGTATGCAACTAATATATGGTCACGTGAGGGCACGGTTCCCTAACACCCCCCTCAAAACTCGAAGAGTTTTCAAAATGGAACCGTGCGGGGAGAAGGTAACTATGTACGGAGTAATGGGGATGTTGCAGGTCGTTGTCAAGATGTACGGTTGTGGATGAAGGTGGTCAGAGATCCTCGGGTGCCGGCGGAGGTGGTGGTAATGGATCATGTGCGGCGACGGTAGTGGTGGGCCAGTTCTTCATGTATGCGAGCAGTGCGAGAGAGTCCTTGATTTCCGGAAGCCGCACCCAATCCGCCGTGTGCGGGCTCTCCCCAGAGCGCCTGGCGAGATACCATGTGCGTCCATTGAGTTCCCTTTGGCGTAAGATCTCGGCGTAAGGGTGTCCATCCGAGCTGACGGTATACTTTGGCGGTGGGGCGCTGTAGTGCCGTAGAACATCGGTATGGAAGACGCGATGTTGCAGAGATAAAAAAAAAATTTCGGAAGATCCAAGCGGAAGGTGTTGGGTGTCGCCGGCGGCCAGTACCGCAAATGGTCCAAGGTATTGTGGTAGGATCTTCATGTTGGAATTGGGCAAGTCCTTATACTCGGGAACCGACAGCGCTTTGCCAGCAACGTTCTAGCCGCCGCGAACTTCCACCATGGCGTTGCGACAAGCACTGACCCGATGTGCCGCTACCACCGGCAAAGCTCTAGACTACATGGCGCACGCAGCGGCAACCAGAAACGTGCGTACCCGACGATCGATGCCGCAGACCCCCGCATGCGTGCTCTGTATGACGAGTGGGCTACTCACGCCGACACATTGGACCTGCGTCCCTCCAGGCGGATCACTGCGGTGATAGATCCCCTCTCATGCTTTAGCACAACTAGCGAGAGCACTGAGGCGTTTACAACGAGGCAGTGCGTCCTTGTGTCTGCGGCGCTTCTGTTGGCGCGCAGCAGCAAGCGCCATCATGGCTCTGCTGTGATGTACGTGGGTAGCATGCTGAGCACAACGTACGTAGACAACAGCAGCTCGCTGTCAGAGATGCTGGTCAACATCCGCATTGGCACATCAGGCGAAGCACATCGCCCTGAGTATGGCACGTACTACCAGAACGTCATGCACAACTGCCCCCAGTCGACGCTGGCCTTTCTTACGCATCTCGATGACGACCCCGCCCTGCCCAACTTCGATATGACGCAGGCTGAGACCCACGGGTGTACGGTAGCCTACTGGGACATCATGGCATCGAAGCGTGCGATCTTGGCTGCGGCGATGATATGCACCCCGACCGCGATGCTGGGATCTCCGCCGGGGTCGCCGCGATAGTGCAACCCCAGCGGTGAACGTAGCCGTTTACCCCATTCACCGTTTACCCCATTACTGTGCATATATTTTCTGTGCGAGTGAGATACAAAGACACCGTATTTGCATATGCAACAGCACTATATACCACTACGCAAAAAGAAGTGGACATTCCTACCTACAAACCTTCCCTACGTACTCACTACATTATCCTCATCGATCAACTCTTCTCACCCACAACGCCCGTTCCCCACCACCTCAAAACCCCCTCCCCCTTAACCTCACCTCAACCTCCTCCCCCCTCCCCCTCGCCTCCCTCCACAACGCACTCGCCTCGCCATGACTTACCCCCAAAAGCCGCACAACCTCCCTGCCGTCCCTCGCAAGACCCCGCAACCCCTCTTCGTCCTCATTCAGCCCGTTCCCTCTCCCGTCCTCCTCAACAGCGATCGTAAACCGGAGCGTGAAGGCCAGGTACCGCTGTACTGATACCGCGGGGTGGTACGTCCCGCCCCGCGGGTTATATATCTCCGCATAAGCGCCTGCCAACATCTCCGCATGCACCAGAGCGGCTCGTAGATTTCCGGTGGAGAGGTGGGCGGCTTGAAGGGCGCGGTGCAGGGCGATGCGGAGGTGGTGGGTGGGTGGGGCTAGGGTTGACCAGAGTTTGAGGGAAGATTCGAGGTGTGGGATGGGTGGTCGAGGTGCCGAGGCGGGGAGATCGGATCCAGGTGTATAAAACTGTTTTCGGGCGTGAGTGAGGTTGGTGAGGAAGGTGGAGAGGTGCGGGGCGAGGAGGGGACCGTGGGTTGTGCAGTGGTAAGTCGTGGGGTCTTCGGATTCGATATCGTCGTCGGAGTCTGGACGGATTGAGTGGTCGTTGTGCGGTTGGGAGATGGGGAAAAGGACCCCGGGACAGCGTGGGAGGGGACAGATGTAGGATGTGCGGGGGTCTGCGGTCTGATCCCACAAGAATTAGCAAGAATGATCAGATCATAGCCTCCCCTCCCGAACACGGCGCAACCCCAACCTACCTTCACCCCCTCCCCCACACACCCCTCACAACAACACTCAAAAAAATACGCCTCCCGCAACCCCCGCCTCCGGACACTCTCCGGGTCCGCAACTTCCGTATAACTCTGGCAAATCTCCTCACCGGGTCGTATCTCCCTAATACTCCTCAGCGTGGCGGTTGAACCGGAAAAGATAAGGGCGGTGTTGGGGACGCAGGAGTGGTTGATAAGGGAGAGGGTTGGGTAGATCCCGACGCCTAAGAAGGGAGGGGGGTTTAGGAAATGGTTAGGAGGGAGGGGGGAAGGGGGAAGTGGGGTAACGCTCACCGATGTTGACGAGTTCTTCGTCGCAGATGGAGATGCTGTTACAGCTGAACTGCGAAAAAACACAAGAAGTCCAATCAATGCCACCTTCAATAACCGCTTGGTGCATCTCCCAAACTGGACCCCTCAATCCTCATAGCACTTCTGCTCGTCCGCTTCCCCCGTTCCCCGCCTCCCCCCGCAACATCCCCTCCCAATTAACAAACCATCTCAACCTACCATGCACAAGACCCGCACCATCCCCCCCGCATCCAAACACACCTCCTCGCCCACAATCGACCGGATCAACATCGCCATCTGCGCAAACGTCTCGATCTTGTCTTGTGTGTAGTGCTCTCTGTCTGCGTGACGGCGCCACGGTGAGTCATGCCAAAGGCGAGCTGTGAGATTGAGTGGATGTGGGGCGAACTTACTTGAAACCAACGCATCAATCTTCTCATACTACCATATCAAACCCCCTCCCAGTCAGTCTCTAGGGTTATCACATTCCACATCACATGCTTGCCAAACCGCACAAACACCTACCCCAGCTCTATCCCTTGCCCTCTTCCAAAGCAGCCTACAAAGCACCCTCACCGCCGTCGTCGGCACCCTCCCCTTCACGGCCCTCCACGCCGCACACTCCCACCTATGCACCCCCCAATCCCCCCTCTGACACCCCACCCCACAGTAACACACAACCCCACACCCCGTGCACCTCAGCACCTTCCGAAGCGATCCGAAACATCCGCTGCAATGCGTGCCGAGGTGCGCGGTGGATAGCGCAGCGGCGTACGGACCCTCGTTGTACAGCTGTCGACCTATTGGCGAGTGTTAGCCAAAAAGCGCGGACACGGATTGACTTGGGATAGACCGTACCGGAGCAGATGGGGCCCGGGGAGTAGATCCCGCGGCCGCGGGACGGCGTGGCGAGGATGTGGAGCGGGGTGAGGGCGTTGGGGACCGTCTCAGCGTCTTCCGTCGCATGCTTTGCGGCCGCACGTATCGCATCCCCTCCCGTCGGTGGCGCACGGGTGCTCTCGTTCGCTTCCCCAACCCGTCCCACAGGCTCCGCGATCGATAAGGCCCGTATCCCCGCACCCCCTGCTGGAAAATCGGTATCGGGTCCGTGCATATCGGTATCATCCTTCACCTCCGCACTCGCCACCTCGCCACCATCCACCTCCTCAACCACCACCTCCGCATGCTGTCGTCCCACTTGTCTCCCGGTCGTACGCGTGGAAGGGGGCTTGACTGCATCGTTGGCATCGTCGCTGTCGGAAGAGGAGGACGTGGAAGCTGCGCGGCGGACGCGGTATTGGCGGAGGCGATGGCGTGGGGTGGGGGTTGCGGTGGGCGTGGTGGCGCACATGCCGGGTGAGATGGGGACTCCAGTATTGCCGGATGGGAGGTGGTCAGTCGCTTTCCCCACCCGTCCTCGCCCACCCGCGTCCCTCGCACGTTGAACCGCGCGCAATCATATGTTATAACACACTCATCGCATCTGATATCATGGAACCAGTACATACAATGAACAAAAGTGAGCGAATCAAATAACAAGTGCAGAGGCTGCCGTATCTAAGTAGCAAACACCACTCAGTAGGGCGCTAGACTACATCGAGACGGCGGATGGCGTTATATAGATATATGTAAAGGGATGCGTGGTGGGATGGGTGGGACCCGAGACTAGGGAAGCTAACGGACCTTCGTACGTCCATGGTTCCTTCCTTACGCATCATCCCCCCCAACCTCCGCCTTCCTCCCCTTCCCATGCTCCTCCCTCTTCCCACCCGCAACCCCGTGCCCACCCCCCGAACTCTTCCCCTTCTTCCTCTGCGCCAACTCCCCCTCCCTCTTCTCAATATTATTCGCCAACAAACTCGACCTAAAGCTCAACGCCTTCGTCCGCTCGATAACCTGCTGATACACCGAATTATGGTGGGTGCCCATCACAACCGTATCCGTCTCGCTATCAATCTTGGCGTCCATGCGCGCGTTACGGATCAGGTTCACGATCCATTTCTCGCCTTCCTCAGGTTGCAGGTCGAGTTTAGACGAGACGTCGCTGATGTTGATGTGTTGGTGGATACGGCAGTAGGTTTCAAAGATGAATAAGCGGCCGTTCTCTTTGAAGTCTTCTTGTAGGGAGACGAGGAAGAAGTCGTTGGCGATGACGTCGTCGCATTCCTTCAATTTGATCTGCGCGCCGTCGAAATCAAAGTTGACGTAGAGGGCCTCGATGAACTCCGTGATGGGGTCCTTGTACGCGTTGGATTCCTGCTGAATGACGCGGATGAGGTCCTTCATGACGTTTCTGCGTTTCTTGTTGACGACGGCGGCCGTGGCGAGGTAGCGGAGGATCCAGGGGCAGGCGGTCTGGATGGTGTTGAGGTATTGTGGTTGGAAGAAGAGGTCCACGATGCCGTCGCGGCCTTTGGGGTGGTTGAAGAAGACGAAGAGCGACCAGTGGATTAGCCAAGAGCGTTGTTGGAGGGCTTCGAGGTGGGAGGAGAAGTTGCGTTGCTCGATCATCTCTTTGAGACGGTTAAGGTCGTCGTAGGCGGTTTCCCAGTTTTGGGTGAGGATCTCGGACGCGAGCTTGCCCCAGAGGGAGCTGACGTTCTGGTCGTAGTCCGTGGACTTTTCGGGAGAGAAGGAGGGCGTCAGTTTCATACTACTCTTTGCGATATCAACATTCAATCCAGATGCTCACCAGAATACGGAAGTGATACAGCATCTCAGCAGCGCTAGCATAGTTTCCGATGTCGTAGTTGTACAGGGCAAAGTCGTACAGAGCGTTGAGCATCTCCGGTTTGAACTAAGGAGGAAAGGACATCAGTTACACCATGTCTTCTCTCTTCGCAGCTCGCCTTCACCGCTACCCCATCCTCCGACACTCACGTTGTACTTCTCGGTCAAAAACTGGATGTTGGCCAGCTTGTCCTGCTTCAGCTGCTGAATGACAACAGGGTCCTGGATCGTCTCCATGATCTCGGAACTCTTGTCGGTCAGCTCCTCAAACTTGGTCAGGACATTCGCACGACGTTCCTCATATCCTATTGAAAAATGCTTGTGTTAGACCTCCACCGACATCGACTGAGCGCAATGTCCTATATTCCCCACGCACCAGGCTCGTTCTGCTCCTCGTCCTCCAAGTTGTGGATCTCGCGATAGATAGCGTTGGTGTAATCTATCATTTTCGTCTTTGACAGGAGGTCGTACTTGGCCTGCATCAAGCTCTCGGTTGGGTAGATCTGTAGGGAATAGAAATAAAACGGTCAGTCACTTTCTCGACATGTGTCTCGAGAATGAAGTCAAGCGATCGATGGAGGGCGATAGCGATGGGCTTGTGCCTCGCTTCGCACTGTGGGCAGGAGTCTCGCCATCGGTTCGCTCTATATTGCTCGATATAACCGAGTCGGATCTCCGTCTCAGTTGCGTCACATAGATCGGTGAAATGGGAACGGGCCTCGCTTCGCTCGCGTGGGCATTCTCCCCGGGTCGCACTCCCTACCACTGGGGCTCCTCCCGCGACCCACCCTTGCTCTCTATCTTCCGCTCCCTTCCCCGAATCCACTTCAGAGATCCCTCCTATCGCGACTCTGCCAGTCCACATCCACATGGCTCATCAAAATCTAATACCCATCGAACCCCCCCCCTCTCATAGTACGCACCTCCTGACCCAACAAGAACTCGAGCAGCGGGGCCACCATGTGGCGGTCCAAGTAGTGCCCGATCTTCTCCGTGAGGTCGTACTTTGCCATGTTTGCGTTGGGATGTTGGGACACTAAGTGTGCCTTACTCCTGAGAATGTGGGTTGCGGATGTTAGTTCTCGTAGGGGCACAGTGAGCTTCCGTCGTCGGTAAGTTACCTGCAAATCTGTTGTTGGCAATTTGAGCTCAGGCCTGTCTGTGCACCGGTTGAAGTCTCTCCGTTTTCTCTGAGCGCCGAGAGCGGGGCGCTGAATTCGGTATAGCCCACTACGGACATGCGCCACACGCGCGCCACCCTGCGCCCCATAGGAATTCCTCCAGTCACGTGGCCACTCACTCGCTCACTCACACCTCAGTCCCTCTGCGACCGACGCTGCCGGCCCACAACTCCTGGTCAGAACTTGGCCTTTTCCCCAGACCCTCATTTTCCCCACCACTCCCTTGATACTCAAAGACAGCAACAATGCGTCTCGAAAAGTGCTACTTCTGCTCAAGCACCGTCTACCCCGGCCACGGCACCATGTTCGTCAGGAACGACTCCAAGGTCTTTCGCTTCGTAAGTATTCACTCCACCACCCTCCCGAGTCAAGAGTTCACTTGTTTTGCTCGCTTTGCGTGGCTGTCTCAATCGCCGTTTGCTGTGCGTTCTCGTATTTCATGTAGACGCTTACTAACGCCCTCTGTGATTCCCCCAGTGCCGGTCAAAATGCCACAAAAACTTCAAAATGAAACGTAACCCCCGTAAAGTCCGGTGGACGAAAGCGTTCAGGCGGGCTGCAGGCAAAGAAATGACGATCGTAAGTCACAATTATCGATCGGGAGCCCCTCATTTCATCTGTCTGTCCAGTTCTAACCGATCTCTTTCTCTCCAAATTCCCAGGACACAACCCTCGAATTCGAAAAACGGCGCAACGTGCCCGTCCGCTACGACCGGTCCCTCATGGCCACCACTCTGAAAGCCATGAAGAGGGTCGCCGAGATTAAAGCCAAGCGCGGGCGGGTGCACTACCTCAACCGTATGCGCGGGAAGAGCGAGATGGAGCGGAAGCAGGATGGGGTGCTTGTCGGGCGGAATATCGAGTTGGTGGGCGATGAGAGCGTTAGGAGGAGGGTCGTGGAGAGGGTGGAAGTCAAGGAGGTTGTCGGGATGGATGTGGAGACGGCGTAAAGGGCTGGAGAGAGAGAGGGAGTTGGAGCGGGAAGAGGAGGGACGAGAGGAGGATCGCGAAGGGGGAACGACATGGGAGCGATTTTGAGAATACCGATAGCTCCCTTACCCACCACACCACTGCACGCGCAAACACACACCACCACCATCATTTTTATCCACCATCATCACCTGTTTACCATAGCCCCACTGAGCCCCTTCACATCCCATATTTAAGCGCCGTCACATCCTCGCTCGTTATTTTGTTTTTTTGTTTCCAAGCTGTACAGAAATCTTATTCTTATTACAATCACCCCATCATCTTGGATGCCCCCACTCCCCCTCTCCCACCACATTCAAACAGTCACAACCCTACTCAACTTCTGCACGCGATTCAGCAACAGATCCCCCTGCCTAATCACCCCCTGATACTGCGCGTTCTTTGCGTCCGGCCGGTTCGTCTCCACGATCCCGCCCACCTTATCAATCACCGCGTTCAGCCGGCCCGCTGCGATAAACTTGGACAAATCCCTATCCCGTCAGAACGGCGCGTCAGTATCACCACATGAATTGTGAAATTCGTTTTTTTGGTCCTTACGAGTCGATCCACTCCTCAGTGACCCCAAACGAGCTCGCCATCGATTCGACGCTCAGACTCCGGTACGACTCCAGGAGCTGGGCGTAGGCAGCGATGCGCATCTCGCGGACGTAGTAGCGGTAGTGCGGGTGGAGGAGCCGGTCTGATTTCATTTGGGTTTCGATTTGGGCTGTTGAGCGAAACGAAACAAAGGAGGTTAGGATACGAGGGGGGGGATGTGATACCCCTGGGAGCGGGATGGCGGGGGGGTGGATATTTACCGAGGGATTCGAAGAACTGGGCGTAGTTTCCGTTGTACAGCGAGTTGGCGAAGGAGGAGAGGTGCGGGACTTGGTCGATTGCTTCGAGGATCTCGGGGGCTGTCAGGACCTGAAAAAGGAAGAAGGTCATATATCCATTCATCAGTCCCCATCCGTCCACCCAACCTCTCTCTCTCCCCAGCCCGCGGTCGACTACGTGTCCCAGCTCGATAAAATCTCGCACCTTGCTCTTATACTCCCTCCTCCCCAACGTAATGACCCCCGTCCAAACAGTATACTTGACGAAATCCTTATACTCCATCAACTCGGTGCTCGTGAACGTCGCCAGCGTGTCCAAAAACAGCTGGATCGCGTTCTTGAAGTCCCGGATGGAGATGCGGTAGATCCCTTCGTATACTTTGAGGCGGTTGCGGCGGTCCCAGTCGCCTCCTTCCTCAATCAATCTAGATGATCATAGGGGTGGGTGTGAAATGTGAGATAGGGCAGGGGTGGGTGGGTTGAAAAGGGGCGATGTAAGACATACGTCTTGGCTTTCTCGATGTTACGACTGATGAGATCGTTGTCGCGGAAGAAGAAGCCGATGCGGATGGTGGCGAATACGAGGTCGATGCGGTGGCCTAGAGGACCGGTCTTGTCGAAGGCGAGGCGGTAGGCTGCTAGTGCTTTTTCCTATCATTCGATATTGCGAGATGAGTGGATGTAACGATGAGTGGTGTGGTTGACGGGCGAATGATGGTTAACGGTTGATGATTGAACAGATCCCCGTTCTTCGCTGCCGCTCACAGTTAAAGACAGGGGCTCGCTTCGCTCGCCTAAAAACCACGATTGTTCGCTGGCCGGTGACGGGTATTGCGCCTGCGGCACGGAATTCGCTCCGCTCCGGTCGTCCTCGTTTCCCCTCCCCTCCACACCCCCACCCATCCCTCCCTCCCCATATACTATTCCCTACCTTATCACCAATCCTCGCAAAAAACCCGGCCCTGGCAATCAACGCATCACTGATATCCGTCTCGCCCAAATTCTGCTCCGCATCCTCCAGCTTCGCATCCAGCTTCTTCAGTTCCTCCTCGTTATCTTTCTTCAATTCACTCAGAAGTGTGTTGTCACGCGGGAAGGCGAGCTCCGTGCTTAAATGCGTGTAGTAGGGTGCCATTTCTGTATGCGAGAGGGGGGATTAGTTGGGGGGGGGGGGGGGGGGGGAGTTGGGATGGGATGGGGAGATGGGGGACGCACTGTCGGCCTTGATGTATTCGAGGACTTTTGCGCGGGCTTCTGATTGGCCTTCTTTTGGGCCGGATGTGAGGAGAAAGACATATTGGGCGAGGTCGAGGTTTGGGATCTGTTGCGGGACGCCGGGAGAGGGAGGATGAGTTGAGGTGGCTCTAGATTAAGGCGTTTGAAGGATGAGAGCCGTACCTTTGCGATAACGTCGTCCATTGTGGATTGCGTGTCCTCTGGGGAACTGGGGGTTGGAATGAGGGTGAGTGCGTGCGTTCGCGTGTGGTGGCTAACAGCCTGGCTATGGAATGGCGAGCAGGAAGCAGACGGCAAGCACAGTCCAAGCGAAGGGGCTGGGCGCACGTACCTGATATTGCGAGTGAGGGTATGTGTGTAGTCTGAGCGATGGGGCCCTTCCTTCTGATCTTGAGAGTTCGCAGTCTGTTGTTGTTGAGGGGGGCAGACCGACGCGATTTCTGGTCGCTCTCTTGTGGGGCGGGCGTGGCTATTGCGAACTCCCTCCCTCCCTCTGCCTCCCTCCCACAGACGCTCCACAGAGGACACACCCATACTCCTATACGGTACAGTGCTCTCGCTTCTCTCGACGTCGGCGCAGTGGACGGCCGACACGCAGAAACTATCACCGTCCTCTTCTTGGAGTCAAAAAACCCATCTTTGGGGTCACCTTGACCAGCCCGCCCCTCTAACAACATGTCGGAAATGTTCCATGCCCAATGGTTCGGTGGCGACGAGAGATCCTTCTCAAAGCCGGCGCCGATATCTTACAAGACGCCCGAGTCGACGCCGGGCTCGTTATTGGCCCGCCTGCAGCTGAGCACCATCGACACTTCCAAGTCGACCCTATATCGGACAGCTGCAGCGACCGGCCCTTCAATCTCACACAATCCAGACACGAATACCCCCCGCAACCCCGTCCCCAGCCTCCCCATCGAACTCTGGGTCCACATCTGCCGCCTCCTAACCACCGACCCCGCCTACCAACCCGCCCTCTACTCCCTCTGTCTCGTCAACAAAGCGCTTTCTTTGACTGCAACAGAGTACCTCTACAAATACCCCCGCATCGATGGTCTAAAGCAGAGTAATCTGTTTTTGCATTCTTTGGCGCTTTCCACTTCTGCGGCCGTTGCGAATCTGACGAATACGGATCCGAGTGCTGCGCTGGATGGGAGGGGATCACTACGGGATGCTGCGAGTTATGTGAAGGGATTGCAACGGACTCGGAGAACGCCGTCGGGGTTCCTGATTGAGGTAGGCTGCGAGCGGAGCGAGCGCGAAGCGAGGGGACCGATCGAAGAAGCAGCTAGCGACAGCGAAGCGCGAGCGGAGCGAGCCACATTGCGCCAAAGGCGCAAGACTCCCCTCACCGCATTCCTTAGCGAGCTTCAGCGAACGTCATATCTTTTGCGAGCGAAGCGAGCACCACATTGCGCTAAAGGCGCAATACTCCCCTCACCCACGTGTTTGTTGATGAGTGGTTGATGGTTTACATTCGATGGTCGATACCGCATGATTGCTTGATGGGTTGATGGCGAATGATTTGTTCTCATCGCTTCTAGGTCGCTCACCGCGCCCACGGTCTCGAGCTCTTCCCGCCCGGGTTCTGGGAGCGTCTCAACTCCTCCGACCTAGAAGTCCTAGCGCGCTGCCGCGCTACCGTCGCGACGCTTGTAATCGGCACCGACAATAAGGACGCGCTCCTCGCCCTCGCGTCCATCCTCGCCGCCAGGGAGTACACCCATATGAGCCGCCGCCGCTCATCCCTCTCCCTCGAAGACTATATGTGCACTCTGCAACAAAAGGATCCTCTACGCGACGCACTGGATGAGATGCTCCCCACGGATCGTAAACTGGCCTACCTCCTCATCCATCTCCCCAACATCCGCCGCCTCGCATTGTCCGACCAGGCCGTGACCGCCGGCCCCGACCCGCTCATCCACCTCGCCGTCCGATGTCTCCCCAACCTGCGGTCAGTCACCCTAGACTCCTCCGGCGTCGCCCATTCGCGCGTCGGCCCCGCTGCCGTGAAAACGGTGTGGGAGAATTGCGTGAATCTCGCGGACCTAACGCTCGTCAACCACACCCTCCCTGCTACCATACCCCTCTCCCCCGCGAAACAGCTCAGGCGGCTCCGTCTACGCCACTGCACGTTCGCCATGTCCCACGACGACTCTCCCTCCCTCTCTACACATACATTACCACACATGATCATCAACGCACCCGGACTGACCCACCTCGAACTACACAAATGCAACGACACGGACACGGATACATCGCCCGACCGCGACCGCTGGTCCCACCTCCTCGGTGCACTCGCCTCCCACCTCCCTCCCACCCTAACACACCTAGCGATCATCCACACCCACCCCACCCCAACCAACCTCTCCAACATCCCCATCACGCCCCTCGTCACATCTTTCACGTGTCTCCCAACCCTGCGGACCCTCCACATCGAATCCCTCGTCAACGTCACCCCCGCGGCACTCACCGCGCTGTTGACACATACACCGAACATCACCACGCTGAACCTAAACAGATGCCACCCCTCCGCAACCGACCACCATTTCGCGGCCGTCTGCACCACGCTCCCGAAATTGACCGGCCTGTGCTATCTCCCCCATCATGTACCGCCGGGACTGGTCTGTCTCGCAATGCCGTACGTGCCCGACCCCGCGGATAACCACACCACGTCCACGGGGCTGGCGTTCTCATCGTCGGTCAACCCAACCCCGTCATTCCTGACGTCGAACGCCCCGCCCGCCCTCCCAACCAACACAACCCCCCGCATCCACCTCCCCCACACACCGCGCCTGACCCACCTGACACTGGACGCGGGCGCGTGGACGGAGGACGGCTGGCGCGCCCTGGCGGACGCGTGTCCGCGGCTGAGGAGTGTCGGGGTTGTCGGGGTTGTGGGCGGGAGGGTGATGGGCGGGTTGAGACGGAGGGGCGTCAGGGTGGTGCTGTTGGGCGAGGGCGAGGGCGGGGAGGATGAGCGCGGGGTAGGCTTTATGTAGCCCTTTTCCTGCATAGCGGGGCCGGTGTAAGTGCAGTTGTTGGTTTCTTGGGTGTGCGGCGATCGAGACAGAGTGGAGGTTGTATGCAGTGTATGTACTGTATCCACATTGGATCTTTTGCCCCCCCAAACGGGGTATACCTTGAAGAAAAATCTCCGCCATATCACACATATCAAAAAACATCCCCCCCCCCCCCAAAAAAGAGATGGATACACGCAAAACGCCCCCCGATCTCAATGCTTGGTAAACCACTCCCTCAACGCCCTCCCACACTCCTCCCACCGCGCGCGGGCCACGTCATCCCTCGCGTCTGCAAAGATCAGGTCCAGGACCACCCTGCACTCCTCGTACGTGAACCGCCCCTTCAGATGCGGGTCGCCGAGCTGTTTGATCAGCTCCTATAAAAACAAAAAAGAAGGGGTCATACACGCATTAACCCCACCTGCCAGTGAATGAGGGGCGTGATTGAATCCTCACCTCCCCCGGCAATTCAAGCAGGGCAAAGTAGTCCTTCGCCCTCTCGAGGCCGACATCATGTACGCTGGCGATGTTGGTCAGGTTCTGCTGCAGCGCGCACACGTTGCGCACCAGCTTGCGGGTGCCGTGCGGGACGGTGGGTTTCTTGATGTGCGGGAGGGCCGCGGTCAGCGTTGCCGAGATCAGGTGGGGGAGGCCGGAGAAGATGAAGCTGCGGGGGAATCGACGGATGTTAGAGGGGGGAGGCGATGATTTGCTTTTGTTTTTTGGGTTTTTGCTTACCGGGTCCGTTTGGGCCCCATCACCCCGCTCAGCACCTCCTCCAGCGTCGACAGGTCCGTGTTCAGGATGCCGATGTACGGGTCCGGGTCCTGCGTGTCGTCGTCCAGATCATACGTGCCCTATTCCAAACACCCCCAACAGTTTCATCGTCAACCCGTGGAATGAAATGCAGGGCGGCGGGGGAGAACGAACCTCCCGCATCGCCAGATCCAAAAAGAACATGGAATGGCACCGCAGCTCCACGCGCAGCACGAACAAGCAGAGGTCGGACAGGCGGCGGAAATTGGTGAGGAGGGCTTTGAACCGTCTGGATCCAAAAAAAAGGGGGGGGGGGGGGGGGGGGTAAGTACGTACGTCCCCAATGCGGGTTGGTTATTCCCGTGAACGCATACGCAAAAAAAAAGGGACACATACTCAACCATCTCCTCCGCCAACGCAATCGGCACCTCCTCGCCCCTCCCGACCGGCAACTCCGGCAGGGAATCCGAACTAAGTTGGAAAAAACTCGCCTGGTCAAACCAAAACACCATATGAGTGACATACCGAGCCCCGATCGTGGATATTTTTTGTTTTTACCAGACTCTCGTTCGAACTCTGCGCGCCGGCCATGAGTCTCAGCCCCGAGTGCCGGGCGGTGCTGGGGCGGTCGGGCGGGACGGAGAGGAGGTGGGTTGTTTGCTCGACGAACCATTCCTAAATGATACCCAGCCCCCCCATTAGCGCCCTCACATCAACTTAAGAACAGGTGTACTCCCGAACGCACGATCGAATGATGCAAGCTGCCGAGATTCTTGAGCGTGCGATGCTCCAGCAACAGCTCGCTGCGGTGGAACGAGCGGTCCTTCTTCAGCGCGAGCTCGGCGAAGGTTTCGCGGTGGGCGAGTTTGGTCGTAAAGTCGCTGCCTGCGTCCTAATAAGATACCAAGGTGGTGAGATAACCACACGATGATTCCTTGGGGGGCCATTCTGTATATGTGTACCGTTGCATCGTCGTGGTAAACCGCGCGTTCGGATAGGAGTTCGAATATCTCGTCGTCCTGCACCCACGCCGCGCTCACGATGCTGCTGTACCCGCCATCCGCGCCGGGCTGGTTGCTGCTCGTCAACGCTGCACAAAAACACAAAAAACAATCAGTTACCCCCAGGTCGGTCCCACCGCACATCACACAATCCAGCAACAGTTTTACCCTTGAACCTCGCCAAACACTTCTCGTAGTAGCTCCTCAACACCACATCGATCATCTGCACGGCTTCAGATTGGTGGATGGGGATGTGCGGGACCGCGCGCGTGATGCCGCGGATGAGGACGGTGAGCGCGAGGGTGGATTTGGCGAGGGGGTAGGGGGAGGTTTCCGGGGCGGATTCGGCGTGGAAGGCGTCGATGCCTGCGAATAGGGCGGGGGTTATGAGCATGGAAATAGGGGGAGGGGGGGTTGAAAAGGGGAGGTGGGGGGGGGGGGGGGGGGGGGGGGGGTGAAGACGTTACCGTTCACATAAGTGTTGAAGTACCTCAACACCCTATTCTCCATCTGCGGCAAAAACACGCTGAGCACAAACTCCTCGAGGAACACTCTCAGGTTGCTGAACCTTTGCAGAAAGCGGGGGGACGAAATCCCTGCCCATCAGTCTCCCTTGGCCCCTGCACAAACACACCCAAAAAAAAAAAGACAATCCCCCCCAACCTACTTAACCCCCAACCCCGTCTCCATCCTTCTCACAAACCCAAACGTGGGCCCAAACACCACCAGGATGTTGTACGGGTCGGCGCTGATCAACAACCGATGGCCCGTGACGACCGCGTTAGCCGCGTACGTGTCCACGATCCCCGCCGTCGTGCCCTCGCCGTCGCCCTCACCCTCGGCCTCGTCGTCGGAACCCGAGCGGGTGTCCAGCGGGGTGGAGTTGACGCGCACTTTCAGCACGTCCTGCGCGAGCGCGCGTTCCGCGTCCGGGTTGATGGATTTGTAGGTGGTGAGCATCTCGGAGGCGTCCGTGCCGACGACTTTAAAGAGGGGCTTAACGGAAGGGGTCATGGCGTTACGGGATGTACAACGGAAGGGGTGGTGATGAACCTGAACCCCTGGGGGTGGGGTGAATGTGATTTTACCTGAGAATCGGTCCGGATCTTGGCCCGCCGTTTATCCTTCAGCATGTCGTTGAGCGTGACGGCGGCGTTGGGTTCCGAGCCTTTGCGTTCGGAGCTGGAGACGTATTCGTAGATGAGGGCTTTGAGCTCGTTTTGCGCGCTGTACCAGACGTCGCGGCTGCTGTAGACTGCTCTCGGAAGGGGGGATTTGATGCATGAGTGAATGTTTTTTGAGAGCGTAGAGGGGCGGGGGGTGACTTACGGCCTTCTAGATGCTCATCCGTTTGCCGCTGGATAGAGGAGCATAATCAGCACACACATCAGAGTATGACCCCAACTGAAATCCACTCACGGCCGGACTCACCCCCGCAAAATCCGCCAAAATAGCCTGCACAAACAAATGCGCCTGGATAATGCTCTCAAACTTCCTAAATAGCTGCCACAAGAACTGAAGCAACGTCTGCGCGTCCACGGCCCGCGTCGTCGTGCCGAGGAGATTCGGTGGGCGGGATGCGAGGACCCGGTCAGGGGGCTCGTCGTTTTTGGAGAGGGGGATCGTAACGCTGTCGGGGTGGGGGAGAATGGGGATGAGGAGGGGGATGTAAGGCAGGGACCGGGGGGATGGCGTACGTACTTGTGGTCGGCTTCTTGGACGGTTCGCTCGACTACATAGTAGAGTTCGATGGGGAGTCTGTCACGAATGAGCTGTACCCACACCTGGATCAGCTCTGACCCCACGAGGATCAAGGGGTCGATTTCCTTTTTTTTTTACCTCCATAGCCTCCCTCACACGGCCCAAAAGGAACAGCGCCTCCATGATGCACAATATGAACTGGAACGAGTCCGCCTCCGGGTTGGCTTCGAGGTCCTCGGTGATCTACGACTTGGTTATGTTAGCAAGAGTTTTCGTGAAGGGATGGGTCCACGAAGTTGTGGGTCACCTCTGGCTCCCAGGCGTCGCTGTCACGGCGGAGTTTGCTTTGCCATGCCTCTACATGCCGAATTCGAGGTACGATATAAACATTTCCAAATCAGAACCTTTCGTCAAGTTTTTGGAGGCATGGTTGGACCCACCATCTCCCGTCTTCCCCGGGCGCTCGCGATTCGATTTCTGCGACGGGTCTGTCCAGCTATGAAAGGACCATGTGAGCTGATACTGCAGCATAACAGATTCGAATAGATGGCTTACTGGTTCTCATTGTGGAGCTCCGACTGATCAACTGAAGGAACATGAGTTTCCCCAACCTCATGAACTCAGTCACATCTGAGCAACACTAAATGTACGCACCTGCATCAAGACGATACAAGCTGAACGCGCTCTTGAGGTATATATGACTATGCAGCTCTTCGATCAGCGTCTCGTGTATCGACTAGGTGCCAGATACAATCTCCGATCAGTGGGAAGATTCGATCGTTCCGCATGGGGATTTCCACAACGCATACCGTCCTAATCTCATGCAATTTCTGCGCAACAGCCTCCAGCGCCCCGATTTCCGCGCATTCACCCTCCTCAATCGATCGGGTGGCGGATTGCAGCAGCCGCACGGCTGTTAGGTAGTATTTCCCCTGTATCAGCGCTTCAAGGCGGGCTGGCATTGTTTGGAGGTCTTCTCTAGAAAGATGCAGACGTGAGCATCGGTATGGCGCACACACGATTAGGTCATGGTCAACTATCGCGCATGGTATCCTTACACCATATCCAATATCCTCGCAATCTCCTTATACTGCAAACTTTTCAACCACAGATGGAGCAGATCGAATCGCTTGCATTGGAGCCATTCTTTGCTGTTCTCGAGTCGTTTGCGCGAGTCTCGGACGCGGCGTTGGGAGTCTACATGGAATGTCGCTCAGCGGACGCATGGCTTTTGAATGGAAGGGACGGACTATATATGTGTATATGTATGTACCGGTGATGTTCTCCACGACGTTGCTGAATGTTTGGATGGCTGTGTTGAACGCCTGGTGGTAGTCTGTGTATGGCATGCATCAGTCGAGTTGAGAGATTTTTCGAATCTTCTTCCGGATGTTACCGTTTACGACTACATCCATGGCCATCTCCAACTTGTCATAGATGGCACAGAAGGCTACATAGTCCCGGCCTAGCGAGCTCTCGTCTAGAAGCGATAGCGCATGGGGGACGGGATTGAACTAAAGATGCCACACAACAGAACATTTCATTGATGAGTTTCCAAAATGAACATATCTGACCGCCGCCGCAAAACTCTCCTTGCCGTTGCAGAACTACCTCGGAACTGGTCATAAAATCCCAAGATATGTTTATTTCACTTTGTACTTCGTTGACCACTTTGGGCAGGGTGTTTGGTTCCGGGCCATCTCCAAAGTCTCGATGCTCTACGGACTCCTGCCTTGTGCTCCTGGCTTCTGGCCGCCGTGGACTCCGAGATGCCCCTGTGAACATATTCTCGACTTTTGCTTTATGCGCTTGAAAAGGCGAAGGGAAGGTGGACCCGCCACGTAATTGCCTCCAAGATCGGCCCAAGATGGCGCTCGGGGAATTACCGCTGGAGGAGGTGGATAGCAGAGGAGAACAAAACCCGCTTATTGTATAGTAGTAGTAGTGAAGTCTGTATGTGTACAGTAAGTGAAGCAAGCGAGTCGAAGCAGGGGATCGAAGGTGGCCGAAGGGCAGAACCCCCATCCCATATCCATCTGGGGAACGCGTTTTATGGCAACATGTCATCGCGCACAGTCCGTCCGTCAGTCACCTTGAGAAAGACGCTCGCTGTCGGGCGTGACTAGTAGACATGGGTAACTCGTGCTAAATGTGGGTAGCTCACCTCCAGAATGTCCCTGCTGTGACTCTGTGAGTGAGTGAGTCATGGAGAACGCGCGCTGATTGGCTCCGGCCGCGTTGGTGACTTCCGCCCCTGCATCACACTCTCCATCAGACTGCCCTCAGTGCCCTGCATCAGTGGGGAAAGCGCAAGAGGAAACAACCAAGAAGCGACAACCCCCTCTATCTACTCCGTCTCTCTCAAGTACTCTTTCGTGACCTGCGAACCTTCTCCGAGGGGACGTCTGAGGAGACCTCGTTCGCAGATGATGGCAGGCTCAACATTGAAACGACCGGTCCAAGGACTGCTAGGCGTATGATACACTCTTACCTCAGCCTTCTCTATCTCGAATACTTTATCTCTAACCACTTCCCTCCTCACCTCTCTAGTCCCTACAGAGCTTGAAGCGCTCCGTCTCGCGTCTCGTCAGGAAACAGGGTGCCACTTTCGGAGGGCGGGGTTCAAGGCGGAGATTCAGATACACGAAACAGTGCTTTGCGAATACTCTGACGATGACGATGGTGGCGAGGGAGGATGGTGGTGATGGTCTTCTGGGGACGGAGTTTGAGGAGTTTGCAAAGGTAATGAATGGATCTGATGGGCTCCTTGTCGCGAAGGATACTGTTCAATGTCACAGAGCGGTTTCTCATCAGCATCCACTCTTCGTGTCCCGACAGGCCAACGGATTCCACTCATCCCTTCATCTCTGGATACAATCCACCACCCTCGACAACGCCATCAAGCTACACTGTACAAAATACATCCCCGTCCTCACACACTACATCGACCCCCTCCAACCCCTCCACGACACCCCCATCCCCTTCGCACTGCAGGGCCACTACCTCTACTTCTACGCCTGCCACCTCGCTACCGACGTCCTCTCATCAGACATACCTCTTTCGGCGCACGCAAAGATGGCGGCGGAGAACGTGATGACACCCTCCGCGACGCTGTATGTTTTCCATGAACTGATGATGGAGGTGTTGGATGGGATGTACAGGGACGGGTTCGCGAGGTTTGTGAGGATGAAGACGGGAAGTAAGGAGAATAGGGTTGGGTTTGGGGATTGGAAGCCGCCGGTGCCTCCCAAGGATTTGGAGCGGACGAGAAGTGTTGGGACGCTGTTCGAAGAGCCGGCGTTATCGCGCAGCCCTTCAATAGCAACAGTAGTTGTCAAAGACCTTCCGCCACAACCACCTGCGAAGCCCACCCAAACAGCGACAAGCACAGAACTCCCGCCTCCACCTGCGAAGCCCACCCAAACAGCGACGATTACCGAACTCCCACCACCACCTCCTGCGAACCCCATCCCAGACGACCGTCCCCTCCCTCCCCTCCCCTCAAAGCCCTCCCTCCCCTCCCTCATCACCCATCCCCAACAACCACACCGCGCCCCCTCCGCCTCCTCCCTCTCCACCCTCGCATCCAGCCTATGGGTCGAGCGGGCCAGCCTCGCCGCCTCCGACCACCCACCACCAGACTCACCTCCACGAAGAACACACAGCCTGACAACGAAAAAGAGCAACATAAATCTAAAGATGGATACACTGCGACGGGGCTCATCGCTGAAACTTGCGAGGAAGGCATCTATGGCGTCGATGGGCGTGGGGAACGGAGGGGACGCGGATTCGGCCGTGGAGTGTGGGAGTCCGCCCAGGGATCGCGTCGTGCCCGTAGCCGTGGCGTGAGAGGAGAAGGCGTCGCAGCTGGCATTTGCAGTGACCGTTTGGTAACCCCCCCCCCACCCCAACAACCCCAACGCAGATTCACCGAGATCTCCCGGGAACCCGCGTCCATCCTCCTCCCCTTCCGCCCCCCCCCCGCTCTTTTTTTGGTGTCCACTTGTTTACAGCCCTCACACAATCTAGCGAAAACAAAAAACGATCGTCATACTAGAACCCTCCTCTATACCCCCCCACCCCATAACATAATCCCCAACGGTCGTGACATAACCCTTAGACAGTCACGTTTCTATGCGCAATACAATAATCTATCATTTCAGCGGAGGGCGTATGTATGTATGTATGGTGGTCGTTCGGGTCGGGGTGGATCCGGCGAGTGAAGACCCCTTCACTCCCAACACCCCCCAGGAGCAATCGCCCGCAGAAAACAGACTTCCATGGCTCATAGATCGTCTCACTGCCCCCAAACCCAAAACCCGGGGCACCCCACCCGCGGGGTCTGGAATCCCCTGCGTACTCTATCCCCCCTCGCGCTTCCGCTCACAGTCCGCACAGAAAAGCTGCCCAAAGTGAAACGTGGGCATAAAAACCCGCGTGGGGGGCGTGGGAATGGGAACAGGGTCTTTATTGTAGGAGATTGTGCGGGGGGGGGGGGGGGGTATAACGGTGTTTGGTTATGTGTGGGTATTTATTCCGTCAAACTTCGTAGCATGTCTACCGTCTCATCTTGTGCGTGTTTTTACATATATCTGGTTTCTGAACCGGAAGGGGGGGACGATGGTCAGTACCCCGGGTGTGGTATCCCAACCGAAAACAGCGACCCGATTTGTGGAGGCTTTGCTCACCTATCCCGTGTCTACGTCGCCTGTAGGGTTCTCCCGTCTATCAGGGTATAAGCCTAGCGCGTTTGGCGGCCGCGGCTCCGTCGTCGTCGCGTGGGCGCTTGAGGAGTTTCGGGCGGGGCGGGTCAGCAGGCTTCGCGGGGGCGAGCTTGGCGCGCTTGACGGCCGGGGGCTCGTCGTCGTCGCGTGAGCGTTTGCTCCGTTTCTGTTCGGGCGCGGCGGCAGGGGTCGGAACACCGATCCCACCCCCACCAGCGGGCCGCGCGGGCGGCGGGATGTATTCGTGCTCGATCCCGTTGCGGATGTAGAAGGCGACGTATCTGTGTATGTATGCGAACACGGGGGGATGTTTGTAAGTGTGGTTGAGTCAAAGTGAGGAGGGGGGAGGGGGTATGGAGGAGGACGTACATGTTGCCAGCCTGGATATCTTTCTCCTGCAGTTCCGACACATTGACGTCGTCGAACTTGTACCACTGTGTGAGTGGGAGAGGGAGACAAAACCCCCATTGTCAGTACACACACCTACATACGCAACTACACACGAGACATGGAACAAAACGAACACTTACGTTCCCCGATTCCTTCGCATGCGCCCAATAATGCCCACTCGCGTTGCTCCCCTTATGTATAACCGTGCTGATCAACGAGTACTGGTGGGCCGGATTATGATGCCTACCAACAATCACTATATGAGTCCCACAGAACATGCACCGTGAGTAGACTGGGGGAAGCTACGACGAGAATACATACTTGACGCTCATCCACCCGGGGACTCTGGGCTCGCTCTCCTCCGAAGACGTGGTACCAGCGTCCGAATCAGAGTCGCTGCTGTTCTTCACGTCGATACCCGTGGAGGTGTAGGGGGTCATGTCGAGTTCCATCGGGACGGTGATGGCGCATTCCACTTTTTGGGTTTCGATACGACCCGAGCGTGTGCGCGTCTCCATGCGCTGTGGGGTGGAGAACGAGGGTGTGTTAGAGTATGATGGATGAATGACGGGGGCAGGGTGTGACTATACGTACCTTGAACGCCACACAAAAGACCGGAGGAAGTTCGCTAATGGAAGCTTGTCGCTTAGCACCGTCCTGTAAACGGAGAGTGAAGACATTGCATGAGTATGATTGTAGAGAGAGGGCAAGGCCGATGATGAGGGGTTCAAGATGTAAGATATGGTATGCTTACCTTGGAATGACACTTTTCACAGCGGTAGTCGATTTCTTCAGGTTTGGTGTGTCTAGTGGGTAGATGAGACAACGACGAGATGTATGAGTAAGGCGCGAGCGTACACACACACCACAAGTGAGTGAACAAGCTGAAGCAGTGAAACACATACCGATCAAGCAATTCCGGGAGACTCAAAGGTGTTTTCCGCTTCTTGCCACGCCTCGGCGACGATCCCTCGCCAGGGGAATCCAGGGCGGTGGTGACAGAAAGACACAGATCCTCCATAGGGGTCTTGGTAACCGAGACATGTCCGCACGCCGTGCATTTGATACTGGATTGTTCCTCGCCGCCAAAGACTTGACACACCGGGCAGACGCAACGACCGTTGGCGTCAAGGGCTGAGTTTTGGAACGCTTTATGCAGTTCGTGCCGTAGAGCAAGGAGAAACTCATGTGCGTCTTGCTGTTCGTTCCCTGCCATAGATGGCGTGTTTCTCCAAAAGGCTTGTAGTAAGTCCGATGGGCACATGGGGGTTGGATCGGAGCTGTACACCTGTTGACAAGCGAGGAAAAGGATGGGAATTCAATACGATGCTCGCTATATGTGCGGGATGAGTAGAGTGCAACCGAAGTACTTACGGCTTGAAAAAGACGATCAACCTGACAGACCAAACAGTCTGTGTATTGCTTGGAGCAGTTCTTCCGCGTGTGTTGGCCCGTGAGGAAGTAGCTTTTCATTGCGGCGTTATGAAGCAGAGCTTGCAGGATCGCGTTGAGATAGCAGGTCGAGCCTGCGTTGACAAGTCCTCGTAAACCTTTGGAATTGGATGTGTCAGTACCTGTTGGGGGGTCATCTAGGAGTTCTGCTTCTTCCACCCGTTCTAATTCTGCTGATGGCTATTTCCGAACTCGTCTACGTTTCTCTTCCCGTACCTGAGCACAATTGAGGTTCCGAATGACCTTCGATTAACGTCAAGTCGCCTGCGTTCGGGGTCGGAGGAGCCACCCTCCGTTTTCGCTTGATCTTGGGCTCTGTGGGATGTAAGGATCCTGAGGTCAGAGCAACAGCGTGCGAGATTACAATAGTGAGAAACGGCAAATACTCACCGAGCGCGTGGGCGATTATTAGCATCATTCGCCGAGCCTCGGCTTTGTAGATCCTGCGAAGCTCTCTATCGTAGGCGTACTGCTTACAATAGCCGCACCACACATCACACGATTGCAGATCCATCGCTGGGTGGGGCGATGAGGGGAAGGTTAGTTGCATTCATCATGGACCGCCGACAGTCAGGACGAGGGTAGAGGAAAACTCACCAAAGGGATGGTGGTTGTCCGCCAAGTGTGCAGGCATGTGTGATTCCCTGCATCCCGTGTACACGCACGACAAGCAAACATGTGGCCTCTTTTTACTTTTAGTGGTCTTGCAAGCATTGCATCTAAACGCCGGGATCTGAGAGTAGATGAGGAAAGAGAGTATCAAGATGTCAATTGACTGCCGCATTATCACAGCAGGCTTAGCGGGATAGCGGACGGTAGTGATGCACATAACATACCTCCGATAGTTTCTTGATGTGGTCGTCGACGGTTAATTCTGCGCGCTTCCGCTTCCCGCTATCGGTTTCAATATCTTCTTCCGAATCATCGTTCATTAGTGTCGAGATCTTGAAGGTTTTGCGTATATATCGCAGGGATCGGGCTTTGAGACAAAGGGCGTATCGCACTGCTGTTTTATACCCGTAAACAAAGGCCATTGCCGTGGTGCCCACATGGGGGCAGCCACGGCCCGCGTTCGGGGCCGGGTCGAGCTCCTTGCTCGATGGTGGCATTTTGCTGCCGTGGTTGCTTGAGTAGTAGTTGCTCGTTTTCGGAGTCTTGCTTGAGGGACAAGATAGAAAGGTCTGGGGGGAGAAAGAAGAAAAACCAGCCGCCGACCCTCCCACCCCCCCTCTTTATATGCTGACAGACCCTCTTAGAAGCCTCCTTTCTCCGGCACGGATACGTAAGAAAGCCTGCGGAGTTCTAACTGTATGGGGAATAGACTTTGACCAAAAGCGGGCCTCAACTCCGCTGCAGTGGTACTGGCTTGGGGAATTACCCTATAGGGTGGGTGAAAATTGACAGGTAGACCGGTCAGAAAGACTCAGCGCTGGGCTTCTAGAGCGTTCAGACGGCTATTGCTAGAGACTAAATGGGACCGAAGGGTCGTTGTAGGTGGGAAGATGGAAGGGCAAGAATGGCAGTGCTGTCAAAAAGCGAAAAGGGGCGTATGCCCACACAACTCTGACGTTTGCCTCATGTCTGCCTGAGGGCGAACACTCATAGCGACCCTAGGTCTTCTCATGTCAAAACGCCATGCCCTTCATGAGTCTTATCCCATAACTTTGCCAGCTGGTGCTGGGATGACTTCTATGCTTTCCAGCGTTTCGCCATGCCGTCAAGCGACGCCGTTATTGCGAGACGGAAAGGGCTGTCCAAAAAGGCCCTTAATTAGTTAAAGTCACATGACCGCAGCGACATTAATCTGCTTCTTAACGATTGCCTCATCCGTTCACAATGGAGCGGAGTCGACAAACTGACGGGATAGAATAAAAGGCTGTTACTTCGCATGGGGGGAGTCAATGTACTAGATGCACTAGGTCGGCATTTCGAACATTCCGTGAATATCATTCCATCGGCTTCCTCTTCTTCCTATGTATTAAAGGTCGGGCGGCCGGCGGCATGCATCAACCGCCTGCATGTGCCGTACAACCTCGCTCAGCTTGTTCCGGGAGGTTACGCATAAATGCACCAGGATCTCGCTTGTTTACACTCTGGAACCGAATGTGCTGACTGTTTGGAGATATGGCGAGGAATTGGCGAACTGTTGACGCAGAGGATGGATGCTTGTAGATAGGATTCGATATTTGTCCCGATGCAAGACCGAGAGTCAATAGATGTCAAGCGATACCAGCGGTTCGGAAGACCGGGCGTAGATACTGTACAATCGATGCGAACACGCGTCGCCCTCGGAAAGCAAACGCTTGACAAGGACAAACACCGAAAGCACCGAAGCCACGGCTTTTTCGGTGAGCCAGATGTTCACTATTCCCACCCTATCCCTTACTCAAGTATATATAGTAGCAACACCACTTCAATCTGCACGGGGCTCCAGGGGGGGGGGGGGGGGGGCTCCACTAACTATCCATCGGCGTACATTGGCCACTGATGCCCGTGCGGAGTTGTTTTCCGTAACTTCTTCAGGATACAACGTGCCGACAGCCGACCGGGCCTCCTCCTGTGCTCCTTAAATAATCGCCCTTCGGCCTGCCGTCTGTCTGTGCCGGGTTCTCTTATCTCTTCCCTGCCTTCGCCGAAAAAAAGCTGGACACTGTTAGTGATTCGTTAGGCCGACATGTGGTAAGCGCCATACTCACGTTGCGGAAAGAAGCACCTCTATCGGTTCGGAAGCTGACCACCTCGTCCGACGAAAAACTTCATCATACAGGAACCAACTCTGTTTTGTGATTCTCGTGGCGTTTCAGACCCTTGGGTGGAGTAGGGCCGAGGTCGTTGGGATAACGCATTTGGATACTGACCCGATTTGGAGTCTCGGGCCTGCTGGTGAGTACCGAGTGCCTGGCGAAGCAAGAGGTCTGCGAGTGGGTGGGAGGAGAGAAAGAGGAAACGTGTGAGACCGATAGCGAGAAGATGCGCAAGCGCTAGCGACCCCGTTGCGCCGGGGGCCGAGCAATGCGAGGCGGAAGAAACTTGAGGAAATTTGAGGGACCAATGTCGAGAACCCCATTGCGCTTGAGCCCCAAGAATGCTGGAGGCATGCGACCGATTTTTTTTTTTTGCAAGCGAAGCGAACGATGGCCGTTCCGCATCATTCATGGTTCATCATCGGTTCATCGACCGACCCATCGTCTGCCGACGTTCATCATGCTCACCACTTCTATCCGACAGCAATCAACTTCCGAGCCAGCCAAGCGGCGGCTCTGACGACGTTCCTGGATATGCAATATGCCACATGGTGGGGCGCTAACGGAACACTGAGAGTTGCCCGTCGTCTCCTGCACCCAACGGGTGACTGGCAAATAACGGCCGTGAACGGACAAATTGATGCCTCAAATGCCGGTGAAACAGCGTTCACAACCACATCGTATGCCGAATTGTCGGTCGCTACCGAACACACTCCCAACATAGCCATATCGGCCATCGATGGACGCATCCACCTTAGCTTCAACGGCGGCGGAACTGTCATTAATTACATCGCCAGCGAGTCCGGCCTTGCGCTCGCCAGTGGCAAGAAAAAATCCTGGCACTGGGGCCGCTTCTCCAGCACAATGACCACCCTGAACGGCACGGCGCTGCCAGCCAATCCACTTTTCCCACGGTTCATTGTCACGGGCAATACGGTCCAGCTGTACTACATGCCAGGTGCATTCAATGGAAACAGCTCGGTAGAATTGGCCGAGTACAGCAACACGACGATGAAATGGGTTTCCCTCGGCAGGTTTGTGAGCTGGGACGGCTCGTACACGACCCCGACAACATACACACCACTCTCCTCCACCACAACCAAGACATCCACAGCACGGTCCCTTCTCCCTCACGGCATTCTCATGAAAAACAACCGGCTCCACCTATATGGCGTCTGGGCCGAAAACGCCTACGTCTCCTGCGCCGGGTACAGTGGCATAAACAACCACGACACCGTCTATGTCTACTCGGACGATTGGGGCCGCACGTGGAAAACCGCCGCAGGCACCACCGTCGGCATCACCGGCTCCACCACCCTCATCAGAGTCAGCACCACCGGCATCATCGCCGACGCCCAGTTGGCCGACCGCGCTATCCGCAACGGCGAATCCATGGAAGTCGACAACAACGGCCGTCCCATGGGCCTCAGCTCCTACGTCGACCCCTCCTACGTCGCCTGCGCAAACTACTCTCACCGTGCAACGTACGCCCAACCGTTCCTCATCGCCCGCGCAGCAACGGGCACATCCCACACACGCATCCCCGTCCCCTTCCTCATTGGCCGCGTCGGGATGAGTACTGTCGTTGTCGATGACCGCAACAACGCCTACGTGCTTATGAGCGGGTTGCGAGTTGTACGTGCGACGGCTGCGAGCGGGTACACGGACTGGAAGATGATGTGGAATGGCGCGAACGAAGGGCTCCTGTCGGTGACGGACCCGACAGTGGATCGGGCAAGGATTCAGGCTGATGGGGTCATTTCGATACTGTATCAGTCGACCAAGGGCATCTCGGTTATCGATATTGCCATGTATTGAGTTGGGGCGGGAGGAATCGAGCCGGGGGTTGCGGGTGGGGGTCTGGGTGGGGGTCGGGTGGGAGAGAGAGACGGGGATATCAGCTCTTAGAGGCTGAAGACTCTTGGATAGACCGCTCAATCTTGAGACATTTTTGGACTTGGCATAGGGTTGGACTAGCCGCCGTATTAGATACCCCGATTCCTAGTGCAGTTAGAAGGAGGTTGCGTTTGCCAGTGTCCTCGTATTCCAACTTATGATTTTGAGTATACACTACCGGCACCTCTAATTGAGGCTACCGTACAGGAATCGTGTTCCATGTTCTACGAACTAACTCTGCGAGCCTGGACGCTCCCCGTGAAGTATTTTGGGCAGAAGTATTTTGTGCAGCGCAGTATCCATTCTTTCCACAGCCCTTCTTCGTCCCTGTCGTCGCTGCCGTCGCTGGCAATATCGCAACCTTCCGCATTCCTCACCGGTTTTCGTGAATGGTATGAAACCACGGTCCTAATGTCTGCGGTTGTGCGAGTCTATGGGTGACCTTCGCCAAGACGTCTCCGATACACTGATAAAGCTAAGCTCAGTAAGATCACTGCTATCGGGATCGTCCGGGTCCCATCGCAGGACCCGGTGGGGGCGTGGGTGGTCGGGCGAGATGGTAGGTCACTGTCGCCAACAACCTCCATTGAAGCACGCGAAGAAGAGGCTCCAGCGTTAATCAGAATCGATGCGCATATGTTCGAGCCCAACCGAGGCTGCTTCGATCGTTGGCCGTGAAGTTTCTTGCAAGGTCGGGGGCGGGGAACGAGTAGTCGAGTTGCGGTGGGATTAGTATGATATGACGATGAGGGTGCGGGACGCGGTAGGGTTGCTCGAATGGGACCCGGTTGAAAATCGAGTCTTCAGTCATCGCCTTGTCGTAGCAGTTTCTCGTCAGGTGGTCGACCCTGCCGCTGAAATGACACTTGCCCTGTTCTGCTGCCAGAAGGTTGAGAGGGACCGCTTATCTAATTGACGTGTCTGGTGGGGATGGTGAACGGCTTTGAGATCGGCTTCGAGTTGCTACTTCCCGATGCCGATGGGGCGAGACGTGGTCGCGCAGAGCGGTCGGATGCCCGGTGGCATGCCCTCCCGCAAAAACCAATTTGCTAAGACCCACCCACATCCGGACCGACCTTCCTCCATTGCCCGGTCTTGTTGTCCCCGAGGTTTTCTGGTCCCTCGTGGGATGCGGCTTGTTGAATTTCGCAGAACGGTCTGCAGCCCAGTGTCCACTATTCCCACAAACCCTGCAATGGCCGTTCTCCTGGGGTCGATCTTCCAACTGTGACATTCATCACCCGGTCTTGATAATTGGTATGATCCCATTTGATGTCCCTTGTCGCAGCAGGAGACGCTCATCATGAAACCTCACTTTGTGAGGCTGCTATACCCATTGTACGGGTGTCGATTTCCCACCACATTGAGTTTGCGCGGGCTACTTGCGCGTTTTAACGGACTTTCTTGACGCTGGCGCGACATGCCTTAATTCAATGATGCGCCTTGCCGCAATAACCACATTTGCCCTTCCTTGCCGTACTTCGCGGCTTGTGATCACCGGCTTTTGGGCTCCTCTACGAGTTGATCCGTCTCCCTCCTCCCGACGTCGAATCCCCCTATTGCCGTTGTGTCCTCGATGCAGCGATGCCGGCATGCCACATACTCCTGCCGCATTCACCACCATGGTTTCCCGAAGATAATCCATGGAGAACGGATGTCCTTGCCTCTCAACTCTCTCATCTGCAGCTTCTTCGTTTCGACCGCGTATTTCATCCACGGATTTGGGTACGCGAGGCGTTGCAAAGGGCACTTGAATCATAGCCTCAGCTCACAGTATCGACCAGCGGGCCGCGTAACACGGAGGACCGCTTACTGCGATGGAGGTTGAAGGAAGGCGATGCTACCGGTCAAAGTGCTCATACGCCAGACAATGGAGGAACAGATGGAGCACCGAAACTTCCTACGCGAGAAGTAAGACCTGCAGACACTCCTCTCCCGTAAGATGGCGTCCCTTGGAAGACCATTCCTCCGGCATGAAATCAGGTAGAATTGAGATGGAGGGTTCATTTTCGCTGACTGGAGAGTTCAAAGATGATTGGGGCATTCAAGGCCTTGCCTCTTTCTGCGCAAAGGCTTGCATTGATAAAGCGATGTCCGTTGGAACATCTTGGTGCCGTAGCCAGAGTGAATGTGACCGAAGACATGGACCTGAGCGTCACATGTGGGAAGCGTCTCCCGGCCTGCATCAGCAAAGAACCAGTTTTGCAGGCGCTCCATCAATGTCGGAGCAAGTAAGCGTTCCGCAAGGAAGGAGCAGCCGAACGATTTCCCGCGGAATGCCACGTCCAACATCCCAAACGGGGGTCCATGGGTGACAAGGATATCAATCTCCGCCGGAATGTTCCTCACCACTTCTCGCAATTCTGGTCCATCCCGAGGAAGGTTGAATGCGAAATTAGCGTAAGCTGGCTGCCAAGGGTGGCCCCAAACGGTTATTTCACCGCCAGCAGGGTCCGGAAGAGAGAACTTTGCGTCCTCTAGGTACACGATACCGTGCTCGCTCCTCAGTCTCTCATTGTCCAAGATGGCTTTGACGCGACGCGCATACACATCCAGACCCTCGTCGAGCCGGCGCCGACGATCCTGCTCGCAATAGTAGGGGATGTCAAAGGTCCGTTCGTGGTTGCCTGCAATCACAACCTTCTAACGGAACTGAGTGAGGCTGGTGAGCCAGTCGGTAAAGGACATCACTTCCAACTCCTCGCCGCTGTCGGTGAAATCGCCGGGGTGGATGAGAACGTCGCCATCTGGTAGTGTGAGCTCAGCATGTCTGCGGTGCGTGTCCGATATGCATACGAACCTCATGGTGGTGGTGATCAGATGGGTTGACAAAGGGACGTTTCCGGAGTAAGTCGCTGGGTGCTTCACTTCCTCGATCTCCGAGACGGGCAGCGTAGACAACGGGCTGAAAACACTCACAGTAATTAGCTCGCTTAGATCGGACTCTGTCGGGGTGGTCAGGACCAGCAGGATCTTTTGTCAGGGCCTGTCTCGAAACCTGGCTCCGACGACGAAGGACGAAAAACCGGCAGAGTACTCGTCCGTTGGCGGACCGGTCGTCGGGACCGCTAGGACTGCTGGGCTCTCGCCTCTCTCGCCGTGTTCGTTCTGCTCAGTTCGCTTGGCTCACTCGTCCTGTTGTCACTCGCGGTGTCAGATCTAGATGGCGAATTTAGAGGGCCTGCAGGCCTGCCGACACAGAAGAAGCAGAAAGTCCCCAACTTCTCCAACTTGGAACTTGGGCTAGTAGCCGCGGAGTCCATCCATATGTCAACTTGACAGGTGTTCAAACTTCATAGGGCTTTTCTTGAAACCGAGTGTCCCGCGGAGTATCGAAGCTGTTTCTGGCGCTGGGTAGGTTGGGCAGCCTAATAATGAGATACTATGCGAAACCGTCCGACCCTCACCAGTGGTATTGTCGACATCCGTATGTGCGGACTCTGTGGGAGAGTGGAGAAACCTGGGGACCAGAAGGGGGGATGTCCTGCATATTAGCCTGGTCTCAGGGTGAGCTGCGCGGGCTGTTGTGCGTTGTTGTGCTGTTGTTGTCACCTCCTCGCGCCCTCATCAAGAACTCAACTCATGTTCACCTTCGATCATACTGACCAACTCCGCTAAAAGGGCTTTCCCACGCTTGTAATAAATAAGTGGTCCCAGCGGATACTCATATAACGAAACGACCCACTGCCGCTGCTGCTGCTGCTGGTTGGTCATCGTCTGGTCGTCGTCGGTCTTGCGAAGGCCATTTGCTTGAGAAAGTCATCTTTGCGGCGACCTTGACGGGCGAGGTATTTTCAATGAGCACAGCTTTGCGCGACGGCTGAAGTCGGCCACTGACCAGCCCAACTTCTTCCTGCATTGATAAAAGGCTTGCCGTTTCGTCGTACTGTATATTCCAGCCTCAGTGGGGGCATCATCTTGGACAAGCGGTCATCGTAGACGGCACGCGACGGTCTCTTCACGACCAAGTCAGTCCCAAATTCCCCAACGATCTTCAGAAAAACGAAATGTCGCGGGGATATCAGAACATGCAGCAAGAGCAGCAGGAGAGCGCAAGACGGTTTCAACTCACTCCTTCAGCCCCTCCAAGGACAGAGTCTCGCACTGCGGCGACGGTAGCACCTCAGACAACCAGTCGGCCAGCTTTCGCACGGCCGTTTCCAAAGAGCACGAGCAACTCCAGCGGCCTTTCAAAGTACGCCCGAGATGGAAGCCTGCAAGCGGCCACCTACTCTGAGTCGCCATTTGCCGATCCTCAGTATACCTCCACTTTTCACCGTGACGATACCCGAGACGAGCCGGATTCGAGGTCGTTCTCGCACACATCTGGCTCTTCTATACCGGCTGATGACCGATATGACGGATCAGGGACAAGCGGAGGTGGAGGATCAGCTGGGGTTAGTGGCGGCGCATCCAACTTGCTGTCGGGCAGCAAAGTATCTGCGTTCAAACAAAAGTTCAAATCGAAAGCTTCCGAGGCAGCGAAAGTCACCGCCGAATGGAGAGCGAAAGCTGCTGAAAAGGGGTCCGAGATTTCGGCAAAGGCGAAGGTAGCTGTTGCAGAGTATAAAGAGCGATCCGGGAAGCCAGGGAGTGGGTCGGCGTCCGCGAGTCAAGATGGAGTCGCGAGTGCCCCGGTCTTTGGAGTGTCTCTCACCGATGCATTGGCGAAATCTCGGGTGGATGCTATAAATGGTCCCTTATGGTACCCGGAAGAGGCTGTTCGCAATGTGCCGGCGGTATTTTACCGATGTATCGAGTATCTTGATATCCATGGTATGTTCATGCGGGCCACTTTCTACTTGGCCAACAAACCCGCGTCGCTCATGCTCTCCGTTTCCCAGGACTCGAGGAGGTTGGAATGTATGTCCTCTGGAAAATTGATGCAAGCCTTGACGCACTAGTCACCGCCGAACGCTAAAACCCGTTGTTGACTCTCATAGATATCGCGTTTCCGGATCCACCACAGAAGTTGCAAATCTACGGCACAGATTCAATACTGAGTCGGACATCGAGCTCATAAAAGAGCAGATAGATCCGAATGCCGTGGCGTCCCTCTTCAAAGCTTGGCTCCGCGAGCGTAAGTCTGCCTGTCCTTCTTAGATATTCTCCGGCGCATTACTTCAACTGAATTCATCCATTCGTAGTCCCAGAGTCGATCCTGACCGATTCCACGGTCACCCCACTCTCCCGCATGTACCAAGCCTTCCAGGACGACGCCGCCTCGCTCGTTTCCACATTCTCAGCGCATCAAGTCAAACCTGGAGCCACAGGGTCGTCTTTAGGGACCTCACCACTATCATCCGTCGCGTCGGACATTCCTCCGCAGCTGGTAGCGGAAACGAAGAAACAGCTTGCATCTATACCAAATCACCATCGAGCCCTGCTGTACATTCTTTTCTCGCATTTGAACCGGGTCACAGAAAACGAGGCGAAGAACAAGATGGGGCTTGCGAACTTGCAGGTCATCTTCTGTCCGACTTTGAGCGTGGGGAGCGCGCTCTTCAAAACGTTGATCCTGGAGAGGGAGACACTGTTTGGGCCTGCGTCTGGAAGCTACGCCGCGGCGCCGGGACATGGATATCACAATGATCCGACGATCGGGATCTTGAAGGACATCAATCTCTCTCCTGCCACGTCCTCAACAAACACCCCACGCATGACGCCGATGGACTCTGCCGCGTCATCAAAATCCAATTCGCCGAATAAGGACCTTCCTGGGCTGCCGCCACCTGCAAAACCAGCACGGGCACGGCCGCAGTCCGTTGCATCTTCGTTGGGAATCGGCAAAGGTTCTCGCATGAGCGGAGATATCAGCAGCAATGGTACGGTGCGGACGTCTCCTCAGCGGACATCGTCTTCAGCAAACGATGCTACCTCAGTACCTGCATTGCAGTATCTATCCATGTCAAATGCCGGTCCCAGGAATCCTGCATCCCACTCTGCGCCGAGGCAGGCCCCGGCGCGCAGCTCGCATCACGAACAGCAACAACAGTGGGACGACGTGTCCACCCACATACCCGACGCCATCCAATCCTCCCCGTCCTCCTCGTCTCGCGACTCCATCGACGCCGGATCCCAAACCACCAACACGAAAGCAACAATGCGCATCAGCTGGGGCTCCTCGAGTCCCATTGGCACCGCTGCCGCCGCGTCGCTGCAGGACCTCATCCACCAGTCCTCACAAATACAGCAGGTACCAAACACTTACCCGCATGATCAGCAGCAACCACACGCCGACTCGACATCCTCCGCGCTGCACTCCGTCGCAGGCGCCCGCGCGTCGACACAGTTGGCCGCCCCACCTAGCGCCTCTAGCACGTCCACGACCTCTACGGATCCTGCAGGGGTACTGCTCAACCTAATGGACGAAGTCGATCCATTTGCAGACCCTACTAGTCCGCGTGGGCAGCAGCAACAGTATGGGTATCACCAGCACCAAGCTTACTCCCAACCCCCTGTACACGGCCGCGAACCCCCACAATCATATTACGACCAACAAGATCAGCAACAACAGCAACCAACATCCCCCCAACACCTCCACCACCCGCACAACCCCTTCGCCCAACCCCAAACCTTTATCACCACCCCCGCCCGCAAAGGCTCTCTGGACTACACCCTTGCGCTTCGCCAACAACAACAACAACAACAACAAAAACACCAAGTACCATACGCGCAACAACCCACCCGCCACCACCACTCCCACTCCCTCCCGCCCCACCATACCCTCGTCAACCACGAATCCCTCCCATCACAGCCGCCCTCGCACAACAATAACAAGAACGGTAATACGGCTGGACAGCAGCGGTATTCGCAGCCGATTGCGCCGAGTTATGTGCAGCAGAGTTATGTGCATGTGCCGTCGGCGGTTGTGCATACGGAGAGGGTGGGAGGGAGGGAGGAGGATTTGAGGCCGCCGGTTAGGTTGGATTCGTGGGCTGTGGGCGAGGAGGGTGGGCAGGGGGGGCAGGGGAAGCCGGTGTTGCCGCCTAGACCGGGGGGTTATACCTCTCCTTCCTCGTGAGGAGTGTGTGGAAGGAACATTGGTTGTGAAATTGGTGGATACCCGCCTTTTCATTTTTGATGGGTCACTGGACAAGTGGGTGCATTTGTGATGGTGCGGCATGGACTGGGTTGGTGACGGGACAAAAATGTATCATAAATTACATTCTGAATCTCCGATGTTTACTAATCCCGTGATGCAATGTGCTTCTACATACGGTAGCTCTACTCATTAACGAGAATCAGGAGTCTACTAATATCTATTTTGTCTCGGAAGTTTCGACGCAAATCACCGAAACAGCACATCCCGCATCAAAACCCCCACAACCCTCACATTCAACGAATTCCCCAACAAGCGCCATTTCTGCGCGAGGGTTATCGAGGCTGGGAAACTGAATCCGTGTCTCTCCATCCCTGCCGAATCATCAGTATTCGATGGCGAGGAAGATGATGGTGACGAATCAACAGGGAAAGCGTGCAACCTCGCAACTTCCGTGGGTGTGAAGAAGCGCGGGCGGAGAGAGAGGACTGCGGGGTGGGATGCTGGGTCGATTTGTTTCTGTTGGGTGAAGAGAGGGTTAGCGGGGGAGGGTCGTGAGTGGGGTGGTGTGTGGGAGGGACTTACGTTGAAGTCGCGGGTCTGTAGGAAAGATCCGCTGCCGATGACGTGGTGTGAGCCGTAGGCCTGATCCAAGTCGAGAAGGGGTGAGGATGATTCATGCAAAGTACAATATCCCGACGGGTCGTACATACCTTGGTGAAACAAGCGCTGCGTTGTGAAGTCGGTTGGACGATATCTACACAGTGAGATGCGCATGAGTGTTACACTCGCGCGCGACAGAGGCAAGGCATCGCACAAGAACGTACCGAACCGATACCCATGCCTCTTCGTCACAAAATGTTCGGGTATAAGGTACGCGGCCTCCTCATCCTCCGTCAAGTCTTCCAGGTACGCGCTCAGCGGGTCGACATCTACGTCGGGCGTGGGTAATGCTTTTGATGGGATGCGCGGTTCTGTGTGGATTGTTGCTCGCTCGATGTAGGGTATTGTTGGGGGGTCGGAAGGTGTGTCGGAAGAGCGTAGCCGGGCCTGCAAGAAAGCGGTCAGATCACTCCGTCATCGGGGTCGCACTCCATTGATGGACACTCACAGTCAAATAATACCGCCTTCGATCATTCGGGATCCCAATCTGCAACGGCGAGACCAAAAACTCATGGATCTCATACCGGAGCTCATCCAGCTTATTCACCAACATCGCCCTGCTGGTCGATTTCTACACACCACATAACACCCCCGTGAGTCCCCACTCCCACTCCCATCCCCGAAAAACATTGAACAGCGACGTTTACCCATTCACACCTCAAAATTCGGCACATTCTCCAAAAACACAAACTCCGGCCTCCTCCTCACTTCCCCCAACAGCGTTACAAGCCTCAACAGCCCCTCGGCGCGCGTATCCCTCTCATCCAGCGATTTGCCGCCCTGGGTGTATGGCTGGCATGGCGGGGAGAGCAGCCAGCAGTTTGCGTTGAATTTGTCGAGGTGGGCCGCGGTGAGGCGGTCGATGGAGGTGTCGCTGGGTTTGAGGGAGAAATTGTGCGTGTAGCAGGCGTTGGCGTGCAGGTTGATGTCGAATGCGGCGACGACTTTGGAGGAGGGGTGCGCGAACTCGAGGCCGTAGTGGAGGCCGCCGAGGCCGGAGAAGAATTCGAGGGCTGTTATTGACATTCGAGTGGACGATGCTTTCTATTCCAGCTGTTATGTTGTGTGTGGTTCGAACTGCACTTGCGTTCGGAGTTTGAGCAAGGATTGCAAGGATGTGTCAAGGCCTCGAAAAAGGTCCTCCCATTTAAACCGCGCGCGTTGCCCCGTGACTGGCCTTTCCAGCCCAGTTTCCAGCCTGCCCATTCAATCATTGGGAGTGAATAAATACGATTCCAGAGGGTCTATCTAATCTATCATATGCACCAAGGGCCCCATGATCGCTGCATGTGAGAGCTATGGAGATGTTTCTACTTCTTCCGTTCCGGCGACTGTTTCTACTACTTCCGTTTCGCCGGACAGCACCGCCCGCTTCATAGGTAAGTTGAGTTAAGGTCACATCCCCGGCCCACCGTCGGCTCCACTCGGCCGCGTCTGAAGTGACTTGCGGCGAACGCAGCGGCCTCATATCCAGGCATCCAATGAGTCTCCGCCTCTTTCATGCCTTGCCTTGCGCGGGCATGTCCCCCAAGATTGTACTCTTCGAGGTCCCAGCAGCCCGCAGTCCATGCTCCTTTCAATACGCATCTCACTGAAACCCGACTGCGGCGGGTAACCGTGAAAGGGCGTTCTGGATCTAATGCTGCGAAACAACCGCATACTTGTCGAAAGTCTCTTTGTCCACCGCAAACGCCTTCACAACCTCCGCCTCCAAAAAGTGCATCTTCCCCGCAATGACCAGCGAATGCAACGGCCCCCCAAAATCGACCGTGAGCAACTCCTCCAGCGTCCCTGCCACAATTTTCTGGTCGTCACATCCAACGCGGGCCAGCCCGACGACGATGCTGTTCTTTGTGTAGGCCGGTTTCGATTCTGGAGAGGCGGCGGCGCGGGTTTCGTGGACTTCGAGGAGCTGCTCGACGGCGGTGTTGATGGTCATGTAGCGTGGGGGTTCGTAGATATTGCGGCCGCTGTTTGGGGGTGGTGTGAGCTCATGCAGATCACGATGGTCGCAAACGATCAACCAACAACTCACCGAGCCATGTTCTCAATACTCTGCTCCTTCACCTTTATATCCAACAAACACAGCGTATGCAATTCCATGTCTGTATTCATCTTTATCTTGTCGTAAAAACTGTCTGGTTTCCAGGTCTCGGTGAAAAACACAATGGACACCGTCTGCCCGTAGTTGTACAATTGCAGCCCACAGCAGCCGACGGCGTTCATGATCGAGGCATTGTGGATGGGGATCACTGGAATGGAGAGCTCCGTTGCCCGGTGGACGAGGTCGGTGTGCGTTGTTGCTCTGGAGTGCCAAGAAAAGGTTTCAATTTCAATGGGACCGTGCACGGTAGTAGGGGAGTGAGTTGCTGGGAAACGAACGTACCCAAACGGGTCTCCGACAACGAGAAAGGCTACATTCACTTTATCCGCATCTTTCAATATCACGTCGGCTTCAGACTCGACCATTTCCCTGTCCGCAATGACCACCGGCTTCCCGTAAAACGCTTCCTGTTGAAAGACGAATTTCTCACTAAGTTCACGTGAGCTCTTTGAAGCGAAATTGAAAGTTCCCTACCAGCCTCTCCTTCCCGACAGTGAGGATACTCGTGTATGCCTCCAGATATATCCGTTCGCATGACTTGACCGCCTCAAGCCCTTTCACCGTAATGTCCTTCTCATCGGACAGGCCGAGACCGATAACGTACAGCACCATCTTTGCAAGTGCGTAGGCTCTTCGAGAAGAGGTTTGTGAGGACGAAAGTATGTGAACGTACGGAGAGTTCGGTACGTATGGTTGCAGGAGCCTTCGGAACGGAGTCTCTGTGACGGTCTGTGCGCTAGACCAAATATTCCACACATGAGAAAACAAAAGGACCGCGACCATAAAACCGCGAACTTACGAGAGCTTACGAGACCATCTTAGGCAACTCCACGTAGACCTCCCCAGAACCTCCCTAGTCATCCAGACCCTCATCACCATCAGAATGTCATCCACACCAACACACTCGTCCGCCGCCGTCACCACCGTCGACGACGACCCCACCTCCGCCCTGCTTGACCGCCTATCCCATCTCGAGCACCTCACCTCGCCATCACTTGCCGCCAACACCCATCCCCGCGAAGATGCGTCCGATAGCAGCAGTAGCAGCAGGCACTCGCTGGTCAAGTCCCTCCAGCGCGTGCAGGATAGGCTGCAGAGGTGTATGGTGGAGAAGAAAGCTGTGGGAGATTTTGTTTTTCGATGTATGTTTGCAGACTGCGCTAGGATTGGGGATTTGTGAGTGGATGGAAGTCGAAGTGGACGTGTTGTGGTGGGGGTGAATTGGATGCTTTGAGAGGCGAGGGACAGGAGCCTTGCCCCTTGCCAGCGCCGTCACTATCCACCTACCCAGACTCATCCCCGTCTCTCCCATCCCATCCCACATCTCTCACATGATCTCCCGCAGACAACCAACTGCGCCCGCTCCTAACCCCCGACTCCTCGTCCGACGCCGACACTGACCGCGCTGCATTACTGGATGTGGCTGCCAAAAAGGATCTGGTGCTGAGCGCCGAGAGCGAGTTGCTGCTGGTTGCCGAAGAATTGCGGATGGTGGATGCCCTGAGGGGGGAGTTGGATCGGAAGGGGGTACTTGATAGTAGGTTTGAGGAAAGGTTTCACGCGAATTAGGGAGTGGAACAACGATAGGACGCATTGATACTCATTTCCGGAACGATATAGACCTCCCCATCAATATCCGCCACCTCAGCACCCTCGAATCATCAATCGTCTTGCAAAGAAGTAAAGAAAACGCCACACAGCGGAAGCTCGCAGAAATACTAGACTCTTACAACCATTTCGTGAGTTCACACCTCCCTCCCTTGTTCATCATACCAGGACTGACATGTGTATTGAAAAACTGGGAATGGCAGATAAATAATCTCTCCGACATCTTCATCTGCTACGACGACGTGATCTCGGATTTGGAGCTGAAGGTTGCCCGGGTTGAGAGGGGTGTGGAGGTGTAAGGTTGTGGCGTGCATCGGTTTCAAGAGAATAGGGCACAGAAAGCATAACACCCATCCCGCTGAGAAAAAGCTATGAATCAGTGGTTGGCAGTATGGACCCGGGCACGCGAGACGAATGCGAGACGAGACGGGCATACCTCGGATTCAAGATGCGGAATTTACTATTTCGCTTGTCTGTGACCACCAACTGTACGCGAGGTACGCACCTGTTGTCGTTCGCGTGTGAACAGTGGGGCTGCCTGTCGTCCCCGCCACAACCCCGCCACGCATAGTGCCGTCAAGGGTGGTCGGGTCCTTCAGGGCCTTCACTGCTTCACACCGCTCGAACCGCTTGGCCACCTTGGCCACTGCTCGGACAGATCTGGTCACCTCTCCCATCGCTCGGCAACACCGGCAACATACTACCACACTCCTGCCGTTCTCGTCGGGATCCCCACCCAACCAACCCATTCGTCGCGCCATGTAGACCTGTCGGCGAAAGGGCTGTTGACGTTGATAAGGGACTTGACCCGTAGTGAGACGGCTCACACCAGGGGGGTAATATGAAGTAACAGTCCTGGGGTATGTCCTGCTGCGATGGTGCACGTGGGAAGGAACAGATGGCAGCGACGTAGGGTCGCTTCCTGCGAGTCCGCAATGGGGTGGGGTGGGGGTTTTGGGGGTGACATCCCTCTTCGCTTCGTTTGTAACAAAATCGAAATTTTTATATATTGCCCACAACACGTCCCACTAACAAAAAGGGGGAGAAGCCCCCCTAATACATATCACGTACTCCGTCCCGCAAAAGCCGCTGATGCTAAAAACAGTGGGACCGAAATAAAGGGGACGTTTTGAGATGTGGGACGGAACACCAGGTGGGAAACAGCCGCTAGAAGAGATAACGACGAGACGGTGAATGCATGTACAAGAATGTAGGAAAGGTATCGGGACGGGGGTGGGGTGTGAGGGAGGTGGAGTGGAGGTGTGTGGGATTGCGGGACGCGCAGCGGGAGTAAGGGATTGCGTGGTCGTCAGTTATCGATGGGTAGCCCTGGGCGGACGACGGTTTTTCATGGAAGGCGGGGTATGTAGCGGGTTCGATGTTGGTGGCCCAGTCTCCACTCCCACTCATATGTCGGTAAAAGTCGATTCAATCCCACATCCTACAAATTGCGGATACCCCTACTGTCACAAGTCCCCGTCGTCCGTGTGCCGATGTATCAGGTCGAAGAGAGGTATCAGGGTTATGCTGTCGCAGCTTTCGTTACTGCGATACCCCTTCATTTGACGAGCGGCGGCGACATCCTGCGTCGCCCCGCGCCCTTAAACCGCGGGTTCAGCTGCGGCGCCAGGATCTCGAAGGAGCATAGGAGGTCTTCGTTAACGCACATGACCGCTCTACAAGAAATCAACCAGCCGTTTAGCGAAAATTCAGCCAGTATAATGCACCGCATTGTGGTAACCATACCCCTTATTATCAAACTCCCCACAATAATTCGGCGCCGAGAACACCGTAACCAGTGTGCGGTTGTTGAAAAACTCATAGCCTTCCTCAACGACCATGTGGGCCCTGCACACGAGGTCGAGGTCGTGCCGGGCGAGAAACTCGGACACGATTTGTTTGCTGAAGCAGTAGGAGACGCCGCGTTCGTTGTCTTCCCAGTCTGTTGCGGTCTATGGAGGAGAAGGATGAAGGAGTGTGAGTATGTGTGTTATATTCGATGGGAGTTAGGAACATGAAAGATGCTTACGTCGCTCGGGTCGGACCAAAGTAGGTCTATGGGTTTGCATGCGAGGACATGCGTTAGTGATTTTTGCACGACCTTCTCTTCTGGTTGCGGAACTTGGAAACGGTGTCTTACCGTTCAGCAGGCCATAATCCGGCACATCGCTAGGCCGTGTTACATCTCTGATATCGTCCATCCTGTTCAACCAAACGCAATCAGTGTCTGGAAACCATTGGGTAGTGGCGCGCTTGCAGTGTGGTGAAACTTACGTATGCAAATGTGGCGACAGGCCGCCATGAATACAGAAGATCTGCAATGTGAAGGAGGAATTAGATCAGTTTCTCACGCTCAGCATTTCAATCGCGGGAATTTGAGGCGAATGGGTACCTTCCCTGTTGGAGACCACATATGCGTTAGTAAATAGGGACAGGAGGAAGTTCGCCGGATAGAAAGACGAAAGATGATTGAAACTCACCAGCTACGAGAGCGGCAATCGGCAGACAGTTGAACACGTCGGTAAACAAGCGCCATATCTTGAGTGAACATCTCCGTTTGCATTCGTCGTAGAACCCATATACTGATAGAAAGAGACGGGAAACGGTAAGCGAGCTGATAATGAGTTCACACGGCTCCTTTCAATGACGGAGAGCTTACCTCTGTTTACAGAAGCGCACTCGTGATTTCCTCGCAAAATAAAGAAATTCTCCGGGTATTTGATCTTGTAACACAGCAATAAGAGTATCGTTTCCAAGCTCTGCTTTCCACGGTCGACATAATCGCCCAGGAAGAGGTAGTTGGTGTCTGGCGGCCTCCCGCACATATCAAAGATTCGCAGTAGGTCTTCGTATTGGCCGTGGATGTCACCGACGATGTTCACGGGTGGAAGCAGTTCCAGAAGGATGGGTTGGCTTAGGAGGATTTGACGAGCAGCGTGGCAGATGGATGCGACTTCGGAGGTTTTGAGACAGAGTGATTTTGAGACTTTCTGGTTTCGCACTTCGAGGAGCCGAGCAATCAGGTCGTCGACGTTGTGTTTGCTTTTCGGCCCAATTTTATCGCTCGACACGCCATGGAGCTGTGCCGTCGAGCCCAAGATCCCTCTCGAAGGTGACGCATCAGAAATCGGGCTAGGCAAGCTTCCATCGGCGCTGACTCCATCCACTTCATCGCCTTCATTGTCGGTCGTTTTGTCACCATCGTCATTATCGTTGTCGTTATCGTTGTCGGCTCCGTCGGATGTCGTGTAGTCATCAAAGTCCGTATTGTTACCAGACTTTACAGGCGGAGGCGACTTTGGAAACTTTTTGCTCTCGAAGCTTCGAGTCGGTGTGGGCACAGGCATGGCCAGGCTGTGCGGCTTGACGACGGACGAGGTGGTGGTGGGGGCCTGGTCACCGCCTGTTTCCGAAGGTTTGGTCTGAGTGACGAGCGGTGGGAGGATGCTCGCAGGAGCCGAGAACCTTCGTGGCGAGCCCTTTGTGGGCGAAGCAGAGTTGGCAGCGTCGCTGGTAGTGATAGCACTGGTTGAGTTGTTTGCGGCAGCTAGTTCTGCGACATCTTTTTCGGCAAAGCTCGCAATGCTTTTGCGCTTGCCAGGCCCTTTGACCTTTGAGCTACCTGTCCCCATTAGGTTTTCACAGAAGCCGGTATCAACCGAGCGGCGTTATTCGAGGGTTGGACGGTCGATGAAACAGTGTTGCGAGGGTCGGTGGTTGAAGCGCTGGTAACGCGAGAGCCAAGGTCAGCAACGCTGGATCTGACGGGAGACTTTTACGTGTCGTGAGTGATGACGGCGAAAGGCTTCCGCGGGAAGGGAAGATCGCGCTGAGGCAGCTTGGCGTCAAGAAGACGGAAACAGAAGGACGAGGGTGTCGCCAGTAGAGTAGGAGAATGTGACTCTGCTATGAGGAAATCCTGGGGCGTGGTTGTAACGGGGGTTGCTTTTCGCGCCACGAGCGTCAGTAAGTAAGGTTTGGAGAGGGAGGGAATATGGCTATGGCGGGCAGTGCAAGCAAGCCAGTGAGGGGGAGGTGCGATCAACCACTTGTGGATGGAGGACGAGCGTCACGGCTTTAAAGTTACTCATTCCACATCATCAGCATATCCAGGAAACAGGTGCCGCGCGTAATACGTAGGACCGGAATCTATAATATGACTATTATGGGATGCCAACTGCGATATCTGGCTGGCTTCGGGATCGGCAAGGCTCCAACTACGCATACCGCCGATGGACGTTTCCGTGTAACCAACCTGGTTACCTCTGCGTGTCGTACCCAATCCCAGCGGAAAGCTCACAAATGTTCGACGGTTTCTGAGGCATGAACCTCATCTGGCTAATCATTTCGGATTAGGATATGAGGCCAAATCTTAATCGTTTCATTAGCGGAGAGGAGACTGTGTAGAACTGGAAGGGTTGAGGACAGGTTGGCCACTTTGTGTCGCATCACGGCACGCCTGTGGCTGGGAGATTGGTAATGTCCTGCAATCTACAAATCCACCACGCTCAACCCTGGCACTGTGGCACATACGCAAATGAGATTATGGCAACCCGCCTTCGATACTGTAGATTCGTGTCAGATTCCCACCATTCAGATGTTGCCTCAGCTTCCATCCCGCATCCATCTCTGCAACATGAAAGGATTCATGCCTGCGGCGGTATGATTTGTGAACCAATATGGCGCCCGAGTTCGATTCGTTCGAGATACTTGCATGGCCTCTGGTGTTTTCTGCAATTTTTTGAAGCTTCGTTTTGAGGTTATGGGAAGATACTCGACTTTCCAGACGAAGCAGAGAATCGCACATGCAGGTCGGAATAGTGAGGGATGTACATACAGTACAGCACATCTACAGCAATCTCCCGGCGCAGTGTCTTCCAGCTGCGTTATTTGACCAGCGATAACTTGCTGGGGAGTCCGAGAGGAGTCCGAATAACAGCAGGCAAAAACGCGCGAACGGGAACCGCTCCGCAGTTGACCGATCCCAACTCAACCGTAATCGGGCGTGGGAAACAAGTCGATGGCCAAGATGCCAAAGAGGAGCGCTGCGGCAGGGAGTGAGGCAGAGGCCGGGCAGGTGAGGACTTCCGCTGAATCATCTTCCTCTTACACTACAAAACGCCGCCGTACTACTACACCCGCATCGTTCGTGATCCCGCCCGACGAGCAACCACTTCGGGCACGTAGAACGCCCAAACCTAGGAAGCCAACGGATCTCGGGGATGTCCTCCTCCAGCGTCAGATTCAGGAAGCCTGTAGGAAGTCTTTGGCCGACGCCCCGCCGCCGCCGAAACCCGCGGAGCGATTGGTTGGGATAACTTCTAAGGGGGAAACAATCGACCTGACTGATTGGCAGGACTACGGGACTATAAAGAAAAAGGCAGTAAAGATCGAGACACTCCCAACTTCGCCGGCAAAGGCGAGAGAAGGAATAGCAGTGGCGCGCTCTTCTCCAAAGAAGAAGACGAAGGTAACGCGCCCTTCTCCGAAGAAGATAAAGGTGACGACCAAGATTGAAAGTGAAGACGAGGCGCTCCGTCCTGCGACGACTAGTAAAATCATCGCAGAGACCCTTTCAGCGACCATAACGAATGAAGCAAGCAAGGAAGTGGCGCTATCTCCTCCGACGATCAGTGAAACGACCGCAGTGTCTCTTCCAGCGAATATTACGAGTGAAAGTGAAGAAGTGGTGCTCTGTCCTCCGACGACGAGTGAAAGGACCGCAGAGACTCTTCCAGTGACTATCACGAACGAAAGTGAAGAAGTGGCGCTCTGTCCTCCGACGAGTGAAAGGACCGCAGAGACTCTTCCAGTGACCATCACGAATGAAAGTGAAGAAGTGGCGCTCCGTCATACCCCGGCGAGTGAAGGCACCGAAGAGACTCTCCCGGCCATACCGAATGAAAGCGAAGAAGTGGCCCCCTCCCAGCTCACGGCGGTAAAATCAACTGAAAGCAAGACAGTAGCTGTGCCATCACTCGTGGCGGCGCCCAAGACGACTGCAGGAAGTGCACCGGCGCTCCCCTCGACGAAGGCGACTACAATTCTTCCAGCGATGATAACGAATCAGGCAACAAAAGTGCCCTTCCCTCAGATCACGGCGACAAAATCAGCTGAAAACGAGGCAGTAGTTGTCGCATCACCCACGGCGACGACCAAGGCGAACGCAGGCAGGGCACCGGCCCTCCCCTCGAACACCAAAGCAGCAGTTGTCTTATCACCCACGGTGACAAATACGACGAACGCAGGCCAGATGGCGCTTCCCTCGAACACTGGCCCAAACACCACCGAGAGCGTGAAAGTGGTACTGCCTTCCCGTACGTCGGCGAAAAGAAGCGAAAGTGCAGCAGAGATAGCGGTCCTGACGGAGGCCCCATCCAGGCTTACTCCGCCGGTTGTGGCCCCAGCCGCAGATGCACCTACTCCAAAACGAAAACGCCCTTTAAAAACACGCGAGAGTTCCGTTGGCCTCTCAACGAAACCTCCGCAGATGCAGCGCAAAGCAAGTATCGACTCTGAGAACCCTTCTCGGCCAAGCAAACGGATCCCTTTGGGGACGGCCAGACCTAGAATCTCCGAAGGCCCAAAGCCTCAGCCTCCCCTTGCGGAGACGCCTGTGTCCGGGGGCGACGCTAAGGCTCCTGCGGACATGAGCAAAAAGACGGACATGGAGTACGCGTTCGACAAGATCCTAGAGTCTATCTCGGGGGCTTCCGGATCGGGACCCAACTCTGACACCCAATCGACAGGGGTGATACTGGCAGGGGAGGCCGTTCAGAAACCAACCCTCTCCCAGATAGTTAAATTTGTAAATCGGAGCCATTCGAAGCCGGCCTTGAAGCCCTTCACCGTCGCCACCAAACATGCCAACAACAAGGGAGGTCCATCTATATTTTCCGACAGCGACACGAGGAAGGGAATGTGCGGCCACTGCAAGGGACTGGGACACTATAGGAAGGAATGCACCGACAGAAACCCTACATCCTTAACATCCTCTCCGACAAAGACGCTCCTCGCTAAGGTCACCCATAGACTCACGCGACCCCCGACACCACCACCGGGCGCCGCTAGGGGCCCGGAGGACCCCGAAAGCTCGGATCTTAGCGAGTTAAGCTCCATCAGCGTGTCAGAGACGTCTTCTTCGGCCGTATCCGGCGACGAGGCGCCAACCTCGATCCTGGTCAACGATGGAAGTGAGGTGGAGGATGAGTGTAGTGAAGAAGACGATATGGTCATCTCGAAATCCGGTTCCGAATTCGCCAGTCTTGCATGCACCGATGCTTCTTCTGCTTCCTCCGCCACCGCTTCTTCCTCCGACGCGGACGAGGATATTCAAATGGCTACCCTACATCGTCGACGACGACACCAACAGGAAGGCATCCGTCGCCGACCCCGACTCATGGTCACTCCGCCCCCGGGCGCCGCAGCCTCGGGTTCTGACGACACATACTCGTCATACAGCTCCTCCGATGAAGAGGCCATCTCGGTGTCGTCAGGGAGCGAGTCTGAGGAGTTTGTTCTCGGCCACGGCAAAAAGCGTGCGATTTCGGTCGGCGTGGGATCAAAGAAAGGGAAAGCGAAGAAAGGTGCATTCAGGAACACTCAGACCAAGAACATCGTTCCAGCTCGAAGCGTAATCATCCCAGCCCGCGCTAACCCGCGTCGTCGTGCGTCCGCTTCCACCTCCTATGCGCTGCCGCCGATGGACCTTGACGATGACTATGATGGACTGGTGGACCCCCCGCAACATCGTACTCGGCATCACCAACAACAGCCCCCACAGCCACCGCCGGGCCCGCTTCCGGCAAGAGCAACGGAGGAAGGCGGGCCGGTTGCGAAGGTCTATAACGTAACGAAATTCGGGGTGTCTGTCTTTATCAGTAAATGTTGATGGGTGAGGGGAGAGGATGAGGGGGAGTTGAGCGCGGGGGAAAGGAATGATGCCGACCACTTCACAAGCATGGAGGCGGTTTGGCAACGTTTTCTAGGTATGACGTACCGGCGAACCGAACTGGGGGTTTTACGGACGCTTTGCTTGTTGTCGTATGTCGTGCCGTACCCTCCATCCCCCGACCCTCCCGCTCGCGTCGTTTCTGAATACATTTAGCGCACGGGCCCGGTTGTATGTGTGATGGTTTGTCCTTTTTTGGCTTATACCCTGTGTCTATTGTGGAAGTGTGAGCATGTATGTTTTGGATATGCGCCTTTGGTAGTATAAAAGCATAAATTTCGTGTACAGTGTAGGAGGTGTAAATACAAAGCTGTCTGTTGCTGAAGTGTAAGGGTCTATGCAGTAATAGGATTGTCTTTACGCTGATGGCTATCTGTCTGTGAGAAGCAATAGGGCGGGGAGGACTGTAGATGTAGACCCTTCCGCGATCGCACAGCAGCGTGTGCACTTCCGGTCATTCCCTCACTCCTCATCCTCATCCACACTCCCCTCCACGCTCTCACCAACGTCATCCCCACCATCCTCCTCCCCCTCCCCATCCGCATCACTCCCACCCCCATAAACAGCCTCAGTCCACTCCTGGAAAACGCACTCCGTCTCGACCCCAATCAGCGCATCCACAGCCGCCAGCTGCCCCTTTCTCGCGCCCGCCGCGATGCGCGATTTGCGGAACCTGAGGAGGGAGGCGAGGAGGTTTGGTGTTGTTTTGTGGATGGGGGTTGTGGATTCTTCTTGGGGGATGTGTGGACTGTGGATGTTAAGTGCAGAGTCCAATCATGATGTTGATGACAAGATATGATGAAGAGAGTATACACGTACCCGTCATTCCACCCAGCAACCCACCACCCCTCAACCGTATCCCTAAAACCGCCGTGCTCCTCGACCATCGGATCCCCTTCCCGAACCAATCGCAACACCGCATCCGCGCGCAGTGTGCGGAGATAGAGGCCTAAACATGTGGGTGTGGGTGGGTCGACGAGGGTGCCTGGTGCGGCGTCTAAGAATGGATTCGGAGTTGCTGATGTCGGGGGTGGGTGGTTTGGTGATGCGCCCGTGGTGGGGAGGGTGACGCTGAAGACACATCCTGTATCATCAACGCATAAGTTGAAAGCGGCTGAAGCTTCGGATATGAAGATGTTTTACCAGCATAAGCGTTATCCCGCACCCAATTAGCATGTTTTCGACTCGGGAGCACGACGGCAATGGCGCACGCGGATTCGGAGGCGGGCTCTAGGCCTAGGGTTAGGATTGCTGGGGATGGCTATTGTAACGTTAGTCGTGGGAATTTCGGGGCGGCGATATGATGGGCATACCTTATGGAGCTTTTCTGCGTTCGGCCGGTGGACGAGCATGAGCAGGAGGGGTTGAGTGTCTGCGGCGGCGATGGGGTGGTTACTCGTTGTGCACAACATTGTCTTTAGGTAGTGACTCTGGGGAGTTGGTGCTGAGCGCAAGAAGTTGAAGTTGGATTGGAACTTGGAAAGTCGGAGGATGGACTTCCCGCGAGATGATAGAGTTTGACGCGCGTCCGAACAAGCCGTCCGATACGTCCGGACAGAAGCGTACAGTAATTCCACAGCGCATCTTCGCGCGGTCTTCTTCACGAAACTAATTGCACCAGGGGAGAGGGGGTCATCTCATACGGCTCTATGTACATGAATTAAAGTCCTTTGCACATGGGTATCCAAGCTGCATCTCCCCAGTCCACTGGCAACCATGTCTAAGGGCAACCATGTCTATTCGAACCAGTCACGCCAATCTCTCAAAACAGTGCAAATCTCCTCAAACTCCGGTCGATCATCCACATTCTCATCATCACACCGTTTCCTCAGCTTCCTCAAACCCTCCAAAACTCGTTCAACATCCCCTTCCCCATCTCCGCCGACGCACCTCTCCGTAATCTCCTCCACCAAACACCCAAACGCCCTGACCTCCACCCTCCTCAGCCGTCCTCCAATTCTAACCGGAAACCCACCCACGAAACTCGCCCCCCCAAAGTCGCCCAGATAACACTCCCCATCCTCACCAACCAGCACATTATGCGCATAGCAGTCCCCATGCGTGATTCCACGCGCATGCAGGTGCCGCACGGCGCTTGCGACGCCGAGGAGGAGTCGCAGGGCGGTGGTGGGCGTGAATGTTGTGGTGGGGGTGTAGACGTCGCGGGTGCACGTCGCGAAGGAGGGTGGGCCGGCGAGGATTTTGTAGGTGGGTGGGATGAGGGACATGAGGAGGGCGGTGTTTTTGGGGGCGCTTATCGGGCTGGGGGTTGCGGCGTTCAGGATAGGTTTTGATGGAATGGGAGAGGGTGTGAAGGTGAATGTTGAGGTGGAGGCGGGGAGGTGGCCGAGGATGGGGATGAGATTTGGGTGGTTGCCGGCGTGGAGCGCAGTGGAGAGCTCGCTTTGTGGCCATCCGTCGCTAGAGGGGAGACGTTGGTACATTAGCATTTTCTTCGCTTGGAGCTCGCCCCCAGCTCAAATCGCTGTCTATACATGCCTGGTAACCTCTCCCTTGAACACTTTAACAGCAACCGGGCGCATTTTGTCCGCCTCCGTCCTCCAAGTACCCTTGTAAATCACACCCGAAGCCCCCTCACCCAGCATCGCCTCCACATCCACCGTCTCCCAGTCCACCACAGGAACCTCCACTGGAGCAATCCCTTCCTTATCCCTTGTATCGCAAAACGGGTTCCCCTCGAACGCCAACCAGGCCAACCGCGGCAACGTCAGCAAAACAGTCGGAAACTCCACCAGCATGTTCGCTGATATCCGCACCAGTTCAAGAGCTTTGCACCCACGCATCGAGTCAGGGATATGCGTCAGCTTGTTCCCTGCCAGCATCAACTTCTGCAATTTGGTACAAGCTCCAATTTCATCGGGCAAGGAGGTGATATGATTATCCGTCAATATCAGCCACCGCAGCGTGTCGACGGGGATAGCCGACGCGGGAACACTACTGATCGCGTTATGCTTGAACGCGACCATCTCCAATTTCGGCAGCTGGCCTAGACACTCAGGTAATGTCGTGAAGCGGTTATCCGAGCAAAACAGGATCGTTAGGTTGACCATTTTAGTTAGTACTTCGGCGGGCAGGGAGGAGAGGCGGTTGTTAGAGAGGTTGAGGAGGTTGATGCCGGTGGCTTGTGAGATCGCGTCGCTGGGAAAGACGGTTAGAGACTGGTTGGTGAGATTGAGGGAGCGTAGGTGGGATGCCTGCGTCATCGTCGGTAGTGGTTTCGGCGGTTGGGTGTGGCCATCCTTCATTCGTGCGTCCTCCGTTGTCGCATCTTCTGGCAGCGGCGGCGAGGGCTTGTCTGCCATATCTGCGGAGGGAGGCAGTGAGAAAGAAGACAGCAAGCGGGGGGACGATTCCAATCACATGCAGCCAGCCGACGGTCTCAGCGCTGTCGCCAACAGGCCAACGCCTTCTCCGTCGCCCGAAGCCTCGAGATGACTTCGTCGTGATCAAGAGAAGGCATTTGATTAGACGCGCTTCGATGCATTCGTGCGCGTTTTGATTAGCGCGCTTCAACTGTTCCGCTCAAATCAGCGACGTGAGAGTTAATGACAAGTTCGCGGAGGCTAGTGTTTCTTTCGGCAAGTGACCAGCACTCCGTCTCGCTTCCAAGTTCCAAGCACTGGAAGATTTCGCTGCCGGTCATCTACACCCAACACCATCATGTCCTTTTTCGTAGCTGAGAACGCAAGGCCGGCAGGCGGTCACGGTCGCTGGCACACAGATGGACTGAGCAGTATGAACTTTGACGGCTCCATCCGAGGTGGCGCACCCAACGCCCAAGGTGAGAAAATCTTAACACAGATGACTTTTACCTTCATCATAACTCACTGTATCCTTCCCTTCACACAGCCCCATCTGCACAACAGCCGCCTCCGCCCCACACCGCCAACAACACCATCTACTTCGGGGCTTCGCTCGTCGACCAGTCCGGCCCAAACAATACAATTCCATATACACGCCGCCCGCCGGAATTCGCTACCACTCTCAACAGCGACCCCGTGGAGGTGATTGAGCGCCGGCAGCAGATGAAAGATGATCTGGCGCATTGGGCGAAGGTGCAGATGAAGGAGAAGGAGGAGAGGAGGAAGGAGGAGAGGAAGAGGAGGGTCGAGGAGGAAAGGGGGATGTACTTTCCTTTTGGTAGGAGTGGGAGGGAGGGAAGGGGCGGCGAGAGGAAAGGTGGTGAGGTGAGGAAGACTGTGCATAACGGGGCTGGTGCTTCGATTTCGAGGCAGGAGCAGGTTAGTGTGGATTGGAATTCGCGGGAGCGAGCCCGAAGTACAGCAAGCGCAAATTGGGGCGAAGCCGGCCGCGCGAGCGCAGACAGTGCGAAGGGAGTGAGCCGAATGGCGCCGAATGCGTAATGCTGGTATCGTTCCCGTTCTTACCGAGCGTCTGAGGGCCCTTTGGTTCTTGTTTCCGAGTTCATGTTACGAAGAGAGCGAACCGAGGGCATTTCCTGTGTGGGGAAGCACTTATGCACATTCATTCTCCATTTCAGACACATCCACCACAGACCAATTACATTCCCAGCACAGTCACCCACCGCACTCACCATCACCCAACAGTCGCGAGCGCCCTCGGCTTCAACAATGACACCTCCACTCCTTACCAGCCCGACACCCGGTTTCACAAGTGCGATATCGACCCGATTCCTCCGCCCGAGTACAGATATAATTCTGTAAGGGACTATATGAACCATGCGCAACGGCGGCCGGGCGGGACAGTGGAGAGGCGTGGCCACCTTGAGGATGTTGCGGGGAAGCGTGAGGAACAGACGAGGAGTGTTGAAAACTCCACGAAGCTTCCACGGGAGATCAAGGTTAGTTGCATCCGAGACTAGCCCCTCACTCTGGTTATCGGGCTCAGATCCACCACCTCCGTCTCGTCTGTTTCATCTCTCCACCAAAGCAAGAAGCTCCACCCCAACAAGCCTCCACAACAGACACACCCGCGCCACCCAAACCCAAAATCACCGGCCGCAGACCCAGAGGAAATGAAGGCTACGAGGTTGTGTTCCCTCTCCTCCGCTGCAGATGTTTTCACGACCACTCACAGACGTTTCCGTCAACAACAGCAAGGCCCCGACATCTGGCACTGGGAATCTGACCGCCTGCACCTTCCTCACCAACCTCAACCGCAATTTCCCCCGCGCACGGACCCAGACCCGTGGGGCTGGGGCGCCGACCTCCCCGCAAAGATGATGAACGCGAAACATAAGACGAGTGATGTGATTGTGCAGAGGGGGCATGTGGATCCTGCTGATGCTATCTCGTACGTTGCACTGGGTTGGTGCGGTGTATTTAGTGGTTGAGGAAAGTTGACGCGTGGGGTGTGATTTTGATTTTAGGTATCATGCGGATCTGGATAGACTTGTCAAGATTAGGGAGGAGGATAAGCGGAGACGGCGGGAGGAGGACGACCGGTTGGGGAGGACGGTGCGTACCCACCATATGTCTCTTCTCCTTCCCACGCTCCCTCTTTCCATCCTGCCTGATCTCTAATGGCTAACTACCGAGATGTTCCAGCACATCACCAACGCCCTACCCTACCACCTCGAATCACCGACATCCTACGGCTTACCTCCGACCCGGCTGCTGCACCGACAGCGGCACGGGCAGGGGGATGAAGACCAGCATGTGATTTTCGCAAAACCGACGTTGAAGGGGACGGTGTCTATGGCGAGGCTGGCGGGGAGGCGGGGAAGGAGGGGATGAGGTTATTCTAGTAGTGGTAGTGGTAGTGGTAGGATAGTTTAGGGATAGAGTTTAGGGATAGGATGATTTGAACGAAGTATGAGATGGATTGGTATATGGATTACTATCGAACTAAATGGAGCGGTTGAAAAAAAAGTCCTTTCTTTCGGGTAGAGATCTACAATACTTCTACGAACCTAGGACCAACTAATATCCAATACCCCCCACTCATATGTCTGAACCACTCTCTCCCCCGTAAAAAGTCCACGACACTGCACGATCGCCAATTCATGATCTCTCAAAAACATCGCGCGGCGTTGTGCGTCATCCCCGCTCCAGCCAGCCGCATTCACATCCCCATTTCTCGCCTTCTCCCGTTGACATTGCCGTTCCGTCGTCTCATCCAACACAGCCTGCATAACCGCCACCGAACGCAAACACGCGTCTTTGAGGTGCTGTGATGCGGTGATCGTGTCTTTCACCGGCACATCCATATTCGCGAGTAACAACGCGCCGAAAAGGTCGCCGGTGCCCGTGAAATGCGCCTGGCGCTTTCGCATAGGGATCATGAAGAACGTTTGGGTGGTTGGTTGAGAGGCGATGAGGTAGATCCAGTCGTCCGGATTGGCGGATATTGCGGCGGGGGGCAGAAAATCTGTGAGGGTTGTGGATGTGATGATTATCGTCGGGATGCTCTTTGCGTGCAGCTGAGTGAGGGATGAGCGGATGTGAGGGAGGGTGGTTAGGGATTGTCCGGTGAGGAGGCTTTGGGATGTGGAGGTAATGGCGAGTTAGTAGATGCAATGGAAGAGAGCATTAACGGCAGCGGTCAATGTACCTTGCTTCAAAGCCGTTGGGTGTAATGACTGAGGCTAGGGGGCATAACACGTCGCGATAGACTGCGATGCCATACGAACAGCATGATTAGGAAATATATGTTACGACACAAGCTGGCACGTCTGTGAACAACCTGGCATGACGTCCTCGGGAACGTAGAGCTTCCCGTTGTCGCCCATTACCGTGTCCACGACTGATGCAAAGTTACTTGCATTGTGAGCGCTGGTATGAGATGGGAATATTGTCACCGGAGATCCCACCTCACTCACCAACAACTAACTCCGGGTTAGCAGCCCGCATCTTCCTCACAAGCTTAGCCAGGCTCTTCAACGTCTCCGCGTTGCCAATATACCCTATTCACATCCCAGGAATGCATCATAAGCATCGGAAACTCCGTCTCAGTCCTCCGTCAAATCAAACGAACCAGTCAAGACATGCGTGTACTCCCCCAGCATGCCGTTCGCTTCTAATCCATCGCATAGCGCCTCCAGTTGTGCTGGCGTGAGCTTTTCGCCGCCTTTTGTTGGGTAGCCTGCCGTTTCCAAGTGCACATAAAGAGTGAGCTTTCATGGAGTCCTGGCACTTGCACCTCCCCGCGATGCGTTGTTTACCACTATGGTTCGAAAACTGAACAGCGTTCACTGGGTCCACGTCGAACCCGTGGCATTGCAGAGGAAACGTCGCTGCTTTGTTGCCTGTGGGAAAATGCGTTTAGCCATCGTAGATCGCCCGAAAGTCGACGAAGGTGACTTGAAAGTTTGGGAGGAAGCTTTAGATTTACCTACGTAGCCATAGACGACGTGCGATTGGACTGAGAGGACTCGTTTGTGGCGGTAGGTGGTCATTGGTCTTTGGCGGATTTGAGAGGGAGTTCGCTCTCTACCCTGAAACAATGGTCCATCCTCATACGCGAGGAAAATCCCAAAAAAAAAAGACAAGGCAACGCGGGCCTCGACGAATCGAACCTACGCGTGCTTCAGATACGGTTCCAAGGGCAGTTGTGGGACTTGGGGATAGATCTTGTCAATAGCCTTCCAGCAACCGCTGCCCTTCACCGGTCGTGCCCCCAGTTACATTGTCTTCCATCGGCAAGTTCCTTGACATGCAAAGCGCATTTTGATGGCAGGAAGGAGCTGCTCACCAACGTAAGAAATTATAAGAATGTGATGTTGCGAAATGAAAACGGTTATAGGCGCGTCACAGTGCACTGAGCAAATCCCGATTTCGACAGCGAATCTCTACGTAGTTAGAGGGTTTTGTGGCCTGCGGCAAACCCGGCCCATCCCTGACGGGACGGAGCCCTAGTTTTGTTGGTGTTTCTCTTTGCAATTCTTCAATTCGATCGACCTGACCGGACAACTGAGCGCAGCATGAGTGATGAGCTCGCAGACATCCAGAGCGGCATAGGCGACAGCGCCGTCGCCGACCATGCGACATACGAGGAATATCTGGACAGTCAAATAAGCAGTACCGACTTATACTTTCTCGAGGTTCGTCAAGTCTAAACCTCGAATGACCATCAATCACAAACCTGACCCTCATATCCAGGACAAAGAGCTAGCAAGACAACTAGTCGAGCTCGGTTACCGGGGCTCAGGCGAGCCACTGAAACGAGAGGAATTCGAGGCCAAGAAACGAGCCGCCGAGAACTTCCGTCTGAACAAGCGCTTGGCCACGAAGGTGCTTGCATCGTATGCGAAAGACCTGTCCGGATACCCGTTCTTGCAGGCACTGGCTGAGAGAGAGGAATCAAATCGGAGCGGAAAGCTCACGGTGAGTGAGTGATGCACGACTCTCTATCATATATGTGTCAAGACCTAATCATGTGGCGAGACCTTATCGTTGCTTTCCGATGCAGTCCATAATCTTCATCCGCACCTACAACGCCAAAAACCAAGAAATCAGCGGTTACATCGACTACGCCCACCGTCTCAAAACCGAAAACTTCGAGCCCTACTTCCTCCGCACACGGGCCTTGATGCCGCGCACAACAGACATGAGCTTCTATAACTGGGAGACGCAGACATGCACCAGCAACGCAACCCCAAATTTCCAGGTTATTGCGGACAATGAGAGCGGGATACTGTTCAAAAATAAGCGAGATCGGAAGATAATTAATGTCGATCCGAAGGTAGGGATGTTTTAGGCATATCGTTGGTGGTATGAGTTGGCGGTGAACTGATTTCCTTTGAGGGTTTAGGAACCGAAACCAGGGGATAATACAACCAGAACACATATTGTGACGGATGAGCATATCCAGGTCGTCATATATGACCATCTTACCCGGCGGAAGACATAGGACGAGTGATGGTCCGACGACTAATGTACATATATATTACCAGATAATACTCGCTGTTCATCTGTTCATCGACCTATCAGGCTAACCGCTGTGATACACCTATCGAAATGAGTTTTGATTTTTGCGCTCGTTTGATTTTTGTTCCGTTCAAGGGACACAGCAAATTTCTGAACTTCTCCAACGCAATACGCCGATTCCAAGTCCGAACTCGGTCCAACCTCCCATTTTCTATTATCTACACTTCCACTCACTTCTTGCGCATAATAAGTCCCTTCATCATATCAAAGCTGTTTCCATCCGGCTGCAACAGATACTCCCTCGCATAAGTGGACTCAGCCTCACTGTGGTCATCAGCGACGGTGACGGCGCGCAACAAGCCGCCAGAGTCGATCCCGACGATCTTGGCGCGCGTGTTGTCGTGGTCTTGCAGGGATACGACGGCGTCGCTGGTGGTGTAATATACAAGTGTCAGCATCAGCACAGAGAAAAACGACGCAAAGTGATTTCCGAGATGGACATACCTATGCAGCCAAGCCGCATAATACCGCTCCAGAAACGGCTCAAATGCGAACCCCCGTCCACTCTTGGCGGTATCGGCGAACAGCTTGTAGTCACGCTCGAACTGTGTCATGAAGCGCGCGAGGACTTCCTCGACTGTTACCAGATCCGGGGAGGCCTTGGAACTGCCCAGTTTCATGGAATGAAGCCTTTGAAGTTCTTGGAGGGATGTTGTTGGACGGGCGTTTGAGACGTTGACGCCGCAACCTGTTGTTCAGGTGTAAGTTTGTGAGTCGGCCGACCACGTTTTCCAGCAATCATTGAAAGCGAGGCGAGCCGCACCAATGACCATCCTGAAAGCACCGTCCTGGTAGCTAGACGTCACGAGTATACCGCCAATCTTCCGTAACCCGTCTGGTCCGTCGTCGACACGAGCGTATATGTCGTTTGGCCACTTCAGGTGGATAGGTAGGTTCTGTTTCCTCATGTGACAACAGTCAATGAACATGAACGGTCGGAAAACGCCCGCATAGTGCACGAACCTCACACCCAGGTCTAGCCCGCACAGCGTCCACAAGCGACAACCCGACGAGGTATTGGACAAAGATGGCGGACTTCATGTCGTGGTGTTCGAGAGCGTAGGAGAACATCAGGCATCCGGCTTGTGATATCCATGAGTTCTTGCCGCGGCCTGAATGGGACGACGTCTTAGTGATCTGTCAATGGGACCATCTTGTATAATAGCCATACCTCGTCCTGCCACTTGGTGTGTGGCGGTGCATACGAACCCATTATGGAGGGTTGATGCGAGTTTGAGATTCCTGATGAAGGACATCGGAAGTCAGCACATGAGTTCCATTCGGTACCAGCATAGATGATCAAAATGTGTCGACGAACTTTTCTAGAAGTGTCTGTGTCGAACCGACGATTTCTCCATACAGCAGGCTTGATCCGAACGCTGGCGCTGGGTTCTGATCTCGCTGGCTGCCCTGACATTCTTCGAGAACCGAAAAGTACCGCGCAAAATCAAACTTGGGGGTTTCTTCCGTAGGGTACTGGCCCGAAGGGTAAACAACGATGTTGACTGACGGTTTATCTGCCTCCACATCGGAGATGCTCAGCGTGTTTAGGTGAACAGCTGGCATCCCGTCCTTCGATGCATCGGCTCGTGTGAACGTTAGCCTGTTCGCAGTGTCTTCCACCGTCCCTGATTGGCATTTCGGTCCAAGAACTTTCGCAAGCCATTGCTCATTCGCATCTCCGGACCGCCGGCTGTCACAAAGGTACATGAACGATAGCTTGGGGGTCGCATCGCCCGAAGCGGCGCTCAAGTCCGACGACGGGTCGTTCAACCTCAACCCTAGTCGTACGAGAAGATCTCGGGTGAGACTCGCCCTTTGCGGTTCAGCAGCTTGCAAGCGTCGTCGCACTTCCTCCGGTTCTTCTCCGGATTTCGGCCCGCCGACAAGCTGATACTCGAAATGAGGACCCGATAATATCGCCTTCCCTTTCCCAACCACGCATTCCACGATCGCTGGTCGATCCGCGATGGCCGACCCGTCATCATTGCTGTACCAAGCCAGCACATGCGCCGAGTCGCCCAGGGTGACGTTCGTGAGGTCAAAGTACGGTCCACCGTTCACATACAGATCCACAGCGGCACCTTCAACACCGCCCGCCGCAAACTGGTTGTCCCTCACCACTTTGACCGCCCTTGCACCTTCCTCGCTATCATAAATGAAGTTTTCCGTAACGCTCCCTTTCCCAATCCCAGGCCAGAATCTCAGCTCCCGCCCACCAACGACCTCGTACCCCTGCCTGCCGACCTCGAACTCAACCCCCTTGCAAGCGAAATACGCGCCGGCGCATATCCCAAGGTACGAGCCCCCGTTCTTGACGTAGTCCTCGACGATTTTCGTGCCGTGCGGCTCCAGGTGCTCAACATAGGGTAAGTCTCGTCCGCCCGGGATGACTAAACAGGCTGCGGTATGCTGCCATGGTTCCTTCAGGAGGGTGTTGGAGTCGACGGGTATGACATCGTAACTGGAGGACAGAAGCGACCGGAGCGTCGTGAGGGTATGTTGGACCGGCCCGCGTGCGGTTCCGGGGCCTGTGTAGACTAGGACATTCATGGTGTTGTCGTCTCTATCCAGCGGGAAAGACCAGGCCAGCCGTCTGGACAGCAGCGGACGGAAGGAAGGTAGACGCAAGCGTCTTTTAAGAATGGGTCTTGGTAGGAGAAAGAAATTCCTGCAGTTGGGCAGGATGTTGACCACAGCCTGACCAAAAACGGTCGTTGACTGAAGTGAGCGGGGAATATCTGCAGTATACTGCCAACGCCAGCAGAGAACGGCTCTTACATACGTCTCCCCTTCGCCGTCGACACGTTGCCTCGGTTCAGACGCCCATGTCCCTTTGGTCAGGGTCGTTGAGAAGGGAGTGTAGGAGTTACCAGTTACGACCCATTACGAACGTTCGCATTCTTACTTTACAGCCCAACCGCTCCACGCTTAGTCAATACAGCGCTTCTTCAAGGGTTCCCGGCATCGATACGGCGTGTCATCCAGCCAAAGCACACGAGGCTCGCGGGCGGGTACTGTACACGGACGAAGACGAACACATTCGACGTTTGACAATTTACGGCCCCGAATCCTGGTGCAATCCCCAGGGACATCCATAGCCATAATGTTCTCACCAGCCTGCAGCAAAGTCTTTAGGGGTTGTCTACTGCAGCAAGCTCGACTGACTCCATCACAACCTGCACAAAGACTGAGACTATCCAATTTCGACCCATTATGCCATTCACAAGTGCGGTTCGCCGGACGTAAGTACTCGACCCCTTGCCTCCTCAGATACATCGCCCGGAACTCATCCTTTTCCCCACCGGCAGATAACAAGTGGTCCAAAATCAAACGCCTAAAAGGCGCCAACGACGCCCAGCGAGCCAAACAAATGTCCAAAATCACCCGCCAAATAATCTCCGCCGTCAAAGCTGGCAACAACGAAACCGACCCCTCTCACAACCCCTACCTTGCCGCCGCACTCCAACTCGCCAAAACTCACCAAATGCCCAAAGCCACCCTCGACACCGCTCTCAAAAAGGCGTCGGGGTTCGGGACGGGCTCCGAGGAGGATCTGACGCCCAGTGTGTATGAGGGAATGGGACCTGGCGGGGTGGCGTGTGTGGTGGAAGCGTTGACGGATAACAAGAACAGGACGTTTGCGGAGGTGCGGCACGCTTTCACAAAGCGGGAGTGTAGCATCACGCCGGTGATGTACATGTTTCGTAAATGCGGGCGGGTCATCTTCTCCGCCGGCAACTCAGGGCACTCATTATCCGAAATGGAAGACTCGGCAATTGACGCGAACGTCGAGGACATCGCGACCATTGATGAGGAGGATGGGACGATGGAGGTGTATTGCGCGGTGAAGGACTTGTGGGCCGTGACGAAGGCGTTAGGGGCAAGGGGATATGAGATCAAGGAGTTTGAGACGGCGTATGTGGCGGAGGAGAAGGTGAGCGTGGCGCCGGAGGAAATGGAGGCGTTTGGGGGGTTATTGGAGCATTTGGAGGGGTTGGATGATGTTATTAGGGTGCACCATAATGCTGCGTAGATTAGATGGCTGATACAGTAGATTGGGGTTGTTGCTGGTGTTGGTGGTGGTGGGATTCGGTGTAGTTGATGTGTACGTACATTCCAGGCTGCACCGCAATACAGAGTGAATCTGCCCCCTGGAGATCAGTAAACTGCCGGGGATACCCATCCCAGGGGGATACCCCCGGTCTGTAACTGGGTCTGTAAGCACCTACAGCACAACGGACGCGTCTTTGCTTGTGTGAATCCCGAGGCAGTAGCCTCAAATACTATTTTGGTGCTGAGCCTGCGTTTTGCCATCCATAGCCGCCTTCAGAAAGTTGAAAGATATATGTACACCTCGTGCTCCTTTCCAACAGAGAGCGTATCTTCTAGCCCCGCAGAAGTCCACGATGTTCTACTCCCAGGACATCTTCCTGTCGAAAGGTCAAGGAGGCCTCGGCATCGTTTGGCTAGCTGCAACTTTGGGGCCTAAGCACTCTTTCAAGAAGGTGAGCACTACGTCCAAGTCCTCTTTCCCCATTGACCGAGTGCTTACCGCTGTTTACGGACATTCGCAGCTCACGAAACGCGAGGTGAACGGGGTTGATCTCATTAAAGCATGGTACATCATACTGCGTTGCTGAGCAGTCACGGTACCTCCGAACTGAACCGGTGGGGTTTCTCGCAGTGAATTCCTGAGCTCTCCTCCGCAGCCTTTGGCCCTGCGGCTGACGTACGTACGGAGCTTCATTGCTTATCGGGGCCTGGTTGTGCCTTACTGAGCTGTCCGTGGCCACCTGCAGATCTAATATGATGGTCGGAGTGACGAGGGTGTATTCCGAGCAGTATGCCTTTTTGTACTGTAGGTGTCGTCCAAGTCTGTTCTGTTGCTGTTTAGGTTAATGCATCGCGCTTAATGGGACCGTTCAATAGCGGAGGTGAACCAGGTGTTCCTCAAACTTAGGCGATCATGGGCGGACAATATGAGCGGCGACCTTGATATGCCTGTCACGGAAGCAAGGTGGGCGGATAGTGCTTTGCGACGTATGATACAAGCTAGCTGAGGTTTCCGTTCGCTGTAGATACGACGCAATCACTCTCCAAACTTCGGAGGCCGATGAGCTGCAACGCGAACAGCCGCTTGTGCTTAAGCCAAGTCTACTGGTATGCGACATTCCCTGTCCAAGGGATCAACGTTCAGGGGCTCATCTACCGCTCTTGACAGAATGAGAAACGGATGGATCTGGGCTGGATCTTCCAAACCGGTCCCAACTCGACCGAATGTGAGTCTCTTCAGATACTTATTCGTAGTTCCGTCGTAGTGCTCGTGTGTTGACAACCTTCTTTAGCTCCGTCTTTCCTCACCGGCAGCCCGTCGGGGCTAGCGTCCATTTCGTTCGGAGCGCAGCAATCCAGTGTCAGCTCACCCCACGTTGGTTCCCTGAAGTCCATCACCTTGGACCAGAGTCACAGACTTTCCGAGATTTCTTTCCCGCAGGACCGTCGCTTGGAATTCAAAGGGCAGGAGGACCCTCTCATGTTAGCAAGCGGCGGGCCGGACTTGATGATGGATGGTGGAGCTGGCGACTTTGACTTGTTTGCGGATATTGGAGATGATCACAACGCCGCTGCGAAGAAACCGCGTGGGAACATCGAGGTCAGCGTGGATGCTTCCGCGTGATTGCTTCCCAGATCTCGTCTAAAACGGCAAACACTCATTCTAGAATCTCGATATGCCATTCCCTGCATTCGACGACCTGGACATGGGTCTGCCAGATCATGAGCCCATGCACATGGCCGCTCAAGCACCCCTTGCGATGTCGGACCAAGTTGCTCCCGACATTATGACTCCTGTCGAGAACTATGGCGAAGGCGGTGCCCAGACCGAAGCCCATAGCAAGTTGCGACAGAAGAGGAAGCGCGTCTTCATTGACATGGATGTGAGTAAGTCTTATGCGTACTCCTGATGTGGTTGGTTACTACATCGCTGCTTTTACGTTTAGACGGAGTTGACCAGTGAAGATCTGCGTGACATGCGAAACAATGCTCTCACCGATCTGATGGAAGCTGAGCGCCAAGCTCGTATCAGGGTGAGTAATGGAGACAACGGAACCCTGCCATCCATAATCTCATACAGGAGTAGGCCAAGATCAGGAAAGACAAAGGGCTTCTGCAGACTCTCCTTCGGATTCCATCTCTTGGTCAGTACGTTGTTGCCACTGGATCTTTGCGTATGGGACTATAGTACCTAGGATTCGGTCCCATGCAGATGTCGGTCCCGCGTTGACTAGTTTCTGGGAGAAGACTGTAATTGTGAGGAAGAGGGCCGCAGGTGAGAGTGGCATCCAGGGACATGCTGTAGTCTTGATGTTCCCGTATTGATACCCGTTGATCGCAGTGCATACCACAGAGGACCTGCCTCAGACCAAACGCCGCAAGGGTGACGTTGATAACGCGGATGCAGCCCACCACGAGACAGCATCCAGCAGAGACGCAGGTGCGTTGCATGGCAGAGCCGGCAGTAAGGCTTGCCTGTACTGAAGACTTCCTTCATATACAGCATTTGGTCAATTTGAAGATTACTACAACGACGGAGTGCTTTCCAACTCAGTGGTACGTTCAACAACATAGAATGATATGTCTTTTATGCAAATTGACAGCGCGATCTGCGCAGATGGACGCCTCTGTAGACGACGCCGAAGTGCTCCGTGCCGGCAACGAGAGACGCAAGAGTGAGCTTATGCCGTGGCAAAGAAGCTCCCGTGCTGGTTCCGTCGCCTCTGGTGAGTCGCAGATCTCCTGGCCATACCGACTCGGTGGGCGTACTTACCTTTGCCAACTCAGAACAAACCGGATCAATCCTTTCGCGTGGCCAAACACCCTTGTCGAAGCGTGCATCATTCGCTATCGGTGATGATCCCGCTTATTCCGGCTTACAACGGTATCCATTAGCTTGTCCGGTCAAGTTAATGCAATCCGCTGTATAGCTGACGCGGTTTTCGTAGCTCCGGCTCTTACCTTGGAGGAATGTTCGGAGATATGTCACCATTGAAAGATATCTCCGACATGCTCGATGATGGAGGTAAGCGACACGCAACACGCGTCCCATGTCGACATGATTCTAAACTAACGACGACGCATTAGGTTCCCTTGGAGAGCTGAACGATTCGCAGATGGCTGGCGCCGACTTGGACGCGCTGCAGTTCTTCGAGTGAGTATCGCCAGGGATTCTCTTCTGATGGAAACCTCGTCTGCATTTCATTTATCACTTTCATTCTAGTTATGTGAAGGATCTTACACTCAATGCGGAGGACGGAAATGGTGAGATAAGATCACAATGGGCCCTCATCGTCTCGAACTACGAATTGACTCCCTCGCCAGTCATGTTCCTGGACATGCTACCGCCGGTCGCTACGAGCCGTGCAGCAGCTACCCAGGCTTTTTATCACGGTAAGTGCTCATAAGCGGCCTGCGTCACGTTGCACTGGTCCTTTCGGTTCTAGCCATCTCCCCATCTGGTAGTGCTCGCCTTGGCATCCCGAGGCGCCCTCATACCAATCCAGGAATTGCCCTACGAAGACATTCGCTTGCAGATCGGGGTCTCATTGTGAAGACCTATTACTTCCAGGTGCTGGAGGTTCAAGAGGGGACCTCTCAAGTCATCCATCGTGTTTTGGAGGCACTTTTTGTGCCCACCAGCGTTCTTTCTTGGTAGTTGGGTTCCTATTACTGTGCGATGCACGGTATTTCGTTTCACCCTCATCGTTGCGGCGTCTGTTGCGTGTGGTAGATTTTGTCTTAGTGCCCCTTTCCCCTTCACGTCTGATTAAATTGCGTATGGCCTTTCGAGTCGCTTTGAAGTCTCTTTATAAGCTTTTGTATCTCCGCATTTCAAATGAAATATGAGCAAGATGTGTATTCTATCGAATGTCATGTTTTGTTTGTCCAACAAGAGAAAGCGTGCTACCCGACTGCTATCCAGGCGGCGTGCAAGCTCAAACGCTTTACTTCTTGTGCCGAATAACCTTCTCATCCACCACTCTCCCTTTACTATCCCTCACAACAACTACCGTAGCAAGTAAGACCTGCTCCTCCTTAACCATCAAATCCTTGAACTTCGTAAGCAGTCCACGCCTCTTCTTCCTCTTCTTGCGGCGATCATCCGCCAAGGGACCCATCAGCTCCGGCGCAGGCTCGTACACCATAAACCCGCCCAGATCCTCGCCGTCGTCTTCGTCTCCAAAAACGGTCACGTCGTCGTCGTCGTCGTAACTTTGCTGCTGTTGCTGTTGTTGCGGGGGTCGACCGCCGTTCTGAGCGGGGGGGCGGGCTGTCTGTCCGCCACCAGAAGCAGCACCACCGGACCCACCACTACGATAAAGAGCTAAAACCTTCTTGACCTCCTCCAGCCCGCGGTCGGCCACCTTTTGGTCGCCGCTAGCCCATTTGGCCATCATGTCGCCGCCCACGCCCCCGCCGCCTACGGCGATAGCGGCGCGCGCGGCGAGGACGATGGGGATGATTGTCCAGGTCCACTTGGGGCAGTCGCGGAGTCCTTTGAGCCATTTGTCGGCGGCCCAGGCTGCCATCACATCCCTGGTATATTCAAGATCGATTGGCAAAACATTCTTTCCCGGTTTCCAAGTACATGATTATAGCGACGAACTCACCAGAAGATATCCTCAGCACTGTCATAAATCCCCAAATGCGCCGCATTCCTCACCACCCCAAAAAACGCCTCAAACGCCGCCCCACCACCCTGCCCCTGCCCCAACCCTGCCGCCAGCGCCTTATGCACCGCAACCATATCCCGATGATACAGCCAATGCAGCAGCACATCGAACGTGTTCGGCGACGGCAGCGCGGTCTGCATGGTGGGCACCGGCTGCCCGGCGCCCGGGTTGAAGTTGGGCCGGTGCTGGTCGTACAGCGCTTTGAAGAAACCGCATTGCGTCGAGAGCTGTTTGGCGCGGGAGAGCGGGATTTGGTACGTGGAGACGGCTTGGTTTTGGGTTGTGGTGACGGTGAGGTAGCAGAAGAGTGGGTCCATTTGATGAATGTTGTGGGATTAGTGGTTTGATGCTGTGCTAAGGGAATAATGCTAGTTTTCGAGACGTCCTGTCACCTACATGTTGCGCCGCTGCCTTTTATGGGGCGAGGATAATATCACTCTACCCTCCCGGACGCTGTTGAGGTGGTGTCCACATTTTCCCAGTGAATGAGGACCAAGCCGTTCATAGGTGTTGTGAAGCGTCTTGGAATTCCTTCAACGGCGGTCTTTGCTGATGGTATGGTGGTCTCTATCTCCCACCATCAGCTAACCCACCCAGTCGCTCATTCGGAGCAACTCCCGCACCCGCAGTTGATGTTGTGCGTGTGTATGTGTGTAAAACGTTGCATGAAGAGTGGTGGTCGTTCTCACAATTTTGTGAAGATGCAGCACATTTCGGCTTTCCTGTTGGGAGTTGTTTTTTGGACGGGTTGGAGCGGCCTTCAACCTTCTTTCACGTAAAGGGCGTGGAAGGGAAGAAGTGAAAGGTCAACCGACTGTTGTTTTGCTGTTTAGATTTGACGCTTAAGCTTAAGCTGAACGCTTAAGCTAGGCGTCGAGCGTTCAAGGTAAAGGAAGGTGACGATATGGGTTTGGCGAAGGAGACCGAGGAAAAGAAACGAAGCTTGAGAATAGATGGGCATTACCGGCACAGTTTGTTCAGGACGGCACTTGACTAGCGGCCCGAAAGTACGGCGAAAGGTCTTTCCTTGCTTACTGACAACGCCAATTTCCGGCTTTGACAGCGCGATAGTTGTCAAAAGGGGATGACTTGCCAGACGCCAGATCGAAGAAAACCAGCTCAAGTATGGAGCACTCAGTCGGATGCCCAAAGGCTCTCTATCCACTGAAACCTTTTTCCATGCCCGCCGTTGGCCTGCTCCTCTGTGAGCATACGTGACACAATATCCTTCACACTCATCGCCGAAACGCTGAAGTCAAAATAGGTATATTCATCATGTTCGCGGCGCACTCCTATTGTACAAGCAATTCCAACTATCAGGCAATGTTTGCTAGGTAGTCTTTGATCTCCGTCGCCTCAAGCTTTTTGAAACGGCCGACTTTTGACCTGACTCCCTCGTGCGATACCTCCTCCACAATCTGAGCAACACCGATTTCTATAGTCGACTCGGTCATTTGCCCTTCGAATCCTTCCTTCAGGGTCAGAATCGCGGTGTGCACTGCGTCTTCAATCTCCATGCTCTCGTTATATCTGGACGAGAAGAAATGAATCCATGATTCCTGATGACGCTATGCATAAGACTTTCATTGATCGTACCTCTTCTCCAGGAAAGTTTTCGCGTTGACCATGTTCTTCCCTATTGCGCTCGCCTTCCATGCCCAGTACGAGCCAGATGGGTCAACTTGGTACAAGGAAGGACCCGTCTCATCAAATCCTGCAATCAACAGCGAGACACCGAATGGTCGAACACCTCTGAAAGCAAGCCAGAAAATGATCAGCGTCCAGCCATATCAGACTGTGGCCTGATACCTGACTACTAACCCGCTCTGTGTGAACTCCTGCATGACACTCGCAATCTCCTTCACCAGAATGGCTGTGGGAGGTTCCTCGTGGTAGACGCGTTTGTATTCCTGAGCGCTCTTACGAGCCTTATCCACCAGCACACGGGCGTCCGGTCCCATTCCAGAATACACCATGCCAATGTTGGGACATATGAAAGTCACTTTCTCGGTGGTGGCTTCATCGACAAGGATGGAGGGTGTCTTCTTCTCAGTCGCAATCACGATCCCGTTTTGGGCTGTGGGAGCGAAAGGTTAGTGCGGTGTTCAGAAGGCATCTGGGGAAGGATGAGGAGTTCTTACCTTTGATGCCAACACTTGTTACTCCCTGGGCAACGACAGCGAGGGCATGCTCAATTTGCACAAGCTTGCCGGACGGCGAGAAGGTCGTCAGGGAAAACGAATATCGGTCCGCCATCTTTCGCGGTTATGTCACAGGAAGGTTGGGAAAGCTGTTGGACTAGTACGGATAATAATTTGAGGAAGCGTTCAAGGGAAAGTAGCAGAAGATGACCGCACCTGCGGATGGTTGGCCTGCAAGCGAGTGTGGAAGTCTGCGTGAGGGTGTTCTAATACGTAGTGTCTGATCAGTCAGCGAGCGTGGGAACGACGAAAGGACGAAAGACAAGCCGTGCTTCCCTTCAGCGATAGACGCGTTTTGCTCGTTTTGGCCTTCTTCCTTATTGAGGAAAACGGCCATGTGTTGCAATAGCCACCTTTCGTTAATTTCGTTTATTTCGGTGCAGAGTTGAGCCTTCCAGCACAGCGATACCACAACTAGGAGAGCTCGGGTCAGACGGGGACGATATTTGTGTAGCATCGGGGCTGGGGAATCAATCCGGAGAAAGCGCCTCGCATTCTCAAACTTGCGGTTCTTCCGAAAAATGCCCATCCTCGGCGTCGGCATCGACATCATCCACCTACCACGCATGCATGCGCTCCTAACTCGCCAATCACCAGCCCGCCTCGCCCATCGAATCTTCACCAAGCGGGAACAAGAAGGGCTAGCTTCGTCCGAACTCCTTCTCTCGTCTCACGAGCGGGCTGTGAGTATAGACATACCCTTATGCAACACCCGCAGGTGGGAGAACCTGGAAACAGCAGAAAGGCGGCTTGTGGCGTACATCGGGGCACGGTGGGCAGCGAAAGAGGCGGCTTTCAAAGCGATGTTTCCAACGGCGTATCTGAAGTGGTCCGATGTGGACATTATCAAATCGGAAGGAGGTGGTGTGCATCCAGTTTGTTTCTGCTTTCAGTCGACTATTACGCTTTGGTATTCATATATGCAATCGAACAGGAGCGCCCAGCCTGATATTAAACCCATCAGTTGCTTTAAAAGCCAATGTATCATCGTCTCATGTTACAATGTCCCATGATGGAGACTACGCAATAGCACAAGTCATATTCGAGAGGACTTGAGTATGGCGGAGTGTCCAGGGTGTCCTTAACACATCCGTATGTGCGCCTCATTCGACGACAGAAGAAAGCGGCCTCGAGTTCGCGCCCGCAGGCGGTGTAGCCAACATCCGCCGCAACCGTCTCAGCGTCTCCGCCGGACTTGCAATATTGCGCCTCGCCGAATCCGGCGACATCGGCTTGCCGCTTCTGCCCATCACGGGTGTAATGGGCGATTTGGCGGCAGCGCCGTAACTCCCATCACCATTTGGCGTGGACGTTGCAATGAACCCTTTCCTCCCGGGTGTATCCGACCCCATCGGCATGGAACGGTGCGGGCCTGATGTCGGTGATGCATTCTCCTTCGCATCATTGTACGCGTCATCCTTCCCTTCACCAGGTCGGAAACTTCGCCCTTCGTCTTCATCCACGGTAATGCGCACCGTTCGGGCGTTAGAGGACGGTGTCGAATGTGCCGAGGATATCCCATTCGCATTACCACCACGACCGCCAGCATACGTTCCAGCCTGCTTCTTCAACGCCGAGCGAATCAGCGACTGCTGCTGGGGCGTAGTCCTCGTCGTCGACGGCTGGTTTCCTCCATTATCCTTACTCGAATGGCCCAACGGCGAATACCCATAGCGATCCTGGACCGGTGTATCAACGATATCGTCCACGCCTCCCGTTTGATGCCGTCTCCATGCGCGCATTTGGTTGGGGACACGGGGAGTCTGCGCGAACGTGTCGGACTCGATGAGGGCGTCGGAGGAGATGTCGGACGGCGCGTCCCGTGCGGGGTTTACCGTGCTGTAGGTGCGGCCGAATGGCGTGCCGGTGTCTGCTGGGGAGTGGGTGTAGTACTTTGAATTCATGGAAGAAAGGTTGTCGAGGGTGGAGGGCGTGTTCATAGGTTGGAGAGAGGAAGAGCGGGTACGGTCGTCTGGCCTGTAGACATCGAAGCGTAGCAGAATTAGTCGAACACGCTATAAACAATTTTTCAACGAACCATCGCAAACATACCCTGGCGTATCTGGCAATGTCTGCAATAAAGCCCGTGTCTCAATAGCGCGGCGTTCCTCCTGCACGGCAACCTTCTCACGCTGCGGAAGGGGCAGGTCAGCATATCATGATCGCAATCAATAAACTCTCTCTTTCCGAGGGCCCCACCTGCAAAGCAGCCCGTTCCATGCCCAACTTGATGGCAGCGTCCGTGAACCGCTTTCTCTCCGCATCCAACTGCTTGCGCGCCTCCTCGATTTCGTTGCGCTGTTCTTGTAGATCTACCATTGATGTGTCGTAGCTTTGCGTTCGGGAAAGGAAGATTTGAGTTATCATCGGCGTTTCTCACCAATGAATCCCGGAATGAAAAGCCTACCCAGCGCCACCAGCGTCGTCACCCTTATTGAACTGTCCATTCATCGAAATTTCCAGTAAGCGCCCTTGCTCCTCAATAACGGCTCTGTATTCCTCTGCACAACGATTTCCAATGTAAGCACAACACCATCAAAACCCTCGCCATGCTCCAGTGCGAAACCATTTATTTCCTCACCGATATTCTTCTCCAAAGCCTCCAACTTCCTCTTCATCTCATCACTCCCTTCCATCTTGTGGTCCATAACCTCCGCCATCCTCATCCACTCGTCCTTAAAGTCCAAAATAGCCATCTGGATCCGCTGCTGCACGGAGTTTTGTACAACGCTGAACGGGAGCTGGAAGTGGGCGCGGGCCATGGCCTCTTCCTACAAAAGGGTCGCATAGGCTTTAGCTCCCGTGACACCGACGTACGCAGGCCATCTCATCGAACCTACCTCATCGTGAACCTTCTCCCTCCTCGGACCCCCAACAACCGCCTCCGGCACATCCTCCGCCTCGCCAAACCGATCCTTCAACCCCGTATACGTCTCATACAACGTATCCCTCAAGCTCTGGTTCTCCTTCAACAGCTCCTGCTCGCGGTCCTCGTAGTTTCGCATAACGACGTCATACATGAGCTCGTCCTGCCGTTTGGCTGCGTCTTTTAAGTTGTTGATTTGCCCAGATGATGGGGACGAGGAGGGGGTGGGTTTGGAGAGCGGGTTCAAAAGCGTGATGCTGACTTTGGACTTTTCGGTGACGGTGCGTTGGAGCCGTTCTTTGAGTCTTTGGAATTCGCGTTCTTTTTTGCGGAGGTCGTGCTGGAAATCGGAAGACATCAATCAGCATTTGCGGATGAAGCCCACACTTTACGCACACGCAAAGCCCACTCCCACATACATTGTACTGCGTCTTAGCATACTGAAAGTTTCCCTTCGTAGTCTTCAATTCCTCCCTCGTAGTCGCATGCTTCTCACTCTCCCTCTTCGCCGCCTCCCTAGTCTTCTCCACCCCATTCGCCAACTCCTTCACCTCCCTCCTCAACGCCTCCCCCTGCGCCCTCAACCGCGCTACCAAAGCGTTCAAATCATCATTATCCGCTATTGCCCTTCGCAACCGATGCTGCAGGTCCTCGCGGTACGCGACGTCCTTTTGGCGTTGTTGGAGGAGCGTGCAGATGCAGTTGAGGATGGAGGAGGCTTCGGTTGGGTCGGAGGTTAGATGGGTGAAGCTGAGTGTGAGAGGAAACCCGGCGGAGGAGAGCTCATGGTTGACGTAATCGATTGTGCGTTGGAGGGGGTTCGGGGGCTGAGGTTCGGGCGAGGGATCATCTTGGTTGCTGTAGGGGGAGGCTTTTTCAGTGTGCATTCCGTAGTCATCTTGGGATAGGACCTCCCACCACTTTTCCAACTTACGGATCCTTGTCATTGGCACCCTGCCACCCATGCTGGTCATCCAGAGAATAGTCGCTGTCCGTTGGCGGCATCTTAGAGCTTGCTTCTGTTGTGTCGCCGACGAGATGACGCCGTGGCGAGACGAACGGCAATAGCCTCCTGGCGGGTGCAGGAGAATAGGACTCGGAAACACGAACGCGTTGGCTTGTCCGAAAGTGTCCGAAATGTGACCGCATTCCCGCAGACCTCGATACACTGGGTTGCCTCGATGGACTGGGTTGCCTCGATACATGTAGCCGCCATAGGCGGGGCGATTGCTATGGCTGCAAAGCCCCTGCAATGCCGTTATCCTTACTAGATTCAGTCGGTACCCAGTGGGCATTGCGCGTTGTCTGGAAGTCAGTGGGCATCGCCTGGCTTAGGGGCAACGCAGCTTGCATCTCAAGCCGGTCGTAGACAACTCCATCTGACACGTGCGTACCATCACGATCATGTTCCAATTCGATCTCCGATTCAACCACGTCCCGCACCAATCGCCTCACTGCAATTCCCTCACCTGCGGGTCAGATGCCGCCTTCGCTACTGCCAACCCTTCGTTCGTCCGCAGCTCCCTGCGTTCCTCTCGTGGACCATCCCTGCTGAAACGCCAGCCGTCGGGTTCCTCGATTGCCAACACACCAACACACCCCTCCATGAATAGCACCACCTTCAGACCCCCACCTCGCAACGACACATACGGTGTTGTCGCGCAGGCGTACTTCATGTTTGCTGCTAGTCGTAACTCGCGTAACGACAACGGCAGCATCTTCCCCATTTCCCCTAACCCCTCCGATTAGCTCAACTATCAGCTCGACCGTGTGCTGCACGGACACTTTAAATACAATCTCTTGGAAGGTACAGTACTTTTCTGCTCTTAAGGACGCCCACAATGCCACTGGACACCACTTCGGTTACCTCTACATGTATGAACTCGTCAAGGCCCGCCTCTCGCAAATGATGACGACGCTGGCCCAACCTACCTCCCCTGCCACATGACCTCCTAGTCCTCCGCACCCTCACACTATCTGCGTTTTGGGGCCTTGCTCGCCTACGAGAGATCTTTCGTGATACGCGAAGCGCGATGGGATCATGAAGCGACGTCACCAAACTGGATGTGGATGGCGGAACCGGTTACTGGATACAGATCCCAAAGCCCAAGACCATAACAGACTCGCATCAACACCTGGTCCTGGCACCTAGAACAGACATACGCATCTGTCCGGCGAGAGCTCTCGACGCTCTGCTCTACATCATTTTCAGCCCTCTCGGAAGGGCCCATTATCGTCCAAGTTTCCTCTGACGTTACACCGCACACCGTGGACTGGGTCCTCAAGGGTGCCCTCCACAGATCCCTAGCCCTCCTTGCCTACCAAAATCACTGGCCCATGCGTACACCTGCCCCGACCCACGACTCGCTTCCGTTTCCCCCACCTCAGGAGCGTCCCGAATTGACCCCGTAGACGCTTTCCTCACCACGGGACTCTGAAATGCAAACGCGCTAGGGCAACATACACCCCGGCAAGGGAACGACAATGACCGCGACAGTTCGCCGGCCTCTAGCGCACCCACTTCCTCGGAAGCTAGCTATCATATACCCGCACGTTACCAAGACCTTTCTTTTCATTTTTTGGTTTTCTCTTCCTTCTCCTTCCCCCTCCCCCCCTCCCCCCCTCACTCCCTGACTGGGTTGTTGGTAGATAGATGATGTCCATACCAAGTCCAGGGAAATTGTCTGTGAAATGGTCTTTGAAATGGTGGAGGCAGTAAGAACAGAAGGGAAGGGCACAGAGGCAGGTGAAGAAGAGTCACTGTCAGTCAGATGCGGCACGCGTCGCGGCCGCTGGTCATATGAGCCCTGCGCGTTTCCCCCGTACGGGACACCATGCGACGAGCGCTAGAGCTCTGTCTGCTTTGCAGCCATAGAACACTCGTCACAGCGACACTCGCCCGGGAGGGCTTCATTTGCAGTCTATGGCATCTGGTTTTATCGTCTATAAAGGCCTGACGTTCGCGTTGGTGCTAGGCAGCTGCGTAAGGTTCTATTATGGTAGTCCCAATCCCCTTCCTGCGAGAGCACTCTGGGCACTGCGAAGGTGCATATTGCCGTGAGGTGGGCTTCAACTCATAGAAATCGTTCTCATAGTAGGTAGCAATGCGTTCCAAAGACTCATGAAGGCTGATATGGTGAGCTTCTCTCCGCTTCAACGGTGCGAACTCGTCAGGACTTGACTTATGCTGGTGTTCGATACCAGTCAATACCAGACCTCCTGGCAAACCCCAAAACAGGACCCCAAAGGCAAAGAAGCAGGAGGCTGAAACGAAAGCAGAGCCAAGTCTACTTCGTCGCTGAGATGAAGGGATAATGAAGTTCTTTGTGTGAAGGCTCAAGCGTGAGAGCTTAGAAGACATCCGTCTCCGAGGAAGGACATGAACGGAAACACTAACTGAAGTGGAAGGTCCCACTTCCAATGTTGCATCTTTTCTCCACGAAGCGGTATCAAAATGCAGATGCGACATTTGATATCCGAGCTATCCTACGGAATCTACTCAATGAAAGTGCTACACTATATATATTTGGACACTGGAAAGGGACATCAGCCGAGGGCATCATTCCGCCGAAAACCTGACGAGGTGAAGAATGGTGGATGAAACGGCCCTTCCAAGGCAAATCATTATATGTCTTCATCCTCATCATCATCACCAAAAGCCTGAAGGTAAAAGACAACAATGGATCAGTCTTCCACGGCGTCCTCGAGCTAGCACGAAACCGTATCTCACATCATAGTAATCAAAATCGGCATCATCTTCATGTTGGTCAGTTTCATCCTGATCCTCTTCCACTGCTTGAGAAAATCATATTAGTGTCTCATCCAGGACGGTTTGTGAGGCACGCAGGGACACACCATTCTCGCCCATCTGTGCCGCTTGCAGCGATTTCATGAGCTCGCCCACCTGTTTGGATATGGCCATTGAGTCAATACACATCTCCATCTCTATTGCCCTGACACCTCACCCATACCTTGCTCTTAACCTTATCCTGCGTCTCCTCACTCAACCCCGCACCCGCATCAGCCATCATCTCGACTTCCATCACGTTCGGTGTGGTACGTTCGTCGTCGGACGGGATATCAGGCTCGCTGTCCCCTTCGTTATCGTCCCAATGGAACTCGAACGACGGGATCTTGCCGAGTGCGACTTTCATCTTTCGTTTCATGAGGTCGCGGATTAGGTCGATGTGGCCTTTGCGGAACCAGCCGTCGCGGTCCTGCATGTCGTGGTTTGGGATGAGGTTGAGACGGTGTGGGTAGAGTGGGAGAAGACAAGTAGGGTAGTTTGACTTACGTGGCATCTGCTTCGAAGGCGTCGGGTCGTGTTTATGAGAGGTATGATGTCCGGATCCGTGATATCGTTTAGGGTGAAGGTTCCCGTGTCACGGGTGCGTATGCCGTCGAAGATATGTGTATCGGGTGCGGGACTACATGGCGAAGTCCACAGTCATCTAGTGCATTTGTTCACATTGCTTCTTCAGGTAAGTGAGCCAAACTACTTACGGATCGTCCTCAGCCCGATCGGCCGCCAGGTCCTGGGCAGTTGGCCCCAACGTACGCTTCACCACTAAATGGCTCGGTTCCATCACACCAATCAATCGTTTGGCTCTCAAACTCGAAGCAGCTTTTGTCGGCTTCATGAACCGCAAGTCAATGATTTGACTGAATCTCGCTTCTTTATCATTCCACGGGTCGTATCCATATCTCAGCCACGTATCTCTCCAGGGCCCTGCCATGTATGAGTAAGCATAAAGGGGTAGGAGTTTCTTGATCAGAGGGCGATATCTAGCCGGGAGGTTGTTGGTGATAGCAAGCCGCGTCCAGCAAGGTCGCTGCTCGAAGAGTTGCTGCATGAGGGTGAGCGCTTCGGCGGGGATCCCAGCCAGCGATGCGGTTTTTGGTGGTTTGGTGGGAACTATACGTTTGCTAGCATCCGCGAAGACAGCGGTGAATTTGACGCTTTCGTAACGGTTTAGGAGTTTCATTTGAGGGGACTGAGTGGGCAACAGGGTTAGCTAAATGTCTCAGGATATGACATGCGGAGTTGCGCGTTGCTCGCCTGGCCTTCCTTGCGAACCAGAACCTTCACCACCGCGATGTTCTGTCGGTATCTACACATTCGACGTTAAGACTATATGCGCACCACGACGAATGTTTGCGAGTTGATGATCCAACGTACCCATAGTCAAACGGCCATTCTATCCGTGAGAACGCGGGCGGAGGCATATTCCTCAAGTTTTCCTGTGGCCCTCTATCCCTCGCTGGGACGAATTTCTCGATTCCCTCGACTACAGGGAACCATGTCAGGCGCGCGCTTCTCCAATCGCTAGCCGTAAAACTAGCTCTTACTGTCCAGAACTTGCATATCCCGTCTCAGCTTGACAAGCGGGTCGTGCGGATCAGGTGTCCATTGATAATCAGCGATGGCTGAGCCAAAACAAAATTAGACCTCTGATGTGCCCGTTACATCCCATTTTCTCCCTCACCTCGGAAGCGACACGTCTTTGTAATAGTCCCCATAAATCTCGTCGTAATTTGGGACGGATCCACCGGCTCCTGCGCTCCAGCAGCACTTCCCGTCCTTTTGCGTTTCCGTCGGATTGTGACTCCCAGCAAGATATTTGACGTTTGAATAATTTCTCCGTTTATGGGATGTGAGAATGGATCTTCTGGCCGGTACCGAAGCTCCACCACGTTAAGGTCGTTGGCGAAAGCCTGCAAGCGCGGAGCGAATATTGTAAGCACTTGAAGATCATCTTCCCGGTGCCACTCTGTAGGTGGCTGAACCCACCTTTTCCGGGACGAATCTCCACCGGACAATAATTGGCTCTGCTATAGCACGCATCCGCCCACCTTTTCTATTGCTTCGGACCCGCCGAGCGTCTTGAGCACGTTGTCAAAGTTCTTCACATATCCGGGGTATTCGACGGCATGGAACTTCCAGCTGGGGAGGGTTTGAGATGGCGCCCGTTCATAGTCACTCCCATCTGTAGCCATCCTTGGTCAACCTCTCCTTGCTTCGACTATACGAGACCGCCTGAGTGTAAGGTTCTCTTTGCGCTCTGTGCAAATCTTGGTTGAAGTTCAAGTCCGCTTTGGGGGAAGGAAGACGCTGGGAGACTCCAGAGAGAGACCTGGGGAGAGACGCGAGCAAGAGTTCCCACAGGTTCCCACCCAGTTCCCACCAACTTCCAAGAACCCTTCTCCGCTTCCATCGGTCCCATTGGCACATGCACTTCTCGGTGCAACGACGACTCAACTATAGCACCCATCTTCTACGACCACCGCCGTCAAGCCAGACAGCCGCTCATAATGGAAACCTTCTCAGGCCTGATAAGCTACGCGCAGGACAACGTCCTCGAGCCGCTCGTCGGCGCCAAATGCGCCGACAGGATCGCCCATTTCGACCTGTCGTCGGTAGATTGCCTGAAGCTGTTCGTCAGTAAGGTGCTCGGCCTAGGCATTATGGCTGGTGGGACTATTGTGAAAGTGCCGCAGATATTAAAGATTACGGGGAGCCGGAGCACGCAGGGGCTCAGTTTTGCGAGTTATCTGCTTGAGACTGCTGCTTATACCATCTCGCTGGCTTACAACTGGAGGAATGGATATCCGTTTGGGACTTATGGAGAAAGTAAGTTCAAGGGCACGGTCGCTCGTTGAAGGAAGGGAGGCCCCTGAGCTGGTGGGGAGGGTTTTCCCGTGGGGATGATCTTCTCACCTCGATGTTCCAACATATGATCCAGCCTAACTGCCACCTCTTCCCCAACCATCCAGTGGCCTTCATAAACATCCAAAACCTCGTAATTCTCGGCCTCATCCTCGTCTACTCCCGCAACCTCTTCGGCCTCCTAGCCTTCCTCTCCCTTTACTCCCTCAGCACGCTCGCCCTCTTCGAAGAATCCCTCATCAACCCCACCCAACTCCAACAGCTCTTCGCCTCAATGGTCGCCATCTCCGCAGCCTCGAAGCTGCCGCAGATCTGGAACAACTGGCGCGCGAAATCGACGGGACAGTTGTCGGCTATTACGACGTTTTTGACGTTTGCGGGGTCCGCTGCGAGGGTGTTTACGACCCTGCAGGAGGTGGATGATGTCAATGTGCTCGTGTCGACTTTGGTGGCGACCGGGCTGAATGCCTGGTTGGCGGTGCAGATGTTGGTTTACTGGAGGAGTGGGCCGAGCTCGGTAGGTGTTCCGTTGTTCTCTGTCCTCCTCACGGAAGAGAGAGCTCTTACTACCATTGAAGAGAAACCTAAACGTGCGCGACATCTCCCATTCTCCTTCCCACCACAGTCACTCCCCGGGTACAAACGTGCCGACAAGAAGAAGTCGAAAAAGGCGTTGTGAGAAACGCGATGCATTCATCGACTGATCCGGACGGAACTTCGCAAGTTCTTATGTTCAGACCCTTGAAAGGCGTAGTAGGCAGAGGTTGCTGGTCAATATACTCAGACTAGCTTTCCACGTGCAGTACGTAAAGAGATGACTTGATGATAATATGTATCTGACATGTAACATAGATCGACCAGGGGTATGCACAATAAGAACAGATGTGAAAACAGACAGATCTACAGAAAAGATGCATGATGAAATCTCTCACTCCTCCAAAACACCATGGTAAACCCGTCCATCCACTACCGCTTCCCCCTCAACTCCCTCAACTTCTCCATAACAACCTCCAACGTTGCTCGTTTCTCCTGCACCTCCAAATGCCTGCTCACAACCGGGTTCTGCCGCGCAAACTCCCTAATCTCGCGTCTACTCAGGTCATAATACAGCTTGTTATCAATCTCTCTCGGGATTTGGAAGAAGAACTCGTTGAGCAGCTCGACCCAGATGAACATCACGGCTGTGTAGGTGAGTTTCTCGGCGACGACAGAGAGGAAGACTTCGGGGCAGCAGGGTTTGTTGTCGGGGGAGGCGCATTGGCGGGATTTTACCGCCGAGGTGCGTTGTTGGAGGAGAGAGATGCGGAATTGGTGGACGAGGGCTTCGCGGGCTTTGGTGAGGAGAGGAGAGGGGAAGGGGTGGGCGTCGGGGAGGTCGGGGGTGGGTTCGGGGGTGGCTTTTGAGTCGGCGGGTGCGGAAACTGGCGGTGGTGGTTGTGATTGGCGTCTCACTGCATCCTCCCGATCCGTTTTCTGCACATACTTCATCGCATTCCTCAGCTTCCGTTGCCCGACGGCCTTCTTGATAGCCTCCAACTGCTCCTTGGCATGCACAACCTCCCTCTCCAGCATCTCGACGGCGCGTTTCTGGCCCTCCGCCCATTCCGCAGGCGTACATTCCACCTCAAACTTGTACGGTTTAATGGTGTTTTCGACCTGATCGACCGCGGTGTGGAATTTGGCTTTCAGCAGCTCCGTGCTGAAATTTATCACTTTCGCGCGGCCGTCGGGGTGATGCACCCACGGCTCCGTCGATGTCAGCCGCTCCATGTTGCGCGTCAGCACGTCGGCGACCAGTTGGACGGATGCCCTCCCCACCCCGCTTTTCGTCAACGCGCCCGAAATGACGTCCAGGCGGGCCTGCCAGAACGGATCCGTGAGGCAAACTTTCGGTAAGTTCGCGATACGGTCGTCGCTCCAGTACATGTCGCCGCAGATGGCGAGCACCTTCTGTTCGAGCATCATGCGGACTTCTTCCCTCACTTGCGGTTTACCGAACTGGCCCGCAAACTCTTTGAACTTTTGTTTGAGGAGGTCGATGGATTCGGCGACGTAGCTCTCGGCGCTGATTCGCCGGTCGTTGTAGTGAACTTTGAATTGGTAGCGCGCTTCGTCGAGTTCGTGTTGCACGGCGTCCGAGATCGTGGTCAGCGATTTGGCCATGTGGTCTTCCAAAACCTGCATGAGGCGCCTGCGGAGTGTTCCTGTCCCCACCATGACCTTGTTCGACCGATAGGCAGGGTTCGAGCCAAAGAACGAGTCCTCTGACCGAATAAGGGCTCGGGTATCCACGTCATTGCCCGACTTTTTACAGACAACGCCGATGTACCCCAGTTGGAGTGGGTAGTCCCGGTTGGTGAGAATGCCCACACCCGTGTTCTCGTCGACCAGATCCATCTTTGTGACGACGCCGATCGTCCGCTTGCCGGTTGGATCCACTTTCCGGCTCGCTCGGAGTGCTTCCGAGTTTGCCAGATCCACATCGGCGGAGCATACCGCCAGGATGATATTTGGTTCCCTGATGTACTTTTCGCAGAGCTCTGCGATCTTTTCCTTCAGTATCGCAGGTTGGTTGCGGTTATGGATCTGGATGTAACCCGGGAGATCCACCAGTGTCAAATCTGGGACGTTGGGCGAAAACACTTTGAGCTCGATCGGGTTGTCCGACACGCATTCCGCGTCCGAGACCGCCAAGTTCAAGTCGGTCAACGTCTTTTGAACGTCTTTGAAGTCCGGCACTTTCCCTAGACCCAACTGTGGGAACTCTGCATATTCTTCCTTGCTGTCCGGTGTGTGGATGAGGGTCAGCTCGATTGGGCGCCGCGTGACCATATTCGATCCTCTGTTCAAATTGGGAAACGGACTTGTTAGCATATGCATCTGAAAGTGTGCGTGGCTTGTGCCGCTTCCTTACTTTGGCAGGAACTCATGGCCAACAATAGCCTCCAAGACAGAACTTTTCCCAGAGCTTTGTGAACCGACAACAACGATACTCGGAAGCGTCATCTTCGCATTATTGTCGACCGTCTTCAACAGATTGCGAATTTCGATAAGCTTCTTTGTCAAAACCATGAGGTCTTCATCTGGTGGGGGTAATGATGGCCCCTTCACTTTCGTAGGCACGGCCTTATGCTGAACGACCTCTTCCACCATTGGCGGCTGCACGAAAGCTGCACTATCTAATGCAGCGGTTGTAAGCGCGTCGAACTTTTCTGCGGCCTTGTCCAAGCCCGGTAAAGAGGAATGTGCACTGATGTCGGGGAGTTTGAACTTGGAGAAATCGATGTCGAGGTCGGGGAACTTGAAATCGCCGAAGCTGAATTCTGGCATTTCCATTTTGCCCAGGTCAATATCATTTAGAAACTCGTTGGCTTTGCCGAAGGCATCCTTCATCCAATCTGGCACGTATTCGCGATGGAACTCTGTGCAAAACAGGTTAGAAACCGTTACGGCCACGTTACGGCCAACCAGACTGCAGCTAGAGGATACCAACCATTGAATTTGTAATTGATGTAAGTCAGCGTCCCACCGGCAGCACCAGCGGCGGCCACCGGTAGCCTGATCATGGAGAAAACAATTCTGGCCGGTCCGAATATTCCTCTCCTTTGTTGCTGCTGAAATCTTCCGCTATTCGAACTCCGCCCATTGAACATCCGTTGGCGCTCGGTTCGTGTGTGCGTATGAGTCCATATTGTCCGTTGCGGCGTTCGTGCCGCGTAGCGAATTGCGGGTGACCGCGTTTTCAGAGGGCTAGCAGATCGAACGGCCGAGCTCTTTGTCGCCAGAAGTCCACGGCAGACCAGGGAGGACATGGTGTATACAGTTGTCGTGCCAGCCGCTTGGCCACACAAAACCCACGCTCGAAGAAATGCGACCTCGGGATGGCTCTCCGTTGAAGGAAGTGCGATCGTTCTTCGTCCGCAATAGACCCCCCTTGCTGCAGTCTGTCGTGCAGTGATGCTGACTTTGTCAGGCGATCTCTCCGTAGGCCAGTGTTCCAAGGTTAATCGACCCCTCGCTATCTGCGTTTTTCAAATCAGTCGCAGCTCAGCGAGCTCCAATATTGCACCGCTCTTTCCACAGGATATAACCTAACAGGACGAGTTATGCTGAAGGACGGTAATCGTGCGTGGGTGTGTACTGTATATTTGCAGTTTTCCAGGCTTCTGCGAATGCGGTGGTTCTCGTTGAAGCGAATTCCGATTCAGCAAGTGACAGCATGCCACGAGTCTCTGGGTCACTCACGTGACCGCAAGAGCAAATCAAATCGAGTGCTTTTTTCCCCCGTCTGTGTCGGTAACAGCAAAGGCTGGCAGATTTGGGAAGGGAGTAGCCCCTGCATATCAACGGTCTATGAAACTTCGTTGGTGAGTGACTGCAGCACGGTGGAGGTCTCCAAGCACACGCAGGGGTACTGGACTGTGGCCTTTCCCTTTCCCTTCACCGTCACCCGAAAGCAGACCCGAAAGTCTCTTAACTCGGTAGAGTTGCCGCCGGAGCGGCTTGATGCAATACCGACGCATGTTCGTTGATGATTTGTTTTGACCCGGGGATCTCTCTTTTGAAGCATACCTAATAGAACTGTGCTCTGGCCGACATGAGAAACGGGTTGCCTTGATCGCAGAGTAGCATTTACTCACTTTCCTTGGTACCTCGGAAAAGGCTCTAGCAATGTGTTCCAGCTGTTTTCCGTTCCCTCAAAGACAGAAAGGGGTGGATCGAACCCCTGCGTCCGCCAGCCGCTGGGGTAAGATCACCTTCTCATCACTCTTCCCACTAAACCCCACTGCAAGCTTTCTCCAAGCATACAGAGGGAGGCTGGATTTTCGCTCACGTTTGCTCCGGACAAACCATCAACGCTGCATCAACCAATCTCTCCACACCTGTCACCGCCGCGACGTCCGATTCCGACTCCGTTTGTTCCTTCCTCGTGCAAGAGGCTTTGCCATGGCGGTCGGCTATGAGGCTAGTATGAGCATCCACACTTCCAACGGAGAGGTCGGACAGTGGTAACTCAGAAGCTTTAAGTGAGAATTCTCATACGAGTCATACCACGGTCAAGGACCTTCCAAGGAGAAAGGAGCCGCGGTCGTTCAAGTATGCGGCGGAGTTACTGCTGTATGTATGCGGCGTCGGACCATATGTAAGTCAGAAGTGAGTTCTTACCCCATGGCTCACACGCCTCCCTTTCACGCGTAAAGCATCGCAGTTCAAGCTGTCGAGGCTCTGAACATTATGCCGTCATGACCAGCATGATCTGTCGACGGAGCTTCAACCACAAAGTCGACAGACGAAAAGAAAGTGCTGTCAATCACCGGGGAAAAACACACCGTCAAAAGAAATTTGTGTATCCCAACCCTGGGCATCCGATCGGGAGCACGGGGCCGTTTTCGGGAGCACGGGATCCATGGCGCGCCGTCCACCTGACGGAATTTGCGCGCGCAAGCCCTTCGGCCACGCTCGCCGCTTCCCAGAGTTCCAGGGTTTACTCAACTCCCCTTGCATTCCCAAGTCCCGACAGCAGCGACTTCAACGAAACGAAACTTATGCATACCCCATGAATCCTGGATCGGCCGCCCGGAGAGTTCGGCACTTTCAGGGACTACCACAAATCCGTCACGCGGTTCCGGATGAAGCGACTCGGTACGAGAATTCACAAACCCTTTCCCGCCGATCCACAACGCGTGCGACACTCGCAGCGGGACTCTTTGCACGCATCCAACGCGTCGCCGTCGCCAACGCGGTGATGTTGCGCTGTGTGGGGATAAACGAGAAGGATCATCGCTGGAGGTGGGCACTTGAGAGCAGGATGTGTCCACACAGCGATGACTTCATGCAGCCGGGGGGATGTCGGGCTCAATGCTCTTGGCGGAGAACTGTTCTGTGAGGGTATAAAAGAGGGTGCTCCCGGTTGCATCCCATCCTTCCGTCTGCCAACATCCATCTTTCGCATTACACGCCGCCTAGCAGCATACCCGCAAGATGCTCGCATCATCTCTCTCTCTCCTCGCCTTTGGCGTGGCATCCGTCCACGCGCACGGCTACCTCACCATCCCCTTCTCCCGCACTCGTCTCGCAAGTGAAGCCGGCATCGACACCTGCCCCGAATGCGCCATCCTCGAGCCCGTCCCCGCCTGGCCCGACCTCAATGCCGCCGACGTCGGTCGCAGCGGACCGTGCGGTTACAACGCCCGTGTGAGCAAGGATTACAACCAGCCGGGACCGGCATGGGGCAACTCCACCGTCGTCGACTACAAGGCCGGCGACATCGTTGATGTGCAATGGTGCGTCGACAACAATGGAGATCACGGGGGTATGTTCAGCTACCGAATCTGCCAGGACCAAGAGCTCGTCGACAAGTTCTTGACGCCCGGATACCTCCCCACCATCGCGGAGAAACGAGCGGCCGAGAAGTGCTTCGAGGCTGGACTTCTGAAATGCACTGATGTCCCCGGCCAGAAGTGCGGGTTCAACCCCGACTGTCCCGCCGGTGCACCGTGTCACAGGACGGACTGGTTCACATGTGGATCCTTCAACGACGGGTCGAGGTGCCAGAGCGTGGACAGGGCCCCGAAAGGGTCGTGCTACACCTCCATAGCCGGCGGATATACCGTTTCGTCCAAGATCAAGATACCGAACTACTCCTCTAAGCGCACCCTCCTCTCCTTCAAGTGGAACTCGCAGCAGACGGAGCAGGTCTACCTTAGCTGCGCGGACATCTCCATCAGCGGCGGTGACACTCCTCCCCCTAAGCCATCCACTTCCTCAACCGTCCCCACATCCACCGTCAAGAGCGAGGCGCCCAGCGCCACCACCATTGCAAAGCCTACCACCACCGCAAAGCCCACAGTGCAACCCACATCGACCGCCCCCCCTTCCCCAAGCCCAACCTCCAACCCCACCCCGGGAACATGCAACCTCTCCAACGTCTTTAAACGCACCGACTGCGGAGCCGCCGGAATCACCCAGTCTGGGTGTGAAGCTTCCGGATGCTGCTGGAACGCAAAGCCCGGGGATGCTTACTGCTTTTTCAAGGAAGCCGACCCATGCGCCGTCTCGACTGACTCGAGGGTCGACTGTGGAAACCCTGGCATCACGCAAAGCGGGTGCGAATCGAAGGGATGCTGCTGGAAGGCGTTGACACCTAACCCCAACAACAAGCCTTGGTGTTACAAGAAGGCGTAGATGGAGTTGATCTCCTGCGGCGCTTTGTAGATACTGTAGCTTTGTACCTTTCTTTTGTAGTATAGATTTAAGTCTACTGGATCTGCTTGTGCATACGTTCGACTCGTTGCTTACTGTATATCAGATCGTCTTCTCTTTCTTCAATAAACGTTTTGGCATTTGCTCTCCCATCCTCTTTGCTTCATCGTAACGCGCATTTGCTCAGGTGCTTCCTGGCCCCAGAAACATTTCGTTATCCTCCAGCGACCAGCTGTGGATACTTTCCGCACTCGATACCCCGCAAGTTCCACGGCAAGAGTTCCTGTCCACACAATCGAGAGCGACAGAGACTCCCGCATCCCAGAAGTACATCATCCATACCGCTGGCGTTCAACAGGAACTATCCTCCGCTCGCATCAACAAACGGACGGCAAAGAGGAGAACGCCATCCAGACGTCAAGAGCGCTACTCGATCGAAGTGGTAGTTACTCCCCAAGTCTTACAACCGTAGTCTCAAACAACGGAGTTACCGGGTGGTGCCCAATCCAATAGAGGACGACGAGTCCCGTCCTAACCTGCGCTATGCTCTGGAGTTCCCCATTTCTCAGAAACCGTCGAAACGAAGCCCCCATCATTCTCCTTGTCCCCTGACCCCCGTTCATCCCATCCATCAAATCCAAAAGAAAGAAACATATATCTGAAGCCAGCGAACCGTCCCGACGGAAAAAGAGACCCGCAAAAGAGAGTCCCTGTATAGTCGGGACGGATTATTAAGACTTCCTAAGGTGGTTTGATCTGGGTGCTCTCCATTTACGAACATCCACCAAGACCGCAGGCCCTTTGCGGGGTGCCTGCGGTGACTTCTGGAGCCGAGGTAAAGTGCCCGTGGTAAATATGTTGAGGAATCAAACGAGAGGAAGCGGAGGAGTGTTCTCTTTTGTGCTGGAGCGAGAGCAGAAGGAAGGGGCTAAGCCACGCACGTGCAGTGCAGTCTATTTATTTTCATTTATCGAACTTGGTTGTCGACGCAATATCTGTGCATTTCTCGGCAAGCACCTCGACAAACTATCCCCAACACCGACAGTCAAAGAAGAGCATATCCAGCAAATATGAGGTGAGCAGATAGGTTCCTTCTTCCAAATCCCCGCTAGTTTTCGTCGCAGGTCTTGTTTGCTCTGCCCATGTCGAAAGTTGTCGCCTGATAGACCCCCAACGCTCACCTCAACCCAACTCCCAGGTTAATCACCCACAACGTCCTTCAATGCCACGCCAAACAATGCCCGCCAGGCGCCTCATACCCCCTAGCACTGCGGAACGTCGAGTTGGAAGCGGTAGAGGCGGAGTTCAACGAGGACTTTGTGAGGCGGATGCTGGATAGGTTGGACTGGAATGTGTTGGTTGATACGGCTTTTGTGGTAGGTTTTTCTTGGGCGGTAGTCAGCTGAGTTATGGAAGAGTGAAGAGGAGAAGGACGAGGAGGGGGAAGAACGTGTGAGGCATCGGTAGAACCTGCGCAGAGGCGGGGCGGATGCCATCAAGTCTCATAGTGGTACACGTTCATGGGCGGAAGAGAGAACACAAACCACAGGAACGTTGAAACCTAACGATCGATTCTTCGATTATACAGCTGGGCATCGCACAACTCCCCAAAGAGATCCCCGAATTGCGGGATACCGAGTTCCTAAAAGCAGTGCATAAAGTCATCCTGGAGGTAACGGCATCAAAATCCGGTTCTCAAAGCTGTCGGTCCACTCATTAACCCATCGAGTACACTTTATTCAGACACGGGTCAAAGAAGCCGAAATGGTCTGCAACGGCTGCGGTCACGTGTATCCGATAAAAGACGGGATCCCCAATATGCTCTTGCAGGATCATGAGCTGTAGAGTTGAGAAAGGATGGGTTCGAGAACATGGACTACGAAAACATCTATAGTCTCGAGGGTCGGTCCGCGAGGGAGGATCGCTGACTGCCGGGAAACACATGTGGGAGACAGGGCCGAGGAGACATCGACGTCCTTGGTCAGGCGAGGGAAACAAAGCAGCGTTGCAAACGCAGACCAGCGCGGCGGGACCTCGGAATATGGGACCAGAGGTCAGGCATGCGCAGGGAGAAATACGTTAGGGACCTACCCTAGCCATGTGCGCTGTCATACGAACATGTGCCCGCATCTGCGTTCTAGTCTAGCGTCCATAGAAAACGATCGGGGGAGCCGCCATGCCCCATTAATTTAAGACCATGGCGATTTTGTACACAGCCATAAGTTTGCGATAGATGGGGCATTAACAAAAAATCACACTTGCATGGCTGGGCGCGTTTTCGCCCGGAAAAGAAACGATTATTGCGGAAGTTGTCTGTTCAGCTACCAGCTAACAGGTGCAAGGTAAGAAACCTAATCCTAAGAGTTTGGAGCTCTGCGTGCAGGGGGGCGAATTTGGCCAACGTAATAAATCGGAAAGACTGCTGCACACCCCCCATCCCTGATACGCCACTATGACACTAGAGCGGACCCTTGCTCACTACACCCCTCAGTACTGCTGATACGCAATCGGCGGCTGCTGTTGCCCTGGCGGCGCATGTAGCCCCGATTGTTGTTGGTGAGGTGGGTACTCAGCGTACTGCTCTGGAGGCGCATGTTGTTGCGGTGGGGCCTGCTGAGGCGGACCTGGCTGGTAGTGCGCTGCGCCAGGCGGCGCGGTGTGATACGTGTAGTACCCGGGCTGTTGTGCTGGTGGGGCTGCTTCGTAACCTGCTGGTGGAGCCGCGACGTAAGAGTTTGGGTGGTGATGTGGAGCAGGGATGTGTTGGGGTTGATAGGCTGTTGGCCGGAGATGTCAATGAAGCGATCACTGGTGAAAAGATGGGGAACAGGCAGACTCACCTCTCGACTGGGCCATTGACGCCTCCATGAGTCTGTGATACGTCAGACATGCGTTCGTAAACCTGTCGTTTACGAGTACTAGCTCATCTGTGGCAAAAAAAATGCAGCGTTTCATGAGCATCAACTGGGTTCTCGCATTCCAGCGTGCGCCAGTCATCCTACCTTGTTTCGTCCGATAAGTTTCCAGTAGCTTGAGCAGCTTCGGTCGAAGGTGAAGTATGTCGCTGTAGCTTTGCTATAATGCCACAAGCATGGCGGGATTAGAGACCAAGCGACGAGGCAGTACCGAGGGGTGAAGGTACACTCGTCCTACCTGCAAAACGTCGTTCTCGGCAAAGCTATCCCTCGACGGGTCAATCCCAGCCAACGTCTGCTGAAACTGCCGAATCTTCCTAGCATTCGCCAACACCTCCGATTCGCCGTCCTTCGAAGCCCGCGACGCCTCCGCGACCGCGGCAGCCGCCATCCCGGCTCCTTCAACCTTCTCCACGTAATTCGATGGGAATATTCCGATTTGTCCTCGCACTTCCCCTTTCCACCACTCTTGGAATGTCGTTGCGTCGTAGACATCGACTACGTCCCCGCGTGTTAGGCGGAGTTCGCCTTCCTCTGTTCCTGCGAAGTCATATAATGCCCGGACGTGGAACAGTACTTTGGGACCGGTCTATTGGGAAAGACCGTGAGTACTTCGATCAACATCCTTTTACGGAATGAATGCCCATGCGACGCACCTGCTTGGGTATTGGTGTCTTTGGCCTGTCGGATCTCGAGTCCCTCTGTCGATCGATGAAGTATCAGTACGCACGTCGCACGTATGCAGTATATCGAAGCCAATCCCTACCTTAGACGATTTGCTTGATTCTTGTGCCGACAAAGACAACGCCAAAGCGAGTTGCAGCTCCTCGTCCTCTTTTTCCTTGTCAAGCATTGCTTGCGTCTGTGGTATCACTTTTGAATCAGGTATAGTTCCACCAAAGCAAGCTGCCGCTCCTTCCGCAAACTACCTTCACGACATCTGGTTTGTGCGGCGATGGGAAGCTGTATCCTTTCGATTTCAGGTCATTGTATGTATCCACCATGAACCTGTGTATCCCAGCATTTCGGTGAGTCAGGAAAGGTATCGCTCCTCACGGGTCATCGAAAGGTACCATACCCCAAAGAAGGATCCGCCTTGAACTCCTCAGCCCATTGTTGAATGAAATCGAGGATCCGCGTGCGCACAACCTCATGTACAGACTTGTTGGCGACCTGCTTGGTCAAAGCATCTACAAACGCTCGAGACGAGATTTCTCGCCGGAGTGTTTTGCCGCAGTTATGGACTAAGGAGTTCGACACGGTCAACGCAAATAGCACCACCTGCGGAGTATGAGGTTTAGCATAAGCAGTTTTGAGGTGATGTGACTACAACCGGACGTACGTTGACGTTGCGGTGCTGGATGCGTTTGACAAGAGCTTGTACTGCTTCGCGGGCTGCGGGCTCCGAGCTGGGGGTTGCGATGCGTCAGCACTTCTTGTACTAGAGGGCCAGAAACAAGCCAGCGATCTCACCTATCGGCCTTTTCACATATTGATATGATAAGACCCCAATCCTCCCCTGTGTTGCGTTCGCTGGTAGCTTTAACTGATGTTTGCACGTCACAAGATGAGTGTGCTGCCTCTCTGGAGAAGCGGGTGGACAGACAGACAATCAACCAGGACAGACCGACGGCACCCACCTATAAGATCGTCGACGGACATGTTGCTATCCTTGTTGTTGATTGCCGTAAAATAAAGTGGTGTTTGGGTGCCAGTTGTTTCGCACCTTTCTCACTTGGCGGGGCGGGTGGAATCCAAACGTGGCCCACTGATGACACTCGGCGCGACTCATCACTTTTCGCTTTCAGTCGATTTCAAACCCGGCGACGTTCTTCAAAAACATAGCCTTGAAGTGTTCTATTGACGAGACATACATATGGAAAGTACTGTACACTAGTATACGCCATCTGAGGGTCAAGCGGGATAAGTCTATATGATACGCCAGCGTATTGATGCAAATCTACAGATGGAAATGGGCTGAACGACCAGCGTGCAGTTCGTGAATGGAGTGGGGCATGCGAGATGGTATACATGGATGTGAACTATCGAGTCGAACGAGACGGTCGCCGAATCTAGAATCCGTGACTGGAGTTTCCGTACTTGGATTCACCCCTGTACGTCCCGTATTCACTCCGGTAACCCGGTTGCGCTCCATCACGAAGGTAAGGCTGGGTGCCATACATGCCTCCATTTCCGCTTCCATTTCCGCTTCCATTGCCCGATCCTCCCGACAGGCTGTTGCTGTTTCCATAACCATTGTTGCTGACAGGGACCTGGGAGGATGTCTGTTTGCCGTTGCCAGAGTTCTTGACGCTACCGAGGGCATAGCTGTTGGCTTCGATGGAGGTCGCGGTTTGCTGAACGACGTCGGAGACGACTTCGAAGTTGTTTTCGATGGCGAGGAAGAGGGAGCCGAAGAGGATGGCAAGGGGAGAGTCGAAACGTTGGTCGCGCTTCACGAAGGGGACGAGGGCTACGAGGGGAAAGGAAAAGGCATGGGTGAGTCGAATGAACGAAAATGATTCGCTGGAAGTGTGTGAATGGGATATACCGATGTAGGAGGCGATGAGGACGATGTTGAGGACCACAAGCAAGTGGTTCGCGATTTCTAAGGATTTCAGCTTCTTCAGGCTTCCGATGGATTGGCGGGTTTTGTAGAGCTAGAGATGTGTCGGAGGGTTAGAAGGTGCTCGGCTTTGGATCCAATGCAATGGGACAGAAGAAGCACACCTGATAAGAGAAGCACACAATGGAGCAGAGACCGTACCAGGCGGGAAGTCCCAAGTTCAAGTAACTGAACACCAGGGAGAACTGGAACGAAGCCGCGTCCCCCGTGTGTGTGTTCAGATCCATAAATCCGACAGCGAGCGTGGCGGCGCTCAAGCCGAGGGTCATGAACGCGGAGACCCAGTACAAGCTCCGTTGGCGTGCCCTCTTGGCGAGTGGCAAGGCGAATCTGACCGTCCCGGCGGTGCAGAGGGAAAACAGAGCAACGACGTAGCCGCACATTCCAAGGGCGAGGCCACCCAGCGTCCGTGAGTTCGGTGTGAGCAGGACATGCCATAGAACGGCCATGCTGAATCCGATGGCGAGGAACCCGAGAAGGAGACTCAGGGAGCGGAGATTGCGGCGGCTGAAGATGAGCCTTCGCATGCAGATAAAGAGGTTGTAGAGTACGATCGGAGCGATGGCGCCTGATGTCTGATTTGCCGAAAATATCATATCAGATCAATGGACCCCATCGGAGCGAGACGAAGCCAGGGCCCAAGAATCTTCACACTCACCAGGGCCGCCGGAGCCAGCGTGTAGGTCACCCGCTCGATGGTCGTGCCGATGACCGTCTGGATTGTGGCGCTCGTCGCATTTTTGAGGTAGGCCTGCACGTTCGGGTCCTGCAGGCAGGTTTTTGGGTCGATGGTAGCCATGTCGTTTGCGATATCAACTGGAAGTGGAGGTTCGCAGCGTCGAGGAACGTTTGCGAAGTGAGAGGCCTCCGATATCGCTGTACAGCTGTATATATGCGTGTTCTATCCGGTTTGGAGAAAAGACAGAGAATCGCCGCAACGCATGCTCGTTCACGCTGCCAGGCTGTGCGAGAGCCTTTATGGCATTATTGTGGAGCGGCGTCGTCACCCCTCCAACTCCAAACAATCGGGGATTGCCAGTGGCTGTCTGGGAACCGTGTTTGCCGTTAGTACCGATGTCCGTGCACCGGGGGTCCGTCAACTCCTACCACGGTATTCCGATGTGCAGGGTCGAAATCATTGCCCAGATTTCATGTACCAGAAGCCGGCCAAACTCTTTACGATTCCAACCTGAGGATACTACCTGCAGAAAAGCCCGTTGACGCGTAACGCGTTTGGATGGAACATCGCGTTTTCAATGATTTTTGCCTTTCTTTTCCTTGACCGTTCGATAGACAGGTAAAGGCGACAACACTACCCATCCCAGCTCATCTCTGTTGGATACATCCACTTGAATCTAACGTGCAGGGGCAAAGGCTGGGCTTTTTTCTTTCCTTCTCGTCGAAAAAATGAATTCAGCGCGTGTTCATCAGGAACGTCTTTTCTCACCGTTGGAAAGGACCGGAATGCATAGACGATATGCATTGCACAAAGCATTCTTTGGCAGCGCCGCAGCAGCGGCCGAAGGAAAAGCTGGACCGACAGTACGCGGTCCTTTTCTCTCACTTTGAGAGGAAGCACTTGCTGCTAGAGAGGATAAGGCTATTTTTCCATGACATTCAATTTCCAGGAGCAGAGTGGAGATGAAGGCAGCATACTCACTCAACGTGAATGGTATTTGGGCATATGATTCCAAAGAAGGTGCTGGACCAAGTCCATCATCAGCCATTCGGTTTCCTTTCGCAAACTAGCCCTGTAACATTACCAGAGCTAGGTCGAATAAAATCTGTGTGTTCTAGATGAGCCGTTGTCGAGAAACAAGGCTGGAGGGAATCTGGAGATCTGTGCTCTTTTGGTCAGGAAGGCACACATACTGTACGTACAGTATGTAGCTGGCTGCTTTCATCCATAGCATCCAGAGTCCAACGCACCTTGGCTCTGCCACATTGGTTTGGTCCTATTCGCAACGCAAATTTTGACGGGGCTTGCATATGAACGCGGTTTACGTCAGCAAAAAAGAACCAATGGCGTCGCTCGATCGACAGCATCGTGGATTGGGACCCCACCCGGGAACTTTAACTTCTGACACCATTGGACCTCGCACGAAATGTGAAACTCGAAAACTTGTCGGTATTCGATCTTGGTTTGTGCAGGCCCTCGTGTCGAGGACGACGGAAACCAAGCTTGAACAATGGCTGTCATCCTCGCTTACAAAGGTTATACCGCCCGCTCCGCCGTGAGCGCGGCCAGCGTCGTTGAGCACTTGCTCCATTGGGCATCCGTCCTACGGCAGCTCACAAAAATGCGTTCGGTGGATACCGTTGCCCTAACATCGATACAAAGCGTAGGTTGATGTTACCGCATGTAGCGATGCATGAGATCTCTTGAAGGACCCGAGCGAAGGAATGACGCCTGCAGCGAGGTGAAAAAGGGTATTTAAGAAGGCGCCAAACTCCACATTCCCCCAGTTCATCCCCATTCGCGACATCTCAAGCATCACAGCCATGTTAGTCAAGTCAGCTCTTCCCCTTTTGGCCTTGGCCACCAGCGTCGCTGCCCACGGCCGGGTGACATCTCCCGTCGGACGCACCGTCGGTCCGGCGTACCAGACAAATTGCGGAAACGCCATCTTCAACACCCAAGCCGCCGATCCCAACGGCAATGTGCAGGACTTGATGCAGAAGTTGCCTGCCGGTACGGATCCCTCTAAGTGCAACCTCCAGCTTTGCAAGGGATATTCGTTTGCGGACAACGTCGACCGCGTGGAGTCCTACACCGCTGGCCAAGTCGTTCCTATTACGGTCGACATTCGTGCACCCCATACTGGTACCGCCAACGTCTCCGTTGTCGACCTCGCCACGAACACTTTGATCGGAAAGGAGTTGATCTACTTTTCCGTCTACGCGTCGACGAGAACTCCTGCAGTCGCTGCCGAGCGCAACTTCGCCGTCACCATCCCCGACTTGGGTGGCAAATGCACAAAGCCCGGACAATGCGCTCTCCAATGGTGGTGGGATTCCCGCGAAGCCAACCAGACCTACGAGAGCTGCATTGACTTTGTTGTTGCTGGGAGTACCGCCCCAAAGCCTAGCACGGCTGCTCCCGTCCCAAAACCTACCACCGCCGCTCCCATTCCCAAGCCTACCACCGCCGCCCCTCAACCCAAGCCGACAACCGCGGCTCCCGTTCCTAAACCCTCCACCGCTGTCCCCAAGCCTAGTCAAACCCGCCGGACCAGGACGCGTGCCACTCCCAAGCCCACCGCTACCACCGCGCCACCACCTGCACCCAAACCCACCACTGCTCCAGGCACCACCCGTTGCGCGGATGTTCAGCCCCAGTGCTGGGACCAGCAGCGCCAGCTGTGGAACGACTTCAACGCATGCATCTCCAAGCAAGGCATGTCAGTTGCGTGCACGGCCATTCAGAACAAGGCCGTCGCAAAGGGCACCGAGTGCAACAGCTTGAAGTGCACATGGTAGATGCGCATACCCGCATGTAGATATCCCCATTTGTATAAATCCACCCTAGAATTTGAACGATCCACTGAGCTACGCAACTCAATAGAGACTCCCTAAACGGATATAGATAGCGTTGGTAATCCGATAGAATTTCCTTCAATGGCAAATTGCCAATAGTACAGTACAGTACACACATTTCGGACAAAACGCGTGAAACCTAATTTGAAAACCTGGACGCGCGTCGTAAAAAGCTTCGAACGCGTCAGTTTAGCATTGTGGACCTTTCCCGCATCGCATCTGAAAGACCAGTAGCTTTCACATGCTTCTCCTCCCATTCCGTTGCGCATCGTAACGTCATCCTTTCATGTTGACCCTTGGGTCTGGCCCGGTATTTCATCTCGGAGACTTTCCCTCCTCCTCCGGCGTGTCTTCTCCAGTGAGTCGGGCTCTCCCGAAGCCTGAGCGAAAGAAATACGAAGCAAAGTCAGATACTCGCACCCAGAAATTGAACCAAATGTTGTGCACGGATCTTGAGGCTATGCCGGTGGAGCGACCGCTTCGGATAGCATTTTATATTAGTGGACATGGTGAGTGGCACCAATCAACCTATCGGTTCATTCAAATCATTTCGGCTGAATACCTAAATTTCTGTTTCGTATGGGATTCTTCTTCCAATGCCAGGTTTCGGACATGCTACGTATGTAATTGATGTTTCTCTTTGCCTGCTTTTCATGAGCGCAGGGCTGCTTCCCTCATGCACTCTTCTTCATCAAATGCCTCCACTAGACGGGCAACGGTCACCATCCGGTATCTTCTCGAGCTAGGCCACTATGTCACCATCGTGAGCTCGGCGCCATCCTTCATTTTCCTGGGCTTGCTCGAAGAATACCTCAGCTGCACATTAAGGAGCATCGCGACTTTGGATCCCGGTGTGGTGCAGAGAGACCCCGTCACGGTGGATGTGGACGAGACAATGCGGCAATTGGAGCTGTTTCTGGAAAGCGCGGAGACCGTAAAGGAACAGGAGGCAGTGTGGATGGAAAATGAGCGGTTGGACGTAGTGTGCTTGGATGCACCGTTTTTGCCAGCGGTTGTTGCAAAGGTATGATGAAGGTAACGGCTGGAAGGGCATCCGACAGTGTTCTGATAACGGGTCCATCCCTTTCCATTTTCAAAAGCAAGTGGGCATTCCTTCCGTCATGATCACCAACTTCACCTTCGACGCCATCTTCTCCGCCATCGGAACCACGGATCACCACAAACGGCTGGTTCAACAGTGTGCAGAGATGTACGCAGACGCAGACTACCTCCTCCGCATGCCTGGCCACATCCCAATACCATCCTTCCAAGATCGCCCATCACAAACCATCGAACTTCCCCTCATCGTCCGCAAAGCACGCATGCCGCCCGCCCAAGTCCGCAGGACTCTCGACATCCCCCCATCAGCGCCATGCGTCCTGATTACCTTCGGCGGCTTCGAGATCGGCGGGGACGCGCTCACGGCAGTGCAGGTTCTTCCGGACGGCTGGTACGGCCTGGTGGCCTGCCCCTTTGCGGGTGTCGACGCCTCCGGCCGTCTGCGCCGCATTCGGACCGAGAAATGGTACATGCCAGATTTGCTCAACGCGGCGGATGTAGTTCTTGGCAAATGCGGGTATGGAACGTGCTCCGAGGTGGTCGCTCACAACGTACCACTTGTGTACGTGCCGCGATCCGGCTTTGCGGAGGAGGAAGGCCTGGTGGAGAATCTGATGAAGCCGTACGGATGCAGCGTCGAGATGCCGCAGTCAGATTTCTACAAGGGGAATTGGGCGGAATACATTTTGCGGGCTGCCGAGCTGCAGGACTCGGAGAGTATTAGGCATAGAATTGAGGACGATGGTGAGGCCCTCGCGAGCGAGCTGGTCGTGTCAATTGCGAGGAACGGACTGGTGGTATAGACGGTGATGGCTTCTTCCTCCCTTCTGCATGCTTAAACTACAATAGAGTATCTCAGGACTTTTTGGACATTTATCGCTTTTCATTGCTTTGATCCTACGTGTTGGTAAGCTTGGACGATGTGCCTATGTGGATGTGTGTATATTTGTAAGATAATTACATGGGCTCGATAATGTGTATGGTACACTTCTCCCTGATTTCCAACGAACGTCCGAGTCATGTTACTGCTTTCGGCCGGATGCTTCATCAAATGACATTCGACAGCGGGCTCAAGTCTCCTTCCACCTCAACCGCTTGCACGGCGTAATGCACTTCTGTCCCCGCCAGGAAGGATGCATCCGCCCAGAGACATCCTTGTGTCACGACATCGCCTATTGAGACGTTATCAAGCACACCCGTTGCAAGCGGCATCTCCATCCCATTGAACGATGTGGAGTTCCCTCTGAACACCATATACGGAGCCGCCCAAGAGCTCCCTCCCATTCACATGTGGCTCACCCCAATCCCTTTTTTGCCCGTCCAAACGGCGTCGGAAACGCGTCAATGCACTTACCTAAGATGGACTTTTAGCTCCTGAGCACTCGAAGGATGGCGCTTTCGTGGAGAGCACCTTGCATTTCCTTCTTTCGGAAACATAGCCGGCATCCGTCTCAGATCCCTCCGGTCCCTTGGGTCCGCCACATGCCGGCGCACGCTCAGTTCAAAAGAACGTGACAACGTGCAGCAATAGGTCAGCTCCAGCGGGTGCCCCGGACCGTACATCTCTGAATTCTTGCACTTTGCAGTAGACGTGGTGGGCATCCCATCTACTGCACCATCTTACCGCAAGCAACGTTTCAGCAGCGGTTATTTCGATTCAGGGCGTCCAGATGCATACGCAAACGGTCGGTCGCGTCCGGACTGCAGCGGGGATTGGCGGCGGATGCGCAGACGCTGTCGCAAATTTTACTTATTGACAAAAACCTAAACAATCAGCGTACCAGTGCGGGGAATTAGCTCAAATGGCAGAGCGCTCGCTTAGCACATATCGCCTAACATGCGAGAGGCAGGGAGATCGATACTCCCATTCTCCACTCTTTTGCTTCGCTCCCGTTGTCCTAAAAGATACCTTTTTCCTCATTTGACGAGCGTTTTGCGGTTTGGAGTGCGCGGTGTGAAATGACGAAAGTACCGACGATTTTCTCTCACCAGTTCCTTTTGCTTCCAAGTTGGATATCGATTTGGAGTTTTTTTAATGAGTCTGGTGCACGGATGGACGGGATGGCGATGATTTTTACGTATCCTTCCGCCGTGTTTGGGATATAAAGATCATCCTTCTTGAAATCGGGGTTCAATTAACATTCATGCCCGGACAAGCGGCCAGAGGCATCCTGCAGTTCTTCACGGGCCCGCTCCTCCACGGCCTGATTTGTTCCTAGTCCGTCCCGGATCCTGTGTACAGCAATTGTATTGGGAAGGTCTACAGCGTCTTCATGCTAATATAATCAAGCCTAGATAGAGGCGCAAGATCTAACCAGAGTTCTATGGATCTAGATGCTGGTGTTGGGTCCAATCCAGAAAGCATACACTCAGTGAAGGTATGAGCGTCTCAAAAGCTCTTTCGCCTCGTATCGGAACCTCTGGTTCGCCACACCGCCGATCCCAAACGCCGCAAAGATGCGTCCTATTCTAGCGGCCGTTGATTTCGCATACTCCTTTTGCACCTGGGCTCGCCGTTGCGGTGGAGTTGCGTCTGGTCGGTTGTACAAGTCCATGCCCAACAAGTGAAGCGGCGTCGAGATGAATTGGACCGCGCATGGTGTGATCAACTGTGCGGCGACTTCAGCGGTTCCTTTGCTTATGCCGAACGAGGATGTCATCTCTGCAGCCAGAACTGGTGGAAGGTTGAAGGAGGCGAACACAGTCATGACATCGCGCGTGGTGTAGAGCCCATAGGAGCTCCATGGGACAGGTTTCGAGGCGCCAGTGCCGAACCATCTATCGCGGAGCACGATCAGCTGACTGCAAAAGTGGGCCCCAGGCATCTCTCATCACTCACTTTGTGAAGGTAGCATCTTTGCCCACACACAACCCAACATTCGCGATACTCGTTCCTATGAACTTTGGATAGAACCAATCCCAGCCCTCATAATCGCACACAGACTGTATTGTATTCGCCGTGAGGTACGTTCCAGCGTAGACCCCAAACATGAGCAGAGTGGCGGGTTGCTTCGCGAGCGATAGCGGATTGGTGAAGAGAGTCTTGAACCCGGAAACAAGACCCGCCAGGAGCGGCTGCGTTCCAGATGCATTCAGGAATATGGAACGGTCGACGATAGTGATGATTGGCGCTACTAGGGCTGCTGCACCGAAGGCTGCACTAGCTTCGGCGGCGAGAGTGTATGAGAGCGGGATGCGCTCGTGATGAGCCGCGGGCTTTACTGCTGAGGACATGGTCGATGGCGAGTCTCGTAAACTATCCGAACGTTGGACGGATTTGTAACTCGGGGGCCTGAACAAGGACAGGGTTCGGCGGGTTTGAACGTGCGGATATTTGTAAGTTTTCAGACAAAGCTTATCAGGAGCATGGTGAAGCGCACCCGTGCTTTTCAATCGTTGAGCTCGTACCTGCAAGCGCTCGCCTTACGGGTGATCACAACAGCTTCAACAGCGCTCCAAAACCACCCTGCTCCTCCTTCGTCGTCCTGGAGGTATATATCACGAAGTCGGAGTACAAAACTGCCAAAAAAAACAAGCTGCCGAAGGAAAGGGGCAGAAGGTCACGCGAAAGCCCAACGTCATAACCCCACTCACGCGACCACAACCAACATCGTAAACGTATTCATACCGGACATCTGGGGTCCAACGTCAGCGCTGCAAACGACTCTACGACGATAACGAAGCAGCGGCCGCGTGAGGCAAAAGCAGATGCCGACCAGCGCCAGTTCGGTATCGAGGTCGCTTCCCGATATAAGCGTCAATTCCAGAGCTCAAAGTGGGAGTCGACCGTCCGCGGCCGGGGTGAATATCGTTGGAAGGCCTCGGAATCCAAGTTCGGGCAGCTCGCGCACTCGCCTGCCGGCTGCCAAACCGGACAGTGAGCAGGTGGAGCACGCGCGGAACTATGTTCCTGACAATAATGGGGTGCGGCAACGGAGTTCGCAGGTTGGAGAGATGAGGGTTCGGAGTCTGGAGGTGTTGAACAATACAAGGCCAACGGGCAGGAGACGTTTATTACTGCCCCCTCGTGAGAACGCTGTGGGAGACTTTTCGACGAGGAGAGCCAGAGGAGCAAGCACTGGGGAGCGTTCGATAGGTGTGAATGGGCCCGAAGCTGTATCGGGAGAGCAGACGACCAGGTTACCCTTGCTGGTTGTGGAAACGCCGAAAGAGGAGTCCACACGGTTAGCGAAAGGCGTGGAAACGGATGCAGGAGCGCGTAAGCCAGAGACGGGTGCAGAAAAGCGGAGCAGCAATGAGCCGGCGACAAAAAATGAAACCTCAGGGTCGGATGAAGCGTTGAATGCAGCATATGCGTCAACGGAGCCTGTAAGCAATGTCACAGAACATCGGTCGTCCCTGGGTGGGCGATACATGGTGGTTCGCCCCTGGGGCTCACGGATTCGAAGCAATCCAGATTTGAGTGGGGGTGCAGATGCAAGCAACGAAACAGATACGGACGCATCTGCTCGACGGCGTTCAACCAGCTCTCGTGTCCAGCCAACCATCTGGCGAGTCAACAGCGCTGGGGAAATCGTACGTACATTGGGTGGACCACCGCAGCCAGTGGAAGCCACCCTATGCCGCCCGCCATCAAGTTTAGCTTCGCAAATTTCATTAGAGAATGCTCTGAACGGCACATACACATCCCCCAACACGCTTTCAGCTTTGAAGTGCAGATACCCCACTTACGCCGCACCGTTCCGTGCCAGTCATTCCTTTGCTTATGCATCCACGTCTACACTCGCGCTGGATGATCCATTCCATACCATGGTGATGGACGCACCACAAAGGCGACTGATACATTTGGCGTCAAGAACATTGGCTGGAATGGCAAAGGGGTTGTCGACAACGACTGCAACCACGACGCTCGCGTCTCCATCATTGTTCATACCATTGCCATTACTGCGGTGGGCGGCCATAGATCCCGAAGAGGCAGCACAGGATATCATCAACAGCGCCGACAGCGATGATGGCACAGGCCCCTCATCAGACAGTCCGCGGACGGATGTATTCACAGATTTTGAGCGCACAGATGTTGTTAGCAGACAACGCTCTACGCACCGAGAAGCGCTCAGCCTACCAGGCACAGCACGCCCATCGTCAAGCGTGAATGGACTGGAGATGATGTTGATGTTGTTGGAAGGGTTGGAACCTCTGTTGCGTAGTGGTAGCGGATCCTCGTCTGAAACACAACCTGGAAGACGGGAAGGTCGCAGCGCCAATCGATTCTTTTCTTCTCTTGCAGATAGACATTAGGATTAGTGCAGATAGTCAGTGGACCTCCCAGTCTTCTTTTTGGATAGTTTGCAGTCTGCATGTTTTTGGGGTCTTCGAGGAGACCTTGTCGCGTCCATCTATGAAATTCACCACGCAAGTGAACATGACAACTTCCACTGCATTGGCTTCGTTTGTGAGCGTTCACAGCGGTTACAGAAACAGCAAATAACGACATGTCCTCACGAAGGCCGCCCCGTGATTCGAGTATAGATGCCTCCAGAGGATCTCGCCGGCATTCGAGGGACAGGTCGCGGAGGGACAGGTCTTCATCACCTAGAGAAATAAAGAGGGAGAGGCACAGGGATAGGTCTTCATCACCGAGAAACTTCAGACGGGAGAAGAACCGGGATAGGACCGGATCGCCGACAGATAAAAAGAGGGATAGACCGCACAGGGATAGATCTGTATCACCGAGAGGAATAAAGAGGGAGAGCGAGAGTCCACGAGGGAGGCGCTCCGATTCTAGGGATGCTGACAGACGACCACATGACGAAGCGAGAGATCGACGAAATGGCGAAGGTAGAGCAACTTACGGAGGAAAGGACTCCCACATGAGTATGGACTGCTCACATATCCCGAACGTCTTCTCCGCACAGATACGGAAGGAAACCGCCAAAGGACTATGTCGGACTATGTCAGCCAATTGAAATCGGAATATGCAAGGTATTTATGCCCATTCCGCCTGGCGGGTGTCATTTCCCTCATGCTTTCCAAAAGAACTCAAGTCGCTCAGATGCCTTACCTGTTAGCCAGGACGTGGACGAGTCAGGACCCTCTGCACCGCGAGTGGAGAAGGAGCAGCCCAACTTCAACGTGTCGGGAGCTCTGGCGGCAGATCAGAATACCTTCAAGGGCGTAGTACTGAAATACAGGTGAAAGGATGTTTTCCGGCCGCCTTGATACCTGTCGGGGTTTTGAAACTGACTGAAGCTGTGATGCGTAGTGAGCCTCCAGAAGCACGAAAGCCAAAGGAGCGATACCGGCTGTACGTATTTAAAGGGAAGGAACAGATAGGTGAGCTCACAACTCCCGCTGTGAAGACTTACGATAACGGTTACTCAAGGAAGTTCGTCATAGATCTGCTACATATACATCGCCAAAGCGCATTCCTTCTCGGTCGTGATCGCGTGGTATGTCCTCGAAACGGCAGAGGCGACATGAAAAGTGGATACGGGAATGCTAACGGCAAAACAGGTTGCAGACATACCCGTCGACCACCCCTCATGTTCGAAACAACATGCCGCCATACAGTATCGTCAGATAGTCGAAACAGATCCGCTGGGACAAGTCACGAGGACTGTGAAGTGCGGACACCCCCCCTGCTCCTCTCCCGTGCATGGACCAGACTGACGTACTATGTCGATTACAGACCTTACATCATCGATCTGGATTCGGCTAATGGAACGTTCATCAACAACAGCCGGATTCCGGGATCGCGTTATGTGGAGCTGAAGGTTGGCGACACGATCAAGTTCGGTTTCAGCAGCCGGGACTACGTGCTGTTGAGCGAGGAGGTGGCCGATTGAGGAAAACGGCTTAAGGAGAGGGACACTACTGGAAGGAGCAGAATTTTCGAGTTCCGGTTGCACATTTGAACTTCCGGGCTACCCCCATGGGCCGAATCCTGCCACAGAGCCGATTTCACACAGTTGAAGCCATATTAATAGGGGACGTACGCGCGTCAAAGTTGGAAGGCACTGCGAAAGCTCAAAGCTCCGAATATATACGACTAGTCACATCTTACGCATCGGTAGGCTAAACGAGCTATCTACATCCTTGTATAAGAGCGCTAGGGAAGGGATATATTTGGCATCGGCCGGGAACCTGTACATAAAGCTGGCAGCCATCGGATGGCGTGCCCTGCTTTCGGTCACTTTATTGTGCGTAATCAGCGCTTAAAGAAAGATCTCGCCTGTCAATAGGATAAGCAAATGGTCTGAAATCAAAAGCTCGCATGATGTTGACCGAAGGATTCAGCTTGTTACGCACCTTCTTCACAGGAGGGGTTGGTTCTAAAATTTCGTTGTCGTCATCGTCCAGAGGGAGGTTGCCAAGCTCTCTCGAGCGACGACCACGGTTCTGCTGGGCTGCCAATGACGGAAGCCCCGCAGGTTTTTGAAAAGCACCAGGTGCGGGCCTTTGTCCGTCATCTGGAAAGCTATTTGAGACGTGCGTGGTGGTTGTGCCAGGTGGGGAAGCGATTGCCATCTGGCGTAGCTCTGCTTCTCTTCGACGGCTGTTCCGTAATTCCGCCATCAGTTCCAGCATTGCTGGACCTTTGCGGGGAGGCGATGGCGGAAGTTCCTCGTCGTCGTCGTCATCCGCCCCCGGTCCAGTATCCAGCGCTGGATTAGAGGTTTGATCGAACCGATCTTGTCGACTGTCATCATCCTCTTGATCTCTTCGTAGTATCGGGATTCGCTGACGTTGAACTGGCTCCACATCTCCAATAGTGTTTTGCTTACGCGCTTCCGCATGAGAGAGGGGGGCAGACGAACGCGGCGTAGCGGCTGCTGTTCGTGGTCCTCCCTGAGCCGCTTGGGTTCCCTCGTGTACTGGTGTGGTTTGATTTTGCTGACTCTGCCGTGCCCTCGCATCCTCCTCCTCCGCGTCTTCGTCGAAGGGGATGGTTGTGGCTATGACAAGGTCAAATACATACAGGTCGGGCGCTTGTGTTACTGTGAAAATGACAGGGCTACCGGGGTCTTTCATCAGCTGAAGCCATATATTGGAGACCTCTCTGCTCACAACTAACTTCTGTGCTTACCTACCGGCCTGGTCGAAAAAGGCCGAAACTGGTTGTCCCATGGCATCAGCAAAGGTAAGAATGGCCTAGTGGAATGAGATATTAGGGGTTTTACGAAACAGTTGAACTGATTGAGGCCCGACCCACCTTGAAGTTCTTGAGATCAAATATGACGGATGTATCATTGGCCACTTCGTATTTATCAAAGTCTTCGATGTCTATCTGCAGTTCCGTTTGCAGTGTTCGATTCGCTAGATGATCGTCCTCGTCCGCTGCTACCGCCTCGGTGAAACTTCGTAAGGCTATCCAATCAGCTCCACACCGCATCGCGATTTCTTCGAGCCGGCTATGAAAATGGTTCAACCAGTCGTGGGTGATTTTGCTGCTTATTGTCCACTTGTGTCTCGCGGCATTCTTGCTATACACCGCGGCTAATGGGTCGCACAGCTCGAAGTGGAGCTTGTGTGTTTTCAAAACGCCTATTGCAAGTGTTGTGTTGTGAGCCCGGGCTTGGTCAGCTGCAGCAGACGTTACCTTACCATATTTGCACTGCAACTGAATGACCAGACGGTCTTCGTTCCCATTGCATTGCAGTCTGATTCGGCAGCTCTCTACGTTGTCGACAGTGTTTTTCGCCCGAAAGATGTTCAAAAGAGGCTGAGACGGAAGGCCGCCTTTTAGTCCTCAGCACTGGACCTAAATCCCATAGCCGCACGCGCAGATCACCTTGAGGAGCACATGACAGGAGCTGGCGGCGACACCTGTGCTTCCGGAAGCACCCGCTTGACTGCCAACCGAGTAGCGTTCGAAGAAACCCATTCGCAGCGCATAATGGGCACAAGCTGAGCGCGAAGCGTTCACAGTGGCGAGTAGCAGCTATCCGAGACTCTCCGTTAAACAAGCTTCCTCAGGATTTCAATTCTCGTACCAGCGGTTGAGGAAGAGCAGTTAAGCATACTTTGTTGGGACGAGGTTGGATATATAGATCCTCTCCAATCTTTGCTAGACACTGCAGAATTCGCGCGAACGCTGTGATGGGTGTAGTTCAGCGCTTAGGCACATCGCCATCCAAAGCACAAAACAGAAACCAAGGCTCACGCTTTAGTGCTACCGCCGGTAGCACGGCCTCCATCCTCGTTTTTCTTGCGTATATATGTAAGCTCCACGACTGACTTTCCCACGTCGGAGTGTTGCCCAGGACGAAAATACAAAAGCGAACCTACGAGACGTTCGAACAGGATTCATGAACAGGTTGAGACCCGTCAAAGTGGCTGGCTAGTCCATTGACTGCAACGTGGCTTGTCTCGAAAGTAACTCCGCCGACTCGGAATTGACGGGACGGAGCACAACGGTTTCGTGTCTCCCAGAAGTCTAAATATGGGCACGTATCTGGTGCGCCATCCATTTCTTTACGTCCTTTTTGAATGCTTCATTATTTGAATCTGAGAAATGTCTCCCATGTCTGCAATGCTGGTGCGGGAATAGCAACTGTGTGTCGATTTGGCTTGAAGGATAGACGGCAGGCATGGGGTGACGAGATGTTTTTCATTGCGCTCAATACTGCGTAGGTGTCAGTTTGCTCAACCCAATCCCGGGTTTGCCTCAGCCAAAACTTTCCAATAAGTATTTGCGCACGAACCACACGGAGGAACACGAAGTTTCCTCTTTAGTAAAGCAACTTCAAGCTGTTCAATCCGCGCGCGTACCTCTCAACGCCAAATACCCGAGACGAATCCGAAAGTGACCGTCCCTCCGATGGCATCTACTGAATCGAAAGTAGTCAAAAAGACAGCGCTGCAAGAGAAGCTCGGTGCCTTACGTGGTGCATTTTCGAAAAAAGGATCGAGCTCCTCAGAGATTGTTTCTCCTGACGACGACATGAACCATTCTCTGCCTTCCCCTACATCTCCTGGTGGCCAAGGAAAATATGTTACGAATAACCTGCCTGCGCTGCCGACCCGCGCGAGCGATACGACCCTTGCAGCTTCTGGTCAGCGAAGTTCAAAACCAGCTTCGTCAGCGCAGGGATATCAGATGTACTCCATATCCAGTGGAGCCTCTCAGTCATCCACCGATGTCTACAATTCGGGATCGTCGTCCTTGCCACGCCAGACCACCAATCTAACGAAAGGCAAAATGGCCCACGGCTCGATGCCTTTGGGGACAGAACGATTGAAAATACCGGCAGGTGGAAAGGCCATTAGCGAAGACACGGGATCTGAAGAAGAGCTGGACCAAATTTCAGAACTGAAGCTCAACAGCCCAACGGCGGCATCGAGTGCCATGCTAAGTGGACAACGGAGCGGAAGTGTAGACACCCTGAACGCACAGGCTGGGACACCCGCAGATTCAAGCCTGGGTAGTCAGAGCGGGGGCGCAAAGCACCATAAATCGCTTCCGAAGATTACAACGCTTTTCATGCCGAAGAAGAACCGTGCTTCCAGCGCCACGCCTGGCTGCGATTCGGGTCTTATGTCTCCCGTTTCACCAAGCATTGGGAATCTGCCGTTAACGCAGAACTCCCGAAAGGGTACTCTGTCTGCCTACGAAATGGGTCCCAATGCAGCCCCGGGCCTTCACCGCGACTACAACCTCGATGACTTCCATATTGTTCGGAGAGTTGGCAAAGGTGGATTTGCCAATGTTTTCCTTGTTCGGTTGAAGCATTCGACGGGACGGTACTACGCTCTCAAAGCAATCAAGAAGCACGATGTTGTGAAGATGAAGCAAGATAAACAAGTCATGAACGAAAAGAACATTCTACGGAACATCGATCACCCCTTTATTGTCGAGTTATACCATACATTCCAGAATCCAACTTATCTGTTCATGACCATGGAATACGTCGCTGGAGGGGACCTGTTTTCGTACTTGAGGAAAGCCCAGGTATGTTCAGTTCTGATGTTTCTGCCCAGGCTGACTTCTCAATCAAAACCGCACTCTGATATTACGTATCTATCAGCGCTTTTCCGAGGAAGCTTCTCGCTTCTACGTATCCGAAGTTCTCATCTCCTTGGAATACCTCCACACGAACAAAATCATCTACCGAGACCTGAAACCTGAAAATATTCTTCTGGATACGACTGGCCACGTAAAGCTCGCGGATTTCGGGTTCGCCAAGGTCGTGAACAAAACCACTCAATCTTTCTGCGGTACTCCTGACTACATCTCGGTCGAAATCGTGGTCAATAAGCCGTACACCAAAGCGGTCGACTGGTGGTCGCTCGGTGTCCTCGTCTATGAGCTCATTTCCGGCAAAACACCCTTCGGCGATGAATCGTCCGACCGCATCTACGATAACATCCAATCCGGACGAATAAAGTGGCACCCTCTAATCAAGGGCCACGCCAAAGAGCTCATCCGTCGATTACTGGACATCGACCCCGAGAAGCGATTGGGAAGTAATGGTGACGGCGCCGAGATCAAGCAGCATCCTTGGTTCAAGCCGGTGATTTGGAAGAAGGCTGAAGCTCGCCAGACCGTTCCTCCTTTCGTGCCGCCGTGCCAGGCTCCCGAAGTCATCGAGCAGGATGGTGTTGCGCGCGGTGTGAAGTCCGATGAGTACATGGAAGCCTTGAAATCGCCAGTGTCCACCAACGGATTCTTCAGGCCTGATCCCTTCGTTGAGCTGTTCAAAGACTTTTGACGAGGGGGATCTCCGCCCTTCTTCATTGACTGGACAGGACACCTTCTATCCCTGTTCGAAATTTTGGATATTACCGGATGCTTCTAGATGGTAGTTTCGTAGTACCATCGGTAGGGTATTAGGGACTGGCAGGGCAAGCGGATCGGTTTGACGATAATGTTTAGGTTTCTGTTCTTAATTTATACCCGTTATAAGTGGGTTTAGAGTTGCTTCTTTGAACGTGACGCTTGGCCTGGGTCAAATTTTGATCGACACCGGAAAAACGAAACTTGTTTGATTTACATGTCTTGATCAAAGAAAATTGCGAAATAGCGCTACCTTTCCACTCCCACGTGCAATTGCTGGAGCATCGTAGACCCTTTTCATAGTCTCCCTCCCAGGCAATGTGAGGTCAAAAAAGCAGGAGAAAATTCCGTTAAGGCAAAGTTTGACGGGCAGACGCGCTGTCGAATGTCCTGCACAAACGCGTCATATATCCAGGCGTGGCCAGGCCCGATGGGGACTTTTCCTGCATATTTCCGCTTGGCCCGTGCCTACGCTCCTTCCGCCTTTCCTCAAAGACGCAAAGGGCGGTTGTACGGCACCTAGTTCAATCTGATGGCACCTAGTTCAATCGCAAAGGTGTCAAGCTGATGGCAGTTTTTGTTTCACGCCGGATCCCGCCCTCACTATGGCGTACACCGGAACCCAGCCCAGCTGGGCCCCGTATACGAACATGCAGACCGTTGGGGTGCGGGCCAAAGGCTCTGCATAGACTCTCTGAGTACTATAAAAGCCCGAGTCAGCATCTCCGCCCTCTCACCTGGAGGGATCAAGAATTTCGACTGAGACAATTTATTTTGTAGCGGAGGAATACCAAGGACGCACCTTAGACCATCGAACCAGCGAAATGCACATTCAAGCACTATCAATTGCGCTCGCAGGCGTTGCTGGCATCTCCGTCAACGCTGCTCCTGCACGTCAAAGAGCGCCGGCCGCCATCCAACTTCGTGATGTAGCCACTGGCACTACCACTGGCACATGGACCGAAGCGGCAGCTGCTCCTGCTGCAACACTTGCCGAACGCGACGTGGCGGAATTCGTAGCGCTCAACCGCCGCCAGTTGCCTGGAATTACAGAGTTGCCCGCACTTATTACTGAGGCGGCAACCGCCACCGCTGCGACCGCTACCGAAACTGCCGTGCTTAGGAGGCGCGATCCGGCGGTTCTCCGTCGCCGACAAGTCACGGTCGAACCCATTCCTCCCCCGGTCCCCATCCTCCCTCTTCCCCCGGTAGCATCTCTCGAAGCAGCCATTACATCCACCGCTTCGGCTACCGCTACCGCCACGGCCGCAGCGGAACGCATCCGCCGCCGGGTTCCGACCATTCCAGACATCCCCGCTATCATCCAGACGGCCATCGCAGATTACTTTACCCTTGGTGCCGCAACGTCGACAGTGACCGCCACTGCAACCCCTATTGATGTAAAACGTTACCGTCGCCAGGAGGTTCCCCGCATCCCTCTCGATGCGCTCCAGGAGGTTCCCAGCGTCCCTCTCGATGCGCGCCAGGAGGTTCCCCGCATCCCCCTCAATGCGCGCCAGGAGGTTCCCCGCATCCCTCTCGATGCGCGCCAGGAGGTTCCCCGCATCCCTCTTGATGCGCGCCAAGAAGTTCCCGATGCCATCGAGACCTTCATTGACGAATTGATCCCGACTCCTACCACAACGGCGACCGCATCGGCGACAGCAAATGTAGCGGAAGGCGTCATTAACAGCCGCCGCGTTCGTCGCCAAGTGCTTCCGGTATCTCTTATCCCAGCGATCGAAAGCCTTATTCCAACGGAGATCTTGGCCCCATCAACCACGGCCACTGCAACCGCGGCGGCGGCGGTTACCCCGGTCCTTCGAGTGAGGGCGCCGGCTATGCTCAACAACGAACGTCGACAAGTCCTATCCTTGCCGGCCATTATCATCCCCTTCCCGGTGACCACCACCGGCACCGCTACCACAACCGCAGCGGCGGCTACCATCGTACCAGCTCTGACGGTTGTGGCCTAGGGTCGTGAACCTTTGATGGGACGTGGGGTAGAGATTTGGGTCGGGAACTATGGATGCGACTACATTGGGTGGACATTTATACATTTTTGTGCAATGGACCGCTATTCCACATCCGTCTATTCTTCATGTACAAAGAAGCATGCTATATAATATTTTTTCAATTCAATTTGCTCTATGAAACTTGCTCTTACCTCATGCCTCGCCCGAATGACCTGTGAACGTCGAGGTTGAAGATGCATCCACTAGACTGCATATGCACCAGGCCTTGTTCAGGCAGCAAAGGACGATCCGTGAATTCCACATACCGCAAACGGAAAAGGAGGCTACCGATTCACGCCCATTCAGCCGTTCGCAATCCCCCCGGTCTGCATTTGCCAGCCTGTGCTGCCAGCAGGTTGTATTTGGTGAAGATCTGTTCTTTAGCAGCCCGGTCGAGCCTTCATATGGTCCAGCGCCGAAGGGCATAGTGCCAGCACATCATGTTTGTGAGCCGTAAGTGTCGGCGTAATCAGCAAATGCGCTTGAACAATTGTATTCTACCGTCTGTCCTTGAAACAACAAGCCAAAGTGTCTGCGTAATCTGCAAATGCGCTCAGAGAACTGTATCCCACCGTCTGTCCTTGAAACAACAGGCCAAAGTGGTATAGTGGCAGCACATCACGTTTGTGAGCCGTAAGTGTCTGCGTCATCTGCAAGTGCTCTTGGATATTTGTATCCCAGCATCTGGCCTTGAAACAACAAGCCAAAGTGTCTGCGTAATTTGCAAATGCGCTCAGAGAACTGTATCCCACCGTCTGTCCTTGAAACAACAGGCCAAAGTGGTATAGTGGCAGCACATCACGTTTGTGAGCCGTAAGTGTCTGCGTCATCTGCAAGTGCTCTTGGATATTTGTATCCCAGCATCTGGCCTTGAAACAACAAGCCAAAGTGTCTGCGTAATTTGCAAATGCGCTCAGAGAACTGTATCCCACCGTCTGTCCTTGAAACAACAGGCCAAAGTGTCTGCGTAATCTGCAAATGCGCTCAGAGAAACTGTATCCCACCGTCTGTCCTTGAAACAACAGGCCAAAGTGGTATAGTGGCAGCACATCACGTTTGTGAGCCGTAAGTGTCTGCGTCATCTGCAAGTGCTCTTGGATATTTGTATCCCAGCATCTGGCCTTGAAACAACAAGCCAAAGTGTCTGCGTAATTTGCAAATGCGCTCAGAGAACTGTATCCCACCGTCTGTCCTTGAAACAACAGGCCAAAGTGTCTGCGTAATCTGCAAATGCGCTCAGAGAAACTGTATCCCACCGTCTGTCCTTGAAACAACAGGCCAAAGTGGTATAGTGGCAGCACATCACGTTTGTGAGCCGTAAGTGTCTGCGTCATCTGCAAGTGCTCTTGGATATTTGTATCCCAGCATCTGGCCTTGAAACAACAAGCCAAAGTGTCTGCGTAATTTGCAAATGCGCTCAGAGAACTGTATCCCACCGTCTGTCCTTGAAACAACAGGCCAAAGTGTCTGCGTAATCTGCAAATGCGCTCAGAGAAACTGTATCCCACCGTCTGTCCTTGAAACAACAGGCCAAAGTGGTATAGTGGCAGCACATCACGTTTGTGAGCCGTAAGTGTCTGCGTCATCTGCAAGTGCTCTTGGATATTTGTATCCCAGCATCTGGCCTTGAAACAACAAGCCAAAGTGTCTGCGTAATTTGCAAATGCGCTCAGAGAACTGTATCCCACCGTCTGTCCTTGAAACAACAGGCCAAAGTGTCTGCGTAATCTGCAAATGCGCTCAGAGAAACTGTATCCCACCGTCTGTCCTTGAAACAACAGGCCAAAGTGGTATAGTGGCAGCACATCACGTTTGTGAGCCGTAAGTGTCTGCGTCATCTGCAAGTGCTCTTGGATATTTGTATCCCAGCATCTGGCCTTGAAACAACAAGCCAAAGTGTCTGCGTAATTTGCAAATGCGCTCAGAGAACTGTATCCCACCGTCTGTCCTTGAAACAACAGGCCAAAGTGTCTGCGTAATCTGCAAATGCGCTCAGAGAAACTGTATCCCACCGTCTGTCCTTGAAACAACAGGCCAAAGTGGTATAGTGGCAGCACATCACGTTGTGGCCGTGAGGACGGCGGTTCGATTCCGCCCTTTGGCATTCAACTTTCTTTTTCCTTTGCCTCCTTTTGCACTTCTTTATACGCAATCTCGTATGCGTGAATCGAACTGCGGTAAGCCGCCGCCCTCTGCAGTTTCTTCCCAGCAGGATTCATTGCGGTGATGTACTGTAGAAGGCACGCCGCCACGGTGTATGCACTTTACGCTGCGTGGTCCCCGTTCGCTCGCGTGGGCGACCCCTGCCCTCCAATCTCTTGCCCGAAAGCCTTCATTCGGAGCCGATCGGAATTGCAAATAGCTGTATACGTAGTTGACGACGTCTTTCTCATAGCTTTGGTTCTGGGTCATATCCATGGAAAGTGAACCTTCGCTTGATATCTCTCGATTGGTCAGCGTGGATCCTAGCGATACGTCGGGAAGGAGGCCCGCATCGCACGGCTGCGGGACGGTACAAGCAGGCAAAGTCCATGCCCAACTAAATCTCAAGCGTTTGAACGCAGTTTGGACGTCCTCAATAGGCTCCACACTATCAAGTATTCCACTGCATGCATTTCTCCTTAAAGTCCTTCAAATACATAATCAGAAGGTAGATGTCACAATATATGCCACCCACGCCTAGAACCCTGAAGAAATCCCTCAGAAAGCATAACAGATTCCCCCACTCACTCATCCTCCCCAACCACATTCTTCGCCTGTGCATTAACAGTCCGCTTCACAGTAGTCCCCTTCGTCTTCCCACTAGCATCAATCACCTGATCCGTCTCAACCGTCTCCGTGACGACAATCTGCTTCTTTCCCTTTGCCTTCTCCTTTCCAACCGGAACGACCGCTTCCTTCGGTTTCTTAACAACTGCTTTCGACTTTGCAGCGGCGGTGGATCCGCCAAAGAGGCTGCTGAGGAGGAGCAGGGGTAGGAGGATGGATGCGGCGAGGCCGGCGGCGATGAGGGGCAGTTCTTGGATGGCAGCGAGAGGGTTGTGGCGGGCAATGTTGGCGAATTTGAGGACTTGGTCTTTGACTTGCTCCTTGAGAGGGAGTTCGGGGAGGGCCTAAGGATATTGTGGACAGGAAAGTCAATAAGGCCTCGGGGAGATGCGGAAAACCCGGAGAGGCACGGGAAGTGATCGTTTGTAACGGCGCACACAATACAGTTCAGCCTCCTCGCAGTCGCCCAAACTCACCCTCTTTTCCTTCTTAGGAGCCTCTTTCTCTTTCTTTTCCTCTTCCTTAGCTTTCTTCTCTGCCTCTTTGGCAGCCTTCTCTTCTTCCTTCTTGCGCTTCTCAGTCTCGAGTTTGTTCTTGACGTCCCACGTCTCCTCAGCGAGCTTCCTGGCATCAGCCGCGCTGTGGCCTATGTAGATGTTGTCAAACAAGATACCGTTCTGCATGGTCCAGATCTCGAAACCGATACCGCCCTAATGTGATATGGTGACACGTTAGTTATCCGGTGATCACAAGGAATACCCCCAATGCAACAACAACGCCCGCACTCACAATGGGCGAAAAGTTGGAAGGCGTATTGTCTTCGTAATAGGCAGGGTTAGAGATTTTCTTCGGTGCCCACACGCCCTTGTAAGCTGGGTTGGCGATCAACGGCGCAGACCACTTCCCCTTATAGGCCGGGTTGCTCTTCAACGGTCTCGTCCACTCGCCGCATCCGGACGCCTTTTCGCAGGCCGGGTTAGGGATGCTAGGCGCCACCCAATCACCATCTTCCTCATCGTCCCAGTCCTCAGGCTTCTCGGCCTCCGGGTCTGGGATGGATGCGGGCGCGTCGTCAAGCCAGTCCGCCGGCTTCTGCGCATCCTCGTCGACAATCTGCAGCGGTGCGTCCTCGTCCCAGTCATCAGGCTTAGTTGCCTCCGGGTCCTCGATCTGCGCTAGGTCGACCCAGTCCGCTGGTTTGGTGTCCGTCGGGTCGTCGATCTCTTTAGGCGGGTTGACCGGCGGGTTGAAGTCTTTCAGAAGGGATCCTGTCTTGGCCTCAACGTTGTCGACGAGAATCTTGAACGTCTGGTCGGGGTCTACGATTAGGGTGTACAAGTGGGCGTCTTTATCCACTTTGGCAGAAGGAGGCGCTTCCAGGTGCTTCTCTTCGATTGCGCCAGTTTTAGCGTTCTGTGGGAGGAGGAAGTCGGTCCAAAAGATGATCAACAAACAGTCAATGAGGGCTTCCTCCTTGTCCACATTCACTCAGAGGAGACATACCTTGTGACGGAAGATGAAGTGCACCTTGTTTGTCGAGCCACACTTGTCGGGCCCAAACACTAAGGGTTTCGCATGCAAGTAAGTCTCGGTTGCCTTCCCATACAACCCTGCCCTCGATGGCAAATCAAACTCACTGATAGTGTAAGGAGTCTTATCAGCAAACTTGGCAGGATCAAACGAGCTGTCGGCAGTCAAGAGCTTCATGTAGGCGCCTCCACACTCGAGGCCGTTCTGGAGCTTCACCTCGTACTGGGCGACGAAGCTTTTACCGGCAGGGTCGATTGGGGTCGGGAACAAAGCCGTGATAGCCTAGAATGCACGGCACGGACAAAACGAGCTTTGGTCAGCTCAACGCGGAGATACTCACTACCTTCGTTTCCAACTTACAGCGTTCTCCATGGAACACTGTAGTCCCAAAACGTCCCAAGTTACTTACATGATGCGCAGCCGCGTCCTTCACCACCAAACCCTCATCCCCCTCAATCACCGCTCCTTCCGGCGCCTCAACCGCCCACCGGCCCCTATACTGCAGTAGATCCTCGTCCTCAACGCCATCCACGACTTTCTTGGACGTCGAGGGGATCCAGCGCTTGTCCCATCCAGGGGTGAATTGCTCCACGAAGGGCGCGGTGATCTCCGTGGGCTGCGCGGTGAGAGGTGAGTGTTAAACAGAGGGTTTGAAGAGAAGTGGAGGAGGCGATTGACGAGACGTACGTGGAAGGTGTGATCGCGGGCGGCAGCCGCCGAGATCAGTGCGAAGGACGCGGGGAGGACGTAAGAAAGCCGCATCTTGACGATCTACGTAAACTAAAAGCTTGAGAATTGCGCGCGACGCAGGCGTAGACGGTGCGGAAGACTGTTAGGACATGTGGCTTTACCTCCAGTATTCTCAGTTTTGGGAGCTGTTTCGGTGTGGTGAATCCACTAAGATTCCACTTCAGGAGCACCCACCCTTTTGGGGCAGAGAGAGAGAGCGGGACGAACGCGCTGCGCAATGCGCAGTCAGACGGGGAAGGTCAATCGGACAAATCGGACCAGTCGGATAATAATGCTCGACGGAGTCGGATGGACAAGATCCCACGAGTTCCAATCTCCAAAACGAGGTTCGCACCATGTACAGTATGTATACAGCACGCCTTCACCAGCACACAACCCACAAGAACTTCCCTCCTTCCTCGCAACATGTCCTCTCTCGGCATCACATTAATTCATATCCATTCAAGCAGGCAAAAACTCCTCATCAAACAACCTATCCACAAACTCATCCGCCAACCCATGAAACTCATTCGCATTATCCCCAATCACATCGTCCAGGATCTCATCCGCAATACTGAAATCGCAAAGATGCTGTGTTAATGCTGGCATCATCCAAATATAGCATCTGTGTACATTACCTATCCAGCGCATCCCACGGATCCAAGGGGCCATCAACGACATCCCGGCCCATTCGCTTCCCACTAGTAGCAGACGCGGCGGTGGGGTCGAAGAGATCGCCGGCGAGGATGGCGCGCTGGTATGCGAGGAACCGCGCTTGACCGGTTTTAATCTGCTTGAGTGTGGCTAGTGGGAGGGTGAGAAGCAGTGGCGGTGGTGGTTGGGAAGGTGGCGGGGTTTGCGTCGGGACAGGCTGGGAAGCTGCAGCGTCGACCGCCGGTGAGGATGCATCTGTGTCCAATGGAAATGTTGGTGGGGGATCATGCTCGGCAAGGCCCCTGAGAAGCCGACTTCCTTCCGCTTCGACTTTGTGCAGCAGCTCAAGCACGCGACGCAACGATGATGTATCGGCACCCGCAGTGGGGTCTTTCGTTTGATCCGCGGGTTTGGGTGCTACGACTGCGGTACTGTGTTGCTGGGGTTGTGCCCTTTGGGGTTGTGCTTCATTGCTCTCGTCCTGCCCTGGGTTTGTAATCGCGGGTTCTGTTTGTACCCCGATGGGAATGGTATCCGGCACAGGCGACGCTTCCGCTCGCCCCCTACACGGCTCAAATATATGCTGTTTCGACCTCATCCCCCCTTCAAATTCACTCCCTTGAACAACGCCGAAAATCGCCTCCGCAGGAACATTTTCCTTCTCCGCAGCCTTCAACGCCGCAACGATCGCTTTCATAGACTGCATCAGCGACGCGTTCGCGCTCCGCCCCGATGCCGGGGCTGGTGGTGGTCCGGCCCGTTTCTTCTTGACAGGTTTGTTCAAGCTGGAAAGGAAACGTTCCCAGTCTTGGTTGATGGCGCGTGTGCGCAGATCTTGGTGTTGGTTTGGGTTGCTTTTAGCGTCCTGCTGTCCAGTTTGCTGTTTCTGCGTGTCAATGTAACCGAGTTAGCCGACCATGTCCGCCCACAGCGGTAATTACCAACAAAGCACAAAACACACCTTCGCAGCCCTCCTCCGCCCACCCTCAGCCCTCCGCCTCTTCCACTCAACCTCCTCCCTCTCCCTCTCCACATCCAACAGCATCCGCGCATGCAGCTGCACGAGACGTTCATCCCTCTGCTGCAACAACCGCGTCGTCTCGACATCAGCGTTGCGGTCGCGCATTTTTAGGCCGGTTTTGGAGACCATTAGCGTGCTGCCGGGTTTGGCGATGTAAAAGCCGGACGGCGGTGGCTGGTGGTGGGGTGGTGGAGGGCGCTTCGCGCGTTGAGTTGATTGGGGGGGTTGGGAGGGTGGTGGGGTTTTGACGCGTTTAGCCACTCGGGGCGCCTTGGCCCTCAGTTGCCGCTCAGGTTCTATCCATGCCTCTTTGCTCACAGGCCGCGCACGAGTGGGCAACGCTGGTAATGGTCGACCACCATCCCGCCCGCGACGTTCATTCCGTGCTGGGAATGCCCTTGGGCTGAGATCAGCCATAGCACTCGAATCGATAGCATTTGAAACAAGCCAAACTCACCATACATGATTTTTGTGACCGCTGGCCGAGCCGGCTTTTCGCTCTGCGATGGATACTCCCGATCAAGATCCACCTATTTCATATCCCATCACCACATCATCAGTCCGTCAATCTATAAAGCACCATACTATCCAGTCGTCACGCATGCATACCTGCAACTCCTTATTCCGGGTCTCCGGCGAGCTCGGCGGGTACAGCAACGGCGGTACATTCGGCGGAGACACCCGTTTCTGCAGCTCGGGCGGGATCAGGTCCGGTGTGCTTCGGGTCGTTTGAGAGGGGAGGGTTGCGGACGGTGCTGGAGTTGCTTGTGTAGGGGGCGTTGGTAGTTCTGACGGGGGCTCTGAGACCGGTTCTAAAAGTGCTGCAGTCGGGTCCGGGGTCGGTGCCGTTGAGGGACAGTGAGTATCCCCATGCGCATCTTCATCTTTGATGCCCGCTTTGTCGTTCCCGGCGGCAGTCTCGTCCCCCCTCCCTCGCCGTTCCTCCTCTCCTCCTCTCACACGCGCCTTCACATTCACATCCACTTCCCCATCCCGATCCTTCCTGCCCACAACAGCCCGTATCAACCTCCTAACCTCCTTCACATCCCTCACTCTCGAACTCTCATCCAACTCCACGCGCGCGTCCGGGCGGAGGCGGGCCAGAAGCTGCAGTTCTTGCCGGGCGAGGGCTTGGGCGCGTTGGCGGCGGGTCGTGGCGGAGGAGGAGGAGGAGGAGGATGGGCGGTGGTGTGAGTGGCTGGGTGCCGGTATGGGTGCTGCTGGTGGGGCGTGGGATGTGGAGGACATGTAGGGTGTTTTGGATTGGGCTTCCGCACTACGCGTGCTTATGGAAAACCGCAAAAGGAAACGAGTTTGGACCAAAGTTCTTCAACGCGTGTGTCACCACAGCTGGCATATGACTTCACGTACAGTACAGTACATGCACAAACGGGCCATAAACAGCAAGCATGTAAACTATTCCCAAATCCAAGAGCTTTTACCACTGCTCACTACCATAGTAATAGGCTCCGTGCGGTCTTCAACTATTCCTATTACAGCCTAGCGCAAAGAAGTATACATAATGATTGACAGCTACTTAGGTTGTTTTGTTTCGGAGGAACGGTCCCGAGAGCAGAGAGCCGCTACGTCTTCCGCTTTAGTAATGCAGAAAGGCGCTCGCGATGCACGCCCTGTACGATGCGCAAGTCGCATGAAGATCTTCACATGAACATGTCGTCCTCGAAACCTGGCGGCGGGAGTTCATCATTGTCTGGGTCACCGCTTCTGGAACACGAGGGAAAGATAGAGTCAATACACCAGCGACGTTTCCTCTAAACGTCGAAATAACTTTGTCCCAAGCTCACCTCCATCCAGCTCCACCAAATCCACCCCTCCCACCCCCTCTGCCAAATCCCCCTCGCGAGGGAAACTGCGGTCTGCCAGGTCCCGGAATCCCCGGCGGCATAATCGGATCATACCGCGCTCCAGGCGGGGCCGCGCCCGGTGGCAGCATGCCATCGCCCCCATACTCCGGGAACCCACGCCCACCAAACATCGGATGATCTGGCCCCACAAACATTCCTCCTCCTCCGCCACCGAAGCCACCCGGGCCACCTGTTCCGGAGAACAAGGGAGGACGGAAGGGCCCGCCTAATGCACCGAAAGGGTCGAGGTCGACATCGCCGACTGAATGCGGATTGCGGAAGGGTGAGTAGAGGGGGCCTGTGCGGTGCTCGTCTTCGCCCTCGGGATAAGGGACGCCGGTGATTGGGTAAAAGTAGGGCGGGCGTGGACGGTTCTGTGTGTTGTCGCGGGAGGAGCTGCTTGCCGCGGTGGATCTGGAGCTGGGGAATGTGGTGTTGGTTTGGGTATGAAATGTGGTAACGAGCCCGTTTCTTTTCGCTGTCCCTATGGCTCGCGAAACTTACCTGGACGTGTCAGGCTCATAGCCCGGCTTGTTCAACCCGGGGATCAACTTTTGCATGATCCCAACCCTGAACTCTCTCAGCACGGCGTACAACTGATCTTCCGACGCGAAAGCACTCTCAACCTTCTTAACTGCTCCGCCCCTGCTTCCACCCTCTGCGTCAAGCTGAATCTCAAAGGGAAAGTCCAACGCCTCCGAAATGAACGTCCCCGGAGCCAACTCAATCGTATGCAGCTTCTCATCCTCGATTCCCATCCCATGCACAATCAATTTGTTCTTGCCCACTTTGACGCACTTCAGCAGGAACGTGAGAGATGATTGCGAGTGCTTGTAACGGAAGGAGAACATGTCGCCCGTAGCGTTCCAGTCCGAGGGGAGGCTGCGGACGACTACGGAAGCTTGGTCCGTGTCGGGATAGTCTGCATGGTCTGGAGAAGAGGGTTCTGAGCGGTTAGTCCGGAATTAACTCAAACGCTCCTGTTCCCGTGCTTGCCGTTGATCCTTCGCCCACGCATCCTACCTTTCCGTTCCTCACCAACACCAATAAACCTAAACCCATATCTCGACATAGCGGCGTGGAACAGGGCGACCGTAAGGTCAGCAGGCGACTTCATGGTGAATTTGCCTCCCGTCTGAGGAAGAGCCTCTATGAGAGTGCGGAGAAGAGCTTTGGGTTCCAGAGGATTCTCATTGTCGCCGGTCGTAGCGTTGTTATCGGCGCGAAGTGCACTTCCGGAAGAAGAGTCTTGGCGGGCGCCGCCTGAGCTTGAAGGGTCTGCCATTGCAACTTGGAGCAGCTATACTGCGACGATTAGTGACTGCTGTGACTATAGGTGGGTGCGAAATGGATACAAGGTGGAGGTTGCCCAACTCCGGCGAAGGAATGGGTGCAGGTTGAGATGGTGGGCGGCTGAGATGGTGAGAAATTCGCGACGGCTGAGGAGAAAGTGACGCGTCATTCGGCTGCGTCTGGGATCCGGATGGACTTGCAGCCACGCGGTGCACAGCTTTATGCGAGGTGACCGTATACAGTATGCTGGGACTCAGCGCAACGCCAGAACGAAAAGATGGATTGACCAAGCTGCTGCACTGGCATCTTGGAGAAACCGTGGATCAGGAAAAGCCGGACAGGAGCGGTCAGAAAACCACACAAGTCGATGTTTATCGGTTTGATTCGAACTCGTTGAAATTGGACGTAAAAGCATACAGCCGTTGCATAACACGCCTAGCCGAATGTGACGAGAGGAATCTATATGTTGTTGCCATTGTCAAAGCTATTCTCGCGGCGGACCTTGGCCGAGCCAGAAGATTGCTCGTTCTTACCGGTCGTGTCACCCAGGCGAATCACCTTTGGGAAATGCTGTCGAGGACTTTGGTAAAAGACCTAACCTGCGGCTTATTGATCGCCGGAATGAATAGTGAGCTCTTTAAGATTGAAACATCAAAGGACGTCGTTGTTGGAACGTATGGACTCATGTTGGAAGGAATTGACAGTGACAGAGCTTAATGCCATTCTCCTAGCGACTCCTCGACGTTCAGTTACACAAGCGGTGGGCCGTATCCTGCGCAAGGTCCATACCGCCATCCACCCTCTCATAGCAGACGTTTCTGACTCAGACTTTAGAGGCCAGGAAAAGGCTCGTCTTTCGACGTACAAGACCGAACTCAACGGAAATACATGAACAACTCGGTCATATCAGGGGCCTCCGTTGTTCTAGCATACACGACGATGAATCCTTTGATGGATGACATAGGGGTGTGTGTTAAGTCACAAGTGAGGATGCCTGACAGCAGCCGCTGGCCGCCCCTGTGCCGCTTGGAGCCGCGCTGTCGAGTTCCCTCCGAGTCGTCCGGTCATTCGGACTCATCAAAAGACTTGCACTCAGACTTGCACTCAACCGCCTTTCCCACAAGTCCCAGTGCACCCGTGGCTCAACTCGGCAGCTCGAGAAAGACAACGGTGCAGGCACGGACTAGAATTCTGACGACGGACTTCCCGACGGGAGAAGTGTTCTTGCTTGAGGTGTCCCTCTCATTCCCCGCGACGAGGAGCCAAGGACCATTTTCCCACGAGCAGTGTCCGCGAAGCTATTCAAAAACGTTCTCCTCAAAACTATGCCGACATGCTGTCCCAAACCGAGGCTATTCCTCGAGGACTTTCGCACACTATGTGGAACAATGCTCAAACCAGCGTCAAGGCAAACCATGCCTGGATGGGAGAGGCACATAGACAGTGGTCGCGTCAAACCGTTTCTATCTCTGTTCTTCGACGTGGACATCGACCGGGGCGCATACGCTCAATCAAAGTCAGCTACGTGGGTGCAGACGTTGAACGAGAAGATAGCTGCCACACTTCTTTTGCTGATCGAAGAGCGGAAGTTTGATGAGTGCAATGCTTTGCGGATACTGTTGGAGAGCCTGGGATTTGATTGTGGATTCCTCAATGGACCGGAGGGACCAGATGTGTGGGAAGATCGGCCAGCTGATGAGGGGAGCAACCTGAGCGTGGAGATGCTGGCGATGCTATGGTTGCTATTCAGTGTAGCGGACCTCCGCACGGGAGCTGAGCATGACACCCGCCGGAACAAGTAAGTTTCCCATCACCGCCAGATCGATTTAGTTCACCGTTTAACGCCACTTGATCGCATCTTTTCAGAGCAACAGAGCGCACATTGTCTGCCCATGTACAAAGCGCAGGTCGCTTGGAGGGCCGGGTCGGGGGGACGTCTCACTGGAATGAGCGGGTTCTACCACACCGATCCGACATGCGAGCCAATGACACAATTCAGAGCATGTTTCCTTTGAGCGCTCAGTACTCCTTCCATGTCATATACCCCGACACCATGTTTGAAGAAATTCCTGTTGTGCTAGAGACGGGCTTCCGGGAGCCTGATCTACTGAAAGGTAGAACGATGGGATTTCCCATTTTGCAAGGACAGGTCGCTGACTGAACATTGTTCACAGGCCCTCCTCTCCGTACGAAAGGTTCCAGAGCACGGCATACGTTGGAAGTATTCTCAACAAAAACCTTATTTGGCGCTCTGTCGCAAACCGGTACGTGTGCGCCGGTGATACGACCCTCGGTCCGGTGCCTAACCAGATGGCCAGAACAGTAGGCGTGCCAGACGATCCTCGCAGCCTGGATGTTCGATTGATTCTACCCTCTCTGGGCTCCGTCCACAGATCGTTTGATCGATTCCTCACGGCGTCGATTGCTCCTATACGATCAGGGCTCCGGCAACCGTGTAGGGACCTCCGACCGAGGTTGCGTGCTGCACAAGAAGACATGGGAAAAGACGACATGTGGACAGTCTGTAAGAATGATACGGACAAAGAGAAGATGCCTCTCAGATCCTGGGAGCGTCTTGGCCCCCACCACCAAGCCGGAAAGGCCACATTGGCTTGGAGCGAAGGAAGGTCGCCGTATCTGACGGAATGTGATTTCGGCATCTTCAGTGGCGTCTACGCAAATCACTTCGCACATCAATATGATTCATCTCAGTACCAGATGATAATCAAGCGAGCTTTCCTTCTCCAGGCCACCTTTCATTTGCTTATTGGCCTTCCCTCAGCGCTCTTCCCCTACGACGAAGCGTCAGACTCATTTGTGTTGACGACGCAGAACATTGGAAACGCTCGGCCCCTGTCTATCGGCAAGCCGAGCTTCGACAGATACCTTCAGCGGTTTATGCGCGTCGGCACCCTCGTCTTTCGGCTTGATCGCATTGTTGCGATGGTAGAAGGGAATCTGCACTTATACGGGCAAATTGGCCTGGCATTCGGGAGAGCGCTGTCATCGTACCTTACATTTCTGCGAGGGACATTCAACTCGATGAAACAAAGTTTGGGCGCCACGAAGAAGACGGTGGCTTTTGTTTCGATGTATCGCGCCCTGGAAGGCCCACTGTATCACTTGCAAGTTCTTGCATCGATTTGTCGTAGTGAGGTTGGATCGAACCACGATGAAGCTTCATTGCCACTAGGCAGCGAGCTCCTCACCCGAATCTACAACGCCACCAGCCTCCTGGACTCCTCCACCTGGAAATCCCCCTTCAGACGCGACGAGGTCCTCCGCCTCACCCTCTTCGAACTCCTCCGCCAATCCAGCCAACCCTACCTCACCTGGATCGAGCAATGGCTCGGGATGTTCAAGCCTTCCCGCCAACGCCACGAAATGGCCGGGTTCATGGAACACATGACGGACGTATGGGATTCCCACGGCGAGTTCTTCATCTGCTACAAGAAAGTCGAGACGGGTGATGGGGAGGGGTTTTGGAAGGCTGAGTGGCAACGCAGCCAAACTGCAATGCCGCCGTCGTTTTTGCCGGCGGGGTTAGCGGATGAGGTGCTTAAGGCGGGGAAGTATTTGAGGCTCTTGAGGGAGTATGAGCCGGATCATCCGTTGGTTGCGTTACGGACGGGGAAGGGGTTTAGGACTGAAAGTGATGTGCCGCTGGTTAGGTTGGGGTGGCGGTCGGATGTGGATGAGGGGTCGGAAGATGGTGGGGCGAGATGGTTTGTGCAGACTATGCGTGAACGGATCGCTGTTTATGCTGCAAAGAAAGAGGAGGAAATGAGAGTACTCGCTGACGAGTCGGTGCGGCGTAGGGACAATGCTATGAAGAAGGTTTGTGATGCTTCCAAGCGCCCTCTCCCTATGTCAAAGTATTAAATCAGTTTCTATCGTTAGCGTGCGGAGGCCATTCAGACCCGGGAAACGGAGCTAGCCCAAAAGAGACAACAAGCCGCCGCGCGCAAATCAGAAGTCAAATCCGAGATCGAGACATTCCTTCTCCAACACGAGGCCGCTAAACAGCGGGACCGTGAATACGCTCAGCAGTTAGAGCGGCAAATGGAAGCGCGCGTCACTGCAGACGAGAAAGCGGCTGCAGAAACGATCGAAGATGTGAAACGGGAACTTGTGGCGGAGCATGAGCGGAAAATGAGGGAGCTTGAGAAGAGGGAGATGGTGCTGGATTGGAAGATGCAAAGATTGGCGCTGAACCATAGGCGGCGGGAGGTCTTGTTGGCTGAGAGACTGATGGATTATGGGGTCACACTCGATAACGTAGATGGCGGCCGAGGGGAGCGGGATGATGGTCAGGAAATTGAGGGTGTGATCGTGGACACGGCAATATCGCCGGAGGACGGACCCTCCATCGAAATAAGTTTGGGGCATTCCTCGGCAACCAGCATCCAGCTGGGCGACGAGGACTCGGAGGATGAAAGGATTGAAACAAGCTTTCAAACGCATGAGACAGCATTGACTGGACGCCCGATTATAGCCGAAGGAACGGGCGACGCTGATGCATCGGTGCACAATGACACTCTTGCAGATCGCGTTTCTCACATTGAATCGCGCGAACCGAACCTGGACGAAAGACCCCACACAGGGACTGCTACACAAGTGGGCAGTATGGTCCCGGAGGTGGTTCGCGCGGTTACTGGCGAGATACCGACGTCCGGAGGTGAATCGGCCCCTGGGTCGAAACCACCACACCCCGCAATATTTGCCAACCCATCCTTCATGATGGATCCGACCGCCCAATTCACTTCAACATTACCATCCTTCGCGGACATGCTACCATTGACGAGTTTCCTGAATAATTCGGGGTTCTCCCCGTTTTTCCTGCCTGGCACGGGGAGTCACGGGTTAGCGGCGAATGTGGCGAAATCGATACCGCTCGTTGAGAGGGTCGAGGATGTCGAAGCAGACTTGGTGGTACGAGAGACGAGCGAGAGCGAACCGTCCACCCTGAGGTTGTCGCCGTCAGCGTCACTAACGTCGATTGCGCCGGCTGATCCCTCAGCGAACGATCAGAACCCCGTCAGGAAGGATGAAGTCGTGAAGGAGCTTCACTCGCGTTTTGACCGCGCGCGCACAGCAACCCCGCCGATGCACGCTGCCGCAGATCCCCCACCAGCGCCTACGAAAGCAGCCCTGAGGAAGAGCAGAGCCGGCCCCGTCCCCCAGGAGCTAATGAGTCTCATCTCAGAACCGTCGTCCTTCTTTGAGATCCTGGAACGCCAACTCTCGAAACCCGGGGGGCAAAGATGGTCGTTCCAGTCCAGCAGCATGGCGATCTGCAACACCATTGCGGCTGTCACTTCCTTGATCTCGCGGGCCACCCTGGAAGCGTTGTACCCCGGTGTGCGCGCGCATCTGCAAGTCGCGCGCCGATACCTTCTGCTGGAAGATGGGCAATTCTTTGTGCGATTGACTACGGCTTTGTTTCAAGAGGGGGGTGGGATTGATGTTGATGGACGGCGGAATGCATTGTGGCCCCCCGGATATGGGGAGATGGTTGGTGCGCTTCATGGAGTTGTTAATGCTGAATTTGCGGAGGGCAGGTTGGAGTTTAATGGAAATCCGGAGGGAAGAGACGCCGGAGGTGAGTTCACTACGCGGTCGAGCAATAGGAAGTGCATAGGAACTTTGATTGAAGATTTGATTTGCAGAGCTAAACGCGTTATCATTCCTGCGACTTGAGTATCAAGCACCAGCACCCTACAACACCATGCTGACCGGTTCCGTCCTCCGGAAATATGAGCGGACGTTCGCGTTCCTCGTCACCTTGGCTCGCGTTCGGGCAGCGTTAGATCGGTCATGTGAGTCTGAATGGTGGTTGCGATACCAAGAGAGCCGAAACAGACGTCAGCGCCGCGAATCATGGTTAGAGGAGCAACCTGGAGAGAAGGTCGCGGTTTGGGACACTAGCAATGAGCGCGCCGCCCGGCAACTGTTTTGGGAAGCCAGGGCGTTTGTGCATGGGTGGTTACGATATGCGTTTGAGATTGGTGTTGGGGGGGTTTGGGCGAAGTTTCAGACAGATTTGGACGAGCTGGTAAACACATCCGCGGATTTGGAGAAAATGTACCGACTGCATCATGCCACCCTCGACCGGCTTCACTGGCGCCTTCTCCTCCGAGCACAGCAACGGCCGATCATGAGCCTCGTCGAAGGAATGCTGCAGATCGCATTGACGTTCTCCCGAGTAGCGTGCGGTGTCAGCGATGAACTCGCGACCTACGCGAAGGCGAACGCCGCGGATGGCCGACCAGCTCCAGCTAGCAGATACCCTGACATTGAAACGATGCTCGCCGCGTTCAGGTTGCGGTTCGTCATGCTGATCAAGGTGTTGCGGGGGTTGGTGGATAGAGATGGGAGCACCTCGAGTGGGATTGAGTCGCCTGCTTTGGCAGACCAAGGGCATTCGACGACGAGGGAAGTCGCGTGCTTTATGCGACTTATCTTGGAGATCGACGGGAATGGTTATGTGGAGAGAGAACTGGTTCCGCAATTGGCAAATCTTCAGATGCAGGCGACTGCATAGGTCTTATGCGTCAGATGGCTCTGCTGAGCGTAGACGAGGGGGAAGGAAAGCAGTGCTAACTTTTTTCTCCCGTCATTTTTGAGCTCATACCATAAGCTTCGCAAGCGTTCTACTTTGAAAATAATAGAGTGTCTGGTATCGTTGCATGTTTGTCAGACGAGGGTGCCTCCCTATGCTTGGTCCTCAGACGCCGCTTATTGACAGAAAATCGACAGCGCGTGCGATTTTAGGGTCGGACACCTCCATACAAGGCAAAGACTCCTTATTATAACTTCTATAGCTAGGACTAGACTAGCTGCCTTTCGTTGCCCACTCGAGGGTGAGGTTGTGAATCAACTACGATTGCGCGCGCCGGATGATTCTAGGGCAAGTCCAACGCAAATGCGGGTGGGAGAGAGGCACAACGCGTGGAACAGGCTACTTTACGCCAAAGCCCGATAGAGAGTCGACTCACAGTGTTGAATCAAGGAACGGGCCCAAGGCAATGGCAACACGGGCGCCAGGTCGCACTATCGGTGAAACGGATATGCCCAGCAAGCCTCAATTGGATTCGCGAACAGAGCGCGAACCGGATTCGGTTGATGAAGCGACGTGATTCGAAGTAAGCAACCAACTTTCACAGAGGTGTAATCCCGTCTTTGCTGAACCAGGGGCGGCAAGGCCAGCTCAAACGACTTTTCATTCCATGGCGAGGCAGCGACTTACTACCCGAGCCATGAACGTGCCGCAACTCCCTCCAATTCCGGGTTGCACTTTTACCAAAGCACATCAGCTCGCCCCCTCATGCGATCGGGCGTGGCTCTCGACGGACCACACATACAAGACCTGCTTGCATTGCGGACATTCGAACCCCTCCTCCCCATCTGCTTCTTGCTGCAGCCCCGCCGTGCCGTCCGATGGAATTTCATGCCCCACCTCCGCAGAGCCCTTCCCATTACGCCGTAGTTTTTCCTGGCCGAGAGGAGCAGCTACTTCCGACACCGGCTGAGGGAAAGAGTCGGCAACAGCCGACTGTGCAGACGCAAGACCCTGGCGCCACATTCGATGCAAGGGTCCGTCCGATGGTTTTGCTTTCTTCTGCCCCTTTGCGTTTATTCCATTACCCACGCGCTTTTTGCCCTTGTCGGCGGGTTTGCGCGGCAGTATGTATGGAGGCAGTCCAACAGCTGGGGACATGGAAGCCATAATTTCGTTCCGAATGTCGTCTGGGAGCTCGTTCAAGACATCCGGATCTAAGTCTTCCAAGGCGGATCCATTTCTCGGGTGGGATGATCGAAGCTCAGTTGACGGCGCATCATCCATCTTGGCTGCCCCAACTGTTCCCGAGGCAGGGTTTGCATCCACGGAAGCCTCACCACCAAAGAAACCACGGATATCGCGATCCACTTCGCCTTTCTCAAAGTTCACGGCTGCGATGTTGAGCAGCGTCAAGTCGAACGGCTCCCCGTTGCACATCTTCCTAAACAAGGGCATCAAAGAATTGGTGACTACGCTTCTCGCCCTCTCTTTGTGTTCGGCACGGGCGTCCCACACCTCTACCGGCATGGGTACAGAGCGACTCTCACGGTCATCCATCCACGCCCGGACGTTTCCTTTCTGCCTCCTTCGAATGGTCAGCCGGAGGGTCTTTGCGTGTCTTCTCCAACGAGAGGTATTGGGTATCCACTCTTCCTCCTCCATACGGCCGATAAAGTCTGTCGTCAGCGAGAGTAATCGGGCCTCGACTTCGCCTTCGGTCGCGCAATGTGGAAACGAGTCTTCTATGCTGATCTGCGAGGGAAGGCCCGTGCTGACGACTTGAGAATTGTCGAAGCCATGCAAAAGGGCCCACACTTCCCCAGCTGTTTTCGTTACTAAGGTCCTCTCTAAATGTTCAAGTGAGAGGTACTTCCGAACGAGACCAACTGTGAACGTGGGCGGTTTCGCCATGGACGGGTCTCCAGCCGTTCCACAAATGCCTTCGTCGCCGGGAGTAGCGTCCACATAGTCAGACAGCATTCCGAATTCGGCCCGCTTTGCATCGCGACGTTCAGCCTCCTGTTCCGCTAACATGGTCGTCAGGTCTGTCTCTATTCTCTTCCGTACCACGCGCCCGATGCCTGGTATTTTGCGTAGACTCATGGATCCCAGGAAATCCTCCGCGCCGGGTCCCGCGATCAAGGTCGTCTGTGCATTTGGTTTCTTCGCCCCAGCACATAGTTTGCTCATCATCTTGTTGTAAGATATCCCAGCGGACGACGTGAAGCCCGTCTCCTGCTTGATTCGGAGTCGAACAAAGGCCGCTAAGTGACTCGCAATGCGTACAACCTGAAGATGCTGAGTGAAGCTCGGCTCGTGCAGTTCACTGCCGATAACGTGCCCATCCCAGACTTTCTCGTCATATTGAAAGACTTCGCCGCTCGGAAGTTTGAAAGACGTCATCTGCTCGCCCTCTGGACGTGGAATATTGGCGCAATGTTTGCCGATGATGTCCGTGACGTCCAAGAAAAGCTCGTCCATTCCCAGCCTCTCAATCTTCACCGGCCAGTTGGTTCCCTCGTGGTCGATGTTATCGCCGTTCAACAAATGCTTAACAAACTCGAAAATCTGGCGCGAGACACGACGATAATGCGAAATATCTATATGGATGTGATCGCATAAGCGGTCCGACGTTTAGATGAGACGCTGCATAGACGGTACGAACCCGAGCCGTCGCGGATGACTAATTCCGGACTGAAAGTTGAGTTAGAAGACGACAATCTGCCGCCACCTCGTTTCCGCCCAGGACATACCAGAGCTTGAACGCATCCGCCAGGAGAGCCAGCTTCCCGATGCCATATCGACGGGCAACATAGTTGCAACTACCGCGCACAACCAATACTCTGGTCAAATCCCCACACCAATGCTCAAGGAAACGGCGTGCATCCTCCTTACGTAACGACGATATGTTTTTGTTGAATAGCCAGTGGCTTTTCCTTCAAGGTTGGGTCTTTGACTTCCTCAGCTTGAGCATAGACTGTGCAAATTGCGATAATAATTAGCCAGTGTTGACGGTGCCAGGTCCCTAATGTCGAGCTGCGTATTGTCGGAACTTACAATAGTCCAAGTCAAGTTGAATTATAGCCCTTGGTGCTTGAGGAAAGGTCTCGGTCGACATTGCATGACTAGCGTGCAACAAAAGTACGTGGTGCTGCTGTTCATGAGAAGCCCCGTCCTCAATCTCTCAACGCGTCCTGTGTTCGGACATGTGTGACTTGATCAGTGAGACGCACCACATCCGAGACATCAGGCCTTGGCTTCTCACTTCATGCGCTTTTTCGACCGTCCTCGGATCGTTGAAAGGTTGCCATACTCCGTTACGGAACATCAATACAACACACAGGATTATATAACGGATGACATGCATTGGTACGTATGAAGCTTTCCGGATGGAAAGCGCCTAGGGTTTAACAGACACGATCCTACATCTTCATCGGACGGCATGCACTATGGATTCCATACTTGTTATTCACAGTATGCACATATGAACACATCAACCAAAACAAACTAAGTGTCCTACAAGATTCCAAAAAGGTATTCCAAAAATTGTACTGTCCCCCATCCTTCAACCGCATCGGGTTCACAGTCTTAGACATCCCAGCCATCATCCCAAACGTAGACTCCAGCACTATCCAGATCCGAAGGGCAATGCCGCTTCTACCAGCAAAGACTGCGATACCTCCACCTTCACAGTTGGCATCCCAGAACCAAAGTGCCCCGGCATAGGCGAAACGGGTCTACCGAACGGTGATACCGACCGAGCGATCTCCGTCGCAGCCTCCATCGCCGTCATGTTTTCCACATCAGGTGGCGAGTTACCGAGGACTTCAGTGAGGTCCGATGGATCGACAATCCGCGTTGGATCAATGGCACGTTGCGCACTTTTCGAAGCATGTGTGACAACGTTGCTTGTTGAGAATGCTGCACCGGAGGAAGTTGTGGTGGTGGTGGTGGATGTGAAGGATGTGGACAAGGTGCTACCCCCTCCAGAAGGAGAAGGTGCTCTCAGGATCGTCGTTTTTGTGATTTGAGCAAGGACGGATGCCATTTGAAGTAATAGCTTGTGCGTAGAGTGGATGGAGCGAGGACGTGCCCGAGGAGGGTTGCGCTGAGCGTAAGACGAATAGGAAAAGGAAACCGAAAGTATAGTTTCTGGTGGAGGAGGATGGAGAGTCAGAATCCACCGCCTGCCCTTTTTAAGTATTAAAGGTATGGGCGAGTCTGCGGACGCCGTGGAGAAAACAAGCGAAATGGGGCTTTGCTGTGTGATGTCACCAAAGCAGTTGGGCAGGGACGTGATTTACCCGTTCACGGTTCAAGCGGTTCACCCCAGAATGAAATTCAGACTCCAGAGTCCAGAGTTTTGTCAAATTTCGCCCAAGCATGCATCTCGTACCAACCCCCAACCCATCACTTCGGTGGTCAATCATAGCACGACGAAGACACTCGATGGCAATCGGTGAGGAGACAGAGCGGAAGGGATTGCTGTGTGCGGATTTTCCAGAAGTGAACTTCGTGAGAAAGCGGTTCTCAGGAACGCCACTATGGACAGCGAGGCTCTCAGCATTCTTCGAAAGCACATACTGTATCACCATGTTTCGCAAATGAGAACTAGGCAGTAGTTCCACGGCGCTGCTGTAATTGGCAAATTGGCAACAGAGTAGGTTGGCGATGTGCGCCATCTTGAAAGGAATGTTGATGTCAATTACAACATGCTGAGCCCAGTCCGTGGAAAACTCCATATACTGGTGTTGACCCGCAAAACAAAGTGTTGCAAATACAAAATTTCCCACCAATAATGCAAACAACGTCCATTTCTGCCTTGTCAACCATGCCCGGGGTCGCCTCTAGTCTCCAGCCCCTGGGTTCAACAGCATTGCAACCCACCAAGTCCTGCTCAACAGTCTCGTTTGTCCAGTGCTACAATTAGTAGAGTGACACATTGCGGTCTTGGATGCCGTTCCGCGGCGTTCCGCCATTGAACAAGTTTGAAGGGGAAGTTCTTATGCCGGGCCTACATATGTTTTCGATCTTATGCCGGGCCTATGTTTTTCGACGAATCGGCACCGTTGAGTGTGAACGAGGCCAGACGAAGTCGGCGATAAACCCCTCAGACATATCTCCTCTCAAATATCGTTCCTGAGAACGCCCATTCATGTTTTTGCAGACGACCCAACCCCGACAGCAGGTACTGTGGGAGAGTCTGGAGAGTCTGTCACCGGAAGCGTTCAGGGAAGCGTTGCTGGCAAATTGAGAGAGCGCGCCTTGCTGGATCTGGAGGTCACGTCTGCAAGTCACGCGTTCGAAATGACCGGCGACGAGCACTTGCACAGGCCCGTTAACAACTCTTTCCCAGAAGTTCCTCCGGTAGGATCAACGGAAAGAGCTCATCGTTTCTACGTCGACCAAGGCTTTTGCTTTGTCCTCGCATCCCGTCTCCTTGTGCTGCTGTTAGGCTAGTTCAAGTTGCTTCATAGCCCACACCGGTAAGCAAACTTGCACTCAGAGGCCTCCCAGAGTTGGACTTACGATGGGTGCTGATGCTGGACAATACTTTTGCGTCCTGTTTCCAGTTGCATAGATTTCCAAAGCAGTAAAATAGCGTCATGCAGCTGGCTGCAACGACTCGTTTGGCTGTATGCCGCGCCGCTTTCCGTCACAGAAACGCCCTATTCCCAGCGGTTCGATCGGCGACGGCCGTTCCCACCTTCACCCGTGGGAATGCGACGGCCGCAGCTGCCACCCCTCAGTTTGTTGGCCCAAACGTATGGCGTCATGCTATAGGTGACTCGCAGTGGTCCTCCTTTTTCTGATCATTGCTCCACTCTTAGGTCATGCTGGAGCGGATAGAGAAGAAGCGCGAGGAAGCCCGCCTTGGTGGTGGTCAAAAACGCATTGATACGCAGCACGCGAAGGTGAGACTCTAGCCGGAACGGGCCGCTCTGAGTAGCTCGCTCATCATGCTTATGTTCAATCTTCAGGGCAAGCTGACCGCTCGGGAGCGTATCGACTTGCTGCTTGATTCCAACTCTTTCCGGGAATACGACATGTTTGTGGAGCATCAATGCGCCGATTTTGGGATGGAGAAGCAAAAGGTGTGTACCTACACTGTTGTCGAAGGAAGGCTGTGGTTGACTTCGATGGTCACTGACATATCACTGCCAGATTACGGGCGATGGCGTAGTCACGGGCCATGGTACCATCAACGGTCGACTTGTCTACGTGTTCAGCCAGGATTTCACCGCGTTTGGAGGAAGTTTGTCAGAACGCCACGCTCAGAAGATCTGCAAGATCTTGGACCAGGCTCTATTGGTTGGCGCCCCTGTCATCGGCTTGAACGACTCGGGAGGTGCGCGTATCCAGGAAGGTGTGGCATCTTTAGCCGGTTACGCAGACATCTTCCAGCGCAACGTTCTCGCTTCCGGGGTGGTCCCTCAGATCTCACTCATTATGGGTCCTTGTGCCGGTGGCGCCGTGTACTCCCCTGCTCTGACGGATTTCACGTTTATGGTGAAGGACACTTCATACCTGTTTGTCACAGGACCTGATGTCGTGAAGGCTGTCACGAACGAAACGGTCACTCAGGAGGAATTGGGGGGCGCCAAGGCGCATTCTACAAAGTCTGGTGTGGCGCACATGGCTTTCGACAACGACATTGACGCTTTGGCTCGTCTCCGTGAGTTTGTTGACTTCCTTCCTCTATCAAACCGACACGATGTTCCCGTCCGCCAGACCGACGACAGCCCTAGCCGTGCCGACGCTGCCCTTGACGCCATTATTCCCACCGACTCCACAAAAGCCTACGACATGAAGAACGTGGTTCGCCGTATTGCGGACGACGACACCTTCTACGAGATCCAACCAGACTTTGCAAAGAACATCATTATCGGGTTCGCTCGCATGGGAGGGAAGACGGTCGGAGTCGTGGCCAACCAGCCCCTTGTGTCGTCGGGTGTCCTTGACATCAACTCCTCAATCAAGGCGGCTCGATGGGTGCGATTTTGCGACGCGTTCAACATCCCTCTACTGACGTTCGTGGATGTGCCTGGTTTCCTTCCCGGAACCGCCCAGGAGCACAACGGAATCATTCGAAACGGTGCGAAGCTGTTGTACGCTTATGCTGAAGCGACAGTGCCAAAAATCACCGTCATCACGAGGAAGGCCTACGGAGGAGCATACGATGTCATGAGGTAGCTTGAGTATTCTATGAATTACCCTCTGTGGCTTCCGCTAAAGATTCCGGGAAACTATTTCAGTTCGAAGCACTTGCGCGGAGACTTGAACTACTCGTGGCCCACCGGAGAAATTGCCGTTATGGGAGCGAAGGGTGCGGTTGAGATCATCTTCCGTTCGTCCAAGGACAAATGTAAGTCGAACATCATTATTTGCCTCGATCGCGCAAGTTCACTCAACGTTGCTTGGTGCTTCCCCCAAATAGCTCAAGCGGAAGCCGAATGTGAGTATCTTGCTTATGGACATCTTGACATTTCAACACCAAAGCTGATCTGTCTATCTTCCTCAATCCACAGATGTCGCCAAATTCGCAAACCCTTTCCCCGCCGCCGAGCGCGGGTTCGTTGACGACGTTATTCTCCCGTCCACTACCCGATCGCGCATCATTGAGGACCTCAAGATGCTCAACACCAAGCAGCGCACGAACCCCAAGAAGAAGCACGGTAACATTCCACTCTAGATTCCCAACTTTGTTAGACGGCGCGTATAGGTAGTCAGGGTAGGAAACCTGGCCCGGGGGCGACGATCATGTAGAACAGTCGAAGTGCTTTCGGAAAGCTTGTAGATCACAGATCAGTTTGGCATGTTGGGGCTTCATCAATCATATACTTCGACCTCGATGGTATCAGTCTAGCAGTCTATCCTACGCGGACCGGTGCGTCTGCCAAATATGTTACGTTGCTGCGGTCCGGGCTCGCTATCTGTCATACGACTCGACCTACTTTTGCGCATCTCTAGAACGCCGATCTAACGTAGACTGGGAATGCTGGAGGCGACCTTTCGGCGGAGGTCGGTCCATATAACGCGCAGGTGCCCAGATAGGTGGACGAAGTCTCCAAAGGCACGGACTGATTCCACAAGGAGTGGCGCTAACGACCAACCGTCCGGCGACCTCGTCCCATTCAGGGATGCTCCGTTTCACCAGGCACGTCCCCACAAGATCTCATCTCCACGACGTACACTTGTTGCGGGGACAAGCGAACCCTCTCATTCCCACCAAGACGTGAGGCCCAAACCCGGTTCCGCCACCGACACCTATCACACCCACCAAAGAACTCATCAGCCCAACATTCGCAAGCACAACAGTCCTAGAAACCCCACACGCATACCAGCAATCTGTATGGCGACTCCCTCAACGTCTCATCATCGCCCAACCGAACCGGCCCCACATCCGTAAACTGCTCAACCTCCATGCGGAACCGGATCTTTTCGCCTTTGTCCATGTACAGGTCGTTGCCGTCGTACCGCCATACCCATACGCCCTCTGTTTCGTCGCTGCAAGGATGTCGTTTAGGTTGCGATGTCTGAGACCAGAGGCGAGACTGGGATTGGTCACTTACAATTCTGTGCCTGCTTGCAGGAACGCTGGGGGTATCGTGATATCGCCAAAGAACTCCATTGAGACTGAAAACGCAGCGTTTCGTCAATCCTTAGTTCGAATTGCTCTTCTGCAATGCAACTCGCTGTCTACCTCGCACGCCATGTTTTGGATCGTTCCCCGCAACTTTCCCAACCATAATCTCGCCTTTGAATGGCCGGAATACTATCATCCTAAACGTCACTGGAAGAGGTAGACGGGTCAGTCCGCGTTCCGCTACGGGTGCGAAAAGAGCGCGGCCTCCGTGCACACCTTTGCACTGGGAAGACCCATCCTGCACGATATGCACAGTCTCATCCGACGCTTCTACGATATCCCACACCCGGATACACAGGCCGACATTATGGAGCACCTGATGTGTTTTCGCAGTGAAAATGAGCAACGATGGCAACCTGCACTTCGGGCATGTGAGAATTCCTTACTTTGTTCGCATACTTTGCGTTTAAGCCGTCGACAAGCGCCTGCGCTCTGGGCTTAATGAAGTCGGAGGGATGCGTGCGGACGTTGTCCCGCATCAACGTTAGGACGAACATGCTGGGTGAGGTGAGCTGCTGAAAATTGGCTCGCAATGTGAGCAATGCAAACTGGACATTGGGGAACGCGAACCTGCGAACGACGACAGACGTGGCTTGGATGCGCGTCGAGAGCGTCAAGTTGGAGCAAGGCAGAGCAAGGCTGAGTAAGCTGAGGAAGGCTGTGCATTGGGAACGAACGCTGAGCGCCTCGTATGTAGGTTTGCGACGGACATAGGAGACGACAGTCGGACTCTGCGAGTGCCTTGTGGTGCGAGACGGCCATATAGCTACGCCATATCACAGTTCCCTCTTTTCGTATTTAGATCGCCAAGAAACTATCGATACAGTTGCAAAACCGATTTACAAAGGGTGCAAAAATGTTCCAAAATATAAGACGCCGTGAGGAGAACTATCCCCTCAGGCTTTGCTTGCCCCGCCAGCCTCTACTTGCATGGTACAACCCCGCCTCCTAGCCCAGCACCCACGACCACAGCTGGAACCGTCGAATTTTCCTCCTCAACTTTTCTCAGTGTAGGGGGGTGGGGGGTCAGTGCGGTTGTTGAATTTCCGTCGGGCCTTGCGACCATCAGGGTTTGTTGCCGTGGAGGTAATTGCTCCAGGAGCAACCGGAGCCTGTCCTTTGTGCTTGTCGTGAGTGACGCCTTTCGAAAGGGCATGCTGCACTGCGACTTCGCTTTCGGTGAACAGGCGCGTAACTTTGCCAACACCCTTTGTTCGTCCCTCTCGGAACAGTAACCGAGATCCTATCTTCAAGTACTCAGGGTGTTGTATGAACCTGGAAACGAGGTGAAACGGATGAGAACTCGCTTTGCCTGGCTTTGATATGAACCACCCGACGGGTTTACCTGAATCGCACGAAAGCACGATCGCCGGTTCGTAATATTTGCTGGTCCATTGTTAATATTTTGGCAGTCTGCCGAACCGGTCCACAGTGAAGCATAGCTTGGTACTTTTTAGAGATAGTGGTGCTGTGATAGAGAACCAAGATCTCCGCCTCGAATTCGTACACCGCGTTGGCGTGCACCGTTTTACTATCGAACAAGCTGTGCGTAAGAATTGGACCCTCAAAGCCACGAACAAAATCTAGTACCTTAACATCACCATCCCCTTTCGTATGCTCGAGCGCTTAACCTTCTTCAACGCAAAGCTAGCACTCTGGCCAGCCAATGCGATGGGAACGTTGACTCGTTTCCGTTGGATGGACTTGATCATAGTTGGGACGAAGTGCCCGTTCGAGTCCGGGCCCAACATCAACTGATCGCCAACATGCACAGATCCGGTGATAATGGTCCCGCTGACGACGGTGCCGACACCGGGAACACTGAAAGTGTCCGTGATGTCGAACTCTACGGGCTGTTTCGAATCGTAGCGTCCGGCGCTGTTGGCGTGCAGAACGTTGAGAAAGAGTTTCAGAAGGTCCAATCCGTCGCCTGTCACGTTCGAAACTTGAAATATAGGGCACACTCTGATGAAATTAAAGCGTTCAGACCTGGCACTGAAAAGCTCTTCGTTCGGCAATAACAGAGAACCCACCGCTCGCTGACGAAGTTGCCTGCGGTAACCAGAACATCGCCGACGGTGTTCAAAAAGATAGGAATCTTTCGGCATCCCGAGCTCTTCAAGATCTTGGTCAATTGGTTGATAGTCCCTTCCAGTACGTTCTTCGGGCACATGTCGATTTTGGTGATGACAATGAACACCGGGACGTTGAGGGCCAAGGCCAACCCAAGATGCTCCTTCGTCATTCCAATGATGCCGGCGTTACTAGAATAGCAAGTCAACAGAGTATTCCTAACACTATTCATAATCCGAGATCACAGCCATGTTACCTTCCAATCTGATGAGAAAAGAGTCAGCCGAAGAAGAACGCGCGAATGTCCCCGATGCATGCCACATACCATGAGCATCACAAAGTCCGGGCTAGATCCCGTCATCCCGAAGACGGTCGTTTTCAGGTACTTCTCGTGTCCAGCCAAGTCGAGGAACGTAAGCACCTAAGGGTTATCGGAATCAGTTTGGCTCGAGTCGACAGATTTCAAAGACCCTTTCCCCACCTTGGGCGCGGTAGAGCAAATGTCGTCCCACGTCAACTTCGCTTTCCCCAGTAAGCTCGGCGTGATAGTCTCTCCAGTGGAAGAGAAACCCATGATCTCCAAGCCCACCGAACTCGTCCGCCCAGATTCGATTTCGTGCTTGTGACGAAACAGGTTCACACGTGCTTTGCCACGACCATCGTCAAGTACGTCCTTCGTCAGCACCCCCAACAGCGTGCTTTTGCCAGCGTCGACGTTTCCCACTACACAAATACGGATCTCCATCATGTCCTCTACTTTCCCTGGCTTCCGCCGTATCAGCACGTGACCGTACACGTATGGAGAGGAGGAATCCGTGGACTGCGATGTTGACCCATTGGAGGATGTCGTCAGGCTATTTCGTTGATGCAGAACCGTGACGTCGGCGTTTTGAGGTGTGAGTGCTTTGCGAATGTTCTCCACTGACTTGTTGAACTCTTCGGGACTCAAGTTCATGCTCGTGCCATCCTCTGTGAAAGAAGTGGTTGCGTTAGACTCTGCATCCGATCCGCACAACATTTGATATGGGCCAACCTTCGACTCCAAGCTCCAGTAACGTCTCCCCTAAGCCGTCCTGCAGCCTGTCCTCCATCAGCTTCCCTAATTGATGTGCTCGTTCAGACGTCCCCCCCAGAACAAGTTGCTGGAGGCGAAACACGTTAGCAGAGTTGACTTGGTTTTAAAGAACACCTGCAGGAGGACGCACCTTCAAAGAAGGCGTGGGCTCGGGGAGCTCCGGCGCATCGTACGCTAGCGGGGTTCCCCTGTCGGCAGCTTCGGCAGTCCGACTAGGCTCCTCAAGTGACGTTGCTGCCAGTCTCTGAGCCAATGCCATGGCGGCAGAAATGTCGAGGACATTGGAGGAAGCCTTGTTCCTGAACGCCGTTGTTGGAGTGCCGTCCTGCCCGTTCGTTGACATCATGCTGGCGTGGTCCCGTTGGGTCGTCCGCAAAATTGGCGAATTCGGCAGGGCTTCTTATGGCTGTCAAAAGGTGTGGTTCTGCGGTGCAAGATGCTCTAACATGTTCGGACACTCACGATTATATACAAGTTTACTGGGCAGAGGGCACGTTTCTTGGAGAGCGAGTGATGAGTCCTTTGACGCGTGACCGTCATCGCTTGACTCACGGTGACTCGGTTACTCACCCACATCCGACAACCCGTCAATTCAGAAGGTCGGAGTCCTTCTTCGTTCTCTTTCTCTTTAACTCGTTTTCTGTGTACTGTAAGCTGAGCACACAGAATCTCGTTACCCACCCACCCTACTTCCCTATAAGATGTGCTGGATCTTGTATATGTATTTATCATTTTCATAATATACGTACGCGGTTCCGCCCGCGAAGATCGCTCGCTAGTTCCCCCAAACGGGAGGGAGCTAGTGGAGCGATCAAACCCCAAATCTTCGCGCTATTCCTTGCAAGAGGTCTTTGCAGACAAGATTCCTCCGGCGGGCGCAATCTTGATGCAGTGAGCGGCCCATCGTTTACCATCTCTTCCGGCGTATGCGGAAAATTGTCATTTTGAAGGTAAGGCTTCGAATCCGTAGATGTGTCCCTGAATATCGCTGAACTCCGCGGCGCAGCAGTGGGATGTCATATCCAGATGTGGGTTGCTGATTGTCGTGCAGCACATACATCCCATCGATTCGACGCCCGAAACCGCTTGGAACGTCTTCACCTGACAGAGGATCTGGAGTATTCCCTCATCTACCAATGCGGATTCCGTCGGGCTGATGTCGAGTCCAAGCTCTTGGCACCAGTGCTTCTCGGGCATGGGTCTTCGATTCTGGGTAGCTAGTCGCCCGCGATTGCAATGCATCGGCAATCGTTTCACAGAACATCCTTTCTCGGAAATAAGTGCCCGATTGCGCACGTGTGAGACAGAACGACAGATAATTCCAAAGTGCACCCCATCAAATGGCAGCAGACCTGATGCAAATTTGAGGTGCAGCCGAGCTGGGACTTGCTATCGTGCAATCCCAACGTCGTGATATAGCAGATGCCCTTGGGGAGTAACGATCCATATCTGAGCACGATACTGCTTGTTCATAACGAGTACATCCATGTGCACAAACAACAAGCGCTGAAGACCGCGGCCGAGCATTGACCTGGTCCGCGTTTCGGAAGCGTCCCTCTCATGTACCGCATTTGACCCCAAGGCCAACCATCCTCCATCTCTTGCCGTGCCAGCTCCTCTGCGTCCCCTTGTACCATGTCTCACGTTTTGGCCCGTTTTGATCCTAAGGATCCGACTGCCCTTGACAAGCATTTTTTTCTGGGGAGAGGGCGGCAAAGCCCTGGTAGTAGTGCGCTTTTGGATTGCGAATGGTGTCAATTGCATCGAGGGGCGTATCTATGCCCGTTTTTCCACTGAACTGCGACCTGGTCACGCCTTAGACACCCATATGCCGGACGTTTGCTTCCAAAGGCTGACCCCCGTTCTACGTAGTCAGAAAGCGCCTTCGGTAGCATCCTTTACATATGAACGACGTTCGTTGTCGTCCATGGCGTCTCTGAAAACATCTCCGAGTCCAGATGAAACTCGGCGACTTCCGGCATGTGGAAAAGCACCGCATCCGTCCGGCTTTACATCTGGAGCGCCAATAAACAAGCCACGTGCACTCATAGCACTCAGCCCACGGTGTCTTCAGGGAAGGCAGCCAAAATGCAATAAATCTAGACGGAAGATGGAACAGTAAAATGTATACAGACCATGACGTTCTGACTCCAAATGCAATGCGAATGGCCGAGCAATACGCAATATCCAATATACCTCCTTTTAACGCGGAATTCTGAAAATATACGGCTATTCCTCGGTACATGCAGAGAGCGGACGCCATCTCGAATCACGGCCCATCGACTTCACTGCGTATGAGCAAGCCCAGTGTAGACTCTCCATTTTGACGTTACGATGGAGACTTGCTGTACCAATGTCGTGTGCAACGTTACGGGTTCTCTGGTCAAGATGAGTGAGATCGTGGGTGCGTCGAGAGGGGCGTCCAGAAGCTCGCTGAAGCCTTATAAGCTCAGCCAACACCCCCTGACATGTGACAATGACGCACAGGTGTTTACTCAAGTCACGTGGGGGGGCGACACTCAAGTATTCAGCCCAATTGGTTAGCCAGACTCCCGGGAGGCGTTAGGAAGCCATCAAGCATGTGGCAAAGGCTTCGTCAGTAACTCGCAGAGTACTAAAACAGCTCATGCCCTCGCTTGCTTCCGGCCCTCCCCATGCCCCAACCCCCCCCCCCCCCCCCCCCCCATGCCCTCGCTCACGACAGGTATCAAGCTGCCGAAATCTCCATTCTAACCGAATCCCCAGAGAACTTTGCCCACCATTCCTTCCAGGAGGAAAACCAGACGGTATGTTCCCACTCCGCAGCGGGTCTCTATAAGCACCGCGTAACCCTCGCTGCCCTTCGCCGTGATCACCCGTACCGTCAACTTGTCGGCGACATCATATATCCGTGTTTGCGACGTCCATCGTCTCGCATGCAAACTAACTCATCCGTTTACTTTACTTTCCTTTTCCCAACCCAGTAACCAACAAGCACGAGCAAACAAAGCCATGGCTACTCACGCCCCTATTCAATCTCAGACGGCGGCCCCTACCACCCTCCTCAACGGTGATCTGGTGAACAAAACGAAAGAAGCCTCGCAACGGGCATCGCGAATTGTCTCAGAGCAGGTCAACGGCGCCAAACCTTACGTCGCTGACTTTACGAGCAAGTCCAAGGACTTGACAGCGGGAGTAGCCGCCGCTGCGGAAACCGCAGTTCACAACGCCTCTACAACCGCTGCCCCATACGTGGCGTCTACTCAAGCTCAGGCAGAGTCCTTCGTCGGAAAGGCTCGTGCGGCTGCCACGTCAACGGCAACCTCGGCCACCCACACTGCAGCTTACGCCGTTGGAACCGCCGTCGGTGTTACTCGGGCCACAGTCCACGCTGGTCTGGCCGCCACCCGAGGTGCGGCGTCTTTGACCGCCGGTGGAGCAGTCAAGGCCACCAAGCTCTACGTCCACACTGCTGCATCTGTCGTCGGTGCCGGTGTTAACGCAACCTCTGCCGTCACTGGCTTCGCTCTCGGAACCGCCGGCTCCGTCACCAACAAAGCCGTCGGTACCACAAAGTCTGTGGTCACTTACACTGCTGTGACTGGGCACAACGTTGCCAAGCGTATTCTTCCCGTAAGCGTTGTCGACCGTGCTGAAAACACATACGAAGCAGTTTCAGCAGCTGCCGCTACGCCTCTGCAGACGGCTAAGACTGTGCTCCCGGCTTCGCTCGCTGGACTTCTCGAATGGGGATGGAACACCGCCTTTGCCACAAAGGAACGCACTTTGAACACCGTCCAGACCACGAAGGAAAGGGTTGTTGGTACAACCGTGGGAACATACCAGAGCTTGGTGTCCACCCTTGACGCAGCGGACAAGCGGTACATGACGAACGCTACCGAGGCTTTGAACGAGATCAAGGCTACCTTCCCATCCCAGAAGGCTCAGCTCGCCCATTAAAAGTTGCAGAACAGACATCCGTTACCCAGTGTCGCCCCAGGTATGCCCCGATTCTTCCCGTGTTTTTGTCAAAGCTTTTGTCATTGACTGATCAGCCCCTCATCGTGCTCCTTCGCTTCATCAGATGCAATCTCAACTTCCGTAGTCACCGACTACGTTTCTGTCTAGCGTCCGAGATATCATAGCTACAATTGTTTCATCGATATCGCGTGTGTTCCTTTACTCTTTTCCTTTCTTCACTTGAGGTGAAGCTCAACTTGTACGGTGTGGTTTCAATTTATATCACGCTTTATACGTCCCAACTTTCTTCTGGTACAATAGAGATGCGTATGGTTTCTGGTGTGAAGGGAGAGCGACCTTGTGGGTTCCTTTGCATTGAATGGCATGGAGGGCCGCGTTTGTGGTGTATGTCTTGCGTGTACAGTTGTGCCCGGGCTTCGGCCCCATGGATTCACCGCGCATGTGGGATCCCAAGTTTAGTCCAACTCGGAACTGTTTACGGAGTCTGCGAACATGTGCGTGGATTGTTAACGGACCAATCTTATCGCAAAAGGAGTGCCAACGAGAGACCGCGATGACTTTCAACCCTTTTCCACTCGCTCACCCCTATTGACAAGGATATCGCCACGGTTGGCTGTCTGACTTTTCAATTGTTCGATGCAATCCCTTGTCGTTCCAACCCATAGTTTCGTTGCCGGTATCCCTCCGCCCAAGCTTCTGAAATCTTCCATTTGCCAAACGCGCTGATGTCACGCGTAAAAGGATTTAAGAGAGTCAAGTGTCCGTCCCTGCTTCACCATTTCTGTTTACATCCAGACATTCTCCTAGCTCGTTTCTCTAACCGCACATCAAAGCGCCAAACTTCAAGAACCGCAGCACTTTTCATTACCCAAAGCAGCATTCGGAGCATCAACCATGACTGAGTGAGTAAACTGCCGGTTTTTCATCAACGAAAACGAAGCCCAAGAAATCTTACACCACCCTCTTTTCCTATGTTCAGCCACAACCCTCTCGCCCAAGCGGGCTCTCTCGGCTCGTCCCACGAATCCATCGCCGCCCACGAACAGCAGCATCAAGAATCCATCCGACGCGAAGCGTCCGGCAACGCACTCACTATGGAAGAACTCCGCGCAGGCGGTGCCGCGGGCGAGCTGATGTCGGAGTACCCGACCGGCCCGGCGAGACATGAGAATGACTCGTCGGGGATTGAGTCGTATAATGCTGTTATGGAGGGGAAGACGGGGCCTAGGGGGTTGTGAGCTGCAACGGGACTCAGTTGCCGGTTTTTGTTGTTGCAGCAATGTCCGGAAATCACTTCTAGGCACCATTTTAGCCTGGCATTTAGTTAAGGCGTTGCTGCAAAGTCATTACAGTTATACGTGGATCCGATTGTAAAAAGAAGCGTGCTGCATTGTAGGTCGTCCCAAGCGGAACGGCTGGGATAGGTATCTGCTGATGTGTGAAGATGACATCCCTGCAAAACCATAGGCTTTGCAGAGCTTGCTTTTACATGTGTTCCCAACGCCAGACGAATTCTCCCCTGCGTCGACCTGCGTCTTCCGCCGACGACAAGGTATAGGTGTTGACCTTGTTGAAGCAATCCCACCTGCAATGCCACCTTTGCTTTGATCTTGGTTTGAAGCAGAACGGTGTGGTCACGCATGGCGCTAAACAAGTCAACGTACCTTCGAAGGGTGAAGGCCCCTCCGTCCGTTGATCTATGTGTCTAGCCCTGACCGTTTCCGACTCGGTGGTTCAGCAGATGACAGTGTAGGTAAATGTAAAATTGATCGACCGAGCTCTCATTTCAGTTGACAGGTGTATGTATTTATACAAAAAATCCGAAATAGTAATAAAACCTCAGAAATCGTCCAAATCCTACGATTCCGGCGTTCCGGCCCTCCTTGCCGTGTACGATAACACACGAGGGACCCTCGGATACACTATGAGCAACCATTTGTAGTCCAGTCCGTACGTTGGGGCCTCCGATGTCGCTACTCCGAGTCGCTTCCTACACCACCGCTCTTGCCGCCCTGAGGAAACAATGCCGCAAAGTCAGAACGATCGGACAATGTGACTTCATATCAATAAATAGAAAACTAACGTTGTTGTATTCGGCAATGGCAACCTCGTATTGTTGCTTGGCTTTCTCCTGCTTCTTCTCGTAGAGCTGTAAGAAAGGACCAGGATGAGCCGAGTTAGAAGAGGCTCGCTGGAATCGCAAAGTTGAAACGAAGTTAAGGCGCAGCAACTTTGAGATTGCGTACCGCCTTGTCCTTGGGGTTGATTTCTTTCCACGCAGCACCCAAAAGTTTGCCAAGATCACCTGAAAGACAGGAAGTACGCGAGAGTTAGCTCAGTCCGGTGCATGTAGAAGTCGGGTCGCGCGTCATCTGAGGGGATGTCCGGGACACACAGTAGGCGCGTAATTCGTGGGTGGGGACCGCAGAGTGTACAAGCAGACTTACCGAATGTCGCATCAGGGTTCTCTTCCTTTATCCGTGGCCTGTTCTCTTGGGAGAAGATCATGAAGGCGGAAAGAGGCTTCTTGGGAGCATTGGGGTCCTTCTTTGCCTTGGTCTTCCGGGAGACTTTCTGATCCTTGGACTTGACTTCCTTAGGCATGGTGGCGATGGATGAGCTAAAGGGCTGGCCGTACGCAGGTTATAGCCGACTGGGAAGTGGAAGGAAGATTGCTGAGAGTGTTGAGAGAAGCGTGGGGAACAGGCGAGAGCGTGGGATCTTTATATACTATGCTGGTGGTAACTGAGCGCAAGGGGCAAGCAGGGCATCGCTTCAATAATCGTCGTGCCAGCTGTGCTTCTCTTCCTTCGATGACTAGGACTGCGCCACTCATTAAGCACCGCTTGTCTAGCGTGTTCTCCTGTTCTTCAAACACGCGTCACTTTGCGGGATTTTCAATAGGTACATACTGTATTTAGAGAGACATCTGACAAAATCTTAAGGTACGCCGTATCTAAGGAGCCCGCGCAATACTACCGAACGCTTTGTCGAATTTGACGTAGAGTTCCAACTCGGTTGAAGAAACGCTTGCGCGGACTTGGCTAAGTGCGTCGGTGAAGTCGTCTACGGTGACGGGCCGAATGTGCGACGCTGTGTGGGAGTGTAAACAGCAATCCGTCGAGGACTATCCCGGGTCGCCCACTCACCATCAAACTCTACGATGTTCTCAATGCATCTGATAGGGCCTACTCTCCGGAATCGTATAAGTGAACGAACTGGAGCTTACATGGGCCTGAGGAATACGGAACCGCTGGCTCACCCAAAGAAGCTTCTCTGATGAGACCGTCCATATCCGAGCCACTGTACCCTAATCCAGCCGTGTCAAGATATTTCGAAAGCCATACAGGAATGCCCGCACTTCAGCATACCTTCTGTACGCTGTACCACAATCTCTACATCCTCCGCAGACAGATTGTGAGACAGGGTGGACAGTCCGTTCAAGACAATCTTCTTCCGCGCTTCTCCTTCCGGTAAAGGGATATACAACTTCTTTCTGAATCGGCGTCTCGCTGCCTCGTCAATCTCATGTGGCCTTCGCGAAGGTTATCAGCAAGAGGGCGACTGGCATTAGGAGCGTCAGCACTTTGAAGCCTAACCTGTTGGTCGCACCTGAGTGGGATAAACATCAGATTCATGTGTCCATGATGAAGGCACACCTTTTATGGACACATACCTAGGAGAAGCACGCGATCCTCATTGCGGGTGCCACAACCGTCAAATTGCACCTGTTTATGCGTCGTGCAAGCGCTGCCATCAGCAACGTAAGTCGTATGAGCTGCACCACTCCAAGAACTCACCAGGAACTCCGTCTTGATGCGTCTACTGGCGTCATGCTCTCCATCAGTCCTCTGCGAGAGCAGCGAATCAATCTCGTCCACGAATATCACGCTAGGTTGTTGCTCTCTAGCCACGGCGAAAAGGGTTCGAACCATCTTTTCCCCATCTCTGTCTGGAAACGTTAGTGGGATGAGACATGCGTGAACTCCAATGGAATAAGCGTACCCAATCTGCAAAGAAGATACACTGAGGTTAAGGATCACTTGGGATCGTGACTACCTCAACATTGTCGTCCACAAATCGACTACTTACCCATTTGGACGTTAGAGATGATGCGCTGATGCTGAAGAATGAAGCATTGCACTGACTAGCGATGCATTTCCCAATGAGCGTTTTCCCTGTTTTTGGGCGTTAGAGAGCTTGTCAGGGATATGGCGGAAGGTTACCCTTGTCCGCAGCTGTTCGTACCAGTTCCTAAACATGAGGAAGACACGTTGGAAAAGGCTCGACCTCCACGTTCGTGCCGGACTCCTGATCACGTACCGGGAGGCCCAAACAAAAGTACACCTGATCGCACGGGAGGTTAGTTTATGTGCGGCACAGCATAAGCCGATGCACACCTTTCGCAGGAGCCCTGAGGCCTTTGAATATGTCGGGGCGCATCATCGGAAAGACTACTGCCTCCTTGATGGTCGCCTTCGCCAGCTGAAGGCCAGCAATGTCCTCCCTGGCGTGTAGGTGAGAAGCGGGAAGACTATTCGTGGCAGAAGGTCAACTGCCGCATACCACGTGACGTTGGAAACATCGCCGAGCATCTCATTCTTGATTAGGTCGATCATATGCGCTTCTATGTTTTTCAAAGGCCCATCAACCTGCTTTTCCGCCTTCTTCCCTTTCCGTGCTTTTCCGCTATGCAACAAATGTGAGGAAATGTATCAGTCGTGCACACGGCTCGTTCCTTACCCTTTCTCGGCTTTGTCAATTAACGGTGAGACGAATCGTCGGGAAGAGGTTTTGCTAAGCTGCATCTGACCGTCCGACTCTTCCGAATGCTCAGCATCTGCTAGGTTGGATGTTGAGGGTCCCAACACACTCTGCAGTGCCCAACGATGTTAGCGACCGTTATCAGTTTTCTGTGAGGGCGGCTATCGAAGCCTACCAGTGCTTCGTTGCCTGTTATAAAAGCGTTCCGTTTCGAGGCTCTCTTATGCCCTTCGAGTTCATTTTCACCATTCAGGTCTCTTCGACGTTTTGCGCCCAGTCGGGTCTGCCCCTTGAGTGAGCCCTGGAGCGTTAGCGGGGAGTTATAACGACGATCAAAAAGGCTGTGCTTACCTGCCGGGTAGAGCTCTCGTCTTCGGAGTCCAGTACCCGCGTTCTAGAGGGTTTCGATGCCCTGGTACCCAGTTCCGGCCCGTCTGCACGGTTCAAACCTGTGAATTTGCCGAACTTCGACTGTAGATCCCTCTCTTCCTGATTGAAATCTCTTGTCTTTCGCATGTTCTTTTGCTCAATTTCCTTTCCATCTTTCCGCTTCGTGCACTCGGTACACACAGTGAGTCCACCTGCTGATGTCGAAGGAGCCGACGGCTCCTGCGGGACTGGGTCTGTTTGCGTCCATGAGTTACGGAAGCGGGTCGGATCGTAAGTCCCCACTTGTCCTTTGGGCGTGATAAATCTCCTTTCCGGACGGACGACATCTTTGTTCGGAACGTTGCATGTCGGGATCGTCGTGGTTGGCTTTTTGCAAATATTCTCCAATATGCCCAGTCCTCTGAGGCCCGTGCCCTTTTCTTTGCCGTCGCTTTGAGGGACAACCTATAAGTGTTGTCAGCCAACTGGACAAGCAGATCAAGCCATGGCGCCTGGCACAGGTCATTATTCAGCCTCACCTGCTCCCTTATGAACGCTGGCTGGATTCGCGACTGCCAACCGCCCATACGAGTTTCCAGGTCACATCTTTCAGCCGAGTCCTTCAAAAGATTTTCCACCGTCGACGCGACGCCATGAACTTGCCGGCCTTTCAGCTGAGAGGATATAATCTTCCCATAGCGGCTTGAGACCTGGTACATTACAGCACAGCGGATCGTCGGTAGTCGGAAGGTGTATCTCGTTGTATTCATCGCGGCCAAACCTGCTCCTCGAGGCGCGAAACGTTATTCCGATGGCTTGCTGCGTGCAGCCGATTTTGCGCCGTGGAACATGCCCTTGTGTCCCACACGTCCCGATGTATGCTCAGCAACAGCAAACCCTGTCTCAAGTGATCTGTTGAATGACAACTAATGTTAGCTCAGTTCACACGAAGCCACTCTGCTCAACCTTGGGAAGTACCTTCTTCACATAGCGGGGCGCGGCCTGCTCCCCGAGCTTCGCTCCTGAAGAGGCATTCTTGAAATGCACGCAGCTCTGCTCCACTTTGTCCCCTCATCTTTGTTGGTGACTCGATATGAGAGACGTATGATGAGGTGAACCTGAGGCGAACGCGTCCTTCCCTTTCTTGTTTCGGGCACCAAGTTGAATTCCCAGAAAAGCTGCTTGCCAGTCGCCAACATGACTTCTTTCCTCCTCAAAAGCAGGCTGATAGTGTCCCTGACTGCCTTTACGGCACGGTCTCTCGGGAGAGCGTCCGGAGTGCGGCAGTCCACCTCAATTCAGGCTTCGCGCGGTATGAAACCACCTCGGTCTGGCGTTTTCCTCCAGACTTCCGCTAAAAGTCTCCACCTGCAGCGTTACGGACGCAGAGTCTTTGCAGGGCTTCGTTTTCTGGAAATGACCCTTCGGCGAAAGCACAACAACTGTTTGACCAAGGTTTGCAAAAATGGAACACAGACGTGAGTACCAAACCCGGCTGATATTTCGTGGTGTTCCTTGTCTAACGTCTCGGGTCAGGATGTCCAGGGCGCTCTTGAATGCTACCAACAGTCAATATGGACCGCCGCCACCGGTAGGTTTGACCGCCCGAATATCTCAATCGACAAAGCTTGATAAAGTTTGTACAACAGGAGACGCCTACTACAATATTGCAAACTGCTACCTGCAATTAGGTATGTGCCACGTGAACTGATTGGATTCAGACGAGAGCCTGATTGTCTCCTGGATATACTCTAGGAAAGCATCAATCAGCGGTGGATGCCTGGAAGAAGTCCCTCGAGTTATCCCCAGGGCGGGCAGATGCCCACGTCAATTTGGCGAACGTATATGCCCTGATTTTGAAACGCCATGATGAGGCTTTGGCGCATTACGAGAATGCTCTCAACCTGGAGCCAAAGGACGGACAGATTCACTACAACTTTGCAGTTGTGCTCGATTCGATGGGAAATTTGGACAAAGCGATTGAGCATTACAAAATCGCGGTTGAGAATGGCACAACTGTGGCCCAGAAGAATTTGAGGAACGCTATGGCTCGGAAACTGGGGCAACAGTTGAAGGAAGAGCCAAAATAGTGATCCCGTTGGAGATTACGGCAACCCGAATTAGATACAAGGGCATCAGCAAAGACTGCATGTGTAAATAGGCTTCGCCGGAATGCCATGGCTTGGAAGCTGGGGCGACAGCTGAAGGAAGAAACAAAACAGTGATCCCTTCGGATATCCCACAGATCCGAGTTTAGGTATATGTGCATCGGCCAAGACCGCATCTGTAGATAGCATTCGCCACTAGGTTTAGGCAAACTACTGAACATTCATGAACCCTCGAGCAAACTACTCGGGACATTCATGAGCCCACGAACGAAATTCAACGAAAAATCTCAAACGAAACTGAGTACTATATGATGACGCAAAGGGGGGTAAGAGATTCCAACTGGTGGACTAGGTACGGCCGTCCTATCGGTGGTTGACCAAGAGAGAGCGCTTGCCCGTCGAAGCTTCTACTGCACAGCACCTCGCGTTCCCGGCCACTATGTTGCAAAGCGCAAGATACGTTTGGTGTATAAAAGTCATCGCTTAACAGGCGCAAGGGCCTTGCGGCTGATTTCGTCCAGCTGCTCCCGCGTTCAGATCCACCCTGCCAGCAGTTGTCCCGGCACCGCTTGCTCCGGCAGCTCCCGTGCGACCTCGAGACGCGAGCAATTGCTCCAATGGAATCTTCTTGGCTGGAGGATGCACTTGCGTTTAGCGGCATGGCGAGCAATAAAAGCAAATTTGCGAAACGGTTCGTACCAATGTCAGTGAAAACGTCGATCACATTGTCTCCCGTCTTCGCAGAGGCCTCGGCGAAGAGAAGGCCAGCTTCCGTGGCATATGCACTGGCTTCTTCGGTGGGGATTCCCCGCGCAGTGGCGGCCAAGTCAAGCTTGTTTCCGACCAACGCAATGACAATATTGGGGTTCGCTTGGCGCTGCAGTTCCTTTACCCAGGATTTCGCTTTGTCGAGAGAAGCCTGGCGTCGTGGTGGAGTGGAAAGTTGATCAGTACAAAAGGTTCCTCGGCGACATATGCTGTCGAATAGATAAGTGCAAACAAGGCTTTTAATAAGCCTTACCGGTTTTGTAAGGTCATAGACAACCACGGCAGCCTGTGCGTTCCGGTAGTACATAGGGGCCAGAGAGTGGAAACGCTCCTGACCGGCAGTATCCCAAATCTCAAATTTGATGATTTTGTCATCCAGTTTGCACCTTTGGGTCAGAAAAGCTGCCCCGATTGTAGGTTCCTTGTTTTCCTGAAAGTCGTTGTTGACAAAGCGGAGTACCAGGGATGACTTTCCCACGGCGGCTTCGCCTAGTAGCACAAGCTTGACCTGAATAGGCTTGAGATTGGCAGCATCCCCAGCGGCTGCCGTGCTTTGGGCGGCATTATTTACGTTCGACATCGTGGCTTTTCCGTTCGTAGATTCTCCGGCTCCCGATCTGTGCTCGGTACGTGTCAGTTGCGCCTCAAGCCTGTCAGGAACCAAGGATAGGACAAACCACCTTTCAACGATATAACTCCCAGCTCTCTCTGATTGTTGCAAGTCGAAAGTCTGCCTAAGGTTGTTGGTCTCTGGCTGAAACACGAGGACGGTGTGTTGATTCGCTGGTGTTGCAGGAACGAAATGAGCGTCGCTGTGTTGCAAGTTTCACGGAACACCCCTTGGCGCAAGGCCAGTCAGCCCAGGCCGTCATCAATATGGACGCAATCAGTCAGTCACGACTTCGCTCATCCACAATCAGTCTCGATGTAATGGCGATTACATAAGCTTCACACATCCCATGAAGTTCACCTTTGCACGAGGGCATCAGCCGAAGTTGCCTCTCCCCTGCGTCCGCTCAGTCCGCTGGCGTTGGAACGACCCCACACAGCTTCTGTTTCCAGCGCCGGAACGGTGTGGCTCTCTGCTCAACGCACGGGACAGACCCCAGAACACGGGAAATGTCCCGAGCGCTGGTCCCGGATGGGATGTTCGCGACAACGTCACAGGGGCCAGCCGTTGGGAATTCCGCGTCTCCCTACGCCAGGACGGGGCATCGCTGACGTAGTGCAGAGGGGAGGGCCGTCTTCCCGGTTTTCGGCGGCTCGGCGGCGGAAACAGTGCCGTCCTCTCGTGAGATCCGAACTGCACACTTCCAGATACTCCCACCGGAAGACCGGGGAGCAGCTGATTCACTCGACCTCCCTGACTACCAGCGCGAGCCCCTACGATGGTTTAGAATGACGAGCAGCGATTGCTGCATGATGCACAAGGGTAAGAAAGGTCGGCTGTGCATGATGGTGTTCTTGGAAGCCGATCATATAAGCCCAGCGGAACAGAGATAATCATGCGGTGAACTCTTGTCTCTACGAGCCCTCCGTCCTTGCAGTGCCGGGTGTAGCATGTCGGACACGGGGTAGACTGTATTAATGAGCCAGTGAACATCAGCGGAACGAGCGGTCATGGGATCCACTTTACTATCCATGTCCAGGGAAGTTCTCCCGAGACAGAAGTAGATCACTCGGGGGGTTCTTGCGTGCTGGAGACCGATTGACACGGTCTGCACACTCCGCGACTAGGCTTTGCAGCGCTGTTTTGATCCCCTCCCAATCTCTCTGCGGAAAAGAAGGAGAAAGTCAACATCTGGGGCGAACGGGGCACTGCGTGACACATGCGCGTAGTGGACGGTCGTCGAGGGTGGGTCGGTGATCGACGGGGCGTTCACTGGGATACGAGGAGATGTCGTCGGAGGGAAGCGCCTCGGAAAGGACGGCGAGAGAAACTTGAAGGTTGTCCGGAACGAGTTCGGGGACGTCCGAGAGAGAGTCATTGTCGATCTCTTCTGGCCTGGCGTTGGGAGGGGGTGGATCCTCTTGATTATCGTGGAGAGGGGTGTTGTATGGCGCATTGAACGCGGGAACATGCCAAGCCGGGCGGACCCTGGCAGGAACCATGCGAAGGTGGTTGACCGGTCGCGAATTGAAGGCGGGACATCCGTGCTCGTCGAGTAAGAGGTACGCGCCACCGGGGTATGCCTTAGAAACTTGATAAGGACCTGTCCAGCGGTTAACGAGCTTGCGTGACGAAACGTAGGTTGTATCGAGTTTGCTGCGGTGAATATACACCCAAGCGCCGACGGCGTATTTGCCAGGAGGCTTGCGCTTAGCATTGATGGCGGCGGTTTCGGTGAGGCGGTTGTTGTTGGCGTTTTCCAAAGCACACGCGCGGAGGATGTCACGGTCGGCCCGGTAGTCAGCGGTGAGTAAGGTGTTCAATGCTTCAGGGTCGAGTATGCCGGTGGTTGACTGGCCAAGAATGTGGCAGTGTTGGCCGAAGACAACGTTGTATTGGGAGATGCCGGTGGTCCTAGCGACGTGATTGAGGTACGTGTACAAAGCGGTGTCGAGGCATTTGGGCCAGATTGTTAAATCAGGAGGGTTGATTTTGGCTTCTAGGTTACATTGAAGGACTATATGGGATAAGATTCTTGTGATATCCTGAACGAACTTCTCGGCGCGCCCATTGCCCATAGGGTGCATTGTCAAGGTTTGGAGGAGCTTGATCGATTTCGCAAACCATTCTGCCTCAATGGTAATTGCCATCCACGCTACCTGCTATGGGCAGCGGGCATCCCAGCTGTGAATGCAACGGGTGTGCTTTGTAGCGCACGTTGCCTAATACAAGCTGTTGGGCAATGGAGGTACGCAACCATTGAGCCAACGAAGCTCTGTTGTTCAGAGTCACCGTGTAATGTGGGTTGTCCGGTCTAGTTGGGGAACCACATGTCTGCGAGACAGGCCTCGCGGGATACACCTGTATATCCTCGGAATATACAGGTATTTCCTGAGGAAATACCTGTATTTACGCGTCCAGACATTGTTCTCCAGTGGACTCTGACCTCATGGGTACTTTAACAGTGCTCGTCGCGCGTTCCTATGCACAACAAGTAGTTCCTTTACTGCATATCGAATAGCAGCGCCGACGAACACTCAGTCCGTCTACAATACCTTACAGCAAAGTAGTTATTGTATACAAACGTCAGTTATACAACCCGTGTGGAAGGTAGTCCACATCACATGGTAGCACCACTCGTTTCGACAAAAACGAGCTTCTTAGTAGATAAACACGTTGGCAACTTCAGCATCTCGAAATTGCAGACGTAGCAATCATCACAGAACGTCAATACAATCATTCTAGACGATTCAAATAGCTTTCGGGCGTCCAGGACAACGTCCACCACAACTCCTGAAGCCTCTAGTGCGCTATAGTCGAAAAGCGCCAACCTCTAGGTTATTTACCTAGGTGAACGACCGATACGTCGCAACCACCTCACTTTTTTTACCTGGATGGTTAGACAAACCTCCGTAACTCACAGTTCGCCATCCATATCTTACTCTTTTGGAATATCAACCCCTTGAGAGTATTCGTTCAATGGTCGACACATAGTCAACATAAACGCGTGTTTACTAGTAGCCAATTGGTAACCCGTGCACGGATTGGAAATCTACCCCAGTAATGCGATCCCCTTCAAACTCGGAAACCTCGTAGAGCATACTGAGCTTGAAGACTTGTGAAAGTTTCAAAGAGATTCGACCTACGGATACGGAGATATCGAAAAACGCGCCACTATAACCTCTGTATAGCAAAACTATCGCAGTTTTGAACAAAACGACCCCCGATAAGGTTCTTCCCGATCCTGAGAATTACCGCTGAATGTTTTGGAGATTTTTGAATCACTGCAAAACAAGTAATCCGTCATCGCCTTCGTCGTTAATTCGATACTTAAGCAAAAACGGGCGGATAAGAAAAGTCTTTCAGTTTAAAGACAGAGCTAAGCCGTTAGAGTTCATTTTGATCCTCTCAAAGGCCTCTTTAAACTGATAGCTTCAGATCCTGTACAGGATCAATGCAGCCGAAACCCGCCGACATCGGACACAGTGGATTTTGGGGATTTTTCGCTCAAAAAGAGGGAAAATCTATGCCCGAATTTTGGTTATTGCATACGGCATATACCTGATTCGAGACCTAGTTGTTTGTGTGTATTTGCTCAAGGTACTGAGCTATACAACATCAACGGAGTACTTCTGTCGGCATTCTGGATGTATTGGTCGTTGTTTGAGGTTTTTCGAACTGAAAACGCGCTTACGCTGGCTAGAAGGTTGTCATGAGTACATCAACGGGTAGTAGAGTTACCAGGAGTGAGGAAACTACTCCTGGGGGTACAGCTGTTATTACTGAGATTGTTGAGGAGCCGGAGACTGCAGCTGACGAACCCCGTGTGGAAGTTCGCCTTCCTCCTCCAACGATGGGACCAGTTCCAATGGAGGGCATCCAGGTTGGTGGACCTCCTCCACCTCCTCCTGGTCACCCGCCCGCTACAGCTATGTTGACGATCTCCATCGATCAGCTTAATGCCCGAATGAAGGCTGCTGTGGCCGACGCCCAAGCAGAAGTGTAATGAGGTGCTGCAGGTGTCACCTTACTGTGGGGAAGCGCGTAGGGCATGAGATCATATATATTGGAGTCATATATATATAACATGGGATATATTGGAGTCCTACGCTCGGGGGTGACTCCCGAAGGGAAGAAAAGCCTTCGGGCGGCGCCCCGGGAGGTAGAAACTCTAGAACTCTTTCAAAACATCGAAGCGGAGACAGAGCTAGCCTCTGGCAACGGACCTAGCCTTATTACAAGAAGTTCTCATCATGCTGAGGAACGTCAGGCTCGACAGGATTGCTTGCAAGCTACGTTGGACCGTGACTCTGCCATGCGCCGTGATGTGCTGCAGGATGGGTCTGTGGATTCGTTCTATATCGAGCAGCGCAGGCACCATGGTACATGGATTTCGCAGCATCCCTTTAATGGCAAACGGCGCGAGGCCGCTTTTGTCAACACATTTTTGCAGAAGCATACGGACTTCATGCTTACTTTTGGTCTTCCGATTGATGACTTTAAGTACATGCAGAAGGTATCTAAATCGCTTGAAGGCGACGCACGTATGTAATAATGCTAGGTCCGTTGCCAGAGGCTAGCTCTGTCTCCGCTTCGATGTATTGAAAGAATTCTAGAGTTTCTACCTCCCAGGGTGCCGCCCAAAGGCTTTTCTTCCCTTCGGGAGTCACCCCAGAGCGTAGGACTCCAAAATAATCTATGCTACACGTGATCTCATGCCCTACGCGCTTTGCCGCGCTAAGGTGACACCTGCAGCACCTCATTACACCCCCCTTAGAGCCAAGTGTCACTCTGACACCGACCGCACCTGTCATTCGCTCCCCGCTGTGACTTGATGTGGAGCTAACACAGGTGTCGGCCAGGAGGAGTGCGCATGGCTCTACTGGAGCGGCTGGCGTCACCGGTGGTCACCATGATGGCAATCAGATCCACGCCGATATGAGGTAGAGATGATTCGGCCGCAGCTGGTTGTGGGGCGCCATGGTCCTTGTCCCTGCGGCATATAAAAGGAAGGCAGTAGTCCCCTCGGCACCTTCCCACCAGTCCTCGGACCTTACATTTCTTGCTCCCAATCTCGTAAACCTCTCACCGTCGCCGTTCCCCTCTTCATCATGGCCGGCGTAGCTCCTTCCGCCAAGCCCACCGCTGCCGGCTCGTCATCGGGCAAGAAGGGAGTAGGCAAGGGCCCCACCAAAGGGGACAGCCTAAAGAAGGCTCTCAAGCGACAGCGAGTGGTGAGTCTGCGGTGGGTACCCAATTGACCCAACTTACATGGTTTGACCAACTCTATCTCAGGATACCCCTGAGGTGCACTCGGACAATACCCCGGAGCCCCCGGCTCCACCGGCCCGACCGACGTGTTGGAACTGCAACACGTACCGCCCCCGCACGATAGTCCTCTCCGCGTGCCAGCACGTTATATGCCGGCCTTGCATCCTCCCGCTCTGTGATGACACCGTAAGGAACCGCGTATTATGGGTGGTTCCCGTGAGGTGACTGACAGCTCACGCCTCTTTCCGACAGACCGACACGCCCGTCGGTGAGTTTACGTGCGGCTACGTTGACGGTTTCGGGGAGGAGTGCGAAACGCCGCTCTTCTGCCAGGCGCTACCCTGCACCTGTGTGTAGCCCGCCTGCGATTGTCTGGCCCAGGACGTGCGGGTGTTCACCTGCGACCACATCCAGTGTATGGGGCATGTCCGCGCGTAAGTACAACAGTCGTGAATTTTTGACAGGTCCCGCCGTTGACGTGATGCGTTCCCTTTAGCCAGATGAACGTCGAGCAGTTTGTCCCGCTGCGTTGTGGCATGGGGACCGCCTGCCACGGCACACGTTGCCAATGGTCTTTTGCCAATCAGGCTGGTATTTAGCCTGGCGTTGTTGTTCTTCTTTCTTGTATATATTTTGTTGAATTCGATCCCTTCGGAGCGTTTCCCTTTGGTACTCCACCAATCGTCCTGAGCCCTGGTGCCTCGCACCCGCTCGCAAAGGCCCTGGTATGTTATGATCGCGACGACGGAGGCGGAAGCGAAGTAGAGAAGACAGGGCGACAGTGATAGGCGACAAGAGATTGTATTGGCGAAACAAGAAACAAGGACTAGAACAGGAGATGAGAAGAACTGGTGTTGATCTGCTGGGGAGGAAGGGAATGGACGAAGAGAGGCCGGCTATTTATAGATAGGCAACCCAGCAGATCAGAGAACAACAACAACAAGAGGGGACTGGGGGGGCGCCAGCTATGCTCCTACAGCGTGCGTGGCGAGCGTAGAGAGCATTGCTACAGCTGCTGGCTATGGGGAAGTAGTGGGGGGTGTGGAGAAGCCGAGGGGGGATTGGCAAAATGAGAGGAGAGAGGAGGAGTGGCGATATTGCGGGAAGATTGGCGAAATGAGAGGAGAGAGGGGGAGTGGCATTGACATTGACATTGACACTGACATTGACACTGACATTGACATTGACATTGGCGTTTGACATTTGGCGGTTGACATTGGCGGCTGTCAGTGTTATGATCTCGACGACGGGGCGGAAGCGAAGTAGAGAAGACAGGGCGAGTGTGATAGGCGACAAGAGATTGTATTGGCGAAACAAGAAACAAGGACTAGAACAGGAGATGAGAAGAACTGGTGTTGATCTGCTGGGGAGGAAGGGAATGGACGAAGAGAGGCCGGCTATTTATAGATAGGCAACCCGGCAGGCCAGAGAACAACAACAACAAGAGGGGACTGGGGGAGGGCGTTAGCTATGCTCCTAGAGCGTGCGTGGCGAGCGTAGAGAGCATTGCTACAGCTGCTGGCTATGGAGAAGTAGTGGGGGATGTGGAGAAGCCGATTGGGGATTGGCAAAATGAGAGGAGAGAGGAGGAGCGGCGATATTGCAGGAGGATTGGCGAAATGAGAGGAGAGAGGGGGAGTGGCATTGACATTGACATTGACACTGACATTGACATTGACATTGGCGTTTGACATTGGCGGTTGACATTGGCGGCTGTCAGTAGGTAAGCTTATGGTATGGGCGCGTTGTCCATAACAGTTGCGATCTTTGGGTGCTGGACAGAGCTGCCAGGTGCCGTTCCTGACAAGGGATGCGT